TTTCTTTTTGTTTTAGTGAAATTTTGATTACCTATTGACTCAATATATGTACAGCTCCAGGTGGAAAAGAGTCCACTTACTATGGTTATAAGACTAACAGCGAGATGCACTCAACTTATATTAGCGTTATGTTGCATACTCGGATTTTGTGTTTCTGAATCGCCCTATAACTCGTCATTTACCCCAGATCACATACGGTACCTCAAGAACGAAACCACACTCCTATTTCAACATGCATGGAGGTCATACATGACTCATGGGTTTCCCTTTGACGAGGTTCGGCCCATAACTTGCGAGCCATATGGACCCGATTACAAAGATTACACTAATACCGTGAGAAATGATGCAATGGCGAATATTTCGCTGACATTGTTGGATAATATCGATACCTTGATAATAATGGAACAATGGGATGATTTGGAGTTCGCGCTACGGTACCTCAAAGAGAATCAAGTTGATTTCTTCAATCAAGATGCCATTGTTCAAGTGTTTGAAACAACAATCCGGTTTTTGGGTGGATTATTAAGTGCACATTTGATATTGACAGATGTGATTAAGAAGGATATCCATCTACCGCCGTCGTACAACAGATTTAAACAAATAGGAGAGAATTATGATGGATTTTTATTGGACATGGCGTATGACCTAGGTCTCAGACTCATCCCTTCATACAAGACAAAGACAAACATCCCCTTCCCACGGATTAATTTGAAAACTGGATTGAGAAACGTGCCTCCCAACTTGCAAAAAGACGCGTGTACTTCCGGTGTTACAACTCCAGTATTGGAGTTCACGTTGCTTTCTCGATTGACTGGTGATTTCCAATTTGAATACTACACCCAACAATCATTTTGGAAGATTTGGACTTCAAAACTGGCACTCAATTTGATGCCAATGTCTATCGATCCATTCGAAAATAAATGGAAAGATACAATAACGGGGATTGGGGCATCGATCGATTCCTTTTACGAATATGCTGCGAAGGGAGCTATAATTTTTGATGATGATGCAATGTGGTCGGTGTTTCATACATCTTATAAGGCGCTCCTAACTCATCTGGCGCAGGTTAATCATGGGACAATGATATTTCCCAACGTTGGCACTGAGGATGGGGTTATTTTTAGTGACTGGATAGACTCATTGGGGGCATTTTGGTCGGGACTTCAAGTATTGACTGGGCACTTGTCACATGCAATTCAAACGCATATTGTGTATTTGAAAATATGGGACTACTTTGATCTGATCCCCGAAAGATGGATCTATGCACATCATAATCGAAACAAGAGGAAAAAGTTCAAGGCGGATGACTCGATTGCATTGGAATGGTATCCGCTCAGGCCAGAGTTTATTGAAAGTACTTATTACTTGTACCGTGCCACTAAAGATCCCATGTATCTACATATTGGAGAAAGGATTCTTACTTTGTTCCAAACTAAATACAAAGCTGAGTGTGGATTTAGTGGGATACAGAATATTAAAACTGGAGAACGGCAAAATCGTATGGAGACTTTTGTGATGGGGGAGACTTTGAAGTATTTGTACTTACTATTTGACGACGAAAATAGAGTGTTCCTTCACAAACCCGAGTTGATGAGTTCAAAAAATTGGGTGTTCTCAACGGAAGCGCATCCACTTTGGTTTCACAAGGGATTGAGAAGTGGCGGACAAAATCTGCAGTTCAATGCTTATGCGGCTAATTTAATCCCCGACGACATCGCCGACGAGCAATTTACTCCAGAAATCTTTCGCAACACGACAGTTCGACAACCTATAATGTATGACATCCCTGGTCATGAATCTATTTCCCATGTGGGGAAAAAGGACCCATTTGGTGACCAATTCGACGCCTGCGAGATGAGTCCATTGGTGAAAAGTAAAACAGGCTTTCTTGAATCGAGCTATTACGATTGGCCGAATTTATTTGGTGCTGATTTTGCATTCTCTAAATCGCTCATTAAACCATCGTATGCCAACAAAACTAATTTGGATGACAGTTATATCGAGTTGAGTCGGGATTTTTTTGACAAATTTACTACTTTTGACACACAACTAATGTCGCAAAGGATGCCAACAACAACCAGCTACGAGGTATTTTGGGGCGATGTGAAGGATTCCGGGTTTGCCGAAGTGTCGGAGTTGACATTTAATGGTCAAAACGAAACCGAGTCCATTATATTACCCGGTGATTTATGGGTTCCAGCTTTGCAGGGACTAAGAATTAAGGTTGAGGAGTTGACATTGGGCTCGATTGATTCGAGGAACCTTGTAATTACGAAAGAGCACATTTTACAGGTCCAAGGTGAAGTTGACGAAGATAGTACAATAAAGATGGTGACTGACACAACATTGCGTATTCACAGAGTTAATGGGGTAGAAGTGAAGCAGGGTGCAATTGTTTGGACCTTACCATTCCAACCGAGTCCGAGAGACAGAAGTGAGATTGGAATCACCAAGGAAGGGCGTGTTGTCATACAGGGCAAAGTGGTGGAGAACTTGATTGTATGGTATGGATAGAGGAGCTTTTACTCACAGGCACCAAGTACAAGTTAGCTTTTTTACATAGACTGTTTATAGATTTATTTATTGTACTATATCTAACGCAGAAGTAGCATCAATTTAGGCTCTGTTGATACTAGTTGATATTTACGCGAAATGCTGTTCAGTGCTTGCCCCAAAGTAAGAGAAGAAAAAAAAAAAAGTGCAACTCAACTAACCAGTGTATCAAAGTACCCAGAGCAATTTCCCTTAGCACTTGTTACAGTATGAGTTACGATCCAATTCATGATACATATACACCAGCAAAGCCAAAAGATCCGCAACTGCTGCCTCCGAACGCTGTACAAAAGAAGCATGATCCATTATCAATTTCGAGCTTAGTTTCCGAAGAGAAAGCTTCATCTAAGGATCCCTTCACAGAAGCTGCACCGGCTCCAGCTGCCATGAATACTCCTTCTCGTACGCGCAATGCTCATAAAATCCAGGCAATTTCTAATTTAATTGAAGCGGAAACTGAGAATGACGGCGACGATGATTATGATGAGACCGATGTCAACTCAACGAATCTAGGCGATGATGAGGATTATTCTGGGCCATCGCCTTCTTCCAACAAGACAAAGAAGAAACCACATGCTGCTGCCTCGTCCCCCTCGTCGTCGTCGTCGTCTAAGAAGAAGAAGAAGAGCAATATTGCCAATTCCAAGCTATCTTTGAAGAAGGGCGATGGTGAACCCTTTTGGAGAAGAGATATTCAATATGATATGTTGACCGCTTTGTTCGATGATGAAACAGCTTGTTTCACCAACACCTACCCCCATCTGAACTTGCCAGGTGTCAATAATAGTCCAAAAGTGACATTCGCAGAATTGTATATCCGAACCTTGGCTGAATCAAATAAGTGCTCCAAAGTTTTAAAAGAGAAGTTGCTTCGAGATTTTGATTTGGGTAAAGCTGTTTCCAAGGTGTGTGTGTTGGTCAATGCAGGGAGAATGAATACAACTATTAATTTCGTACATGACATGAAGTCTACTTTGAGAACCTATCACTCGATACCTTGCTTGCAAACGGGACCTCAAGGTGGTACTATTAGACAATTGCAAGATACCCCTCGATTGAAATCCATAATCAAGGCGGTCAATGAGGGACAAGAACAAAAGGTAACTAGTCTTGAGCAGTTGGTTGCTTCGCCTCCATCGATTAAACCCAACACTGATATTGTCCACTTGCTATTTCTACTTAGTGAGGCCAATAATGGAATACCATTGATAAAAGATCGTGATTTTCATTTGTTGGATTTGTTTGTCAATACGAAAGCGACCCCGCAAAGTAGAGCCAATTTATTACTATGGTTGTTCTACACCTTTTTGGAAACAGATTTCACACCTCAACAACTATCTCAAAATCCATTTGGGGGGTCTGATGCACCTCACGAAGACCCAATACCTGAATCTTCATGTGTTAAATTTGATGTTGACACGCAGTACGAAATTGACTATGCTGCAGAGATGCTTCAAGCAAGAAAACTTTATTTAAGCGAGGATCACTCGCATGATGGGCACCACGTATCGCAACGAACTCAAGATACGCGTGCAGGTGCAGGTGCAGGTGCAGGTGCCAGTACCAGTGCCAGTGCCGGTGGTAGTTCCAGTGTCAATGTTACCACAAATAACAGTGCTGCGCCCAAGGTAAATTCAAAGAAGAGAGAAGCCAAGAATGAAGAAACAAACGTTGAGCATGAAGATGGTGAGAAAAAGGTGAGTAAACCAAATCCACCCAAAAAGAAACAAAAGAAAACAAGTACAGAAACATTATCACCCTTGTCTAAAAGCATCATCAGCTTGAGCATGCGATCATTACAGAAACCAAGTTCGGATATGGTCGAGACTAGACCAGAGGAAGGTGAAGAAGAAAAGGTAGAGAGTCACATCTCTCCGAAGGTTAATATCAATTTTCCAATTAATGGCATTGAAAAGTCGATAAGAAAATTCACCAAACTGCCATTCATTTCCCCTCCTCCACAGCCTAATTTTGAGGAGTCGATAGAGTTCAAATGCGACTTGTTAGAAGCAACAAATCCATTAGTTCATGAAGTGCGGACTTCGTCGAAAGCAAGCACGGCCTCCTTCAATAAGAAAATCACCATTTTGGGAAACTGGCTATACCGTTATTTCAATTATAAGAAATCAATAGCGAACAAATTTGTTGGATTGGAATGGGAAGATATTCGACATGATTTGGTTTCGGGTGTTGAAACGTATCTATATCAAAATTTTGGCAAGTCTTTAACCACGAATAAATTGTTGACCGAAATGAATGATGATGATGCAAATGAGGTTGGCAAGAGTATTGATGGGATTGGCAGTATTGATGATGTCGTTTTCAATTATATCCCAGTCGGCGATTTCGATAAAGCTAACGAAAAGAAATCGTTTTTGCTACATTTGACTACATTTGTTAATGATTTTTTCATAAATAAAATGGAATCCGAATTGAATCGTGGAGCATTGAAAAGTAATATTACATTTGATCTTGAAAATGAAAATATGTCTATGTGAATCTAAAATTTAGTGCAGACTGATTTTGTTTTTTTTGTTTTTGTTTTTGGCTATTCTTCATAGGTTGAATACATTACAAAGGATGATTTCTAATGAATTGATGATTCCGTATTTTGGGATTAGCGATGAGAATAATGGGCCAGTATCTTTCAAAATTGCATTTCCATCCTGAGTGATGTACAAATGTACTTTCGACTGGCATGAACCAGTGAGATGATCATTATTCACTATACTCCAGTGTAATCTCAATTTGTACTTGTCCTTGATCACCACATCAATAAATTCCACCAGTTTGAGGTTGGCGTAAAGTTGTTTATAATCAGATACCTTCTCTGGTATATCTCTCAACCGTTCGTTATCAACCATTGGTCGATATTTGATAATCAATTGATGCCAAGTTTTCACTCGCTTCTGGATCAATTTCGTCAATGAATTCAATCCATACATTACACAATGGATTTTTCCATTCGGTATATAATCATTAATCAATGCTTGTGTGAATGAATATGACAACATACGTAAGGTTGTCAAATTCGTCATGACGATTAGTTGATATACTGAATCATTCAATGCGTTGATCTCCAATTTCAATGTTAGGTTGAGTACAAGTGGTGATAAGATTGTGAATTGGAAAACCCGCACTAGTCTGTCATCGATATACTCATTATATGTTGTCAATTTATCAATGTCTAGATATGGGATGAATTTCTTTGCCAAGGGCAAACGTAGATCCCAATTTGGTAGTGGTAACACATTTAGTTGATTCGAGATGTACTTTGTTTGTTGTTGGTTTCTGTATCTCAAATTTTTGTAGAATTCCACTTCGCTCCTCTCTAGTAGTTTATTCAATCTTTCAGTCCTTTCGGCCTGTTGTTGAAGTTTTGTCAATTGTTCTAGTCGTGATTGCAAAGCTTCGATTCGATTCAATTTAGTTGCTTTGGCTTGTAACAACTTCTGTTTCTCCTCAATTAACTCCTGCTGGAGTCTGAGCTGCATTTCTCGAGCTGTAATTTTAGGCTCATTCAGTGGAGCTGGTGGTCGTGGCGAAGTACCCAATGATGATGATGAAGTGTGTTGTCGTTGTTGTTGTTGTTGTTGTTGTTTTGTGTATGGTGTATCAAACACCAGTCCCAAGTTCAGTTCCAAGCGAGGACTCGTTGCTGCCATAGTTGGACGCTTGTCAAAGCTATGTAAGTCGTTGTCTATCTCTGTCATATTATATTGACTCTCATTTGAATAAACAGTTCTGTAGTTTGGATAGCACGGTTGTTGTACTATTGAGGTTTTGTCTTCTATTGTTTTTTTTTTTATTTTTGCTTTTTTTTTGCTGAAAACATCATACTCCCAGCCAATCTACTAAACAACTCATTACACCGAAAGAATGCCAGTGACAGAACCTGAGCTCAAGGGTGTATGTCGATTTTTGACACTTTGGATGATTTAATTCAGCAAAACTTGTGTACTAACAATGGGTTACTTTAGTACTTGGATAAGAAAATTTCTGTTCAACTTAATGGATCCAGAAAAGTCATTGGAGTATTACGCGGTTATGATGTATGTATAGACAGAAGTCTGAAGGGACGCAATTGCAGTCGGAAACGGAGACGTACTAACTTCCAAATACTTAGATCTTTCTAAATGTCACTGTTTCAGATGCTTTAGAGGAAAGGATAAATGGTGAGAAATTGAATCTTGGTATAACGGTATGTGTATTTGAAGAGATGCCTGAAAGCTCCAACTTTTTACTAACGCTGTATTGATAGGTCATCAGAGGTAACTCAATCGTGTCGTTGGAGGTATGTACTGCACAGACACAGAAAATCAATATTTGACACCATACTAACCAACCTATTACTCATTTAGGCCTTGGATAAGATATAATGTTCCCCTTGTTAATAACTTGTAACTTTTAATAATGAAATATGCTTTAGATTTAGTCGTGCGTCTATGAGAATATGTACTCTTTTTGGTCTATGCCCCCTGTGCTCTCTAAAACCGTTGCACCATTTCTATTCCATCATTCTTGTATCCGCATTTCTCATAAAACCCAACGTTATGGGACGAACAATCCAATATTACCTTATAACAACCACTGTTTTTCGCCAATAAACTCAAAGATCTAACAAGGTAATTGCCCAACTTCTTGCCTTGTTCGCTAGTTGCAACTGAGATATCCTCAATATGACCAACTTTGCCACATTCATGTATAAGTTTTGATTCTATGAGTAGCATCCCAGTAGCTACAATTGTACCAGAAGAGTTTACGATGACATGTGGTTGATAAATCTCTGGGTTCTTAGACCAAGTGGCAAACAAATTACCAAACTGTTCTTCAGTTATGTTGCCTACCGTTGTTAGCACTTTCAATGTTTCAATGTAGTTGTTGGAATAGTCTGTTGATTTCAATTTTCGAAAAGAATAACCTTCTGGTAATTGCATTTTTGATTCTTCTTGGGTCATGTTTTGGCGACTCTCAATTGATGTGGTAGTGTTAGTTGTAGCACAGAACCAAGGTTTCAAAGGAATGTGTGTGATCTATAAAGCACAAGGTTTGTCGAATATGACTGTCACCTACGATGATGAATGAGGGAAAGAAAATGAAAACAAACAAACAAACAAATAGGCAGTGTCGTAACTTTGAAATATGCGTCATTGAGTTGCTACCTTGTCTTGTCGCGAAAACCAGTCGTTGTACAAACTGCCGATGGCAGACACCCCGTAAGAGATACGAACATATAGTTCAAAACCAGGATATTCATTAAAAGAAGAACGGTATTTGTGAGTGAATACATCTTGAGAGCACAAAATATCGAGGTGCGCAATAAAAGAGCCATAGAATCTTTTCTTGTAGTGGGTGGAAAGCATTAGTATAACTTTTCAAACATTTTTAATTTTTGGCATCAATTGTCTTCCAAATTTCCTTTCGGAAGTATAAACAGCTCAAATTTTGACAGATTCTGACTTTGTCAAATCAACTGCATACTGAGATGGGTACAATATAGGGGGTCAAAATAACGATGCAATGGGTCTTTAACGATTTGGAAAAATCATACAAACTGTCAATGTAGTGGTGTAAGTAAAGGGTTCTTCTAGAAAAGACCAGCCACAGTGACAGTTTACACAAAAAGCAAAACCATCACGTGACACTTTCAAAATTTTATGGTTGCTCTGCATCTCAGCACCATTGAGTACTTGTCTATCATTATCATTTCGAAATCAACTATAGAGTAGTTTCTCTTATTATCTTATTTTCAATCGTTTGGAGGTGTAGAAAGTTTGTTCAGTGTGTATTACGTGCCTTTGTAGATATTTGTGAGGGGGGGGAAGCGGATGTGTGTTTTAACTTGACAATTGGACGGCAAGGAAATGGATTTTTTTTTTTTGTAGTATCCGTAGCCGCTGAGCTCAAACACAAGCCATCTCTCCTTGCAATTCAAAATTACATAGAGCTTTACACACTTTTGTCGTCAAATTTAATATAAAGGATTGTATTGCCTTACATTTTTAGTCTTTCTTATTCTTCTGCAAGCAACACTTTTCCATAGCACCCGCAATATGTCATTGCCTCAAGCTAAACTCACTTACAAAGCTTACGCTTACAAGAACGGAAGCAGTCCAATCAAGATTGTTCAAGAAACAATTGATTTGGTGAAAAACCCTAATGGTCAGGGGTACATTGCCCCACCAGGCCAAATCTTACTCAAGATCAACTATGCTTCGTTGAATCCGGTCGATTACAAGTTGTACAAGATTAAACCATCGTTTATTGGTTGGTTTAACCCAAAGCAAGGTTTTGGTCGTGATTTCGCTGGTGAAGTTATTTCGATTGGTCAAGGCACACAAACCAATGTCAAGGTTGGCGACTATGCTGAAGGTATCTATACTCCAAAAACTGGTAAAGGGTCAGCAGCAGAGTACTTGTTACTTGATCCAAAGACTTCGCCAATCACCACTAAACCAACAAACATTGACCTTGCTGAAGCGTCCGCTTTCCCCCTCGTTTTGGGAACCGCTTTGCAATTGGTTGAAAGAGGCGGAATCAAGTTGGCCAATAGCAAAGTTCTTGTCATTGGAGCTGGTACTTCAGTTGGTAGATATGTTGTTCAATTGGCTAGAAATGGAGGTGCCAAAGAAGTTGTTACAACAAACTCACCAAGAACTGCAGACTTGATTCAGAGCTTGGGAGCTACTTCTCAAATTGACTACAGAAAGAACCCCAACTTGTTACAACCAGTGTTGGAAAGTGTCAAGTCCAGTGGTCAATTTGATTACATCATTGATTGTTGGGGTGGTGATGACCTATTTGCAGAGATCAACACAATCATCAGAAAAGGTGGAGTTTACAACACAATTGTTGGTGATGCACCAGGAACCGGACTTGCTGCGTTACTTGGAGGTATCAGATCCATTTCCAGAACCATTGGATCTAAGTTGGGTTTGTTAAACTACAAATATGAATTGATGTTGTTGGATAACAATTCGGGTTGGATCGACCAGGCCAGAGATTTGATCGGTGAAGAGAAGTTGAAGGTTTTCATTGATTCAATTTGGCCTTTTGATCAATTGAATGATGCCATTGAGAAGTTGGAAAGTGGCCGTGCTCAAGGAAAGATTGTGTTGGAAGTGTCCAAGCCAGACGGCCCAACAAGAGGTGGACCTGTCAGTGAATATAATCCAGATCCATTCAATTAAGTCGAGCTAAGTATACTTTTAAAGAGTGGGGGTGATTCACTTCTTTTTTTTTTTTTTTTTTCTTTTGATCAAGTTTTCGTATAGTTAGGTTATGACTGAGACTCCAATTTTGTTTTCCAAGTCTTTGATGAGGTATCATTACTTGTAAATTGTAGTGTTATTAATTGTGAGCCGAAGCTCCGGCTCTCAAGTTCAGCTTTCATTCTTTTTCTCTTTTCAGTTTTATTTTTAGTTGCAAAATATCCAGCCCACAAACACAACGACGGAAATGCTGCACGAAGAAAAGCACTATTTCACATTACTAATTGTGTGAGATCCCTAGCACAGAGGGGTTACAAATGCCCATGAGACAAAATCCCTGTGGTTTGAGTCAGCCCATTTACGGTAGTCACACGTTCTTTTGTTTCCTCATTTTTCCCCAAATCATAAAGTCGTTGCTTTTGAGACTACCTCCAGCGAAGCATCTGCCACATCGAAACGGCTCTTGTACACTAAAAAGGGAGAGAGAAGGTGCGAGAGTCGTGAGTTTTTCCAATTTGGATTGTTAAACGTTTGGGTTGATGAAGTTTTTTCCGTTAAAAGAAATAATAACGGAACCGGATTTTCAATAAAGCGGAGTTTACAAAACATAAAGTCCATCTACACCATGTATATCCATATCCATTTCCCAGAGTGCCATGTCGTATCACATAAATTTGGCCGATTATAAAATACAGATGCGTTGAACACATCTTGGAGAGGCTGCTTTGCCAACATCACTTGTTTATTCACCTGCTTCCTCAGTTCACTTACATTCGTTGCTTGACCCAAGGTACAAAACCGCGCAATATGTCATTGCCCAACCCTACAATCACTTATAAGGCGTGGGCTTACAAAAATTGCTACAGTCCCATTAGGATTGTCAATGAAACTATAGAATTGGTAAAGAACCCCAGGGGCGAAGGGTATATTGCCCCTCGGGGCAAAATCTTGATCAAGATCTACTATGCTTCATTGAACCCAGTCGATTACAAAACCTATGAAACAAAACCGGCCATTTTGGGTTGGCTCAACTCCAAACAAGGGTTCGGTCGTGATTTTGCTGGAGAAGTCTTGTCAATTGGAGAAAGTACAGCAACCAATGTTCAAATTGGTGATTTCGTCCAGGGGCTCTATGCTCCATGGTTCGATAAGGGATCATGTGCTGAATATTTATTGCTTGACCCCAAAAATTCGCCAATTACTACCAAGCCCCGCAATATAGATTTTGCTGAAGCTTCCTCGTTCCCATTGGTTTTGGGAACCGCTATTCAGATGTATGCTAGAGGTGGGATCAAGTTGGCCAATAGCAAAGTCCTTGTCATTGGAGCTGGTACTTCAGTTGGTAGATATGCAGTCCAGTTGGCTAGAAATGGAGGTGCCAAAGAAGTTGTTACAACAAACTCACCAAGAACTGCAGACTTGATTCAGAGCTTGGGAGCTACTTCTCAAATTGACTACAGAAAGAACCCCAACTTGTTACAACCAGTGTTGGAAAGTGTCAAGTCCAGTGGTCAATTTGATTACATCATTGATTGTTGGGGTGGTGATGACCTATTTGCAGAGATCAACACAATCATCAGAAAAGGTGGAGTTTACAACACAATTGTTGGTGATGCACCAGGAACCGGACTTGCTGCGTTACTTGGAGGTATCAGATCCATTTCCAGAACCATTGGATCTAAGTTGGGTTTGTTAAACTACAAATATGAATTGATGTTGTTGGATTTCAACGCCGGATGGATTGATGAAGCAAGAGATATGATTGCTGATGGTAAGTTGAAGGTTTTTATTGACTCCGTCTGGCCATTTGATCAATTGAATGATGCCATTGAGAAATTGGAGAGTGGAACCGCTCAAGGGAAAGTTGTTTTGGAAGTTTCCAGGCCCAATACTGGTGCTGAATCCGTAAAACAGTTCCCCCCCAATCCATTTAAATAGATTAAGCATTTACAACAGAGGTTGAAGAGACAAAGAACTTGCAATTGTTCCATTTTTATTTTAGGAGAATTCTCAACAGGCTCTTATTCTAGTCATACTCGTAAACTCGTGTATTCGTTGCAAATTAAAACCGTAAAAATATATATATATAAAAGGCTGAAAAAACTCGTAAGCCCTTCTTTTACATCATCATCTCAAGTAATCGTGAATCATTTGCGTATCCCATCGCTTGGTTATATTAATTTCCAAGCATCCTTCAATAATGTCGTGAACTTTAGCAAATTCGGGAAATGATTGCTCCTGCTTGTACAACTTCCAATCATCGTGCAATTGAATCAATTCTTCTTTACGTTTCAAATCCACTATTGATGGCGACTGCATCAGTAATGCTGCAGGTATGCTATCCTCTTCATTCTCTCTATCTTCATTCGGTGCTTGTCTTCCATCATCATCTTCGTTAATCTTATTCAATGATTCCTTCGAACCCTTTTCTCGTTGTTCCTCTTTATCTCTCAGTTCGTCGTTCAATACCCATTCCATCAAACACGCTTTTCTCAATTCAGATTTGTTGTACTTACCTGCAGTTATCATTGCTCTTAATCGCGGTTCATATTGATGTTGAAATGGCAATTTACCCACACACAATGCATACATCAAGACACCCAACGCCCAAATGTCAGCCAGAGGACCCAATGGTGGAGGACTGGGCTGTAGCAACTCGGGCGAAGCATATGGCAATGAGCCAATATGAGAATGAGGCAAATCAGCATCAACACCACCACCACCACCACCACCACCACCACAACTATCATTTCCATTAACCCCTCCATTATCCTTATTCGCTTGTGAAGTAAGCCATTTTTTACTAAACTCAAAGGAGTCATTGCTATTTGTACCGCGCACAGACTGGTTCAACTTATGATCAGATGTTGTTGGTGAGATGCCTTCGGATGTTACTGGGGTTAAATGAACCGACTGTATTGATGGACCATGAGTCTTGAAAAAATTGGACACACCAACTTGAGAGCCATTATCTATCAAATAATCCAACCTTCTCGCATTGTTTCCGTTACCGTTTCCAGGATAAGGTTTCCTGTTTTCTGTATTTGATGATTTACTCCTAATCATTAATACATCGTTATCGTCGTTGTCATCTTCGGAAGACAACAACTGAGGCGAAGATGTAGGCGGTGGTGGTGATCTTCTCCTACTACTACCGGTCTTCTTCAAGGGATACTTTATTGAATTCTTTCTGCTGACTCGCATACTGTATATTCTAGCCATTCCAAAGTCGCATAGAATCATTTTACAGTGATCATTGTCTTTTCTAACCAAAACATTTTCCAATTTGATATCGCCGTGAACTATTCCTTTTTCTTCATGCATATACAACAAAGCAGTAACGATTTGTCTTGTGTAGTCAATAATTTCATTCAACCTTTGCTTCTGCTTTGCAATCAGGAAATGAATTGGACCTGTATGCGTATGCAACCCACCATTGAATTGACCCCACATGGTTACAACGTCAAACAAAGTTCCGCCTTCGATTCTATCCATTAGACAGAAAATCGTATCCTCTGTTTCACAATGATCAATCAATGGAAGGATATTTTCATGGTGCAATTGTTTCCAAATTGAAATTTCCTTTCTGAAAACCTCCAACACCTTCGGATTAGTGGTTTCATTCGGCATATCAATTCGAGAATTCCGTCTACTTCCTGGGACGCTGTTGTTGAAACCTCGCTTCGACCGAACAATCTTCATTGCTCTAATGTTGCCATTCTTATCGACACATTCACGGATGGTGCCCCATGCTCCGTATCCAATGCATTTACCCAACTCGTGATCCATTACAATTGCACCTCGCTCATCAACATTGTACTTTTGACTCATTTCCTGCAATTTTTTGATATCGGTAGTCGATGTTCTCGCAAGAAGTCTGCCAGCCAATGTGTTTACACTCCCGACTCGCAGTCTCCTAGTGAGACTGTTTTCATTTGATCCAGACCCAAATCCTCCATCACTCTTTGGAGTTTTACCGGACCCAAATGACCCAAAAGCGCCTCCTCCATTCAAGTAATTTTTAGCAAATAGCGAGAATTGAGAATAGTCGACGCTCTCTGAAAAGTTTCGTACAATTTTTTTACGTTGCGAATACGGCAAGTCGGTGAAATTTGGAGGTAAGCTGTGCAAGATCGCTTCAAAGTCAACATCGGCACCACCGGCACCAGCACCAGCACCAGCACCAGCACTACTGGGTTGTAAATCCAGAGTGGTTGATGATGACTTGAGCTTCTTCGATTTTCTCATAGGCAATCCACTTCCGGATGTTTCTCGTTTGGGGCTGTGACCAGGTGTCTCGACTTGCTCTGTAAGTTGTTTAAGCTTCATAACCTCTGTGTCTCTAGAGCCAGCCATTTGACTTTCGTTTCCTGGACGCTTCATCTTCATGTAGTCATGCAATTTGGAGAACGATTGTTTGGACGGTATCTGACTATTATGTCGTATGGGTTGTGGAGCAACTTGCGCATGTAAGAGATTTAAGTCCAAGTATGAAGCGTTGTGGCTTCGTGGTGTATTTGACTGTGTACTCATGGTGCTGGTAGTTGTGCGTGTTCTCGATAAGTCCAAGTCGGAATTGTTGCTATTGTTCCATTTATAGATCATGTCGGAGAAATCTAAACCAGGAATGTACTCATCTTCCAAACCCCTAGTGTAGGACATAACATCGATACTGCTGTCATGTGATAGTGCGTGTAGCTTGTTGCTGCCAGTTGCATCGTTGCCATTGTCGGTCTGTTGTTGAAAATCACTTGAAGAGTCCTGTCTCAGAGTTTGTGGACGTATTGTACCATCTTGATAAATTCGATGACCAGTTTCCAGATCAAAGTTGTTCTTTTCAGTTTCAGAGAATCCTCTTGATCGTCTATACTCACTTTTGCGAAAGCCTGTAGTCGGTGGTGCTGCAATACTCGCATGACGGGTCTTCAGATACTGTAATGGAGGCTGATGCGAGTCATAAGGTTGCATATCCGGACGCAGTTGTTGGTGATGGTGATGGTGGACATGCTGATGCTTCTGCTGTCCCTGCCCCTCTTGTGTTAGCTGCGAGCCCCTATTGTCACTCGAACGTTCATTGTTCTTGTTTTCAATGCGGAACTTTGAATCATCAATTAGATTTACCGTTGATACTTTTGGTTGTGACTTTAATGGGATTTCCATTAAAAAAGATAAAATGCTATGGGGAGGGGGAAGGGTGTAAATATATATATATATATATATATATGGGGATTGCGATATAATCTTGTATGTGGTGAAGGAGTTCCGATTGTATTGGATGGTGAAGTATTATTGATTGGTGGTTTGATATTTGTGACACTGGTTGAACCAAAAGAAAAAAAAAAAATCGAGTGATGCAAGTTGTAACTTTTATATATTGAGGGAGGGGGGGGAAAGAAACTTTATTAAAGAAGAGGAATATGATTTAATGGTATGGCTGAGGAGTGGATTGAGTGGTTATGCTCAATTCGATTGGATTGAAGCGATAATTGAATCGATGAGCTGATGTTTGATACACAAAGCGTACAAGTGTCTCACACTGACCCATGGTCTTCTACACCATTCTCCTCCCTCTGCTGCTTAACACACACCATGGAAATGAAAGTAGTGTGTGTGTGCGTGTGTACTTGTGCTAAGAAGTCGCAGTAAGAAAACAAAAAGAGGGGATAATGTCGTGTGTCTTGACTAATAATCTTGCGACATTAACTGATTTGCTGCAAAATTTTGATACAAACAAACAACATACCACTATATCTAATGCGCAAGACGTCCGTCATTCACCAATCAATTTGGCACCCTCATAAACAAAATCTCTTTCATCACATTACCAAAGTGGATACATGGGAGTTGTTGAGGCTGTAGCAATAAGGCTCAAATCGTGAAAGCAAGATAGAAACAACTTCAACAGTAAACTAGCTCTCACCCATCAATATGACTCTGTAACTCAATACAGTTGAATGGAAAGTCAACTATTCATCACTCGCACAAATACCATACCACAAACTGGTACAGAATTTTCTCTCAATCTCAAACAGGTTGAACCACTTTTGCGAAAAAAGCAATATCTACTGCTTGGACATAATCAATGCATTCAAGAATGTATCATTCAACAATTCACTTGCATGTGGTCTTCTAGTGTAATGCAATTCAAACGTCTTTTCCAAAAAGATCCTTGCTTCTTCAGTACACCATTCTGGGATTGTTGGTGGTATGTGATTACCAATTTTGAACAACGCCTGCATTTGACTTAGATCGGGATACGGGTGTTTCCCAGTGAACATTTCCACAATCAAACTACCAACCGACCAAATGTCAGCCTTTTTCGTATACGTGGTTTGTTTGACAACCTCTGGCGCCATCCAATACACTGATCCTTGTAATGATGCTCTCTTTCCGTTTTTCTTCAAGTTTTCATCCTCTTCATCAATTGTGCTGACTTTTTTTGAAATTCCAAAATCACCAATCTTGACGGTCCCCTTTATGTCTATCAATATATTGGCTCCTTTGATATCACGATGAATGATATCTTCTCCATGAAGGTAATTCAACCCAATTAGGACTTGTCTAATGAAATTACGTATCAATGGCTCCTCAAATGGCCCATAAGAATTCAACATTGTTTGCACGGAGCCTCCAGGAACATACTCAAGGAAAATATTGAGATAATTTTCATCAGAAGAACTTCCAAAGTATCGCACTATATTCTCATGATTCAAATCTTTCAACAACATCATTTCTCTTTCTTGATCAGCAATCTTTTGCAGAACTGGAGTTGGTGTTGATTGATCCTTGTGTGGCAATGGTGGAGGCGCAAAGTAATCTGCATTCAAGTCCTGTTGTGAATGGTTCGAACCGGGCGTAGAAGTCTTCGAAGTAGGTTCAAGTCCCTTATTTTTACGAAAAATTGCACTTTCTCGATGTTGATACTTGTCCTTGTTATCCGGCACATTTGCTCTTTGTGACAGTTTCTGTATCTGGTCCTTCAATTTGTTAGGACTTCCATGCAAAGGAATTTGCTTCACTGCCATCAATTCACCAGTATATGGATTCATGCCAAGATAAACAGTTCCAAAACTGCCGGACCCAATTTTAGCGCCCTTCAACCAATTGTCAGGGACTCCACTATCGAAACCAGTTGTGGCTAAATCATCACCAATGGCAGTGTCGTCAATTTCTTCAAGCTCATCATCAGACGCAGTGGAGTCTAACAATTGTATTGTAGAATGTCTGTGGTTTTCAACAGCGCGTCCAACTTCATCAGAATCACCATCCTCAGCTTCAAGCTCTGGATGAAAATACGATATTCGATGTAGCGCACTTGCACTGACATTACTAACCACGGACTGTGCGTCTTGATGATATGACAGTACTTTTGAAAGTTGTGAGTTCATCGGAGGCGACCCCACTGCATTATTACCTCCCAATACTGGCGAATAATGACGGTAGTTTTGAACTTGGCTTGTAGGTTTACTAAACATGCTTGCTGTATCGCTGTTCACAACTGCCTCATCAATAGCGGATATATTATGCACCATGATATCTCCAACTGTTCGATGAGGTAGTTGCTCTCTTCGTATCCCAGCAAGACCAAAGCCGGATTGTTCGCCAGAAGAAATACTCAATGCTCGATGGGATAGCCAGCCAGTAGAGTTGCTCATCATTGAAGCTCGAGGATTCAATGCCACCGAACTGGAAGAAAACGTCCCCACTGGCAAGTTGAGCCGTCTGCTTAGCCTAACACTGTGTCGTACTGAATTCCTCACCGTCTTTTCCAAATCCCTTTGTTTCGTATCCGGGAAATACTCGGCCAAGTTTGAAGAAATCAATTCACTAGGTGGTCTTTGACCAAAAAAGTTTCTCATATTTGGTCTTGCGTGATCATTCAATAACAGTGAATCTCCTTTTCGCTGCTCATGTGCTAGATTTGTCCCTTCGTATTTACTCATGATTGCTTCTGACGCGTTAATGGCTGCTCTTGTCGGTGTTTCGCCCTTGGGAACCAATATGATCCTGTGCTTTTCCATTCTGTCTGGCGAGTAGCAAATAGTCACTAATTCAACGTCATACAAGAGCAACACTGACGAATCGGCCCCATGAACCCCTTTGTCTCTAAATTCATTGTCAGGTGATTGTATATAAGTATCGAATTGGTTCAGATGGGACTTGAACCCCAATTTCTTGGCAATCTTTCGTTTGATGGCTTGTGCATTGAAACAGCCAGTGATATTGACTCTCTTAGTACTTCCATCTTGTAGAATGAAGGTGATTGTCTTCTTGGAGTCTTTATTGGGAGTTGGCGGCTGTTGCAATTGCAACTGCAGTTGTAGTCGCAGCAGTTGCAGCAGTGGTACTTCCTGATTATTCAAGCTGTTCAAATTAAGACTACTCAATTGTGGTAAAGTTGCATCGCTGTTGGACCTTGCTAAATTAGTTGAGCTAAGATTATAAATATCATTCCCGGTAGTCGGTGTTGCTGTATTCATCACCAAGTTTAATCGTTTGTACAACTCATTGATATCAATATAGCTTTTCAAATTCTCAACTTTCAATGCATTTATGGCAATTTCCAACCGTAACCGGTCCCCTAACTTGTTAATTCCAATCTCTTTTAAACTGAACGAGTCCAACTCTGGTAAGAGTTCGGTTGTGATTCCATTATCAATGAATTTTGGTAACAAGTGTTGACAATTAGATTTGGCTAACCATGCTTTCAATTCTTTAATTTCAGTCTTTTCAATCGTGTGATTTGGTTCCTCATTTGACTCTATGACAGGCGTGCTCATTTTGAACAAGTTATCCTTTTGCTGACTTTAGATATTGGTGCTTTCGGTCAACCTCGATGTTTGAATGCTTTTCCAATACATGTTCTTGCTAACACAAGGCACACCTATGTATTGATAACGCGAGTGATTTGGCAAAAAGTGGCTTTTTTTATTTTTTATTTTTTATTGTTTTGGTGTCGCAAAATCGTTCTGGTGTGTGTGTGTTTCAACATTGAATGTGGATTATATGATGTTCCATTCGCCGTATTTTGGAACCACATGCGATACCTTGCTATAGACCCTACATCACTTTTGAAATCACAAACTACACTCTACCCACAAGTTCAATAAGCTCAAGAATCTCTCTCTCTTTAATTCTAAAAAATTTCTAAAACCAATTCCCAATAGCACCTCCTGATACCAACACCTGCTCATCAATCTTTTCTTCTGGTTCGTTCTCAGCTCTCTTCCAAGACTTGATCTCACCCTTTGCCGTGTTGAACACATAAGTTCTAGTTCTTCTCTCGTATCCACTACAGCCATATCCACCTAGCCCGACACCTCCAGCATAGCATAACCATATTTGATTCTCCTCTGTCGGAGATGATTTCCGTTTATCCAATAAACAATAGTCATTGCAATGGTCGTGGCCAATACTAATAGCCTTGACGCCTAGTTCTTGGAATGCGTCACGTGCACCAGAATTGTACAACGGTGATCCACTGTCTTCCATGCGTGTACCAACTAGCGTTTCCGTGGTGTTTTTAAACTCGGGCAATGGAATGTGAAAGAAGGCCATTGACAAGTGTTTCTTGGTTTTGATCTGTCCATCTTGCTTGACCTTCTCCTTCTCAAATTCAGCAATCCCATCTTTAATAAACCTTGCTTCCTCTTTCATGTAATCCAATTGACTCTGCTTAATCCAGTCATATCCAGGATACTCCTCCTTGTTCTGACTATAATCATGCGAATCGATAAAGTAAAATGCCAAAGCTACTGAAGTGTTTGAATTTCCTTGTACTGTCGTGAGATAGTTTCCATACCCGTCAATCGATTCGGGACCAACAACACCAACACTATAAGGAAGATCAGCAAACAACTGCATCAACTCTTTGGCCGGCAAAGATCCCTCAGCGTCATGGTTCCCTAATACAGCTGCAAATGGGATTTTCCTCTCGATAAATGGACTGTACGCTTTCAACGCTGCAGTTTCAGTGTCTGGTGCAGTATAGCCAAATACTTGGTCCCCTGACAACACAACTAAATCAGGCTGTTCGATATCAAGGATCTTGTTGATGAACTTCAACGTCCTGGGATCGGCACGGCATCCAATTGTCGACGATGGAGGTTCTGCGTTGAAGCAGACACCCACACCAGTCGAAAAGTGCAAGTCGGCCACTTGTAAAATCTTGAATTCATTGTTGTCATTCATTTTCAAGGGCTTGTTGAACACCTTTTTGTAGTCAAGTTTGGGACCACGACGGAATGACAAATAAGCAGCATAACCAACTATGTTGCACACATTCTTAATTGAGGTATCAACAAATGACCAATTGGGTCTGGGGTCAACAGCATCCTGGCCAAAGAGTACATTAATCTCAGTGACAGCTTCATTTCGATCATGAGGACCATATTTTATCCAAACCCCATTTGATCTATACTCCCACCCGCGTTTGGTCAGTTCACCATCTTCATCTACAGCAATATCCACAACAACAGCATCCGCTTTTGTCTTTTCAGCTAATTTTTGGTAATTGTCATGGTTGATTTTCTTGACCCATAGTTTTTCTTTTCTGAACCACGATAACCCAAGACATAAGTCCTTGTCCAACGAAACCCAACCGCCTTGGAATTCCGATATGTCGCCGAACTTACCATCTTGTGATTTAGGTTTGCCACAATCTGGATTCCTTTTGTTGTAGGCAATGCAGCCGGAGACTGCGACATCAAGGATATACAGGTCATCCAAGTGTTGTACAGTCACCGGTGCTGCTTTAAAAAGTGCGTCCAGGTTGACAATATGATGGTTAACTAGGAATAGCAAATTGACAACGAAAGTAACAATGGCGAGCCAAGCAACTTTGTAGATCCTTTGGTCTCTCTTTTCTGAATACTTCATGTAGTTTAGTAGTTGGCGTGTGTAATGTTGGAAGTACAATTGGTTATCAAGTGATGTTAATTTTGTTTGTGGTCTCTACCGCACCCAGATAAGGAGAGAAGCAAGTGTGCGATAATCGGAGAAATGCAACGCCATCCCCTCCCCCCACGTTTTCAGCCAAAGCCAATTGCTTTCGAAAGAGACATCAGATACAGATCGTGTAACACACCGTAGCTTTACGATGTCATCTATTACTCTGTAGAAAATTATAAAACTGACTCTCTACAGTTTCTTCTGCAAAAAGTCTCAACCCAGTTAAATGCTGCACGTGGATCAACTTCAGCTCCGAGCTACGTTTAAAGCGAATAAAATCAAACAAATTTGAATTGAAACCAAGACCTATATAACTATTTCCCCTCTCAATCATTCTTCTTTGCGCGAGCTTTCTCCAACTCCTCCTCTCTCTTCTTAGCTTCTGGCTCAACATCAGGGAAAGAAGCAGCATCGAATTGTTGCTTTTGCTTACCGGGATCTTGCACCGCTTGGCCGAATGCCTTTACGTCTTCCTTTTGTTTAGAAGACTTTTCCAAATCAGGGAAATTTTCTGAATTGGGAAGGACAACGGCGTGCGGTTTACTGATCCTTGACAATGGAACTTGCTTGCCACCGATTTCAACCATTATTTCTTTTGGTTTGTTGTCGGAAATGCCTTGTTTGTTGTCGTTGGAGTCAGCCATTATGGATGTAGACTGCTGTTGGAATGAGGGGGCAAATGTGTATTTGTAGATTATGTATAGTGATACGAACAATAGAAAGTTGCGGAGTAAACGATTCATGGAAAAGGAAGTGGTAAAAGAAATCGATTAATCTTTTTGTGGAGTGACGTATCACCAGTGACAGCAATCTTCATGTACACAAAAGGAACTACCATGTTAAAACCCGGAAAGAACTTAAACGTAAAAAGCTACAACCACGTCACATTGTAGAGCTACCCTTTCATCTTCCCCGGTGAGTATATTATAGGGGCTACTGCTATCCTAGTTCAACGCCCATTTTCTCCTCCTCGTCCCTCGTCCCTCCTCCCCCTACAAAAATTACACACGCTTTAAACGACTCCGCCATTCTCAACCATTTGAGAAGATCCCACACTACTTGTAGTAACACCACCAGTGCTGCTATTCAACCCCACCTCCGGAATCAACGAGGTGTGTATGTTCATGGCGTAAATCGTAATAAACATGACAATTATATGAAGGCCCAAACAATACGCAAAAAACACCATTCGAGTTAATCTCGTTGCCAAGATAGCTCTCGTTAACGATATAAACAATCTCTCCAACGGTGATAATCGTGAACTGATTCTCTCTTGTTCTCTAATTCGGAATTGTTCAATAGGGTGCAATTTTCTTTCGTAATTGCGTTGATACTCGCCATCATTGCGCTCTAAATCGACATTTGGCTTCGGGTTGAGAAATTTCCTTCCTGATGCAGTAGTGGTGATATTTTTAGTCCCTGGTGTTTGGAAAGAGGCCAAGTATCTCCCACGTTCGTACAATTCTTCATTATCTTGTTTCAATGAGTTGACTTGACGTTTGAGTTCATTGACCTTGTTTTGCAGTTTGCGAAGCTCATCTTCGAGTTCATTATTCTTTTCCCTAAACCTATCCCTTTGTTTTGTAATGATGGGCAAAATTGAAGATTCGTCAGAACCATTAACACCTTTATTATCTCCCGTCATGCCAGATATTATACTACCACTTCGAAGATGCGATGGTCTTGTGAATCGGCTCATACCTGAAATCAAACTTGCATTATCATTGAATCTATTGGAGCCATTTGATTCTTGCAAATCTGCTAAATCATTCTCCAACTTCTCGTTCAAGTGTTTCAATGAGGCTATAGTTTGAGCAGAAGCGTCAACTTGACTTTGAAGATAGTCAATTTTGGTTACCAAATCATTATGCTGTGATCTATACTGCGCCAACTCTTGTGTCATGACTTTGTTTCTTTCAATCACCATCGAATCCAACTTTACACTCTGACCGAGTTCACTATTATCATCTTCTTCATCACCCTGCCCAAACTCAATTTGACGAAGCAAATGAAGTTCCAGTTTTATCTCCTCGTAATCGGATGTCTTGCTTAGTCTCAGTTTCAAATTCTTGATTTCTTGACTCATTTGTGAGTTCTCTCTATTTATAGACTCAATCTTTGTTTCATACCCCTTGGAAGCTTCGGTCAATTGCTTTCGCACCTGATCCAAACTAGCAACAAGTAGCACATTTTCGCTTTCAACTTCTTGTACTTTCTTATCACACTCATTACGTACAACATCAGCGTCATTATCGTTCTTGGACTTTGATATTTCTCGTCTCAAATCCTCATTCCTCTTTTCGAGATCGAAAATCCTCTTCTTTGCCAGCTCAGCATCCCTTCTCACCATATCGAGTTCCGCTAGTACTGAGGCAGATGGCAACTCTTTACTAGCACTATTTCTATTCTGGTTATCCAATTGAAGATCCGAAACCTCCTTGAAAGCTCTTAATTCTTCAATTTGTTTCTGCGCTGTTAGCAACTTATCTTCAAACTGGCTCTCCTTTTCTTTCCAATTCTTTTCCTTCTCCTCCAACATCGCTTTAAACTCATTCTCCTTAGCTTTTATTCGATTACTCAAAAGCTCAGCCGATTTTTGTTCATTGGAAAGTAAGCGTTGTTTCAACTGATCATAATCGGCCTTTTTAGCCAACTCCTGTTCCAACCTTGTTACTTCACTTCTAAGCTTAGCCGCATCTTTACTCTCAATCACCGAATCTAGTGACATTTCCAACAATGGGCGTGGATCCGGTGCTTCTGCTATCACTCGATACACACCGAAAAAGTGATTCTCAACGTTTTTGCCCTTGTTAGTTAGACTATCAATTTCATTTTGGTATAATTTCAAAAGTGGTTTGATCTGCTCGAGCTTATCTGCGTCCTCCAACTTTCTAAATTCTTTAGTCTTTGTGGCTAAGTTCTTTCGGCTTAGGACCGACGTTTTCTGATCCTCTTTGATTTCTAACCCTTGTTCATCAAGTCTTTTTTGCAAATTTGGTAAGTCTATTTCAATCCATGTTTGTAAAGCATGCTCAAACACGTTGGGAGTAGTTTTGCTCGTGTTGTTGTCGTCTGTCATCATCTATGTAGATCTAAACAGTTAGTTAGTTGGTTACCACGATTCTCAAACAACGCCAGAAAAATCCCCAATAAAAAAAAACAAAAAAACAAAAAAACGGAGACTCGTAGAATTGTAAAGTTAGGGTGCCATTTGTTACTCGAAGAATGCACATACAGCATCTACAATATGAACTCTACAGTGCAAGCTCTACAAATATCTTATCCTATTGCGTCACTTTATACGTGCATTAATTTTATATCGTATAGAATATAAAACAAATAATGTAAACAGGGGGTGGGGAAGTGTTGAAAATGTGGAGAGTGGTTTGTGATTTTGTCTTTGATGAATGTAGATTAGATGAAAGTTTCGTATGGAACTGGAGCCAAGGTTTGAGGAATGTTTTCTTTAGCAGAAACAACAGTGGCACCTCTTGGCTTAGCAGCATCTCTCTTCAAGTTGACGTATTCACCTTTGGCTTTGGCTTCTCTCTTCTTGGCAGCGTTTGACTTGACTCTGTCCAAGAATTCTTGACGACAAGCAGAGTGTTTCACGTGTTCAACTCTCAAGTTTACTCTCTTTTCAATGTATCTGTTTCCGACAACCTTGTTGATGATAACACCGACGGAGGACTTGGTAACGTTGAAAACAATACCAGTCTTACCGTGGTAGTATTTGTGTGGCATACCCTTTTGGATAGCACCGTTGGCTTTGATGTCAACAATGTCACCAACTTTGTAAACCTTCAAGTAGGTAGACAATGGGATGGCACCATGTTTTTTGAAGTCACGTTGGAAAGCGTAACGAGTACCTGATCTGTAACCGTGTCTAGAGAATGCATTTGTTAGTAATTAGCTCAAAAATGAGTAAGAATGAACGATCCGTGTGGACAGCGGGGGAGGAGGAGGAGAGGGGGATTTGCTGTGCCGTGATGTGGAATATCTGATTTGCAAATGGGCTGAGTGAACTAGGAGAAATACTATTGGTACTCCAGTGGTTTCTATACGCGACGATGACTCTTCAAGCTTTGATACTCTCACTGTACTTGGACATAAACGCTGAATACCTTGATTGATTGTCATAAATTTTCGAACTTGCGTGACATCAGTATATCCGCCATTCTGTTTCCAACGCTATCCCTCCATGCATTATAAGCTCCCTTGTATCCTTTCCTCCTCAGATCGTCTCTTGGCATTATCACATACGATTTACCCATCTTTGTATATTGTTGGTGATGTTATAAGAGGTCTTCCTTGTATGAAAGAAAAAAAAAATTTCAATCAATTTTTTTGTTAGTGAGAGAGAGAGAGAGAGAGTGTGTGTGTGTGTGCACAGTGAGAATTCATATTAGCACTACCAAGTGCAATTGATTTTTTTTGTGTGTGGTAGTGTACAGAGAACAAGAACTGGGAAAAACAGTTTATATATAATACAATAGATATGAGCAGTGTTTATAGCCCTATTTCAAAACGCACGTGACACAAATGACTACGGGCTCTTTTTTGCAACCAGAACCAACATATCTTACCAGATTCGACCATAATCCAATACAAGCTCCTTCCTATCCCGTATCCGATCAATGTATATTGATATGTATTATTAATTTACATGTTTAAAAAAAGATAAAAAGTGAAAAGTAAAAGTATAAACTGTGTCAAGGCTAAACCATTTATTCTTCTTCTTCTTCAGCATCTTCACCACCTTCACTCTTCTTGTTTTGAGATCTTCTCTTAACTCTACCTGGTCTTCCACCACCGTATGGGGAGGATTGAGCAAAGTCAATGTGTTTTTGGGATTCCAATCTGACAACGAATGATGGAACATTGACAATTTGTTTACCAACAGCAATGTGTCTTTGAGTAATCAAGACTCTAGCGTGGTGGATTGATCTAGCCAAACCCAATTTGAAAACTTGAGTTTGCAATCTTCTTTCCAAGAAATCTTCAATTTGCAAAGCCAAGACATAATCCAACTTCATCTTGTCTTCAGACAAAACACCAACTCTAACCAATCTTCTAATCAAAGCATTACCTTCAAACAATCTCTTTGGGTCTTTTTCATCTCTGGTCAACAAGTTACGAGCAGCTCTTCTAATCTTGGACAATTGGAAACCGATTCTGTAGATTTCTCTCTTGTTTTTCAAACCGTATTCACCAGCCAATTTCAATTCAGCATCCAAACGAGCTGATTCGTATGGTCTAGCTGGGGTGGAGTAAGTCTTTGAGTAAGTTCTTGGAGCACCTATAAAGATATGTTAGAATACAAAAAAGTTCATCAAGGAAGCTAGAGGGATTTCAATAGAGAGGTTGCGAGGGTATTTTACTCCAAAACAGTAGAACAAAAAGTTTCCGTCAAATCAAAATCGAAGTGCATTTTTTACAAAACCTTTCATTGTAAGATGTGACGTCAAAGCAGTACTTTGCACCCACCCGTTTAAAACAAGTGCAACACACTGGTGTTAAGCACTGCATGGGCAGCATGACACTAGGTAGTACCGCAATTGAACATTCAACATCTCGTCAATGTTTCTTAATTGTGTCTGAAGTGTCGGGAGTTCAGGACACGTAATAAAGATAAGGTTTGTATAGCATTCAATGATTGAGTTTGGATACTCAGTTAATCACTGAAAGGAGGACCCGAACCTCAACGACCAGGAAGCATAGTCAACCTCGACATATCCAATATTAATTGGAAAAAGGATTGAGGGACACAACTATGAAATCGTTCAAAATGAAGTTTGTCTATCAAATATTTGTCTCTAGATTAGTAATATATGTAGTCTTGGTAAATAGAAAAACATACGTGGCATGATGTATCAGTACTGACTTGGTTGAAGAAAAGGAAAAGGAAAAGAAAATGGAAAAGACGTGAAAAATTTTTGAGATGAAATTCTTTTAATTTTTTTTTCTTTTCTCTTTTTCCAAGACATTTACCTAATATTACTAAGTTTTACTGTGAGTGAATTGAGTGAGTGAGTGAGTAGCCCAGAGAGTAAAGATTTTTTTATTTTTTATTTTTTTCTTTTCCAATTCAATGCGATATCTATATACAGGACACGAAGTTGACTGAAAAATGGTAGCAATAGGAACCCCAAAATCAATTGGTACTCTTGATGATTGATAATGAAGTTTGTTGCATTGATATCTGGAGGCAAAGATTCGTTCTTTAATATATACCACTGCCTATCACAGGGCCATGAATTAGTTGCAATTGCAAATCTTTACCCTCAAGACGAGTCCAACGATGAAATAGACTCATTCATGTTTCAAACTGTGGGCCATGATATCATCGACTACTACAGCCAATGTCTTGAAGTCCCTCTTTATAGACAGAAAATTGTTGGCAAATCATCAAACCAGAATCTAGAATATGAATATACCAAGGACGATGAGATTGAAGACTTGTATAAACTACTATCAACAGTCAAGAGTAAACATCCTGAAATTGAAGGTGTCAGTTGTGGAGCTATACTTTCTCATTATCAAAGAACTAGAGTTGAAAACGTATGTGATAGATTGGGATTGACTTCGTTGGCCTACCTTTGGCAAAGGAACCAGAATGATCTTATGTTGGAGATGTGCGAGAGTGGACTTGACGCAAGACTCATCAAAGTAGCTGCCATTGGCTTGAACGCCAAACACTTGGGGAAAGCATTACAAGAAGTGTACCCTCATTTGCTAAAACTCAATCAAATGTACGATGTTCACATATGTGGAGAAGGGGGCGAGTTCGAAACAATTGTCCTTGATAGTCCATTTTTTAAGCACAAGAAACTTGAAATTGTTGATCAAAAGGTGATAATTCATCCGGGGGATGTTTTTTATTTGAAATTGAAAGTCCAGTTGGTCGAAAAATTGGCATTTGAATGTCCACTTCTACAAGCACCTCCTTTACTACAACATGAATTGGCCGATGCTGCACAGTCAGACCATTTGCATGAAGATGTAGCACCACCTAGCCCGGAAGGAACTTTCAGTTCCTACATTCCACCAATCAATGTCATAAACACACCAACGAAACTTTATGTCAGTAACCTAACTTCAAATCTGGGAACAGTAGAAGGTCAGACTGAAGGTATATTCAAGCAATTGCAATCAATATTGAATGAGCATGAACTTGGTTTTAATGACGTACAACACATAAATGTTCTATTGTCGGATATGACCCTATTTGCCAGAATGAACAAGGTTTACGCCACTTTCTTTAAAGATATTTACCTACCACCATCAAGAATATGTCTCGAGACTGATATATCTAGTACAATTCAAATATCGTGTGTGGTTCTCAAAAATATTCAACCCAAAACAGGAATACACATACGGTCAAGATCGTACTGGGCACCACAAAACATTGGCCCTTACTCGCAAAGCATAATCGATTCACAAAAGCCATACAAACTTGCCAGTTTATCAGGACAGATTCCATTGATTCCGGCAACTATGGATATCTCAGAGAATAACATTGCCTTCAATGCGGCATTATCGCTCCAACACTTAAACCGAGTTGTGGAGTTGATTGATGTGCGAAACCCGGCTGTGATCACTTGTTTTGTCACAAATACTGCATTTGTTCCTATCGTTCTAGATTGTTGGAATCAATATGTAAGCACAAGAGAACAGAATTGGACTTCACTGTCTCAAAACTTGGTTGTTTCTGAAGTACGTGGTCTTCCTAGAGGTGCCGATGTGGAGTGGGGTGGATACAGCTTCAAAGAGTTGCCAAGCTACCAAGATGATGATGATGATGAAGAAGAAGAACAAGAAGAAGAACAAGAAGATGCTAGTGCAACATTTAATGAGCCCCAAATTCAACAATTCGATTTTTCTAGTGAATGCACTATTGCCAATGGATCGTACAGATTCATGTCGTTATTCACATCAGACTTCACAGTAGTACGAGAATATCTCAATGTACTGCTGTGCTTTGCAACATTGTTGGCAAGTGAAACGATACCAAATTTGAACGTGGAATTCTTCCCTGTTCGTAATGTGTACAACGTCGAAGGGAAAGAATACAAATACTGCCTCATTGTGAGACGAGAACGAGTTATTGAATAGTAATAATCATAAAACGCGTCAATTAATAACCAATATAGATTAAACTATATAGCAATGTCACTCCCATCATTTTGTGGACCTTTATAAATCAATTCCTCTGGAACTTCAATCCCCTTTTGTCGGCAAAGTTCAATCAACTTCAAGTTCTCCTCTTTTAATTGATCAATATAGTCGGCACTTTTAGTCAAGATATTCAATTCTGACCTGCTCTCTTGTGCAGTCAAACTTGGCGTGAGCGACACTAGTTTATCAAATTCAGCTCGAATATTTTCTCTTCGTTTCTGTTCTGAAGCTATATGGTGTGCCTAAAAAAAAGAACAGGACGCGGTTAGTAACGTTGATGATGCAACTGAGGAACACCCTCATCTTTGATGGACCATACCTTTTTCTCTTCCTCTGATAGATTGGACGACTTTGTTTTCTTTTGCTTTCCCTTGCTCCCGGACATATTACTTTCCTGATTCTCGACATTTGCATCGGTTGGGTTGAGGTCTTCTGTTGGTAACGAGCTTGATGGCATCTGCATTTTCTGGAGAGGCTAGGGTTGTTGTGTTGTGTGAAAGATAGCAGTTGGCCAGAACGATTTTTTGAATTTTCTGGGGATTTTTTTATTTTTACTGTGCGACACAAAACTATCAAGTAGATTTTCCTGTAAATCGTTTTTTCTTTATCAAGTGGTTTTTACATGATAGCAGCATGTCCTTGGAGTTGAGTGATTGAAGGCTCAAGCATATCTACAAGAGAAGTCAATTCTAACAAGTACGAATTTTTGCATCAACGAAATTGGGTCACTTTGTGCCTATCAAAAGGGATCACTTGTAAAATAATCTACTATACACAACATCCAGGTTAAGCTATTGTACCCGAAGAATATTTCTTTTTTATGTACTCAAATGGACCGTCAAGCTTGAGACTGCGAATGAGTGTTGACTCGTGTATGGTTCTTGGAAGAAGAGGGGCAACAAATCCCAAAAGAAATCCCATTTTGCCGCGGTACAAGTGCAACGAGCCTCCCAACTTGGCATTCTCAAAGTCCTTTACAACTTGTCTGGCATAAACATCCGCCGGTGTTGGATTGTTCCTGGTGACACTTTTCCTGTTCTCTTCAAATGACTCCTCCATTCCTGGAACATTATAAAGAGATGTCTCTGGCAAATCCCTCGTGTCCTCAATGTTTGTTCCAACCAACCCTGTGATCAAATTGATCACCTTGACTCCAAAAGGTTTCAACTCGATCCTCAAAACCGAGGCGTACAGCTCAATTGCAGCTTTCGTTGCTGTGTATGTACTTTGAAATGGAAATGGATTGACTCCGGCAATTGAACCTGTGAAGGCAACAAGACCTTTGGCATTGATCAAAAGAGGCACAAACTCTCTAACCATACGCATTGCTCCAAACACATTCACCTCAAAACATTGTTCAACTTGTTTGTCAGTAACGTCAGTTGCAGGCATAGTACAGATTTGACCAGCGTTGTTGAATAAGATATCCAAGTAGCTTGTTCCTGTCACTTTTTCAATGTAACTTTTGGCCTCCTTGACACTTTGCAAGTCAGTAACATCCAACTTGAAGATATTTACACCATAATCTTCCCTTAGTCTAGCCATTGGCTCCAACCTTCTTGCACCTGCAAAAACAACATATCCCCTTTTGGCGAGTTCAATTGAGGTAGCAAACCCAATTCCCGATGATGCACCAGTGACTAATGCAACCTTTTTACGATCTGCTGCAGGCATGCTTTGTTGATGAATGTGCTTCGTGGAGAAGAGAAAAGTTGAACTTCAAGGGACAATTTTTTTTTTTTCAATTTATCATCCCTTTCCCATAGCCAGTTTGCAATTAGTCGCCCTTTGTCTCTGGAAATACACTTCGATGCATTCGTATGGAGCATTTCATTTTCCTGAGCGGAGTTAAAAATGGAAACGTCAACTTTTTTCCGAACGGAAATTAATCTCCACTCAACGAGTCATGTGACAATGCCTCTCCAACCCCAATCACTACAAATGATATCGCAAATTAACTAGATATATATTTCGCAAACTCCTAAGAAAAAAAACATATAAAACTATAATCCTCTCATCTCTATACCATCATCTCGTCCCACCAGCAACCCTCTTACAATAACACGGCACCAACGGCCAACGCGCCCACGGCACCAGCAATATTCATACCTTTAACAGCATCACCAACTTGAGTAGTGGTTCTAGCTGCGGTGGCAGTGGAAGTCAAGTTCGAAGTTGAATTGGCATTGTGCGAAGTTACGTTATGCCCCCAGTTACCCCCCTTGCCTTCGCCTTTGCCTTTACTTTTACCTTTGCCCTTACCCTTGCCCTTACCCTTACCTTTGTCTGTACTTTTACTGTCATTTGAAACGGCTGAAGCAAAGCAGCATGCACTTAGCAACAATAGTAACGTTTGCGTTTTCATTGAGATTTGATGCGTGACCGAAATTGGTCCAAAAAATGAGCTCCATCTTGAGAGAAGAGAAGCTCGTCTTTTATATCAAAGGGGAGTGTCCTTGTACTTTCCAGGATTGACGACTGCAAAGCTTTTAGTTTCAAGAGCATAACATTTAAATGCCAAGTGGGTACCCCACAAAGAGTACTGCTGCTGATAATTGTGTGAAATCTTTTCAGCTTAGAGTATTTCTTGCCTCAATCAAGGGCTTCAAATTGGAAACTGTTCTATTAGAACTTCCTAAAAAGTGTTTCGCTTTCAACACATTCCTCATTTTGATTTGAGATGTGGGAACTGAGCTAGCAAGCGCATCGATAAGATAGCATATCGTAAATGTGACAGCATTCAAAGAATCATCTAAAACTCAACTGAGTCACAGGCAGGCAATACAACGGCAGTCTCTGCAAAAAGATACTGTAAGTTGCAAAGCCATGTCTATGGTAGCGCCGCCCTTGTTGATTCCCCAGACATTAACACTTTCCACGTTCTAACTTCGTTGATCTCTACATCGTTGTCCACGTATGTCGTCGTGCTTGCTCGACAATGTTTTACCACCGCCACCAAATAACATAGATCCAACATTCACACTACTTGCCAATGAATTGTTTGATAAACTCGATGCAGTGAACCGTCATAATTTGCAAGAAGCATCAACCATCACCGAACGCAGGGCACAAATCATCAATGACTTTATTGCCACATTCCGCACCCATATTGGAAATGATATACTTCAATCGGCAAAACTCATCTTTCCAGAAAAGGCCAGTCGGCTCTATTTCATAAAGGAGGTTGCTTTGGCGCGACTCATTATCAAGATGTACAAGATCCCCAAGGATACCGAAGAATATAATCTACTTCACTTTTGGAATCGACTGTATCAAAAATCTAAGCGATTTGCTGTTGATGAACGGAAAATTAGGGATTTGCCATTACAATCAGCAAGAATAATAGCCACACGCAGACCGTTTGTGGAGCGTTGCAAAGAGTATACTGTTCCTCAAATCGATTCCATTTTGGATGACTTATCCATGGCAAAGCAATCCCAAGATCATTCGGAGATTTTACAACCATTATTTGATAATTTACGAATTGAAGAAGTGCGATGGTTGATTCAAATTGTATTAAAGAAACCGATCTTAATTCATATGGAAAAGTATTTCTTCAATAGTTGGCATCCTGATGGGTACAGATTGTACAGCATTTGCAACAACTTGGAAACTACGTTCAACTTGTTGACTGATCCCAACAAGAGATTTGATAGAGGGGAATTGGCAATTCACCCCCGGTACAAGTTCAAACCCCAATTGGCAGAGAAATTGACAACAAATTACAATGTCGTTGTTCGTAAACTACAAAAGAAGCAGGAAATGGACCCACAGTATGAAGGATTATTTAACCAATTGCAATTGGAAAGCAAGTTTTATATTGAGGAGAAGATGGATGGTGATCGAATGATGTTACACAAGGAGGGCAATCGATTCAAGTTTTTCTCAAGACGTCTAAAAGACTATTCCTTTCTCTATGGGGAGTCCTTCCAGTTTGGATCTTTGACAAAATACCTTCGCGACGCATTCGCCAACAACATTGACTCTATAATTCTTGACGGAGAGATGGTGGCTTACGATTACAAACGGCAGGCAATATTACCATTTGGCACCTTGAAGTCGCTGGCGATTCAAGAAAGTGTGCGACAATTTACCACTATTGATCACTATGACCAACAAACAAGTCACCCATACTACATAATATTTGACATTTTGTACTTGAATGGTCGCGATTTGAGCAATTATCCGTTATTCTTTCGAAAAAACGTGTTGGATCGAATAATCAAATCCGTCCCTTATAGATTCGAAGTTCATGACGCTAGATTAGGTTCTAGTAGTGCTGACATTGAAAAGGCTATACGCGAAGTTGTAACGAGTCGAAGTGAAGGGTTAGTGTTGAAGCATGTGCAACTGAGATATGTCATTGATGGGTTTAGAAACCCCAACTGGATCAAAGTCAAACCTGAATACTTGGAGAAATTTGGAGAGAATTTGGATCTTGTAGTGATTGGAAAGAACCCAGGAGTTAAGAGCTCCTACATGATGGGTTTGCAAAATAGAGATCAAGAAAGCGCAGACTATGGAGCTTATTACAGTTTTTGCATGTGCGCTAATGGGTTTGAAATTGAAGAATTTGACAAGATTGAACGATTGACAAATGGTCGATGGGTCAATACTGCACAGCAAATGCCACCACCACTGTTGATTAAATTTGGTAGAAAGAAGCCTGATTTCTGGATTGATCCAAAGCATTCACTAGTTTTGGAAATCCGGGCAAGATCAGTCGATGTGAGACCCGAGGCTACATTTGCCGTGGGGACAACATTACACAATATGCATTGTCGACGTATACGGGACGATAAGTCAGTTGAAGAGTGTATTTCCATGCAAGAGTATGTTGAATTAAAGCAAAACTATATGCAAGATTTGAGTCTCAAATCTCAAGCGGCAACGACGAAAAAGAAGGAATTGACTAAATTGACATCTTTCAATGAACCACTGGATTTGAAACAGGTTGCAATTGAGCTGGATTTATTTGCAAGCTTTGAGTTTTTAATCTTGAGCGACAAACGTGACCCACATGGTGGGACTATCACAATTGAAGAATTAAAGACTTTGGTCAAACGGTTTGGAGGCCATTTGGTAAACTCAATTGATGCCGAGACAAGCTTGCAGATTTTAGTCATAACCGAAAAGAATTTACCAACTAGTCAGCGGTATTTAGTTCAAGGCTTGGACCTAATCAGACCATCTTGGATATTTGAATGTATCAAAAGAAACCATATAGTCCAAATGGAACCGTGTTTTCTATTTGATTCTCAGAACTTGGACCTTTATAATCAACGAGTTGACGAATTTGGCGATTCTTACACTGTTCATTCACCCATTGACCAAATTAATGCGCCGAGGTTAACTCGCAACGAGGTGAATCAGTTGCGACTAGAATTTGATTGGGATGAATCGATCAGACCTAAATTCTACTTGTTTGAAGGAATAACTTTCTACGTCCTTGGCGAATCCATAGCGAGTCAGTTGGTTAGAGATCGCATCGAACGGTTTAATGGGGAAGTTATAGCTGATTATGTAAATTGTGGATATATCGTTGTTCCCAATTTTGAAGAAGAAGAAGAAGAATTCCAAGTGGAGACTGTTGCTACTTTGAGCAGGATGTATAGAGAAATTGATCAAGGCTTGCGGATTACGGGAGGAAGATTTACAAGTCGGATTCCATTCACCGTTGTGGAACAGTTTGTTCATGATTCCATTGAATCCAACAGTGTCGCTGATCCGGAAGACTATAAGTTTTATTGAAATAAGAAATACAAACACCATTCATTACGCAAGGATTTACCTTTTTGCACCACCTCTTTTTCTCATTAGTTCCGGCATTTTGAAAGGGACTCTCAAATGAGCAATCTTGTACGTACCAACACTACTCTTTGGTATACCCAACGCTTCAGCCTCGCCCACCGTTGCCGATTTGATAATCGCCCCCACAGCTCTAAACAAGGCCACCAATTTAGTAGGTTTCAACTTCAAATCACGGGCCAAGGGATTCAACGCCACTGAAAAGTTTGATAAATGTAAAATCAAAATGATCATATAACAAAGCAACTTGTCTTCATTATGAGGATCAATTGTAAATGACCGGTCTTTAGATTTACCAAATTTCGAAGTACGCGCAATTGTGAAATTACTCAAAATCGTATCGATTAAAGCCTCCGATGGTTTGTTATCCAACTTGGTCATCAATTGGTCCTTGGATCTAACGCGACGGTTTTCGTAAATTGCAAATAGTAATGATGCATAGTACAAGATTTGCAATTTTTCCAAGTTTCCCTGTTCGATAATTGTAGGTAATTGTTGTTTAATGAAATCAGGTGATGAAGGGAAATGACTAATGGGGGATGGATCAGTAAAGATGGATTGAACACGGATATACGACCAATCCTTTGCTGGAATGATGGATTTGATAGGATAAATGTCTTCAACATTAGTTGCATCGACATTTGCTTTAGGAACGGTGCTATTGGAATAATCTTCATTAATTGTGGTAGTGTTTGATGTTCCAACATTGTTATTTGTAATTGTGTCCTGAACAGTATCAATAATGTCCATTTCCATATCTTGTAATTTATCAGCATCGATTCTGTTCTTTTCCAAGTTTGTAATTGCTTGTTTAGCCTTTTTGGTACCAAACGCTTCTCCCAACGCATTTCTCTGGGTTATATTCTTAATCCCAGTGGATCTAACTGAAGGGCCCTTGTAAACTTTGTACTGTTTAGAAGTGACTTTGGTTTGGAAATATGGGGTTTTGAACAATTCAACCGATTTGGTGTTGGGGTCGTACACGGCAACTGCATATTCATTCAAATCTTGGGTCGACAATGAGTCTCCATTGTATTCCAAATGATCCGACTCCCCGTGGATTAGATAATCGTTGGTTTTTCTGTTTTTGTAAATGTCAAATTCAGCTGACGATGGGATGGAGAGCCCGTTGAAAAACGACCCTACTGCAGCAACTGGCTCATCAGTGTATGATGCCACTTTGATATGTGAAGATGAGGACGACGGCATGGCCTGCTCTTTATATTAGTTCCGCTTATTGGATTAAGTGGTCAAAAGAAACCTATAAACGGGCTTTGGTTTAAGGCTGAAAAAAAAAAAAAAAAATTGTTCCTTGAATGAGATGATGTCTGATTGATTACGAAAGCCAGAACTCCAAGTACGATGCTCACTACATTACAGTATGATACAACAACCCACGTACTATGAGATACTAAATATCCCCTCAACCGCAACCCAAGACCAAATCAAGGTTGCCTACAAGCTGAAACTACTATCAAATCACCCCGACAAAAAGAACCCATCGGTGATTATAACCACAACCACAACTACAACGACAATCTCAGCGACCTCTGATTCAAGAGCTACTTCATCCAACCCCGACATCAACCTGATCATCACTGCATACGCAACACTATCCTCACCTCGATTGCGAGCGCAATACGACTCGGACTTGCAAACGAAATCCAAAATTAGTGGCGTTAATCTAACTGGTGATGGTCTTGATTCATTCACCTTGGATGATTTTCAATGTATCGAAGTAGAAAAGGAGAAAAGCGAGGATAGCGTGGCCGACGATGTAAACGATGGCAACTCCGATCTTGACGCCCATGAAGTCCAGTTCGTCAAGATGTGCCCTCGATGTCAGTGTGAACAAGGCATGGTTTTGACGGAAGAAGATTTGATTACCAAAGGGACCAAAAGTGAAGATGATCAAGACGGAGGCAGGTTTGATATCATAGTTCAGTGCAATAGTTGCAGTTTATGGATTCATGTCAAGTACTACGAAGAGGTAGAGTAATGAGATCCAAGTTTGTTCAGTGCATTACAATTTCATTCATCTGTAAATACGTTATAAAGCATTGTAGTCCGTTAGATGCAAATAAGGACAATATCTACTTGTGTCCCTCTACATCTCCTTTTTATCAATATTCATTCAATCATTTCAAACAGTAAGACACTTCATGACAAAATCTCTCTTGTGTCCTCATTCCTTTTATTCTAATGTAACTTTTAATTCCTCTTTAGTCAATGGCGCGAATTCATTCAAATTATTGATAGGTCCTTGTTTCAAATTCAAGTGGTTCCAAGCCCATGATGGAATCAATGCTGAGTCGAATTGCGGAGCAACACTCAATTCTCGGTCATCAAAATCAAACAATTCTGGCAAATCCTTCATATCTGGTTGAGAATCATACAACTGGTATTGAGCAGCATTTGAGTGTGATGCTGGGCCACCCAATGAGCCAGCGGTACTGTGGTGAAATTGCTGTGAAAACAACTTTCTATAATTGGGCAACTTTGTTGATTGGTTGCGCAACTCATCAAAGTATGGATCAACCAAGGCTTGGATACAACTAATTCTCTCCAATGGACTATACTGCAACACCCTAATCAAAAACTGTATACAATCAGGCGCCATTTTCTTGAAGATCTTGTGCAACGGTATTGGTTTGATTTGAGGGAATCGGTGCTCCATGTAGTTTGGATTCATGCTCTTGATTTGTTCTTTTGAAGGTGTTCCCAAGATCTTGATGATTTCCACCAACTGATCAATGCCTGATTCACCGGGGAACAATGGTTGGCCAAGAATCAATTCAGCCATCACACACCCCGCACTCCACACATCAATCTTTGTTGTGTAATTTGTAGCTCCAAAGATCAATTCAGGTGCTCTATAGTATCTTGAACAAATGTAGGACACATTTGGTTCCAGTGGATTCAAAATCTTGGCCGACCCAAAATCACACAACTTCAATTCTCCGGTAGTGGGGTTGATTAAAAGATTTTGAGGTTTGATATCTCTATGGCATATTCCTTGTGAATGGATGTAGTTCAATGCTCTAAACATTTGGTACGTGTACAACTTAATTTCCAATGGCGGCATACTCAACCTTTTTGAGACATAGTAATGGCTAGCTTTGTAAAGTGTTTCAGGAACAAATTCCAATATCAAATTCAAGTACAATTCATTCTTGTCGTTATTGGTGTAAAAGTAATATTTCAAATCGGCAATATTTCGATGATGAACCAACTTCATGATTTGTAATTCTCGATTCTTGAATCGTTTATCTTGGAGCACGCGCTTCATAGCACATATCTCGTTACTTGGCATGATCTGTGTTTGAAAAACCACTCCAAACGATCCATGACCCACCATTTGTGATTGAGTATACTGTATCGTTTGGGTCTCCCCTGTATGGCCGTTGGTGACATTTTCAGTGACAACCTCTATTTTAGACATGATTCGTTAGTATATAAAGCAATAATTATGACTGATGAATGATAGAATGATGTGGGTAAATGATTCCAGTGATTCGAAGGAAAAATGGGAGAAAGGGAATAATATTATGTGGGGTGGCGCCAGCGTTAATTCGTGAATGCAGTGAGATTAATCGTGAGTGATCAATTTATACGACCCAGGGTGATTTCTGTGATTTTGCTTAACTTGCTGCAACTAACAGACTCCAATTGTGACCGTGTTGGAGGTGAACCAAGTAAATGGAATGAAACAAAGTGAAGAAAGAAAGCAGGGAAGGAAAAGAAAAAATAAAAAAAATGGGTTTAGAACTTTCTCGACAAAAATCTTTCGACTCTCGAAATTTGTTTTTGTTCGATAATGTCGTTTTTTTTTTTTTTCTTCTGCTCTGCTTGAGATCGCGATCCAAGTGGAGATGATGTAATTTGGTTTCACAGAATTGAACTGTAGGAAATTGGTCTGCTGAGTGAGAGCGTAACCAGGGCCAGTGTTAGAACAAAGGAAAGGTACTGTAAAAGGAGCGACTAGAAAGCAGCTTGGGGAGGAAATCACAACTGGCTTGGACTTGTGAGTACTTGTAGTGCAACGAGTTTTCTCTTGAGGCGTGGTAGTGACGAGGGTAGATACACCTTCTGCGATATGGTCAAAGTATCCTGATTTATCTCGGACAAATTGAACAACGAAAACAAAACTTGCAACTCAGGTATTGAAATCGTAAGCAGCAATAAGATAAGTTAACTATTTTTTTCGTTTCCTGCCGTTTCCAATTGGTTCAATACAACAACTATGGTCAAATTCAATGCGTTGATGCCGTTGTGTCTTGTTACTTTGTTCAAACTAAGTTCTCGTGTGTAAGATTGGTTCTATATTGCAACTGTTGTTGATTATGTTTTCTTTTTTCTGAATGACCAAATGAGGAAAAGAAAAAAAGAAAAAAAAACACACTTGTTACAACAGCAATTGTGTAATAAACTTGGGGGTGTAGTGGGGTGTGTGGTGTCTCAAGTACTCAACCAACTGGTAATAGATATGTTGTGAAAATTTGAGGTGGTGACGGTGATTGGGTTTTATGAGAAAAAATGCATCGCTTTTATTTAATTTTTTTTTTTTGTTGGTGTTGATTGGGGCTGTTTGTTGTTGCTATTGCTGAGGTTTTGTTGTTGTTGTTGTTTGTTCATTAATTTGTTTTTTGATCATTCAATTTTAAAACACTTTTGTGTCGCGACAAAGAATAACCAGACACAAAACACAATTCAGACAGACACAGAAACAGACACTTTCAGACAGCAAAAGACAGTAACAAACACATGGCCCACCTCCACTGAAGAAAAATCTCCTAACAGCTTCAAACTCAGGTACACTGCACTTCTTTTCTCATCACTGAGGTAACGCCACCTGCAACAGTAATAATATATTAACTTTCCCTTCAAAGATCTCTTCTTGACTAATGGTCTAATTCATAGTTGATTTTGTGTCGTGTAGAATAAACCAAATTGCCTTTAAATCTCCGCCTTTAAAATAATTCCCCACTTAATTTAGAATGATTTTGTTCCCCATCACACGACCCAGCTGACTTTCCCCACTTTTTTCTTTTAATTTTTTAACCCTTCTTTTTTTTAACCATATTGCACTACCAAATCAAAATCCTCCCTGGTTTTTGCAACCAACTTCATCTTCCAATGATATATACCTTATTCCAATCCTTCCTCTTTCTTTCCCTAAAGTCCTATTGTCAATGGTCCCTTCCAAACGTTGGCTTTAAAATCTCCTTTCTCTATATCTATCCCATCTCGAATCACTAGAATTATCCATGTTGGGTTCAACACGTACGTCATAAACATACTTGTCTCTCTACCCCCCACGTCATTAGTATAATAATGCCACTCTATTCCCATCCCTGATCTAGTTTCCAAATGTATACATACCAAATTGTTCGCTAAACCTTCTCAGTTCATTAGAAAACTTCATTTTCAACTTGTTTTTCAACTTTGTTCGTTGTGATTTCGTTTGATCAAAACTGCTCGATTTAGCCATTGGATGGGCCCCCGCGAATACATTACCCAGTGCGGCTAATGGACCGGTCTTTGGCTTGTGAATAGACTCTTCTCCGTGTAAAGTAGATTGTGCTTGCGCTTGCCCCAATATACTTTGTCTTCTTGACATACTGGTATTATTGTTTATCTTGTGCAGCAATTTACTTGATCCTTTCCGCATCATGGTCGTAGCACCATCACTTGCATTCTCATCAATTTCCATAAACTCGTCATCGTCATGATAGTTTTGGTGGTGATGGTTACCATTGGACAGATCATTGGAATCCTCACTATCACTCTTGAACATGCTCATGAATTTACTAGCAATGGAATTGTTTCTCTTGGGTTGTGATATAGTATGTGAACCATAAGAAATGCTGTTCCGATTGTTGTTGTTGTTGTTGTTGTTGTTGTTGCTGTCGTTGTTGTTGTTGTTGGCGGTAGTGTTGTTCCTGTTCTGAGATGAATTTTGACTGCTATTGATTAATGTAACTGACGAGTTCCTTCTTTGTGGAACAGCAACTGGAACTGGATGGTTTTCAGGCAAGCCAGTTGTTGGGCCGGTAACGGAATTGTTCCTAGAGTTGTTTCTTGAACTGTACAAGTAGGAGTATTGTGGGTTGCTAAATAGTGAATTTTGATGAGTCTTTGTGGGTCCGTTGCTATAGTTGTTGTACGATGACGAATTCGACATCATGGCTGATGACACGGGGGCAATCCCTCCTTCTTCCTTCATGGTGCTACCAACACCAGATAATTTTTTACCAAAATCAAATGGGTTATTAAATGCAATGGGGTTATACTCATCCTCTACTTCGGTTCGTTCTGAATCGTAGCCACCAGGGCCACCATTACCGCTTTTACCACTTTCTGCCATTGCCATTCCAATAGGATCTAGCTCTGCACAATCTGGACCCTCGTCTGAAGATGTGGATGAAGAATCAATCTTTTTCATATTGAAGTCGTAGTTGTTGTGGCTGCTGCCACCGTAACTGAATTGTGAATTGGTTCTGGACATTGGTTGATTTCTGTTCCAATAGTACTCGTCTCCAGTGTTCTTGGTGGCATTGTTGTTGTTGTTGCTGTTCTCACGAAATTGTGTCTTTGATTGGTATGGATTGTAGCCTTGAGTAGACCCAACATCTTGACTTCCGCCATTTGCACAACTCAAGTTATTGACCTTGTTCATATAATGGCCCGAATAGCTCTTTTTCATCGGTTGCAGTTGCAGTTGCAGTTGCAGTTGCAGTTGCTGCTTTTGCGATTGCTTCAACTGTTTTCTTTCGTCTCTTTGCTCTTTTCTCAACTCCCTTCTCTCCTCCCGGTGTTCCTTTCTCAATTGTCTTGCCTCTTGTAATGGGTTGGTGTGATGGCTCACAGTTGCATCTTCTGTCTCATTCTTTTCCCTCAATTTCAGTTTTGTAGATTTCCTCTTTTTCCGCTTAACATGCTTATTAGCTTCATTGTAGATAGGTTTGTCAATAATCAAGTCTTTCAATTCAGGAGTTGTTATCCCATCATTGTGGAAATATGACGGGTAGTATCTGTAAATTTCAAGGTGTTTCTCCAAATAGTCATAATCAATACACTTCAATACGGAGGGTGGTGGAGTCTCGTCCAACTCGTCCGTGCCTATTCCACCCAGTGCAGTATTGTTGGCAGCAAATGCCACGGGTATCGGTTTGTTGGGCTTGTTTGGCTTTGGTTGTGCATAGCCGTTGGTGTTGTTGTTGCTATTGTTATGAGGGAACGGCAAGTTTAAATCCGGTGCTATCGATTCTAAATTAAGTTTACTGAAACCTTTTGATATGTGCATTGTGTATAACGTGGTCTTTTAGTATTGTTGTGAAAATGCGGTGGTTATGAGGTAAAAAAAACTGCTGGGAAAGCAAAATGTAATAAATAAAAAAAAAAAAAAAAACCGGATAAATTTGACAAATGAAAGTGAAACCAGGAACTTTTATTGTTCTTGTAATTCAAACAGTTGAAATCAATCTGTGAGCAAAAGTATTGAAGGTGTGTGTGTGTGTGTGTAATACACCAGAGATATGATAACTTTATGCAAGTGTTTTCCTGCTAAAATGTGATTGAAATTTTGGGTTTTGGATTTTTTTTTTTTCCTTTTTCCTCTTTTGTTGGGGTGTGTGTGTGTGGTTACGTATCAGTTACACGTGTTGGTATTGTTATGGATTTCTGAACAGTGTAGATAGAATACTACCGCAGTTATAGACGTAAGCTTGTAGGTGTCCTGGTTCTAGAGGAGTGTATGTGCCTGTACGAGTGTAAATGAAGTGATGTACCTTCTGTCTCACTGGAAATGTGGGGTGTTACTTCTTGTTTGTCGTTGATAAGACCTGAAAGATTGAAAGATGATGAATTCAAGCAGTAGTAGCAGTAGACACTGTTTGTTTGCAAGTGTGTGTGGATGTAAAGCTTGTTGTTGAGTTTGAGGTGTAGAAGTTGTAAAAGAGTAATTTCCAAAGATGACTATCTTGCTTTCTAATATATATATATATGTATGTATGTATGTATATATGTATGTATGTATGTACACTATACACAAACAGTAAAAAAAAAAATTAAATTTTTATTTCTTTTTATTTTTAAACAAAAAAACATTTTTTATTGTATTGCAAATTATTGCCTTCTGTGTGCAGGATGTTTATTGAGCTTACAGTTTGATTATTTCGTTACTGTAGGTGGAGAGTTCAAGTTGTTCAATGAGAGGGATAAGTGTGGTACTATCATTCGGCCCTTCTCCTTACAGTTGAGAAATCTGTATGTGTACTTAAGGCTGCTGTTCAACAAGTTAGACTCAACAATTGCATATTGATAATTTGAGACGTACGTCAGTATTCTGAGTATTTTATATATCGAGAGAGAAATCTGTTTCTGTCTAAAAACTTTGAGCGATTTCTGTTGTTACATATACACGAATATATAATAGAAGAAGTGTTATGTGTTTGTCTTGTAAAAAAATTAGAGGAAAGGTAACCTGTACTCGACTTGAGCTCGGAAAGGGGTGTATTATTATTAATATTAACTACATATCTCTTTCTCTTTCTCTTTCTCTTTCTCTTTCTCTTTTTGTTTTTGTTTTTGTTAAAGGATTTCAAAAATAAAATATAATAAAATTCCTATTCTCCACAATTTCCCCTCTCTCCTAGAACGAAATAGTGCTATTGTTCTTTTTAACTAATCTTTGCGCTTTTGTGTAACTGGTGTGATAACGGAACAAAAAAAATTTGTGTCATTCACACATTTCTTTTCTCCTTTTTTTTCTTCCAATTATTTTAGCTTGCACCAAGTCCCATTATGGAAATATACTTGTCTCCTGATCCATTTATTCTCCATTTGTTCTTTAAAGAACAACAGTATAGCCACTACCTAAAATGCAATGTTCACTGAAAAGTGTATGTTTACTAACACACTCCAAAACAGCAAATACACAAACCTAGAAGAAAAAGGTTTTAGACGATCTGCATTAAATCCATTTTTTATTTCTTTGTTTGTTAATCAAAGTCCGTTATGAATTACTCCACTTCTTCTTTTGTTACATGTTTTTTTTTTAACAACGCTTATACTCCAATATCACACAAACATAATTGTCATATTTTACACGCATTGACGAATTGGAATTGATTACCTCTTATAGGTCAGCACAGCAAACATAAATAAATAGACTTGACAAGATAAGATGTAGACTCATAACCACTACTTTAGTTCCCTTCCTACACAGAGAGAGAGTATTCTTTTTTTTTTTATATGTATTTTCTTCAAAATTATTGTCTTTTTGTTTTGTTTTATTTTGGATTGTTTACAATTTCACATCATGGTCAGACTCAATACGTCATCAACAAGTTCTCAGAGTGATATAGCCACCCTAACTACGTTTAGTCAATTTAGACTAACTGAGTTCTCCTTATATATCGAATTCAATAATGCGTTTGTACTGCGATGGTTTCAGCTTATGTAGATCTGATATCTGCGTGACAGAGAGAGCAAGTGGGGCTTGTTTTTGATTTCCCCACACTACCCTTTTCCAAAGAAACAATAAAAAAAAAAAGATTGCAAATCCTTCTTAAAAAAAAAAAACGTTTGAATTGTTCTGCGTTGACACTTTCTTTTTTTAAACTCATCGTGGTGGGGTAATAACTAAACTAAACTCATGCATGCGTTCTTGCGTGTAAAAGACATCTCCCCCGATTTCTGAATAAAAACTAACCACTCACACGAGATTTAAACTTTTTTTGGCCTTATCAAACTCAGTATAAATTTTCAAAGTTGGCAGTACTTTCAGATTGATCATTTCGCTTGGCCTTCGCTTATATTGCCTCAAAGAGTGTCTACTTGGTTTTTTTTTTCTTTCTTTTTTCCGCCTTTTGCGCCTCGAGTGTATCTCAGTCGTGCATTGCACAACACGAACAACGTAGACACTGACTGCAGAGAGTCACTGCCGTTACTACTTGACTACACTCTCATTATTTCTTTAGAAATCGCATTGAGTATAAATGCGTTCTCATATAGGAGAATGATCATAGAGTATCTGGCTTCCCAAAGAAAACGGGACTAATTTGACATTTGCAGCTGCAACAAGCTAAATCAATTTTTTTGTTTTTAGCTAATTTGCAACAACATTTCTTGAAAAATGCCAAATCTACAAAAAAATTGCTGGAGTGGTAAAAGATACTCAATCACACTCATTTACACCATTAGAATACACTACAACTACTCTTGTTTGTTTAAAAAATTCTTGTTGTTGACTGGAACTGCCTTTACCACTTTTCAATGACCAACAGCCAAAAGGTATTTTTGTTACCGATTCTCAGTACACAAAAAAAAAAGTTAAATAATTAAGCATCAAAATTTTATTTGTTTTAAAAGCATTGACTATACCGATGGCCGGCCAAAGCAACAAGAATACAGCCAGATGAATGACACTAAATAGCCTAGCCAAAAGGGTTTGCTTGTCTACGTTAACTTTGTTTCGAACCTAGATCCAAGTCTCATCGCCCTATCAACACAATTGTCAGGAGCAGTTCTTAATTACTAACTATACGTATACCCTTGGAATACGACCCTACTCAAGCAGCCTTTGATTTCTATCGTACCGGGTCATTTTTTGAAACAACTGTTTGATCTCCTCGTCCTCGCATCTTGGTATCAACTCTTGCAAACTCATTCTCTTGAATCTTTTCAAGTTGAACTTTTTGAAATGGAAATCATCATTACTCAATTCAGGCCAGTACATTAACAGTACCTCCTCATCCGTCAGTACCTCATCTTTATTGTAACTTGGGGTCCCGAAAACTTTAAAAATGCAACTCAACAAGTGTAAATCACTAATTTCGGATTCATTATTCAAGCCTTCTACATCAGCATCAGCATCAGCATCAGCATCAGCATCAGCACCGTGGCTATGATCCTCTCGTACCAATATACTCTTGAAATCAGGCGAGTACAATATAGTCAAGATGATCCCTATCGACCATATGTCAATCTCGGTGGAGTAATTTGTAATATTCAACAACAATTCCGGCGCCTTGTATATTCCAGTACACACATCAGTATATTTCTGCATCAAAGGTTCGTCCAGTGGCGGATCCAATAGATTATAACAAATACCAAAATCCGCAACAACAGGACGTGTAATTTCATCATTGATGAATAGAATATTGTTTGGTTTTATATCTCGATGGATGATATCATTACCGTGGATGAATTTGACTGCTGATATCAAATTATGCACAAATTGCCTTGCCTCTGATTGGGAGATTGTGTTGGATAAGGTATATTGCAACTCTCCAGATCCGTCTCCACTTGCGTCCAAATTGTATCGTGTACGTTTACGACAATACTTTTTAGTCCGCATCAATTGATTCAAATTGAAAGGATAGTAATCCATTACTAAGACGACATCCTCGAATATTTGGAAATCCTCAATGTACTTCACTATCCCTTCATGGTCTTGTAAAGATTTGATTGTGACTATTTCTCGTTTGATTGAATGTGGTGGGATCTTGAAATCAACATCAACAATCTTCAAACACACATAATTCGAAGTGGATGCATTTGGAGCTGTCTTTTGTTTGGGTTTTGCCTTGTAGATTTGTGAAACGAGTGTATTGTATATCAATTGCTTGTCAGTGTATAGTTCATCTAGCTTCATTTGGTGTAAATTGTGTGTAGGGACTTTGTCTTTGATGCGATCGGACTTTTTTTTTTGGTTGCATCAGGGGAGGAAGAGAGAGATAGATGATCACGCAGACCTTTGCCCACAATATATCACACCGAAACCAGTACAACCAGTACAACCAGTACAAACATTCTTCTCTAATCGATCATATATAATGACTATTCAACCACATTGTATTTTCCTATACTCTCTTCCTCTTGCTTCCCCCATCTTCAAGCCCGAGATTGCGTTTAAACCCTGCTGCATTACTATTGTTATTGTTATTAGTGTTGTTATTCATGTTGCCCCCATTTTGACCAATGTCGTTATCATCCATATATATCTTGCGATTCGGATACTTCAAGTTCAACCCTTCAAATGCGTTTTCAGTGACTTTGGGCAACTCCAAAAAGAAATTATGCACCAATGCTTGATCAGCTGTTAACCTTACTTCGGGATCATACTTTAACAACCCATACAACAACTCCAAGCATTGCTTATTCTCACCACCAATCATCTTGTACCATTGTGAAAGATTCGATGAGTAAGTTTGTGTAATTTGCTGCGTAAATGAAACAAATTCAGGATACTTGTTCAAACTTGGCCAATTTTTCAAGTTTGGCGTTCCCATAACTTCAATAATCTTTTGAAATTGGTTGCGTTGGAAGGGAACCAGTTTCTTATTATTTATGTCAATCTTGGCTTCTTCTCCTTTGAATATTGGCCGCAACGACAACAACTCCGCTAGTATACATCCAACCGCCCAAAGATCAATTGCTGGAGTATAATGTCTTGTACCAAGCAACAACTCGGGAGCTCGATACCAGATCGTAACCACAACCTTGTCACCACTATAAAAACTCTGTAATGGGTTGTTGAATTTACGAGCCAATCCCAAGTCCCCAATCTTGACACAGCCATTGGAGGTGACCATGATATTCGCTGGCTTCAAATCTCGATGGAAAATCCAATTCTTGTGCAAAAAAGTAACCCCATTGAGAATTTGCCATGTTAGTGATTTTATAGTAGGTAGTGGGATGGGCTTCAATTCCGGATGCGAATGATAATGGATAATTTGTAGTAAATCATGCTCACAAAACTCAAAAATCATATAGATACTTTTGTTTTCCAATATGATATCGGCAAGTTTGGTTATATTCTTGTTGTTTAATTCTCGACATAGTGACATCTCTCGAATGGCACTTTGACTGATTCCAGTGTATTGAGCAGCCTCATGGGCAATTTCACGATTATAATTTTTGCCTCCGTTGCCAGCTGCATTGTTTTTGCTTGTCGAACTTTGATGGTTGTCACTTTTAAACTTTTTAATGGCATAGTATTGTATTGAGGGAGATGCAATTTCTCTACCGCTTTTTTCATCAAGCGGTACAGAACCGCCCTTTGATTCTATTTCATGAACTTGTGTGATGCGATCGCTATCTCCGGGTCCGCCACCACCACCACCACCACTACCACCACCACTACCACCACCGCCTCTGATTGAATCACCCAGTAGACTACTCCCGGTAATTCTATTCCCCCTTTCTTGACCATCTTTTGCATTCACATTCGTTGTTCGAAGTTTTGCCTTGTACACTTTACCGTACGTTCCTGCAGCAATATAGCCGATGATCTGATAAGTCGAAAGAACCGAGTCTCGAGTGAGGTCCTTTCGATGCTTGAATGGCCCTAGTGTCAATATTGAATTAGGGGCCATTAGTGCAGGTTGAGAAACACTTGGAAGTTGCTGAGTCAGTTGATGAGAAGCGTAATTAGTTGTGCTATTAGGATGCGATGGTGGAACTGCAAATGGGTTATTTACAGGCAATGTGTTGGTTAGTGACTGGGAAAATGTCTGTCCCACGGCATGCTGTGGATAATGCGATGTCAGATGCAAATGCTGAGATTGATTTGGTCGTTGTTGAGGTTGATCACGAAATGCTTGTCCCTCGCTGGATTTCTGCACTGAGTTTGCCGAAGTTCTTTTCATAGTGTAGTGTGTAGATCTATATTACCATGGTATGGCTTCAAGTGAGTGAAATGCCAGGATTTCAACTTTGCAGTGTCGTGTCTGATATGAAAATTGCAAATGGTAATCCCAATCAAATGATTTCAGCTCTTGTTCGCCGCTTTTGGAAATTTTCTCGCGCAAAAAGGTTCGGATTTGTCTAGGCTATCTCGACTACACACAAAAGTGGGTCAAAAAGTGTCTACAACGGTTCAAAGTGTACATTCTATATGTTTAGAACTGTAAACCTTCTAGTCCATTCAATAATCGCCCAGCACTGGAATCTTGATGAGTGTTGTTGTCATCAACGTGTTGGGACACTACTCCAAACTCATACTCAGCATCAAGGTTTAATAAATTGGAAACTTTTGAGTTTTCATATTCCTCCTTCAAATGTTCAGTTATGCCCCTTTGCTCCTCCACGATCTCGTCTTTGATTTGTTGGACTTTGAGCGAATCATCCCAATCAAAAGTAGCCGCAAACTTGTTAACGTAATAGAAAGTCCCTGATATGCTTTGATCTATAACCACTTGATTTGATCCAATGGCTTTATCCAATTCTTCCATGGCGACACCATATGACCAATTCAAAGTGTGTGATATTTCCGAGGCAGTAGCACCGTAACATCCATATTCATGATTAAGGTTATCATTATCATCATAATCATCATCATCACCATCAATCAACTCGCTTCTGATTAAGCTTCTCTTGTACCTATATTCTTGTTGCTGCAAAAACTCTACAATGAATTCGCTGTAAGTGTGAGCGTGAGCTTTTGGTCGAACAACAACAAGGCCGCTTTTTTCGTACCTGTTCAGCACTACTGGCAAATTTAAAGACTCAAACAAATCAACCAGTTTTCTGAAATCAGCGACCTCGACTAATTCAGTACCAAAGCCAGAACATTTCACCAAAAACCGGTTATACTGAGCAAACAAATCCGGCAAAGTTATCATTGAAGACTTTTTAGTGAGGACCAAGCTTGTCAAATACTCGCTTATATGCCGGCTGAGTTCACTGTGGTATAACTTTGAATTGCGATTTAGATTCAACGGTGGAACACTTTTATAAACAATGTTACCATCACTGGCCAAAACCCTTTGAAAAGAAGTAGAAAGTTTGACCAAGTCTTCGAATTTGAACATCAACTGTTCTAGATCATTTAGAGATGAACTGAGGATCCTTTCGTTGTTTTTCCTTTGCTGTTCACCATAAGCCTCTAGAGCATGAATTCCGGCACCACCGGCTTTCACAGGCTCCTTTCTCGTTTCCAATCGTTCAGCATTCTGATTTACACCGCCTTTTCTCCTCAAATTATCCCACTTGATTTCATCTATCAATGTAGCTATCTCTTGAAAGAATTGAGATTCACCACCTTTTCTAAAGCTTATTTTTATGTAAGGTTGACCATTAGTATATTGCTCTTCACCTTCAAGTTTCAAACCAAGAGGATTTAATGCAGATGTAACTTGTACCAAGGATTGGTTAACCTCGAAAATTGACGATTTTAATTGAGTGCCACACATTTCGCAATACTTTAGTGATTTGTGATTGATGAATGTACATGTTGGACATTGGCCCGTAGCAGTTGGATTCGTGGATGAGCTCGGCTCCGGGGTCAGACTAGTAGGTGACGGAGAGCTATCCAGAACGTCGTTGTTTGTAAGTGACGGAGTCAGGGAACGTTGTGTGGAAGAGTCCCCTCCATCGCCAGACCTTTGAACCACATCTCGCCTAAAGTTCTTATTCGGTACTCCGCACGCGATACAAACGGGGACTGCAGTATCTGCATCTATAATCCCAGAAATATGGTTCTTGAAGGAACAAATCTTGCATACCCAATCGAACCCAGGAGTTGTAGATTGCGCCACAGACACATCTGCGCCTTCTCGACTCTCAGCTTTGAGGTACAATTTCACTTTAGGTGAAGACCTCAAGAACCGCTCAATTAGTTCTGCTGAAGTGAGTTGGTTTATATCAACAGCAATACTATTCTTCACATTGTTGTTGTCAAAGTATATTATTCGTCTATTTGTTAAGTATAGTCTTCCATTCTGATGGTGTATGATTTTCTGTTTTCCTTGATACAAGCCAACGTTATCCTTTATGTAGACATTAAACTCGCCTTCTTCTAGTATTGGTCTATCACTTCTGTTAACTTTTATAGGCTGCCATAGCTTCAACCAAGACATTTATTACAATTTTAAAACGTGATGGGTGTGGCCTTTTTTGAGTCAAAACTGTTCTCCGAGGATTACGGTTCGATGGGGGACTGTGTATATCACGTAATGTATATGTGAGTGGCGACTGGGGGACTGTTTGATGGTGGTAAGTCTGCTGTTCTGTTTTGTACTTGAGTGGATTCCAAATCAAATACACACAAATTTCATCAACCACAAAAGTGAGCGGAGTGAGTGAATGAGTGAGTGAGTAAACACGAGATTTACCTGTTATTCATGCACTCGCGATAGAGACGAAGAAGAATCATTACCAATCTGTCTCTCCCTGTTAAATCATCCAGGTCAAATTTCCTTGATTCCACCTCAAGCTAATCCTCAACTGCTTCATCAACTACTCGTACCTACTCAAGCAAGAAATCTGATCAACGAGGACAACAGATATTTAAACAATGGCATTTCTATTCAAACGTGATCCCAAGAGCCCTCCAGAGCTAGTACGAGCTCTAAACGACCACCTAGTGAAGCTCAGCAACTCAAACGATACATCAAGTTCCAAAAAACATCAAGATGAATCAGGTAGGTATCTAAAACAGATAAAGGCCACTATTTACGGCGACGACGAGAACGAACCTCAACAAGACCAAATTCAAATCCTATTGACAGAGGTTCTTCAATCAAACAACTTGTGTTATGCGACGTATTCTTTGAGCAGGATGGATTTCGACTCTCGAAAAGACGTCGTCGTCATGTACGCTACTTTGTTACGACGAAACTCATTAAATGGGGCGAAACAGCCAAATGCAACGTCGCTATCACCTCCCCCAGTTGTCGATTACCTAGTTCATTCACAACCGAAAATCTTGGACTATCTCATGAAAGGCCCCGAGCATACTGAAATAGCTCTTGTCACGGGTCAGATATTACGAGACTGCATCAAATTTGAAAAAATCAACAAATATGTTCTATACAGCCCTTTGTTTTGGAACTTCTTCAAGTATGTGGAGAATCCAACTTTCGAGATTGCTTGCGATGCAATGATGACGTTGAATGATATATTGACTATCCATAAAAAGTTGGTGTCTGAGTTTTTGGCTAATAATTATGAAATATTTATGGCAAACATCAGCGAGTTGAACAGATCAAATAGTTATGTCACCAAACGTCAAAGTGTCAAGCTCCTTAATGATTTGGTGTCCCAGAAAGCAAATCTACAATTCTTGCACAAGTATTTTGCCGACACAAAGAACCTCAAGTTTACAATGTTGCTATTAAGTGAAAAGCTGAGAAACTTGCAATTAGAGGGGTTTCATCTATTGAAGTTTTTTGTTGCCAATCCAAAGATAACACCAAAAGTTAAAGAAACTCTTACCAAGAACAAGTCCAACTTTCTCGAGTTTTTTAAAACGTTTGACATTGCTAGTTTCCATGACTCTAACCTAATCGAAGAAAGGAATTTCATTATCAAGCTGATAGAAGAGTTGCCTGACAGGAATGCAATCTAGAAAGTGCCATATCTATATGTCTATGTAATCAAGATGACGTGGTTGTACATAAAAAAAAAAAAAAAACAACAAAAAAGTGTCTATAATCGTATCGTCTGCTCCGGTTTTACTTTGCAACCCTGGACCAGTTTTTGTAGTCCTCTTCACCGTATTGTATCTTTCTGATCCATTCGGCAACTTGAGAAGTTAGTTCACCGGAGTTCCCGAGGGACACAGGTACAGGAATATCTTCGCCCCTGAACCCAATATTCTTGATGGGAGATACAACCGCTGCTGTACCTGCTCCAAATGCTTCTACCAAGTTGCCTTTCTCTGCAGCGTCCTTCACCTCGTGGATTGTGAATTTCCTCTCGGAAACGACCCACTCGTCGTTTGGTAATCTATCTCTAGCCAACTCCAAAATTGAATCTCTAGTGACTCCCTCTAAAATTGTACCATCGAGAGGAGCTGTTACAAGCTCCTTTTTACCAGTAGACGGATCTTGGAAAACAAAAAACACATTCATAGTCCCTACCTCGGTGATGTACCCCTCATCTCCGAATAGCCACAAGTTTTGATGAAAGCCTCTTTTGGAAGCTTGCAATTGGGGCAAAACACATGGTGCATAATTTGCTCCCAATTTCTTATCACCAACACCTCCTGGCCATGCTCTAACGGCATAGTCCGTAGCTTCCAAACTAACAGGTTTAAATCCACTTGAATAGTATGGTCCCACTGGAGACGCAATGACAAATAACAAAGCCTTATCTGGGGTGCTTACACCCAAAGATGCAGTTGTACCAATCAAAGTAGGTCTTATGTACAAAGAATATCCCTGTCCATCTGGCACGAATTCTTTATCAAGAATTAACAATTGATCAATCAACTTTTGCAACTCTTCCCCACTAAACTGTGGCAAGGCAATTCTTTCTGCTGATTTGTTCATCCTTTCCATATTCTTGTCTCCTCTGAAAGTTCTGATACTGCCAGATTTATCCTTGTATGCCTTCATTCCCTCGAATAACTCAAAAGCATAGTGAAATACAACCGTCGAAGGATCGAGTGATAAATTGTGATACGGGGAAATTTTTGGCTTTCCCCATCCAGTCTTGGCATCCCACTCAATCTCCAACATATGATCAGTGAAAGTTTTCCCGAAAACCAACTCGTCTTTGGGAAGTTTGGGCTTGGGGTTTGTTGTTTTTTCAATTACTAAATTTGCAGCATTCAATGGGCTCTGAGTGTGGGAGGAGTTGAACCTGTAGAACGACCTGGCAAAAAAAGGCCGAGATAAGAGAGGGACAGCTCTCCTTGGTACCAACATCTGTAAATAGTTGCAGTAAAGGGTAACTCAAAAGATGAAAGTTTTTTTGCAAATTGAAATGAGTCAGTATAAATAAGCGCTACCACGAATGACGAGTAAAACAGGACGGATGACGCTGAGCAAAGCTATTGAGACATGCTGGTACTTCAAAACATAAAGCTAAACGGATCGAAGTTGTTTGATGAGTCTCAGCTTTGCTAATACCGTCACTTAGTTTTCCAACAAGGACATAAGAACGGCACCTTTCATATATTCCATTCTCACTATTTGTCTCCTCATTTGAAGAATTGAAGGGAAGCATCTCAAAAGAATAGAGGAATGGAGGGAAAGAGTAAGTCAGAGGACCGACAGTACGTAGATGAATTGAGCAGCCTACCTCTCTGCCTCGTGGTGTCACCAAAATTTCCAAAAGTTTTAACAAAGCGAACAAAGAAAAAATTCCCTTGAGAAAATTGAGGGTGATTGAACTGAACAAAATCGTCGTCAAACAACGAAGTAATATCATTTTCCAATCATTGAAAGGGTCAAAACAGTCCATTTAATAAATTTGCATTTGCCATTGGAACCAATTACAGCACAAGTTTTGAGTTTTGTCAACGCACTTACGTATTTTCATTGAGTGTAGATTGTACTATTTTGAGTCTTTTTCCTGAAGCAGAGTCCATTATTTCACCATGTCAGAGGTATGTTATTCAAAACTGCAGTAGATATATCCTAGTGGGATTCTCAGAGTTGTATTTATTGCACTGTGCGCTTGAGACAACCCCCAATTCACAATTCAACACTTACTAACCCCTTACCTCCTTTTCTTTTATAGGTCAAGAGAACTATTAGAATAACAACTGAGCAACACATAATGCCAGACGTTCCTCCAGTTGAAAATTATCCAATGAGAAAATGGTCCATTCAAATAACCATGCTTGATTCAGAAGGAAAAGAGATTCCTGCAAAGATTTTGGATAGAGTCACTTATACTTTGCATCCTACTTTTGCCAATCCTATTAGAGCGATCAAACAAACGCCTTTTAAAATCGAGGAGCAAGGTTGGGGTGAATTCGATATACCCATTTCTATACACATTTTGGGAATTCATGGCAAAGCTGGTGAGCGTAAATTCCAGCACGATTTGAACTTCTTGCAAGAGAAGTATGTCAACGACCATGTGGTTTCAATTCCAGTGGGACCCAATAAAAACCCTCAGTTGAACAAAATTCTAACGGAAAGCGGCCGCTTACCTTTTGATGATTCAGGTAACTCTTTGGCTGGTGGCGCTTCTGCTGCGGGTGGCATTAAGAGGAAGTTGGATTCTTCGAACGGAGCACAATCGCAAGCAAGTGCCGCAGACAGGAAGAAATTGAAGGGCGCTTTGAAGGGAAATGTGGATTTGGAGAAATTGGCGAATGGATTGAGTAAATTGAGTGAGGATGATTTGATTGTTGTGGTTCAAATGGTGACCGATAACAAGACCAACGAAATGAATATCAAAAATGACGTTGATAATGGAGAATTTACTATGGATTTGTACACTTTACCCGATTCTTTGTTGAAGAGTTTGTGGGACTATGTGAAGAAACATACTGGAGAAGCTTAAGAGAAGGAAAGGGAAAGAGATTAATCAGCAGGGCGGGACAAGAGAATGGGTGTGTGTGTATGTGTGTGTGTGTGTGTGTATGTGTGTGTGTGTGTGTGTATGTGTGTGTGTGTATGTGTATGTGTGTGTGTGTATGTGTATGTGTGTGTGTGTATGTGTATGTGTGTTTGTATATTGAGAGTGTTGTGTTTGTAAACAATTTTGTTGATTTTATTGACTCAGTAGTAACTGTCATAAATATATCCTTACCTTCTTTACTCTGCCGTTGCTATACGCTCCATACTTTGATTGTAGAATCCCAAGAACCAGTTGCCAATGCAACTCCGTCAGGACTAACAGCAACTCTACTTATTTTGTTCAAATGTTCGCTTCCTAGGGTGCCAATAATTTCATTTTTCAAAGTGTCCCAAACAACACATCCGTGGTCCGAATAGCAAGAATACAACAATCTTCCACTTTTTCCAAAATCAAGGGAAAACACACCGGAATTTTCCAAGGTTGAGTTCCTAGAGCTTATACTCAATCTGTCACTGGAGGCTAGTGACGCATTGACTGGAGCGCTCGACGGTGTTAACATCGAAAAGCTATTTCCAAGGGCGTAAGCCCTTCTATCCTGCGGCGTCGTGGGTGACCTTTGAATTGCTGCGTTTTCATGCATGTTTCGGAGTTCCAGGTTCAAAGAATAGTGGGCCAATTCGCAGTCACTTCTCAAATCAATCAATCTGATTTGACCATCGTCTGAACCAACAGCAAACGCATTCCCATCTGGAAACACTTTAACGCAATTTACATCACTATTGGAGATGCTGAAACTTTGTGCTGGTGTCGGCAGTCTCAAATCCCATACTTTAGCGTACCCATCTGAAGATCCACTGATGAAAAGATTGTCCAGCAAGATATTTGTTGGAAACACAGTGAGACACAATACATCTCCTACATGATCAATGAAGTCACGGGATTTGGACCCCTTTGTGATATCCCACAACATACAAGTCATGTCACCACTACCGGTCACAATTGAGTTGTTCCCGATAAACTCACACTCTGAAATGTATGCAGCGTGGCTTTTGAAAATTGATTGGACTGATTGGAAGAAGCCCGTTTGCATGGGGAAGGCGTTGCTTCGAAATTGCTGTTGCACTTGAACCGGGTTGTTTGTAGTGTCGGGCTTGATTTTGTATATTGTGCAGTTGTTGTCCAATCCAGCCGAAGCCACTAGCTTTTCATTGGGGGATATACTACATGTGAGCACCCAAGGATTGTCCAACTGAATAGCTTGCTTTTTAAACCCAGTTATTGTGTCCCAAAGTATCATGTAACCATCCTGTGAAGCGGACAAGATTTTTGATGAATCTGCATTCCAACACAATTTGGCAATCTTGTTTTGGTGTCCACGCAAAGTATTGTATAACCTCAATTTGCATGAATCGCGAGGTATTGTTGCAACGTTGACGGATGACCTTTGCAAGGTGGTGTCCTGGGTTCGCTTTTTGACGCTGATTATCTCATCGTACAACAACCTCGCCTTTTCTTTTGCTGCATCAATTTGTTTCACAAGAGATCCAGGGTCAGTTTGCTCTTGTAACTCAAGTGGTTGTTGTAATTTGCGTTGGAAAGGTGGGATTCCCGACTTTTGAATCTCTGGATGCATTGTTGACTGTTATATTAGACACTTTCTACGTCTATTTGGTCCTCACGATTGACCGTTTGATAAAGTAAAAGTTTGTCGCAAAGGCTAGGTCACTCCAATGACATAAACACAGACACAAACTTTTTTGCTTTCCGAATGTTTTTGTCAAAGGGATAGAAAAAAAAAGACCAGGCAAAGAACGGGAGAGTTGAGCAAAAAGGTTAAGGAAACAGAGGCGTTCTCTCGTCAAAAGTGTATTTATTATTTAGCATTGTGGACTAAGTGAATTACTTTCTATGGTGCAAAAATGACGCAAAATGAAAATGTTACGACCTAAGAAAATTGACACTTTGTTAATTTTTGAATCAATTTCGTAGACTGGTGCCGAAAACGTTAATCTGAAACAAATTATACCAGAACAATCGTGTTTTGGAAATAGGATGGTCGAGAGTACAAATGGTGAACAGGGTCCCACTTTCAATGACTTGTGCTACGTAGAGAGAATGCTAGATCTGTTAATGCTCATTACAAGCGTTTGAACTGTATCTTGGTGCGTACAGGTAATTCAAATTACATCGTCTCAATCTTTACTATTTGAGTTGAGATACTACCACGTCTCTCCACTGAACAGTCTTGGATATCAGTCATGTTTATAACAACTACAACAACGTCAATGCCTCAAGTGCATCTGAGGACTAATAGCACCACAACCTTTTGCTCGGGAGCACGTTATGTTTCCGATCCCAACTTAATCAATGTTCTGACGTTGGTTTGCTCCACACATCGTAATGCTGGCGAAAACATCACTCAAGGGATTCATAAAACAACACAAGTCGCATAAATAGGTTCCCTTTGAGTCTCCAATAACAAGACCTTTTGCCACATTACTCACTTGAAACTGCTATCGATGTTATTGTCGTCACTATGTATGGCTTCTCGTTTTGAGTTCTGTTCCTGTTCCTTAACTTGTTCTTGTAGCTGCCTTCGCTTTTGATTCTGTACATTGGGCACTGGAGCAGCAGCAGTTTTCTCTTTTCGTGATATACTCCTCTTTACTCTATCCTCCAACGTACCCGTGACTGTTTTCAAATACAGTGGCAACTCCATTCCATTTTTTAGATAAAACACCTTCCAATTACGTGCTTTGTCTTTAAGTTGGACTTGGTTACGATTCTTCAAGGCCTCATTGATTTTACCACCTTTCCCAAATAATTCAAGGATTTTGGACCAGTGAGGCCCATTCAACTCTAGCGCGTGTCTAAAAGCTTTCTCTTCTTCTCGACTCCAAGGTCTTCTCTGACTTGGTTTGAGACCATTTATTTCTACTTGTTTCTCTCTTATCTCAGAAGGCAAGAGGTTTGCAGCCTCAGACGAGTCGCTTTCTTCCTCTCGACTTGGGGACGGCTGGTAGTTCATCTTGGCATTAATTTGCTCATACATTTCCGGACTAATCAGTGGGTAATCCCTCTTTTCACGAACAGGCTTTCCACTCTTTCCCCAAATCAAGTACCCCATGTTCTTTGAAACATAGTCAAATAGATCTCTCAAGAAAGTAAACCATTTGAACTCCTCGCTCAAGGGAAGTTGGGTTTGTTGCTCATCGTAATTAAGCAAAAGTGCCTTTCTTGACTTACACCTGTCAACAAAATCAGCTTCTGATGGCAACAATAAATCGACATTCCTTCTTGCCATTAGTACCTGATTCATGTTGTCAGGTAGAATATCCTCCAAGATTTCTTCTCTAGATCGTTCTCCCGCCTCAATTGCCGATATATATGCTTGAGTTTTGAGATCAAGGTACAACATTGCCTGTGGCTTTAGTAACCTTCCAATCTTACCTCCCACTGAGGAGCCGATGCCGGTTTGTATACTAGTTGCCAACGAGCTTGTCGAATCCAAATAACTGGTGTCACTTAAATGATGCTTGATATCCAAGTCATTAGCGGGACAGAAGATGTCCAAAAACGACTCATTCAAGTAGAAGAATCCAACTTCCATTGTACCCAAAGCCGCAGCTAAGAATGTGGCCAAATTGACTTTTCGAAGAGTCGATTCAATGCTCTGCTCCTTGGTTTTAAAAATACGAGGCGTCTCTTCTCCAGCATGCCACATACCCGGAGCAACGTGATCAACTGTTAGAAATGGGTCCTCTTCAGAGTATAGTCTCTTTGTGAATTCAAATAAGGATGTCAAGTCGCGATACGTGGCACCTTCAGGAGTTTCCGGGTTAGAAGCAATATCAATAATTGTTTTATATGACGACTTTGCAACAATGCGTAGTAATTGAGTTGACAAGTTGTCCAATGTTGGTAACGTGTTGATCAAAAGTTGAATTCTCGGGGGCAAGAAGTCGGCCCCTACAATAGGCAAAGGTAGTATTGAAAGATTTGCTTGTGTAAAAACAGCATGTCTGGAGTCTACACCCAGGTGCTGATATTGCGATGACAAGGAAGAATAAGCAGCATGAGCAGCATTTGTATTGAAAAGCTCCGAGTCGGATGGAATCGCAGACAAGGTAGAGCGGCTAGTTGTTTCTTTACTATGCGGTGACTTTTGTGTTGGGCTACTTGCAATGCCTGCGGAGGATGATTTATCACCGACTCTGTAGTGCTTGTCTTCCAGTTCAACGTTGTTTCCAGAAGAATTTCGAATATCAAGATGCTGATGTTGCTGTTGTTGTTGTTGTTGTTGTTGTTGCTGTTGCTGTTGTTGTTGCTGTTGCTGTTGCTGTTGCTGTTGCTGTTGCTGTTGCAATTGCTGCAACTGGTCATGTGCCTGCTGAATTAAGTCAGTAGTATTTTGGTGGCTGCTCTCGTTACCTTCAGACTTCTGATTTTGAGTGGCGCTATGTTTTTCACCGCTAACGAGTGTAGTGTCAATTTCCAGAGTTGCTGGTGTGGCTGTGATGGAATCATCAATTCTTTGCCTCTTGCGATCCTGTCGCTCGTCTGCTGCTTGAGGTTGCTCGGTCTTTTCGTTTTTGTCGTATATCAACAGATCGTGAGGCTCTGCATCCTTTGTTAGTTCATGTGCAATGGATGATATTGCTTCTTCCGCAGATATCTCTGCTTGACTCTTTTGTTCTGATGGTTGCTTCTCATGCAAAAGGGATTCAATATTGGAATCATCCATTTTTGAACAATTCAACGGTAGTGATTAGTGCAGTCAGGTCAACGATGGAAAGGGTTTTCTTTGCACTAGCTCCAGGCAAAGACGTGATTAAGTCTTGTTTACATTTCGTTGCACCAGTGCACTTATCATTTTTTTTTTTTTTTTTTTCTTACTCTTTTGTACAGCAGAGAGGGAGAGACACAACACCTCAAACCAACCCCAAAAGTTATGTGTCGCCAACGAAAAGATCCCTATGTTTTCGAAAACGGTACACAATCAACTTTCGGGGACTGCAGTTAAGACAAGATACGCATCGGAATGAGGAATATGCAAAAATGAACGTTCAATTAGTTAGCAACTCTTAACTCTCAATTCCTCTGCCATGTGCCAGATACCGTGCTGCCACATCTAGTTTGTTAAAATATCATCCACCCTGCCTCCCAAAAGTAGCCAATCGAGACCATTAACAATCGTGTTTCCTGCCAACTATATCAGTAATTTCGACAAGCCCAACTTATTTCAAATCCGTGGAAATACAGTTTATTATTTTCATATTTATTCTTAGCGGGAATCTTGCTGTATCGGGAAATGCNTGAACGTTCAATTAGTTAGCAACTCTTAACTCTCAATTCCTCTGCCATGTGCCAGATACCGTGCTGCCACATCTAGTTTGTTAAAATATCATCCACCCTGCCTCCCAAAAGTAGCCAATCGAGACCATTAACAATCGTGTTTCCTGCCAACTATATCAGTAATTCCGACAAGCCCAACTTATTTTAAATCCGTGGAAATACAGTTTATTATTTTCATATTTATTCTTAGCGGGAATCTTGCTGTATCGGGAAATGCGCCATTACTCCTACGCGCTAATTATTGTTTTGCTCTCATCATCTCACATCACAAGCGGGATATGTGGCTCACTATTTAAACCCCCCCTGCCAGAACCTTCTCTGGATGAATTGATTTTGAATCTTCTTTTATTTTTTCTTTTTTACGACAACAGTTTACTACTCTTCCACAGGCATGACCAATCAATCAATCTCAGCTCAATATTTCCCAGAGGAGCCGAAGGAGCCCGTTGTTAAAACCACCAAAGGTAGCCACTCTAAACAAGCAATCGACAGTCTAGGCAAGGTGTTTGACGCTCGTAGTGCTTATTTTGTTGCTGACTATGGAAAATCCTTAGGTAATTACATTGTTGACGTTGATGGAAACGTATACTTGGATGTTTATGCCCAAATTGCTTCAATTCCCTTGGGTTACAACAACCCTGCATTAATAGAGCTTGCAAAATCGGAAAAAATGATTAGAGCTATCATCGACAGACCAGCATTGGGCAACTTTCCAGGTAACGACTTGGAAGAAATTGTGGCAGACATTTTAAAGGTTGCTCCAAAGGGACAAGACAAATTATGGTCTGGATTGTCAGGTGCAGATGCAAATGAGTTGGCATTCAAGGCAACTTTCTTCTGGTACCAAGCTCAAAAGAGAGGTTACCACGGTGACTTTACTTCAGAAGAGGTTGCTTCAGTTATGCACAATCAAGCTCCTGGTGCTCCAGAATTAGCCATTCTTTCATTCGAACGTGCATTTCATGGAAGGTTGTTTGCTTCTGGCTCTACCACATGCTCCAAACCAATCCACAAGTTGGATTTACCAGCTTTCAAATGGCCAAAGGCTCAATTCCCATCTTACAAATACCCATTGGAAGATAACGTCGAAGCAAACAAGAAAGAAGATGAGAGATGTTTGCAAATTGTCGAAGACTTGTTCAAGACCTGGTCCGTCCCCATTGCTGGTGTCTTGGTTGAGCCAATTCAATCCGAGGGTGGTGACAACCATGCTTCAGCCGAGTTTTTCCAAGGATTGAGGGATATCACCTTGAAACACGGCGCATTGTTAATTTTGGACGAAGTTCAAACCGGTGTCGGCGCTACTGGTGTCATGTGGGCACACGAGAGGTTCAACTTGCAACCACCTCCAGACATTGTCACATTTTCAAAGAAGTTTCAGTCTGCTGGTTACTTTTACCACGACCCAGAAATCACTCCAAACTTAGCCTATAGACAATTCAATACTTGGTGCGGTGATCCGGCTAGAATGACTTTAGCAGGCGCAATTGGTAAGGAAATTGTCAAACATGATTTGACTACGAGGGCATCAGAGGTTGGTGATTACTTGTATAAGAAGTTGGAAAAGTTGCAAGAAAAATACCCTAAACATTTGCGTGATTTGAGAGGAAAAGACAGGGCCACATTCATTGCTTGGTCTATGGAAAACGGTGCTGCTAGAAACAAATTCTTGAGCGACATGAAGGATGCTGGTGTCAACATTGGAGGATGTGCAGAGGATTCAGTTAGATTAAGACCAACGTTGGTGTTTGAGGAGAGGCATGCTGATATCTTGGTTGATGCAATTGAGAAGGTCTTGTCGAGCTACTGAGCGGGAGACTTGATTTTGCAGTTAGATATGAGGGAGAGGGAGAGGGAGAGGGAGCGGAAGAAGGCAACTTTCAGCTGTCTAGAGAATTTAGTAATGAATACAAGTGATGAAGAAAAGATATCCGATATGTTTATATTGGTAAGCAGTATATTGTATGGTGGGGATCTATGCCGATAGCGCAATTCACGCGTCAAAAATCTCTCCAGATTTGGTCTGTAAGGAACCGCAAAGAAAAAAAAAAGAAAAAAAGAAAAAAAGTAAAAAAAAACAAAAGCAGGACAGGAAAGAAGCAGGAAAAATTGTCAAATTAACAACCGACACGAACCTGGGCAAAACTTTTCACAGAGTAGTATACCACCTCGAAATATCTCCAGTGCGCTGAGCTCACTCCTTTTCAAAGTTGACTCTTTTGTACATTTGCTACTACTTTGACTCGCCTGCTGAAGCTGGGTGCGCATATCATAACCATTCCGTCGATGCTGATACATCTCCCAATCCAACCCAAAATACCCTAAACGACTAATCACATGGAAGGGCTAAAACTCCCCATGGCGTCCATTTCGCCATTATACACAGACTTTAAACACTTTATCAAGAATGACTCAAACTCGTCGTTCCTAGCTGGAGGTGTCGCAGGCGCTGTTTCGAGAACTGTGGTGTCGCCGTTTGAGCGAGCAAAAATCTTACTACAGCTACAAGGTCCTGGCTCTGAACAAGCATATCAAGGCATGTTTCCAACAATAGCGAAAATGTACCGCGAGGAAGGCTGGAGAGGTCTTTTCCGTGGTAACACACTCAATTGTATTCGGATTTTCCCGTACAGTGCGGTACAGTTTGCAGTTTTTGAGAATTGCAAAGACTTGATTTTGAAATACAGGCGACATCAACATCCTGACGATGCGGGTGCAGCACTCACAAATAATGAATTGAATGGATACGAAAGGTTGTTCTCTGGTTCAATAGCTGGGATAGTTTCTGTGGCCGTCACATATCCATTGGACTTGGTACGTGCTAGAATAACAGTGCAAACTGCATCCTTGAGTAAGCTAGACAAAGGCAAACTAGCGGAGGCACCTACTGTTATGCAAACGTTGAAGGAGGTGTATCAAAATGAGGGGGGGCTTCTCGCATTGTATCGTGGTATTGTACCGACCACATTGGGTGTGGCCCCATACGTTGCTATCAACTTTGCATTGTATGAAAGGCTCCGTGAGTATATGAATAACTCACCCAGAGACTTTTCGAATCCTTTATGGAAACTTTCAGCGGGTGCCGTTAGCAGTTTCGTTGGCGGTGTCTTGATCTACCCTCTAGACGTGCTAAGAAAAAGATATCAGGTAGCGAGTATGGCCGGTGGTGAACTAGGATTCCAATACAGATCGGTTGGGCATGCTCTATACTCAATCTTCAAAAATGAGGGTTTCTTTGGAGCCTATAAGGGGTTAACGGCCAATCTATACAAGATAGTACCTTCCATGGCTGTGAGCTGGTTATGCTATGATACTATCCGTGATTGGATCAAAGCTTGGTAGGCTTGTGCACTTATTTTTAGACATATAGATATTAATGCAGATAGATGCTATAGACCATAGAGACTGGCTTATCTACATCCATAGAGTGCTAGCAAATAGTACATAGATCAATTATGCAGTTTTGATCGAATCGAAATCGTATGGTTGATCCTGCATACAATAATTTTCAACCAACCAAATTTATTTCAAATACAGAACAGTAAGAGAGAGAGAGAGAGAGTAATGGAAAAATTGTCAAATGATCATCTTAACCACCCACATTGATTGAGTGAACGTCACACAACTTATTCATTTGAACACATAGAGTTACAGCCACAATGATCCCTTCAAGAGTATTGTTAGCCCAAGCCAAGAATGTCAAGCCAAAAATGAAGTATCCAGTAGAGATGACTCCATTGTTTGTTGCTGTTGGAATTGCTTGTGTTTCTGCAACCTTCTTCACATACAGACATCTTGCCAATGACAAAGAATTGAGGTTATGGAAAAACGCAAACTTATCAGAGTTGGACAAAGTTTTGGATGAAGCTGAAGCAGGAAAGAAGTAAAAACAGGCAGGCTATGCCAATACCATTTTTATTCACAATCTATTCATAAAATCTCAAAAAAAAAAGAAAAAGAAAACAAAATCCAATTGTAATTCGTCATGACCATTCGTGTTCACGCTGGATCTTACTGTTATTGTTGTCACTAGCGGTGAGCCTACAAAACACTTTTTTGTTTTGCTATTTATTTAAACAGTTGTTACACTTTTATAGGAGATTGAATAAATTGCAATTCACTATATACAGCCAATTCTAATCACTAATGACGACTCGCCCCACCCCCCTCGCTCCGCCCCCATCTCTTCAATTGACCGAGGACATGATTCTGCCCTCATGTTCATTTTCAATGTTGGTGTAATAATCCAATACCTCTGGCGTTTGGTCCAAGTTGTCAAGTGCTCTGTTGAACCCCTTTGAGTACTCCTCAGGAAACTGAACCTCTCCATCCTTATTAGCCAAATACCTCACCGCGCTCTCGTGCAATTTGTAACCTTTTGCATTGAGCTCGTTACTGACTCGATGTATCTCCAACGGATCACAAATGATTCGGTAAAATTTGTACTTCTTATCCGGGATAAATTCGTCGGGAAATTCCACTTCTTCGAAATCCTCGGCACCTAAATCTAATGCCACTTCAAACACGTCGTCAAAAGTCTCATCTGAGCCTGGTTTGGGCTCAATAAGTATCTCGCCCTTTTTCTCAAACATGAAATTACAAGGGCTTAATGAAGCTTGGAAATATGCCATTGCCGACTTGACTCTCATGACCGTACGCGCCTTATTATCAGTGATTGCAGACACTATTACTGCAACACCACCGGGTCCCATAAATTCATAAGTTACTTCAGTCTGGTTAGCTGAGCCATCATTCAACTCACCCGCACCTCGTTTAATTGCATTCGACACAACCTGTTTGGATACGTTGAGTTTTTTCGCCTTCTCCAACAACTGCTCCAAGCTTGCATTGGCCTCTTTCCCTCCTATTCGTACGCAACTCTCAATCTTGGTTGCAATCAATGTGGCTTCTTTAGACTTTTTTGCATCATTCTTGGCTTTGTCATGTCTAATGTTTGCCCATTTGGAATGTCCCGCGAACCTGACTGGTAACACAGATGATATCCGAGGCACTGGAAAGAAATATCCGGGACTGGATATGGAACGAATGAGTGGCCGTATCATGCTTCAAATGGGGGTATTTTTTTTTTTTTGGCTTATGGGAGTAGAATCTGAAAAATAATTTCCAAACTTTCCATGTTTTATCGCGAAGTCAACACACAACGAAAATACGAATCGATTCTATTACGCAACAGCGGGCAACAATACACTAGTTGACCTATAGACACCACACCACACCACACCACACCACACTCAAACCCCACCCCCCCATTTCAACCAAAGATGAGTTCTGGAAGCGAAGCAATGACCAAGCGCAAGTTGATAGCAACAATTGCCGATGAAGATACAGTAACTGGTTTGCTTCTCGCTGGTATTGGTCAAGTATCCAACGAACCAAGCAAAGAAACCAATTTTCTTACAGTAATCCCAGGAAAGACATCAGTCGAAGACATTGATGAGGCTTTTGATACTTTCACTAAGGAGCGTGATGATATTGCGATTTTATTGATCAATCAGCATTTGGCAGATACGATAAGATACAAGGTTGATGGGTATACGAATGCTTTTCCAGCAATATTGGAAATACCATCCAAAGACCATCCTTATGATCCAGAAAAGGATTCCATATTGAAGAGGGTTAGAAGATTGTTTGGCGAATAGACGTTGCAAATATATCACTTTTTTACAGAATATTAATTATCAAAAGATCATAGCCATTGAAGGCAATAATATCCTACTTACTTTTTCTTGTTCTTGCTCTTGTTCTTTTTCTTGTTCTTATTCTTCTTTTTCTCACCGTCTCCGGTTGGGGCGGGTGAATTTTCTTTCGATGTAGACTCGTCCTCTTCTGCATCATCGTTTCCTAAGTCACCACTTTCCTCCACCTCCTCCTCCTCCTTTTCGTCCCTTTTTTGCCCCCTTTCTTCGTCCACCTCCTTCTTCAGCTTTTCCCGCTCATCTGCCAACTCCTTTTTTTCTTCCTGTTGTTCAAATTTTGCCTCTTTCAGTTCCTTCTCAGACTCTCTTTCTTTCTTCTCCTCCTTATTTGCCTCCTTCTCCTCTTTCGATTTTGCGTCCTCGGTACCAACTGTGTTACTCAGAGAGGCTTCTGCCAGTTGCACAGTCTCCTCAGATTTTACAGGATGGTCACTCACCTTTGTCTCTACCTCAACAACACTTTCTTGACTAATGGGAACAGCTTCAAAAGCATCATCTATGTCCTCTCTCAATGCCGCAGAAGAGGCCGCCTCCTGCTCTTCATTCGTATTTGCAACGTCGCCGTCTTGTTGGGGCTTCTCCTCCTCATCCATGTGCTTGAGAGTTTCATTCACTTCCTGTGCTGAGTTGGGGACAGCGGTAGAGATCTCGGTATCGCCAACTTCAAGTTTAGTCGAGTCGGATTCTTGTTTTTCGAAAGACGCATCATTCTCATTTGATGGAGCTTCATGTTGTGTCACTCCGGCACTCTCAGAAATCTCTTTACCCTCCCCATTTGCTGGTAAAGGTGGTAATTCCGATTTCTCTGCATTGCTTGCCACATTGGTATCATTTTCACGCAGCTCTGCAGGAGCCGAGAAAGTCTCGACCGTATCTTGTTGTTCTCTATCTACCGTACCGGACAAGTTGTTCTTGGGACCCTTGCTATCTCCCCAATAGTTCTTAGCAAACAAATCCGGCAAGACGCAATCCTTAATGTAGAAATCACGCACGCCAACAATTCTCCTTTCTCGCTCACAAGCCTTGATCCACTCAGGTCTAACGATTGGAATATTCATTTCACTAGCTTTGATATACTCCGGATTTTGCTTATTTTCTCTAGTACACAAATAGTGTGTAGTGTCAACTTTGACTTGACGTTGTGCGGGATGTTTAGCGCCAATTTTAACCAACGTCTCCTCAATATCCTCCGCAGTGAACGGGTCATTGGGACTAAATTCGCCAAGACATACAGTTATACCGGAAAGGTCGGTCATCTTGTGGGTGTTTACCTCCACTTCATTACTCCAGAAAATACCAGCAGTAGTGTCCAATCGTAACTGAAACTTGAAGCTCTTGTCTACTGGTAGTCCTGAAAGTTTGGAGGTCTTGTTATTCATTGGTTGGGGAATAGATCCCAATTTCTTTCCGTCTTTGAACAAGATCAAATTCTTCAAATGAGAAGTGCCCAAATCCAATGCATCCCATTCCAAAACGCATGACGTTTGAGTAGTGTTTTTGATTTGCAAATTGGGAGATTTAGGCGGATGAGTGGCGAATGTTTGATAAATTTCATCCTGAATGCTTTGGAATTTCAAATCTTCCTCCTCTTCGCTGGCCTGATCTTGTTCGCATTTCAATTTCACAATTGATCCTGCTCGGACTCCATTAGGCAACAACATTGTGGGAAACTCAATCAAATGATGGTCCTTTGTAAGCAAAAGCGCCAAAGATGCATCCAATTTACCCACTGTAAGCGACACTTCGACCATGTTGAATTGCAGGAATGTGATTTGTTTGCTCACTTGAGTGTGTAGTAATAGTAGTAGTAGTAGTAGTAGTTGTTGTTGTTGTTGTTGATGTTGTTGCAAGTGAACACAATTAAAGACACCTTTTATTATCACCAATTATCTTTTTTCTTTGGTTTCAGCAAAATGGTAGCGACACACAGCCTTTACAGATTCCAACCAACAACCACCAAAAGAGTATCTTTCTATTGAATATTTTATATCCCAATTAATATTACAAGAAAGAACAATATATAAGAATAAACTACAATCTATGTCCGTACACCCATCGCCCTGAGGTCCTCATTTATCTCTTCTTCGCTAGCTTTCCTCAAAAGCAACTCCTGAGTCGCTACATCCTCCTGACTAATGGACGAAGTTATCGCAGAGGGGAACCCATGGAATTTCACTAATCCATTCAATATTCCCAACTGTTCGTTCAAATTATTTCGTTGTTGAACCAACTCAACAATTGCACTTTGCCTGATCGCTTTCTTCATCTTTGGTGCCACCGTTCCCATGGCGTCAACTACATTACCAGGTGTCAAAATCGCCGATTCTTCCTGTGCCAAAATAGACGGCGGTATTGCCGAAAAGTTGAAATCGGGAACGATTTGGTCCAATTGATTTCTTTCCTTGTTGATCTTGTACCACATTGACGTTGTCTCTGTTATCATTGCATTCTTTGTGTCCATGATGTTTCGAAGATAGTTTTGGTGAATTGATGTGCGCGTAGCCACAGTTTCTCTATCAATACATTTTAGCCTATAAGTTAAGTTTGCGTTGGCCAAATTTAAACTATCCTGATAAAATCCATTGATTTTTTGATAAATTTTCGATAATTCGGGATGTGACCCATCCAAACACAACTGTAGTTCCTTTTCAAGCAAGGATAGCTTATCGTCATATAGCTTATCACGAACTTCGGCAAAACACTTTTCAATGGCCACCAACCCCTGTATCGCTAGTTCCCTTTGCTCCTTGATGTCAGTGTCATTCTCTTCTGCTACTGCTTCTTCGGTATTCTTTTCTATCGCTTCTTGGGCATCGCTTTCAGCTGCATCGCCTTCAGTATTGTTATTCTTGTGATCTTGTTTTCGTTTTGAAGTCCAATTCCTTACGTCTTCATCAACATCAACATCAACATCAACACCTTCGCCTTCACCTTCACCTTCACCTTCACCTTCATCTTCTGCTTCTGCTTCGTTATCTTCATCTTCTTGGATTATTTTGACTGCTTCCGCTTGTCCACTTGTACCGTCGCTGTGATCTGTGCCCAGCTGGTCCTTGTTGTTCTGTTTGGCATGACCCGATATGTCGTCATGTACACCCTCACCATCCTCTTTTGGAGTTTCCTCTGTGTCTTTCTCAATGTCACCTTCATATGATCCTGACTCTGTTTTTATTTTCTTTACATTCTTAGAATCAGATACCTCATTTGAAGGGGTTGCCGTTCGCTTACGAGTGATTGACACACTATTGTCTTCACCCTTTTGAGCTTTATCATTAGCATAGCTCTTATTGTTTGGCACTTCTGAAATCTTTGTAAGCTCTTCATCCGATTCTCCGTCAATTTCCTCCATTCTTGCCAACTCTGTCAATTCCGACAACGTTTGCAAGTCGGTTGGCTTAGTTAGGCTTTCTCCGTCTCGGTCATCCAAGAAATCCATTTTGTCAGTTTCTGCCTCAGACTCATCATCACCCAAGTCGCTTAGTTCGGAACTTTCATAGCTGTCTTTTCTTTGACGGGAAATATTACTCAAGTGGAAATTATCACCGTTATTTTTTTGCGATGATTCTTCTTGCAATGTACCCCATGACGTCTTCTTTTCCCCATTCAGGCCATTTTGTTCGTTTATGATATCTTTGTTTCCACTGTTGGCCTCAGTGGGGTTGGCCTCGACATTCTTATTATTCAAAAAAGCCGAGTTCAAATCCAAATCTGATTCTGGCAAACCCAATTCAAACGGAGTTGGCGAAGTTGCGATTTCCGAAAGTGGTGACTCTTTACCAATGGTCAAACGAGTATTTTCATCAATGACATCATCCACTTGGTCCGCATTGTCTTGGTGTGAGTTCGTTTCTGCCGTACCTTGCTGTGCTTGCACCAGATCGGACACCACTTCCGATGCCTTTTCGGTATTCGACATTATTTGAGTATCTGCTTGCTCCATTTAGTCTAGCAATAGAAGTAGATATGCGTGTTAGGTATAGTTAAGGAGGGAGGTTGGCTTGATATGTAGTGAAGTCTTAATCGATGTGGTTTTTGCTTCGCTAAAGATGTTGTGGCTCGTGGGAGGAGAGAGTTGTAGTTCTGTTGGGCAGCAGACGTAAAATTTCAACGTGATGTCTTCAAGGCAGGCCAGTATGAGATGATTGAAGAGTGGTTTCTGGGTATTCTACGCTTGCTGTTTGAAGGTTTGTGATCCATCCACTAAATGAGTCTTTAGATGAAGTGAGACTCTCTGGGTTGTGCGATAGTAATATGATGGATGAGGTTGGAAAGTGTTTTGTATATTTGTTTGTGGTTGTGTTTGGACTATTCGATCTTTCTTGAAAGCTTTTAAAAAACCCTTGTTGCGATGAATGTAAGGAATTGTCACTGTAGTGATGTATTTGTAGGTTTTTGAATATCAATTTCGTTTCGAAATCCAATTCTCTGTTACTCTCTCTCTCTCTTTCTCTGTTTTTTTTTTGTTGTTATTCATGTGTTAATATGCAGGATATCCTTTCTCACTGTTTTTTTCTTTTTTTAATTATTGAGCCGCATCATCTCATCTTAATTTCCTATTTAGGAGTATGTATATACACCCTGCTTTTATTCATTTGATTTTTTTTTCTTTTTCTTTCTCAAACCAAACCTCATCTCTCTTTTACAACAAATACATTTTTTTTTGATTAGCGCCTTGCTTGTCTCAATCATGTCTGGATTCTCTTCATTATTTGGTAAATCTAGTGATAAGTATGATCTGTCTATAAATGAGTTGTTCAATAACTCGGCAGATGGACCAATTTCCAAAGATAAGCTCATCGAGAGGAAAAGAACAGTAATTGAAGTACCCAACCCAAAGAAACGTAAACATACAAAAAGAGATGAGGACGAAGAGAGTGACATACAGGAGGAAGAACTGAGTAAACTGGAAGAAAACGAAAGTGAATCTAGTGAAAGTCAGGAGAGCGAAAAAGAAGAGGAGAAAAGAGCACTTAAAAAGAGTAAAAAAAAGGACGAAAACGACAATTTGGAAGCCAAATACTTTGAGAAAGTGATAAGATCTGAAGAGAATGAAGATGGTGTTAATGGCAATGAGGAATCAAACAAAGACGCCGCAAAAAAAGAAAGCTCACTCCTGGAGCAGGAACCCAAAAAGACCAAAGCAGCTCAAGCCATTGACTTCAAGGAGGACGAATTGGAAAAAGCTGAGAGAACGATATTTGTGGGTAATGTTCCTAGCGATGTTATAACGTCAAAGACCGTCGCCAAGAACTTCAAAAAACTTTTCAAAGAATTTGGCAAAATTGATTCCATCAGATTCAGATCTATTTCTTTTGGGGAGAATTTACCTAGAAAAGTATCATTTGCCAAAAAGAGCTTGCATGAATCAAGAGATTCGGTAAATGCGTATGTTGTTTTTGCTGAAAAACTGGCGTCATTGGCTGCTAAAAAATTGAATGCAAATGTTTTTGAGAACCACCATCTTCGAGTTGACCATGTTGCACATCCGGCACCAAAAGATAACAAGAGAACCATATTTGTTGGTAATTTGGATTTTGAAGAAAAAGAAGAGAGTTTGTGGACGTATTTCAATGACAAGTTGGATAATGACGTTGAATCAGTGAGGGTTATACGTGATTCAAAAACGAACATGGGTAAAGGTTTTGCATTGGTTCAATTTAATGATACATTGACCGTAAACAAGGCATTGATGTTGAATGATAAGCCAATGGAAGGAGTAGGCAGTTTGGGAAAGAAAAAGCCCCGCAAATTGAGGATATCAAGAGCCAAATCAAATGTCAAGCCTTCGTTAATGTCACCAAATCACATTGATAATGTCAAGAAGAGTTATGCATCAAATAAGTCTCGCGAGCAACAAAACTTGACGGATACTCAAAGGACTAAATTGGGTAGAGCACAAAGTGTTTTGGGTAAGGCTGACAGATCAAGAGTTGGCAAGCCAAAGAAGGTGGTGATTGAAGGTGTCAGAGCAACTAAGGGTCAGAAAATTGCTGGTATCAAAGGATTGAAGAGTGGGAAAGTCAAGAAGCCAAGGATTAGAGATCGGTCAACGAAGTTTAAAAATGAAAGAGAAGCTATGAAGAAGGAGGTTAGGAAGTAGATTATGAATGACGTGGGAAATATATACCAATGAAGCATTTATAGAAATGTGAACTGTACTTGTATTGATGGTAAGGCACTTCATACGTCCAGGTTTGGCTACGGTACTGTAAATAAAATCCTTCCTTGTGTTGTACTTTGCCACCGTTTCTTGCAAATGTTTTCTCCTTTGTCCTCTTATCAGGGGAGGCTATCATCCTCTGAAAATACAGAGTGAGGATTTGTCACGGTGGGCGTCACGTGGAGTAAGCTCTGTTGTAAATTCTGTATTGAAGCAAAGTGCAAGAGTCAAGAGACGGTACCTCATTGAAGTTAACAGATTATCACAATACATCACTGTATGGTCAATACAAGTTTAACAGTTAGCTTAAAGAGGGAATTTGATTTGTGCTCCGAGTCAAAAGTTGTGCCTACTTGTCAAGTGGCACAAGTAATGCGGCACGGCAAAATGAATTGGCACAAAGAAATTCCGCTTTTAAGTACCGAAACGGAAATAGTCAAAGTGTGTTTTGACATGGTGTTTGACATAAATATGCCATGCTAGAAACGGAACAATCACATTGTTATACTACATAGTGTAAGCGTACATCTCAAAAGAAGAAGCTCATCTGACGTAGTGTGTTCTGTCATATGTGGGCGTAAGAAAGGGTGAGCAGCTTTTGTTGGTGTGGAAGGAGAAAATGAATTTGTAGATTAATGAAATGGCGTTTTTTAGTTTCTCCCTTTTTTTTTTTTCTTTAGTTTTTTTTTTTTTTAATAACCGCTAAACTCCANGTGTTTGACATAAATATGCCATGCTAGATACAGAACAACCACAATGCTATACTACATAGTGTAAGCGTACATCTCAAAAGAAGAAGCTCATCTGACGTAGTGTGTTCTGTCATATGTGGGTGCAAGAGAGGGTGAGCGGCTTTTGTTGGTTTGGAAGGAGAAAATGAATTTGTAGATTAGTGAAAAGGCGTCTTTTAGTTTCTCCCTTTTTCTTTTCTTTTCTTTATTTTTTTTTTTTTTTTGATAACCACTAAACTCCACACATTTTACCTATAAATAGACGCCAATTTAATACACAACAATTTCCACATTTTTCCAAGTATAGCCTTCAATTTCATTTTCTCTTCATTCAAGCAACTTTCTCTTTCCAAATCCTTACAATCTTTTTCTTTTTTTTTTGCAGTTAAATGTCTTATTTGAAGATTCTGGTCGATAAATCACAAGAAATGGCTACTACTGCTGCTGCTGCTGCCAAAGAAAACACTGAACCGCAAATCACCACTGAGCCATTTGACGAGGAAGTTGATAAATTCGCTACAGTGTTCAAGGGCCTTGAACAAATTGATTTAGATGCTGACAAAGGTGAAGTGAATCCTATTTCAAAGACTATTTTAGACTCATGGGATAGTGATTTCCATGCGCTGGCTAAAAACATCTTGACTCAAAATGCGTTTGCCAACACTGAAGTCGATAAAGTGATTGCCAATTCAGATTCCAAAACCAAGTTAAAAGACAGGTACTTGTTCAATGTGGCTGTTGATATCATTGGATCACCTTCCTTTGCCAACAATCAAAAATCTTCAGGTAGATGTTGGATTTTCGCATCTTCAAATGTCTTTAGAACTCATGTCATTAAAAACTATAATTTGAAAGACGATGAGTTTCAAATTTCGCAAAGCTACTTATATTTCTATGACAAGTTGGAAAAGGCCAATTTCTTTTTGGAAAATATTGAAGATACAGTTGATGAAGAGTTGGACTCGAGATTGATTCAATTCTTGTTACATGACCCCGTTGGAGATGGTGGTCAGTGGGATATGATTGTTAATTTAGTCAACAAGTATGGATTGGTTCCCCATGAAGTATTTCCCGACAATAGTCAATCCACCAGCTCGTCGAAGTTGAACTACATTGTCACTGAAAAGCTTAGGGAATTTGCATTGAAAATTAGAGAATTGAAAGCTTCTAAAGCTTCCGACAATACCCTTCGTCAATTCAAGTTGAGAGCCATGAAGACCATTTACAAGACGTTGTCCTTGACTATTGGATCTCCACCAAAACCGACTGATGAGTTTGTATGGGAATTTTTGGACAAAGACGGCAAATATAAACACTACAAAACAAGTGCTTTGGATTTCTACAAAACTCACGTCAGATACGACGCTGAAGCTCATTTCTCCTTAATTCACGACCCAAGAAACGATTATGATAAGTTGTACACTGTTGACAGATTGAACAACATTTACGGAGGTAAGCCAATCGAATATGTCAACACCAAAATTGACGAAATAAAAGATGTTGCAATCAAAATGTTGAAAGACAATGAACCAATCTTTTTTGGTTGTGATGTTGGTAAATACGGTGACAGAACAACTGGTGTTTTAGACAACACGGGATACGATTTGACCACGGCTTTCGATTTTGACTTGGAATTGACCAAGGCCAATAGATTGAAGACTGGCAGCTCTTTAATGACTCATGCCATGGTCATCACTGCTGTTCATATCGACCCATCTACTGACAAACCAGTGAGGTGGAAGATTGAAAACTCTTGGGGAGACGAAACTGGTAAGAAAGGATGGTACATGATGACTGATGAGTGGTTCAGCGAATTTGTTTACCAAATTGTCACCACCAAGAAGTACGTCAGTAAAAAGACGTACGATATTTGGAAGAGCAAAGAGTTCAATACATTGCCATACTACGATCCAATGGGTTCCTTGGCTTAGGGTATACAATATGTTTGTTGTTGTAGAGAGATTAAATACATATCAAATTGAGTGAGAGAGTTGGGCGTGGGGAGCGTGGGGAGCGTGGAGGGAGGGGGTTGCGTAGACAAAGAGCTACCACGGTGTTAGGTACAACACTTTTATAATATTTTATTTTTTTTTTTTTCGTTTCTCTTTTTTTCAGCCTTTTTACTTTCACTATGGAACTTCGACACAGCTTCATACCATGAGCCGTAGTAGTTTCGAAAATGACACCAACTACCTGCTAGACGTAGAGGCACTATCTAGGGAACTACTGGCCATCAGTTTGCAATTTCACGACTCCTCCTCCCCAAACGATTTGCATGACGTAATTGACAGCATAGACGATACAATAACAACCATTGATTCCAAACTAGAAGGGTTTATCACTTTGAACAAGAAGAAATTACAACAAGACGTGACCAGCATAGACTTACTACGAGTCAACAAACTATCCGCGACGATAAGAAATGCGGCGAGGTTGTCTCAAGTGCTCACAAATGCAGATGAATTGGGCCATAGCCTAACATACAAAATAAAATCGTTAGATCAAGAGATTGGGAACGTCAATGAGACTTTAAACTATGTCGAAAATGTTCAATCGCTAAAGAATAACATCAAGCAGATAAATTATGCTATCGAAGGTCAAAATTGGGAGTTGGCGGCGCAATGTATTCATGCAATCAATAGTTATATACCGCGTGAGCTAGTTCGTGGTGAATTTGCATCAGCAGTCATTCCTTCTACAAACGTTCCAGAACTACCCGAGGCCAGTATAAATAACTGGATCAAGCAACTAGTGGTTGTTTTCAAAAAACAGTTTAACGACGCGGCTTCAAAGAGAGATGTCGAAAAGTTGACCAAATATTTCCAATTGTTTCCCTTAATCAGCCAGGAGGAAGCTGGACTAAACTGCTATGCTAAATTCATATGTGAAGTCATTAGCGAATCATCAAAGAACTTGACACAAACAATAAACAGTATCACATCTAGCGATTTGAAGCCGGGTATTTTTGACACTGTGGCAATGCAGTTATTTGAGAATGTGTCCATGATGCTTTCACAGCATGGTCCCTTAATCAAACGATACTACTTGTCCACTTACCCGGATGCGTTAATCTTTGTTGTTAACAGGTTACAGCGTGAAGTCGATTTACAAATTGGTGTCATTGCAGATACGTTTTATGACGCGCGTCGATTTGACAAGTTGTTTCAAGATATCAAGCTATACAAGTTCCCTATTTTATCAAAGAGGCTTGACGAGTTGAGGGAGCATCATATACAAGAACATGGCCGCGTCAGCGAAGACCTCGAAAGCTTGGATGATCTCGTTCCTATTCGACATGTAGGCGATTTGATTTTGGAGTTGTCACTAATTTTGCATAGCTGGGCATTGTACTGCAAGTTTATCACCATCAAGTATTTTCACAAACCAGAAACACCAGAGTTGGTATTACCCAATATCATCACCAAATCCAACTTTTCCAAAAAAGTTAACGAAAAACTTTTACCCGCATTTGAAACTTTGTATCAGTTTTATTTCCGTCGATCGTTGGAAAAATCAATCACCATTGAGGAGGTGCCCAGCTTGGAAATGTACTTGAAACCGGTACCTCGGTCGAAGTCACCAGACCACCCACCTTGCTCATCAGTGATTGAAGACTTGACCTTGATTTTAAACAATACTTTACGAAACGTGATACAATCTGGATTTCCCACTGCTGTCAAGTCCTTTGTAACTGAGAGTTTCCAAGTCGTACAGCAAGACTTGATCAATGGATACTTTATTCGCAATCTCAACGACAATCAACCAAAGTACAACCAGTTGTTGTCGTTTTTGAGTGAAGATGGAGGCTTAACTAGTCCTCGAGCTCATTCGAGGAGCGGCACTCCCGAACCGCATGGAACTGCAACAGCAACGACAGCGGCCTCTTCTGCAAATGCTAGTTTCTTTAAAGGCGCGTCAAGCGCTTTTGGTAGTGTTGTAAGTGGATCTGGTGCTATTGTGGGTAGTTTACAAACTACCTCTTCAAACAGCCCCAAATTGATGAATTTTGTCGTTTATTTGAATTCCGTTGGTGTTGCTCAAGAATACTTTACCAAAATTATCAACAACATAAAATCACAAGCTGCATCAAATGCAGGGTTTATTGAAACAAATTTTCCCTTTGGTAAAGATGCCGAAAAAATCAAAACGATATTGAACCAGGACTTTTTGGACCCATTTATGGTAATAAGCAATAGGGTCATCAATGAGAGTTTGATCAATTTATACAATCAATCAATCAAACAACGTTTAATTAGTATGGTGAATGACTTGGTGACAGATGCTAATGACTCCAATTACATTTTATACTCTACAACCCAAGTTAATGACCCATCGCTACTCATTAGATTCAAATCCAATTGGACATCGTTGACTAAACCATATTTGCAAACGTTGCACCAATCAATATGGCACAAGCTATTGCGATTGATTGTTATAAATTTGGTCAATTTGATTGAAAGGAAATTGCATCTAGTATTGAAGAGGTTTAAAATCAATGAGTTGGGCTCAGTCAAGTTGGAAAAAGACATGAGCTTTGTCATTAATGAAGTTTGTGAAGATAATTATCAATTACGAGAAAAATTTGTAAAATTGACTCAATTGGTTTTGCTTGTTGGTATGGACGATGATGAATATGAAGAGAGCAAAGATCCATTGGTTGGCTCTGGCAAGAATATTGTTGATGATGGGTTGGACGATGGAGTGGAAGGAGAGCAAGAAGCAGAAGAGTACTCTGGTATCAATTGGATTTTGACTCCTCAAGAAAGAGAACAAATACGTAGTTACAGGGTATAGCATTTTTTAAAGAATCATTACGTTTAATTCATTACATTGTATATAACCTATACAGCTATTGCACTTCTATTATCACTTGTAGCTTCAATTTTAGCATTTACACTATCACTAGTGGCACCATCCACCTCTTCACTCTCCCCCCTAACCCACATTGGATCTGGTTTTATCCTCAAGTACAAATTGTGGTGATCAAATTTCGGATGAGTATGCTCACATTCAGGACCTTTGGGACAGAATCCTGCCATGTAGTAAGGACATATACTTCTTCTAACATGACGGTTCTTACAATTGGATCCCTCGGCACAAAACCCAGCGTTATAATTCATGCATTCAGGAATCTTCAGCTGTGGGTCAATATGCTGATACAAACACTCACTACCTTGAGTGCAAAAGCCATTTTTGGAATAAAATAAACATTCAGGCATCTTGCGTAGATTGTATTCGTGCAAGAATTCACAATGATCGCCCTTCTTACATAACCCACGTAACCAATGCTTGCAGACAACTTTATTGGAATACATCTGTGGAACGTGCTTGTTGGGACAGTTTGAGCCTAGTGGACACGATGTTTGAGGGTTGTATGGATTGTATAGCGGGCATACTGGTCTATCTGGATTTAATCCGAAATTGTATTCGTTTCGTAGAAACGTTTCGAATTTGAATCGATGGCTTTGGTGATTCGGGTGGATTATTGGATTCAGGTCAAGCATAGACATTGGAAGAGCTCTATTGTAATCTGGATAACTCTAATCGGAAATAACTGAGAATGATATCCTTTCCCCCTTCCTGGTGTAGTTGTAGACAACAGTGGTGTATAAATTATATCTGATTATTAATCTTCAATGTAAAAAAAAATATATATATATTGAACATCTGTACGTCTATATACAGGATCACAAATACAGGTCATACAAATAGTTACACCAAACAGATCTCTCTCTGTCTTCTACAGTCAAAAGGACTTTGCTCTCGATTACACTGCGCTATTCTTCTCTTTCTATATATTACTTACCATTCTTCATCTTCTGTGCACAGCCGTAATGCACAATCGAGCCATCGCTCGACACGGTATAATACCCAAAGCCCAAGCGTTCATTACAGATTGAACATTTTTGTTTACCAGAGTTAATCTTGTAGCCCTCATCTTGTAGATTCAAGACCTTGTACTTCAAATTGGTGGAGCCGACTTTATATAATTGCGAGCACATTCGAGAGTCGTGGACTTTGTCGTCAACGCGTTTCACCTGATTGATGAGATATGGCGACAACTTTTGTAACGGGAACGATGGCGGAAGAAGTTCAAAGACCTTGTGGATTGACAATTTCGACCCTTCTTGAGACAACAAAGTGGCAATATCGTTGGTGTTTTCGTTGAATTGAAGTAGCAAATCTTCAAGCAACTTGTGAAATAAAGCGGTACCCAATGTGGCACCATTTGGTTTTTCATATATCCCTGCACAATACTTCATTGCCGCATCCAAATCATTCAACTGGTTATACAACACATCAATTGCCTTTTCATGCTCTTCGAGTCGTTTGTAAACAAACACGGTCAATCGAAGCATTTTATCCTCGGTCGTGGGAATATCTTTCAACACCGCCCACGGATCATAAAATTCACTCAGACGCAAAATTTTGCAGAGCTTTTTGTAGTATTCATCAACATTGACCCCATCTTTCATTTCTTTCAAGTACAAGCAACAAAGCTTTGTTTCAAAAGTGCTGAATAGTTTAGTTCTTTTCAATTTGTCCTTCACATCACTTTCATACAAGAGCCACTCTAGATATCTGATGGCAGTTCCATAGCTCTTTCTCTTGACAAAAAATTGATAAATCATTTCCGGATCATAACTTTCACATTCATACGAATCATTCATAAACAACCTTTCGCTATTCAGCGAATCTTCATCAAGGACCCACTTTGCGTACTCCAATATCAACAGCATATGTTCATTTGTCAACTTCAGCAAATACTGTACCGTCAATTCAGAACTCCTTGTGAAATCATCATAAACATTGTCATCCTCATTTGAATGACTCACCTGCTTGTCGTCGTGAGCTAGGTTGTACAACATTTCCAAGGCTTCACGGTGTAAACCACGTCCATAATAGAAATCAAGCAACTCCTTGATGAAGTTTGGTTGTTTGAGGTTCCTCTGCTGTATATGATTATGCACATTACTCATCAAACACTGATGAACAGTCTTGGAATCGCACTTATTGTTAGGCAAGCGAAGTAATGGACCAAGTAACATAGGCTTGCAATGGAAATAGCAAAGAAATAATGAAGTGTCAATCATTGTGGAAACACTCTCTAGTTGATTTTCCACAACGGGATATATATCAATCGGCTCGAGCTCAACATTTTTCCACTGTATGGTTCGTTTGTCATGGAATTGCAATAAAATCCGTCTTTGCTCTGTTAAAAAAATGATCAAGTTGTTAACAGCTTTGGCAAATCGGCGAACATTTTGAGCCTTGATTGACCTTTTTACTGGTTTAATGGATTTCCTGGTTGTTGCATCAGTTTCGTATTCGGATTCAATTAAAGGGTTCAATTCCAAATCTTCTATCGTAACGTGCTTGACTGGATTCAGCGCGGTTGTGTACTGGGTGTCTTTTGTGCCTATTTCGTCACCACCACCTAGTCGTACTTCCGCATTTAGAAAATCTGGAAACAATGCAAGAATATCCTGGTAAGAGAGTAACCACTCGGATCCAATTTCAACCAAAGACTCGTGGAATTTAGAATAAGCATTGAACAAGTAGATTGCTTTGAGTTTGAACAATTCTCGAAGCTTCAACTCCTTTGATTTGAGAGTGTCGAAAAATTCACCACTCTCAGCTGGCAATAAGGTCACAAGCTGTATCGCCTTGTCTAAACCAACGAGTCTTAAGTCATTATCCGGCTGCTTCGAAGAGCCCATGATTCTGCCGCTTACGCTCAAAAACTGAGTCAACTGCTGCTGGTACGCCACCACATTGAAATGAAATATACTTGTTCCAGACGCCAAAATCACAGTTGAGCCACAAGAATCTGCAATTATCAGGCTAGAGGATATGTGATGTAGCAACTTTTGAACAACAGAACCATTCAAGTCCACTACCTCCAATTTTTTTGCATATACTATCGCCAAATACATTGGGCTAATGGATACAACAGCTAACGGGACTGTCGACAACTTGATAGAGGATGTTGAGATCTCACCGGTATTCTTATCAAATAGGACAACAGTAGTGTCTTTGATGAATATCACCAGGTCACCCTCTGTGGGTAAAGTCCAAACCAGGGGATCCGAAGATGACAAGCCAAAGTATGTGAATGAAGTCGCCTGTGCGAATAGTTCCAAGTGGCCATCGCCCGACAACAGACAAACTTCAAGGTTTCCAAGGTCGAGCAAAAGGTGGTCACTTTCTGTCCCTAATAAAATGTGTCTCTCGTCGTAACTGTTTATAGTTCGTATTCTATCCTTTAATGCTATCTCCTTCACCTTGCTAAACTGTAAAACATTACGAGATTTGTTCGTTATTGATAAGATTAGCAATTTCTTTCTGTAGCCAATGATTAAGATGCGAGTCCCATCATGCTCAACATACAAGGGTTTCGCAAATTTGGTCTCCTCTAGAGAGTATATTAGGTTGGTATGGCTACCGACGAGCTCGTAGATCTTTAAGGCAGATACGCTGGTAATCAAAACAATTGTTTTTTGTAAGTTGGGGTGAGGACTCAGAATCGGAAGCAATTGAATAGTTGAAATATATGAGCCATCGATGGTAAGGTTCTTGTACACAGCAGACATCGTGTATCCATGACTTTCAGTAAATAAGTTTCTAGAATCGGCATGGGACTTGAGTGACCGAACTGATCGAGTAGCCAGTGAATTGGCGGTGGCAACTGTACTATCAAGCGTTGGATAGTCCGGACTTTTGTCCTGCTCTGGTTGCTCCAGTGCAGTGAAAAGTAGTAAATCTCCATTGCTACAACCGACATAAATTTGATTCTCCAAAAGAAGTACCGATGTCGCTCTGCCATGACCTTGACGTAATTGAGGTATTCGTAGTCTAGTGGTGGGTTCAAGGATGTCTATATTCATTGCATATTATGGATAGTAGCAGTCACACTCTATATGTTTTATGACAATTGCAAAGACTTTACAAATGATGATTTTCTTGGTCCATATGCACACATATACACACACAGAGAAAGTTATAAAATGGTAGCATCAATTAGAACCCTATCCTACATTATGAAGTTGATTACACTCGAACAATACTTGACAGCCTCATCCATCTTGTCATTCATCTCTTTGCCAATCTGAGAGTACTCGTTTAAGGCAGCACACAATTCGGAGGACTCTTCAGTTTGGTGAATAACATCTCCATGAACCTTCAAATATAACGAGAAAATGGTCTCAATGAGTTCGAAATCTTTTTTACTTTTCAAACCAACAATCAAAGCTGTAACAAAGTTTGTCATCTCTTCATAAGGTGGTTGTGAATTCAAGGACCTTATTTCAAGATCCAAACTCGAAGGAGGCAAGCCAACGAGATACTCTAAAAATTGACCGTAATTATTTCCCTCGGCTGAAGATCTCAACAATTTCGTAAATTCACTTTCGAAAGAGTGTCCATTCACGTTTTTCAAAGATACCAACCTGCTGCCTTCTTCAGAATTGTCTTGCACTTGTTCTTGTTGCACGCCTTCAGCAACTGATGCCCTATCTCCCACAGCCTCACCACTTAAGCTCAAGAAGAACGGAGCCTTTTCTGGTTTTTTGATTGCTTCTCTAGGCTTGTTGTTTTTCTTGATGGTGTCCAAGTGTAGCAATGTAGAGAACTTTGTTCTCGGTCCCAAAGACAAAGTTATCAAGTTGTCGTTTATTTGACTCTTGGATTCGTACTTTCCTATTGCCAAGTCCTCTTGATCCGGTTCCTCGTCCAAAGCACCATCTAACACGGTTGATCCACCATCACCAGCTGCATTGGGCAACAAAATAGTCGAGAATTCCTCTTCTTCAATGTGCCTTGTAGAAACCGGCTTAAATTGAGCACGGTTAGTCCACAACGAAATACCATTACCGGACACGTGGGTAGTCGCAATCAAGTCACCAATAGGAGAAAACTTAACGGATGTAGCAACTACCGGCAACACAACTCCGTCAATACATCCACCTGTTGGTAAGTCCCATGTTCTCATTGTGGAATCTAGCCCAACAGAAACAATCCACCTTCCGTCTGGAGAAAAGTCCAAACCAGAAATACGATTTGAATGTCCAAAGAGTACTCTGACAACCCTTTGAGTAGTAACGTCAACCACTACAATCGACAAATCATCCAATGTACATGCAATCAAATCAGATTGTTTGTGATACACCATAGCCGTAATTGGTGCATCCAATTGTAGTTTTCCCAAATATTTTGATTTTCCAAAGTCGTAAAACCCAACAACCCCGTCTAACCCTGTGCTCACCATTTTTCTGTTCATACCATCAATGGCTAAACCAGTTACTGCTTGCTTATGCAACATGTATTTTTTCCTCAATAATCCCGATTGTAAATTGTAGACACCAATACCTCCCAAGGAAGAACCAACAAGACCGAAATTTCCACATTGCGAAATACATACAGACTTACAAGAGCCTTGGTCAACAGTGTTCAAGACATTCTTTCCAACTCTCTTTGTGGAGGAATCCCATGTTCTAGCAAATGGTTCGTCCTTGTGTGCGGTCATGATGTTTTCCCAATCACCAGTTCTTGCCTCCGACGAAGAAATTGCAATGATTTCAGGAAACTTGTCCTTCAAGGAAGATACAACACCTGCTTGTCTCTTGCCATCTTTTGACTTGTGCATTCTCTGCGAAAACTCTTGTGCTTGTGCATCTTTTCTCAATGAAAAACTCCAAAATGACCGATCTCTAGAAGCACTCAATAGAAAATGGGTCTTGTCTTCGTCAGGAAATGTTATGGCAACCGGGGGTGCCGAATGACCGCCTCTCGATCTCAAGTGACGCGGGGGTGTGATGATGGAAGAGTTTGTTGTGGTGAGGCTTGGGTCAAAAACAAACTCCTTCAAGTGGTTGTCACCACCATTGGTTAAAACAATAGGCTGTCCATTTAAAAATTGGGCCCTTGCCACACCACCAAATGATTCCTTGTGGGCGTTTCTTAAAATATGTACACGACTGTTTTTATCCAAATCATGAAAGTACAAGTCACCATTATTCAAAGCGGCCACCAAATGCAGCTGACCATCTGTTCTGAATGATATTGAGGTTACCCTGGACGACGAGTCTGACCCGGATGTCACAATCTTATCTCCCAAAGTTGTCCCTTTTCTCAAATTGTAAATAAAGACATCACCGGTGGCTGTACCTATAGCTGCGATGTCAAGTGCAGGCGCACACTCAATACAGGATATACTTTCCTCACCGAATTGATGCTGTGGCGATTTGAACAAAAGCTTGCCCAGGCGAACATTGACGATCAAGATTGAAGTAGTAGTTGCAACGGCAATCTTGTTTAAATACGTAGGTGGGTGTACAATTCCGACAATGTCTCCATCGACGCTGGTATTAACAGTCTTCATGACTGAATACAAATCGGTTGGGTACTTGGACTCTTGTGACTTTTTGAAAACAAAAATTTCACCCTCCGAGCTACCTGCAACAAGATATTCTCCAAAGTAGCATAAGTGAGTAATCACCCCCTTGGTGTCGCAAGGCAATGTTGCCTCCAATCTTCCACGCCTGTAAATTCCAATCTCATTGCCACAAGCGGCAAAAATATAGTGATGGTGGGTTGCAAAGCAAGTGATCTTGGACTTGCTTTGTTTCTGAGACACAAATAACAAGTGAAGTGTTGCTAAGTCGTATACTTGAAAAGTTCTTCCTGTTGATGTGACGGCATAGAATGTCGATCCCAAGGTACCTATCGCAAACGGGGTCGAGTCCGTAACATTTCCCAAAACTCTAAACGGACTGAATATCCTCGAAGGTCTTGCGGTGTTCTTTGAGGGTACAGAGCTTTCGATTCTCCTCTTTTTGTCGAGCAATTCAACCATGTATGTATCAGATAAAGAAGGAGTATGCAATGAGCGATGAGGTTTTACCAAAATTGCAAAAACTGAAAAAAAAAAAAAAAAAAAATCAAAAATACAAAAAAAAGAAAATTGTAGATCAAGTTAGAGGTTCATCTGCTACATATACCCAACACATATATATACCGCATAATGACCATCCAGGAAAAGAGGCCACCCCAAGATGACTCGTTTGATACAGACTCAAAGAAGCAAAACACACAAGCATACGTGAAAGGTATCGCTGCTATAAAACCCGAATTCATTGTATCCAAACCATCACTAGCCACAAATGTTGTGGAATACGACGATGACGAGGCTGAAGGAGGGGACAGGACGTCCGAGGATGCAAGAGATGGCCAGCAGCATAAAAAGGGCAAGAAAAAAAGAGGCCAGAATCATGGTCGTGATTTAAAACAAAAGAAAGACACAATAAAGTTATGTCCATCGGTTATAGATCCTGATGATACAAAGTCGTGCTTTTTGGGTGAAGATAAATGCAAATTTTCTCATGATTTGGAAGCTTATTTTGTCTCAAAGCCAGAGGATATTGACGGAGTTTGCCCGGTTTTTGATGCTTTGGGCTACTGTCCTGCTGGTATAAAGTGTAGGTGGTTGAAGTCTCATTATGACAAAGAAACAAATAAATTGATCAAAGATTTAGCAAAGATTGAACTTGCAAGCAAGACTAATTACGAAGTAAACGTTATTGACAAAGAAGCCAAGTTTGCCTTGCAAAAGAAAAAATATGAATTCCGTATTGCAAAGCCGGTAATTGATTTTTTGGATACTAAAATTCAAAATGGTTCTATCGAAGAGCGTAAGGAAAATGAGGCCAGCTACGTTGAGCCACCATTCAAGGTTTCAGAAAAGAAGAAAATTAACTTGCACAGGGCAAAGATCGTGTCACCTTTAACTACAGTGGGTAATTTGCCGTACCGTCGTCTTATGAAGACTTTAGGTGCGGATGTCACTTACTCGGAGATGGCATTATCGATTCCATTGGTCCAGGGCCACAATCCAGAGTGGGCGTTACCAAAAGCTCATGTGAGTGAATACCCCGGATTTGGTGTTCAAATAGCCAGTTCCAAACTATGGTCCGCTGCAAAAGCCAGTGAAGCTATCTATGAAAACACCAACCATGTCAGTGAATTGAACTTGAACTGTGGTTGTCCAATTGATTTATTGTACCGACAGGGCCAAGGATCAGCATTGTTGGATCAACCACCAAGATTGCTTAGGCTCGTGAAAGCGATGAACGCATCATCGGGCGATATTCCCGTAACAATCAAGATCAGGACGGGAGTAAAGGAGAATAAAAACACTGCAAAACAATTAGTCGACAGGGTGTTGTCTGAAACTCAAGTCGCTGCAATCACCCTTCACGGGAGGTCCAGACAGCAAAGGTATTCCAAGGAGGCTGATTGGGAGTATATTCTGGAGGTTGGAAAAGTTGTAAAAGATTGGAATGCCAAAAGAGAAGAGGACAAAGAGTCATCTGACTTGGCACCGACTTGGTTTGTAGGTAATGGTGATGTCTACTCGCACGAAGACTGGTATAATCACGTGGATACCGAAGGTATTGATTCTGTAATGGTTGCCAGGGGTGCATTGATCAAGCCATGGATATTTGAGGAAGTTGAAGCGCAACAATACTTGGACAAGTCGTCCTCTGAAAGGTTGGATATGTTAGGCAAATTTGCCAAATTTGCTATTGAGCACTGGGGCTCTGATGAATACGGTGTCAACATTGCTAGAAGATTCATGTGCGAGTTTATAAGTTTCACACACAGATATATTCCTGTGGGGATAATGGAAAGATTACCACCCAAATTGAACGAGAGACCGCCTACATGGGTGGGTAGAAATGAAATGGAGACTTTCCTTGCCTCCACTGATTACAGGGATTGGATTAAACTCACAGAGATGTTTTTGGGTAAAGCTAGCGACGATTTTCAATTCGTACCTAAACACAAAAGTAACGCCTATGAAACCAAAGACTGATTTATAGTCTAGACAGTAATAAATAGGAGGAAAAATGACAAACACATCTAAACTCTCTGTTTCAACTCGGATTCACCTTCGTAATCCTTACTCAAGGTGCTAGCTTGGCTCTTTAAAGTTTCCAAGGTCTTATCCTTCTCAGCTAATTCTGCCTTCAACTTGACCAATTCTTCGCTATCTCCAGCGGTGGTGGATCCAGCTTCAACATTGTTTTCTTGTAAAGCATCAACCTTGTCCTTGGTAGCAATCAATTCCACTACCAAGTTATATGTTCTCGTCAAGATCAAAGTTAAAAACAAAGTGAATCCACAAAGGTACATGTTTCTTTGTGCATAGAATCTTCTAGCTTGGATCTCTGATCTGTCATTCATGATTGAAGTGCCTGGGTGAGCTTGGGTTGCTGAAGTTAACTCAGAAGTGACGGCATAAACACGGTTTACTGAATCAACAAACAAGACAAACACAAACCCCAATACACACTTTAATGCAATTTGGAATTGCTCGTTTCTAAACGGCGCGGAAACTGTTGTCAAGACTGTTCTTCTAACTTGTCTTGGATAAGGCAATGAAAGAATGGCGAAAAACACCATTTCAATGACAAGTAACCCGAAAACTAAGTTGTAGTACAATGCCATTTTTCTTTTTTTTTTTTTTATTTCAAAATTGTTTGGAGTTAAGTATGGAGATGTGTATCACTTGACCGTTGGTGGTTGGGGAAGGGATATACTTGGAGTATAAGTCACAAGATGGTTTCTGGAATTGAAAAATAGTATAAAATTCAACTTTGAATTCAGAAATTTAAACAGTGTATAATATGTATGCAAAATATAAAAAACAAAAAAATATGATAAAAAAAAATTTACAACTTTCCTTTGCACTTGTTGCTTAATTTATGACGTATTATTGTTGTTTTTCTTCTGTTTGTATGGAAGGTGTGCGGCTGTTTCCATATTAGGAAACGAATCTTGTTTGCTAAAGTTGCTGCTGCGTGAAATTTTCAACTTTCACTTTTTTGTGTCGTCTTTTACCAAAGACCCTACACTACCGCCACTAACAGATCTCTCTGATTTCGTTGTCTATTCGTACAGACTCTATAAAATCAATCACAATGCCATTTACATACCCATTGAAACTTTTAACGTGAAAGTGATCAAAAATGGCAATGAAAACCATAGAACTAGATATTGCGTAATTAAACAGATTGCTAAGCAATCCATCTGTAAATGTTCATCGCTGGTTGGATCGGTGTAGAATGCAGTAAAGTAAACTAATGAGGTGGCATTGGGTAGTCCAAATTCCAACACACTAACAAAACGAACTAGCTTATCGCCGGCATACCAGCCACCATTGTTGAATCCGGTTGTAACTCCAACTCCAAATATGGGAAGGATCACCAATCTTGTAAAAGTTATCATTAATGCGGTCTTCCAAAACCCCGGCGGCATTTTCTTCACCTGCAATCGAGCAAGAGTGGCACCTAACAATAGCAATCCCAATGGAACAGATGCATTACCTACGTAGCTGGCCAAGTCTATAAGAAATGATAGAGGTGGCTGCTCGTCGGGTGCATTCGGTATGTGTTTGCTAAAAGTGCTCGTCACAAATAACGCTTTCAATGGTGGTGACATACAGATAGCAATAGATGCGAGCAATGATATTGAAGTAGGGGCACGCAAATTTTGCAACATCTTTTTGACAAAGGACTTGAATTTTGACTCTTCAGTCTCAATCAGATCTTGTTGCGGTTCGCCTTCGTGCTCTTGTTTTGAAAGAGACTTTTGCAACTCATTGTTCTTCAATGTATCAAACTCAGAGTATTCATTGATCACATCCTCAACATTCTGTGATTGTTGTCTTCTCAAATCATTTGATCTGGGGGGCACCAAATCAAGTGGCCCACTCGTGGTGGCTGAGCTGTCTGAACCTCTTCGCCTACTTGATTGCCTTCGACTAAGTGACATGGATCCTGAGATTGACTGTTCTTCTTGTCGCCTAGATTGCGCTTGCAAAAATTCTTTATGCTGACGCTCTTCATCCAATGCATCTGCTTCCTTGTGACGTTTCTCTTCGCTCAGTTCGCTGTAGATAGAATCTGAAGACGAGTCGACAACTTCGTCATCTGCTGTTTCATTTCGCGAGTGTGCAGTAGCCCTGATTGCATCTCTCGCATCGTTACTTGTCGTTTGTGTTGACTTCTCCTCCGTATCGTCCCTCTCGCTACTCAGTTTCTTGGTCAAGTTTGTTGCTCCGCTTGAGCTTCTTTCCAAGTCGTCTTCTCCCTTTAGTTCATCTCTAAAGTCCCATTGTATCAACCGGAATAAGCCAAAACAAAACTGAAGCAATGTCATACCCATTAAAAAGATACAAACGTATGCCACACCTTTATTTCCCTCTTCTGAAGTGAAAATCGTCCCACCCTTTGCAAAAGTTTGCAAGTAAGCAATGGGTAGATCACTAATATTTGGAAATATACCCACTGATATTAGCCCTCCTAACCACCTCTTTGGAGATTTTGTTACTAAATGTATGCCATATGCCAGAAATCCACCCACAGTAAACAACAAACACGAAGTGAACAAGATTATACCGATGTTTTTGATATCCGACGATTTTAAGTAGCTCACCATATTGTTGAAGATCAAACACGGCATAATGGCCGTGACTATTGTGTCGGATATGTCACGGCATGTAGTGACACTGAGGATATTTCGTTTGGCAAGGATGAACCCGATTGCAATGATGAAATAAATTTTGAATATGGGCTTCACTGCCGAATATATGACTAGCCCCAACAGAAGACTCTCTGAGTCAGACATTATGTATACCTATTCTAGTTTAATATGCGTGCAGGTATAAGATGCTCAAGTTGCACCAAATCATGTGTTAAAAAAAAAAGATTCGAAACTGGTTGAAATGGTTCTAGTTTCTGTTGTGAATAGATCGTCGGAAACCAAAAATGAGTGATGTAACTTGCTTAGATGATGCTTTTTTGGATGATCAAAGTGACGTTTGGGTGGACAAGAACAAGAAAGGGTTTGACTAATCAGAAGCAGTACTAAAGTATCTCTTCAAATGGTTTGCAAATACATCAACTGGTAAAATACAATAAGAAAACGCATCTTTTTTGTTTTTTTTTTCTTCTCCTATTACGCACTGCATATAAGTAAGTGTCTTGAACTAAATTATTTCTTTTGTTCTCCGGAAAAAGGAGTCCGCCAAAAAGATAACCGTTGACGTGGGGGAAAAAGCCTCCTTGGGTACCTCTGGCAAGCTCAAGTTAGTAGTGTGCCGCAGTATAGAGAGACTTTCTACTTGCACACAGAGTGGAGCCATTTGAAGTATGGTTGAATAGTCATTTACTCTACATGAACTACCGAAAGCACAAGAAGTGTTTTTTATTTTTTTTTTTGCGGAGGTGGGGGACCTCAAAAATAAGCCATCGTGCATAAGCATGTTATTACTCCGAAAATCTCTTCACTTAATCTACTTCAATTGGCACATCAGGGTACAACCATGTTGCTCATTTCCAGTAGACTGTGATAGACATCAGAAACATGGAGAAATTATGTGGATGATGCTAAACATGTAGCCCAAAGAAAAAAAAGAAAAAAAAATTCTCCTCGGTTATCAACGGCCTACCCAAACCGCGACTGCAAAAAAGTAAAGTGGTATATAGTTCGGTCCGACTCAATGAGACTGATCTTAGCGTAATATTTCTACAATTCAATTCAATGCAAATGGAATCAATTAAATAACTGACACATAGATCGTGTGTCATGTAAGAACCGAAATAAATAAAAACAAGCCGTAATATGAAATGAGGGGGAAAGAGAGAACTCCCCGCCAATCTTGCCACTGGCATGATCTCTCTAATCAGCTGTACGTATCCTCATCAAGAGGCGCAGACCACTGAATCCACCGTGGATGGTGTAACTATCGCTATCCGAGCTAGCCCCGTACCGCTGGTGTGCTTGATTGTAACAACGTCGTCAATTTTGCAAATTTGAATACCATCAAGACAATCCAAAAGCTCTTCTAACTCGTCGTCATCATCATCATCATCCTTACCAATCACTGGATCAAACCCAACAATCTTTTTGGTTCCTGCGTCGGAAAATACAGATTCGGTGTCGATATCATCGTCTTCCATCTCAAACGAGCTGGCTGATTCTGCAAACGACTGAGGTGAATCTGGAACCCGACTATTCTCCTCATTGATATTTAGCGTTTTCTGACTGCTTGTAGATGCTAAGGCCTTGGTCTTGGTATTTGAAACAGCATTCATAAATCTTTGAGAAGGTAGTTTCCACTTATCGAATATCCGAGCTGGTGAGCGTCTGGGGATGGTCAAGTCTGTTCCAAATGGTGACTTCATGATCGTGTTGGTGTTACCGGTGGTATTGTTGGTGCTATTTGCTGTACAATGTAGATCCGAGTTGACTCCACCAGGAGGGGTAGACAGGTCTGCGTCAAACGCAAGGGATTCCGTGTATAATAAGTAGTCTTCGAACTCTGTCTCTGCCATCAACTTTGGTTTATACCTCTTCCATGAAAGAAAGTGATAACCGAAAGTTGCAAAAGTTGAAAATTTTTTGGCAAATCGAGGGGTTTGATGATCCTTTTAAAGTTTAATTTCTCAGAGGGATTAGCTGTTTGGCCCTTTTTTTTTGTGGTTTGTTTTTTGTTTCTTACTCTGTTCTCAAAAGGAAAGTTTGCTCCTGTTAGCTGATGCAATATGAGTTATTTGCAGTAAGATTTGAAAAGGGGTCTTTGATTGAAAAATTTATTAGTATAGGAAGGTAGGCTAGAACAGACACTTTTCAGTTTTACTGGAAACGGCATAGAAGAAAGTATCTGGAGAATATCGCTTATTTATTAATTGTCTTGAATAGAAGAAATTGTTTCTGGTTGTTATTCCTAAAATAGAAAAAGTGGGTTTGAATATTGTTGTTACTCGTTAGCTTCAAATCAAAAACTTGTTTTTTTTTTTTTCATTTTGCACAATACAATAGCCCATTGATAAGCTAATGTAACCTGTCATGCATTTTTTCTTGTTAATATTATCTCAGAAGGATGCATTTGTGTGGGGAGGGAGGGTTGAGGAAACGAGGATGGTTTTATCATGGCTGGTCGAAGGAACTGAAGTACAAACACAAATCAAACAAAAAGCCTAAATTCACTGACACAAAGCTTTATCCCAGACCAAACTTGAAGTAACATTTTCAATGCACCATATTACATGTAAGGGATACAGTGTTGCTTTGCTGGAGGCGGAGGAGAGAAAAGGATAAAGTCACTACTCAAACGAAAAGATGCATGAAAATACTACGAAAGAGATTTGCTTAAAGAGAGCAATGTTCCATTCAATTTATTTTTATTTGTTATTTTATATTCATTATAATGTTTTCCATAAACTTCAAAAAAAAAAAAAACAAAAAAAAAAAAAGGGGGGCAAACGTATACTACTAGTTACTTTCCTAATTGGGAAACATAATTACCAAAAGTTATGTACAACGAGTTAAATGATTTTTATCAAACACTGGGTGTAGAGGGAAAACAACTACGTCATAACTAGGCAACCATCATACACTAAGCAACACCAACTGAGTACAACAAATTGGAGGTGACGCAAATGCTGAAGTACATTCAAATCGGAACCTTCTCATAACAGTGTCCGCTACAATTAGCAGTGCACCACCCCCACCTTTTATGAACCTCTAATTATTTTTTTTCTTTTTTTCGCTCTAACCAATTTTTCCTCATCACCACTGATGCTACTGCCGTTTCTGTAGTTAATGTAGTTTCTGTAGCTAATGTAAGGCGTTTGGGTGAAGGAAATAGTGGTTCTCAGTTAAAAGTCATCCGACTTGTATCTTTCTCTTCATTCATTGTTGCACTGAGATTACAATCACACAACTATAAACGACTATAAGTTCTAGTTCTTTGGCTTTTTAGTTGGCGGTCTGTCATCTCCTTCATCTTCTTCATCTCCACTGGATTCGGCGGCATCACTATCGAATTCTTCTGCAACATCGGAATCGGAACCGGATTGGAAGTCGTCGTCAGCATCCTCATCATCATCGTCAGCACTTCCCATGTCCACGTCATTGTCGTCAGCGTCCATGTCTGCTTCTTGTTCCAACGCCTTTGCCAATCTTTGCTTGGCAATCTTTTCCTCGTTCTTAACTCTAAGTCCTTTACCAACACAAAATTTCTCAATATTTTCTTGTTCCTCTCTCTCAATACTGCCAAAAACATGTTTCACAGTAGACCCAATAATGTTTACTTCCAAATCGAATGTTCTTGACGCAGATACGCCTCCTCCTGCTCTGGACAACCCAACACTACTAATTTCACTGTATGGAATGTAAAGAGTAGGTTTGGTCACAAACATAAAGCATCTTTCCAATGGATACAAATAACCTTCGGAAGCCTTAACTGAACACGAAATACCTGGTTGCAAAAATCTGGACTGGAACGAACCTGGTATCACCAACTTCTTCTCTGTTAAACCACGAAGACAGTGGGCCATGACAATATGTGTTGGAGCATCATAAGTCTTCTTCAACCTGTTTTTATACTTTTCTTCAAATTCCTCATCACTCAAGTTTAATTCCAACTCGGTCTCCTCATCTTTCACAAATTGCAAGACCAAGAATGGATACCTAGTCTGACCCTGTCTCAATGGTGGATCAATTTGCAAAATGATCAAGTGGTGAACCTCATCTGGTTTGGGTAACGAAAAGATACGTTCAATTTGATCATACTGGATTTTGTAATCATATGTTTTACCCCTCAACCTCAAAGAATTGGAGTACATGTCAATATCATATCGACCTCTTGGTGTGAGAAACAATGCATCACCAAATGACACAATGGCTTCACCTGCAATTTGTCCAATGTCTGCCTTGTCCCTCAACTGCTCGTAAAATGCTTGTGCTGCGCTTTGTTCCGTTTCCAAGTTTTTTGCAATTACTTCTTCCTCCTCACCATCCTCATTCTTTACTGTAGTTGTTTCTTCCTCAAAAGTAGTTCCTGGCACATAAAACCTCATCTCAACCACTTCATCTCCCATTTTCTTGTTACTTTTCTCCAAATTAAGCTCGATGGCAACCTCATTTTTACCAGTTAAATTGGAGTTCGAAATGGCATCATAAGGAATTTCAAACGACGGTTTATTATTGACATTGAAAACTAGTTCGTTTCTAGCCAAATCTGTAGTTCCCCAATTCCATCCCCTCAACGAGTGCTCCTTGTGCTCCAAATTGACATGAAAATTCCGTGTCAATTCTTGCTTCAATTGTGCAAAGTCATCAGGATGGAATCCGTCCAACAGAACTACTCCCTTGTTCTTAGTCTGTATTCTCAACTCGTATCCCTTTGAGCCTCGTGACCACGTAGTGACTAATATCTCTTCACGAGGTAACAAGAATGTTTGCTGTTCTGGTGATGCTGAACCATTTGTTGCACTGGCACTTGCTTTCCATCCCAATCCCGAATCTGCTATACGCATACGACCAGATCCCCTGGACTGGTTGAAGAATATCCTCTCAAAATCAGTATTAACCATCGTGTATGTGTGCCGGTTATATCTCAAATCTGAGCAGTTGTTTGTTTGGGATCGCCGTTCAGTTCATTTCGCAATTTTTCAATGCTCTTTGAAAACGCGTCTTGTCTTGAATGCACGACTTTTTTTTTCTAATTCTTTTTTATAATGCAACTTACAAGTGAAGTAGAGTAGTACCACAGGTATTTATTCCGCTCAACCCATAATTGAGCTAAGGATGTCGCGGTTGGCTAGTGGTTGTTCGATCGGAAAACTCTCATAGACTGAATGTTTGTGATACTTGTTACCAAAGAAAACCGCATCATTTGCTTTTTAAAAAATTTTGTTAAAAATCTTATGCAAAATTTTTTTCCACAACGGCTTTGTCTGTTTCCTTGGTAACATCCGATGAAACTGGTACAGGCCCACCTAGCTTATGGAAAGACTTGGTTACCCGAATCAATCTTGCGTGTGAATAGGTTGATAACCGTTAACGGCACACTCTGTCTCGCTATTTAGTGGTCCAGTTGACACAAAAGGGACACCAAATTATGAATCATCGGTTAGAGACAAAAAAGAAACGGACAAAAGACAAAAAAAAAACAAAAAAAAAAAAAAGAAAAAGTACAAGAACATACAAGTGTACAACTGAAAAATATTGCCAAACAAATTACTCATTTTTTCTTTCATTTCTATAACTTACTTCTCTGAGCGATGGTCAAGAAAGCAGGAGTTTTAGGAGCCACTGGTTCCGTAGGACAAAGATTCATACTATTATTGTCGCAGCATCCCGAATTTAAAATCCATGCATTGGGTGCCTCCTCTAGGTCAGCAGGTAAAGCTTATAAGGACGCTGTAAGCTGGAAACAAACAGACATATTACCAGAGACGGCACAAAACGTAGTCGTGCAAACTTGTGAACCAGAAGGCAACTTCAAAGAATGTGACATCGTCTTCTCCGGATTGGATTCAGACGTTGCTGGTGAAGTTGAGAAAAAGTTTGTTGAGGCAGGTTTGGCAGTTGTGTCCAACGCAAAGAACTACAGAAGAGAAAAGGATGTTCCTTTGGTTGTTCCAATTGTAAATCCCGAACACTTGGATATTATAGAAAACAAAGTCAAGAACGCCAAGGCCGAAGGAAAGAAGACTGGTTATCTCATCTGCATCTCCAATTGTTCCACAGCTGGTTTGGTTGCCCCATTGAAACCATTGGTAGAAAAGTTTGGTCCAATTGACGCATTAACTGCAACTACATTGCAGGCCATTTCCGGTGCCGGATTCTCTCCTGGTGTATCTGGTATGGACATTTTGGACAATATAGTCCCATATATTAGTGGAGAGGAAGACAAGTTGGAATGGGAGACAAAGAAAATCCTCGGATTACTCAACAAAGAAGGAACTGAAGTCGTAAACATACCTGACGAGGACATGAAAGTGAGTGCTCAATGTAACCGTGTTCCAGTTATAGATGGACACACCGAGTGTATCTCGCTTAGATTTGTCAAGAGACCACCTCCATCTGTCGAGGATGTCAAGAAGGCTTTGAGAGAATACGAATGTGATGCAGCTAAACTAGGTTGTCATTCAGCACCAAAGCAAACAATTCACGTCTTGGAACAAGCTGACAGGCCACAACCCAGATTAGATAGGGAGAGAGACAATGGATATGGAGTGTCCGTGGGAAGAATCAGAGAAGATTCATTATTGGACTTCAAGATGGTTGTTTTGTCCCACAATACTGTCATTGGTGCTGCTGGGTCCGGTATTTTGATTGCAGAAATCTTGAATGCCAAGGGTTTAATTTAAATTGCAAAGAAAGTGTATGTGGTAAGTACCTACATAGCAATGAACGTGTTTCTGAGTTTCAATCTTTTATAACTTCCATTCAAGTATTTTTTTATTTTATTTTTTCTTTTTTTTTTTTTTTGCAACTGGGTCGATAACTGGGCCAGTTTTTGTTGCATCGCGCCAAACAGAAAACACATACTGCTCCCCCTCCTCCCACCATCAATTGTTCTGCCAATGACAAATGCTCATTTCGTTTCACAATTAATAGAACTCACAGATGACAACTTGGATGAGCACATATTTGAATTGTATTCCGAAAGCTCCCCGCCAGACAATTTGGGATTCGTCAACAAGAGGTCCGATGAGATAGCCATCACAATTCCGGATTGTAATATCGATCTCACAGTGAGACAGTCAATTTCACAGTTGTCCTCAAAGCACACAAATAGCACCACTGGATACATATGTTGGAACACTTCTGTCCACATGGTTGATTGGCTATTTTCGCCCACATGCCCATTCAAGTTATTCAAGTCCCAAGTGCTCTTAGAATTAGGTACTGGCGTGGGCGGCATTTGTGCATCGACCTTGCTGAAACAAGTAGGTCACTATATCGCAACTGATCAGAAGCATATCTTGAAACTATTGAAGGAGAATATAATAACCAATGTGTCTAGCTTCCAAAGCTCAACTCTACCGAGTTCTTCTGAGAATCTGAAAGTCAAAATCGACGTAATCGAATTCGACTGGGAGGAGACTGAAGTTGGCTGTTTTAATCTTGCAATGCTCGAAACACGACAAGTGGATGTAGTACTTGCTTGTGACACCATTTACAACGAATATTTGGTGGGACCATTTATAAATGCACTTCAATCCCTTCTACATGGAGATTCTTGTGCTTTGGTTGCTATCCAGTTGAGAGATTCCATAACCATGGAGCGCTTTGTTTCAGAGTTGGTGCATGCTGATGGACTAAGAACGTATGTAGTCCCGCTAACTTTGCTAAATGAAGGTCTACGACGAGGATTTCATATCTACTACGTTTCAAAAGATTCGAAACTATAGTTGAAATATGTTGTCATTATGAGTTAAGTTTCGTATCTTCACCCAGCCCAGCTTTTGTTGTTTTTTTTTTCCACCTCTGAGTATCAGCCACCCGATCTAATTGTGAGTGTGTGGAATTGGATGGGGATCAGTTGACTGTGATAGCCTTTTTTATCAAAACTCTTCATCTTCAAAAAAAAAAAAAAAAATCAAAAAAACAAAATCGATCCGAAAGTGCTAGTGCTATATTTCTTCATTCACACCCGGCATTTTTACGACACACCAGACACATCTTGTGTCTACACTCTCTTTTCATCTTGTATATATACAACTCGCCAAAGACATGTCATTCACAACACAGACTGGCGTGCCGACGAATTTTAACTTCCTCAATGTTCAAGCAAACGACAACCACGAATTTAAATCAACGCCAACAAATTGGAACGCATTGAATGGTAATATCGCTTCTGAAGCAGGAAATGGTCAAGCAGACTCTGCAACCTCACTGAACAATAGGAATTTTCAGCCTGCCAAAAAGTCGCAAAAGGCTATGAACTCAAATGCATATAATACGGAGTCAAAAGAGGCTAGTTCGTTTTCAAGTAAAAGTAATGCAACTTCATTAACGAAGAAGGGAACTTTTCAGAATGGACATTGTCAGTCTTATTCCTCCGAGGAAGTATCCAAAACTGGACCGCTTTTTCCAAGTCCCGAAGAATTCGGATTTCAACGAGTTAAGAAAGGCATACCGCCACGACCGACTCCCAACTACTTCTTGACCCAACCAAAATGTCTCCATACCCCTGTATATGTTCAAAGTGAGTGGGACAGACAAAACCAAATTAAGATGGAGCAAATGGAATCTGCAAATCAAGGTAAAGACTACCAAGGGCTATACGAGGATTTGCAAAAACTCCGAGAGACTGAACGGAAAGAAATGGAAAAATTGGGACTTGTCGATGCTGAAAATACAGCGAAACATCTAAATGAGGCTATAGCATTTCAAGGAACGTGTCTGGACATGTGTCCCGTATTTGAGAGAGTACGAAGGCAGTTGGAAAATAATGTCAACATGTTGGAGAGAGATCCAACGACTAATAAAATAACGAAGGAGAAAGCTGTGAAAGCATTTTCAAGGCCCGCTGCTGGTCAACCACCACCATTACCTTCTGAAGTCAGGCCACCCCACGTTTTGAAAACTACATTGGATTATTTAATCGACAATGTTGTCGGCAAACTACCAGATTCCCACTCATTTCTTTGGGATAGGACAAGATCGATTAGACAAGATTTCACTTACCAAAACAGTTTTGGCCCTGAAGCAGTGGATTGTAATGAGCGTATTGTCCGCATACATTTATTGTCGCTCCATATCATGGCGGGAAGCGATGTGGAATTTTCTCAACAACAAGAATTGGAGCAATTTAACAAGGCCTTGCAGACATTGATGGAAATATACCAGGACGTGAGAAATAATGGTGGCAGCTCACCGAATGAGGCAGAATTCCGTGCATACCATTTACTCAGTCATATCCGGGATCCAGAATTGGAGAGACAAATACAAAACCTTCCGGAACACATCTTCCAAGATGAAAGAGTACAATTGGCATTAAAATTCAGAAAAATCATTTCGCAAAACAATATCGTTGAACGTGGTGTAACCAATCTAATAGGTGCATTGGATTTGTATGTGGAGTTTTTCAGAGTTGTATATAGCGACACAACTCCTTTGTTAATGGCATGTTTGTTAGAAACCCATTTCAGCGAGATTAGGTTTTACGCCTTAAAAGCGATGTCGAGGAGTTTCCATACACGAGGCAAGCCCTACCAAATGGACACACTTAGGAACCTATTAGGGTTTGACCTGAGTGATAAATTCATGAAATTTTTGAAATATTATGAGATAGACGTTGTCATTGAAGATGGAGAGACATTGGTTGATTTGTTCAACAAGGACAAGCTTGAAAAACAATACAAGCTCAATTCATTTTACGACAAACCAAAGTACCCGCCAGTATATTCATCGCAATTGGATCGGAAACTCAAAGGGACTGACTTAAAGGCAATCATCAATAGTGGCGTTCCAAACCAAACTTTTCACTTGAAGTCGAAGAATGAAGTACTTGCAACTACAAAGAGGTCTATTTCCAACCCAGTTGCAACCAGTTTCAAACCAGACTCCACGACATTCACTGCTATAACTCCTGTTGCTGATGCACTCAAACCAAGCGAGGTAAAATTTTCTCCCACACCCCCTCCGGACAAGGCGAAGCCTAATCTAGAGAAGGATGTTTTTTCGCAACCAAAAGTTCAAGCAACCACATCCAGTTTTGGGTATGCTACAAATACACAACCCAACTTTCAATTCGGCGTAGCCAATGATGCTATTGTGGATATGAGGACGAAAAGTTCACCTGTTCCCAATAAGAATTTAATTGCGGAGAAACCAAAGATAGACTTTTCCTTTAGCAAGCCATTTGGAACACCAGAAGTGGCTTCAGGTAGGCTCCGCGAGGCTGCTACAATACCAGAGACTAAATCTCGTTCATTGTTTCTGGCCAAAGAGGCTGATCAAGTGCCACTGAGTCAAATCTTGTCTACCAAAATAGAGTCTCTGGCATTACCAATAACTTCCAAAAAGTTGGCGGATCATCATTTATATCGAGGGGCAGTTGAAGAAGTTGTTAACCAATACTTGGCTAATATGGTTGATTCAGAAACAAAGTCGGTTTTGGCGAGTGTTCTTTTCAGACACAATGCTGAGGTTCAGCGTTTCAATATCATCAAAACTTTGGAAGACGAGTTATTTTCAGCATTCGTTGCCGAAAGCACCTATCAGTGCACGTTGGAAGCAGCTGCAACATACACGCGTGACCTTTTCCTCAAGAAACAGGCCGTTTCTTGGTTGGCAAAGAGAGCCAGAGAGTGTGTGACCTCGTACAGGTCTAAGCAAGCAAAGAGAAACGAGCTTGAATCTGTTAGGTTTGGGAACCCATTAAAAAGAAGATCAAGTAGTGATGTACTGAGATTGAGCACACCTGGTAAAAAGCATAGGCATGATTTAACAGCAACTGACTTTGTGAAAAAGCAAGCGGAGATGAAACGGTTGTGGGAACCTTTGAATTTGAAGAAGTTTGCCGATACGTGCACATCCAAAGTTTCTCTCACCATAGCGGAGAACAATATAAAACTCAAATGGTTGTTGGTGGTGGAGGATTGGGAGAGCCAGTATTCAAAATGGTTAATTGCAAAATTCGGGTTGAAAGCAAACATGAAAAAGATGGTGTATGAAAACATGGTTGAAAGTGACAAGGTTGATTTAGAAATTACCAGTTTGCCGAGAAAAGAATTTCTTACAAAGGACTTTTTTCATGATTGTAGCTTCATTTTATTTGAATGTGGGTTGTGTTCCGAGTCCAGTCAGACAATTGAAAGTAAGTTGTCAAGTGATGCAAAAGTTTTGAAAAAGATCATTTCAATGTGCGAGAGGTATACCTATTATAAACCTAGTATTCTCATTTTGTTTTGGAATGCTACTCAATCAGAAATCACAACTGATCGAGCCATACAATTACTCAACTTGGAGCAAACACCGTCCACAAAGACGATAAAAGATCTCATTTTCTGTGACATGGCCAATGAAAGTAATAGTATTAGCCAAGTACTTACACTGTCTGTGGAAAAGTTGGCAATGGATTTTGATGCTGGGTTGAGTGCGAGAGGAGTGAAGCATGCCATTAAAGTAAGAGAAAAGCGCAGAATGAGTCGTGTCAATGAAAAAATGGAACATATCGAACCGACTGGTGGTGGTGATAGCGTCGCCGAAAAGGCCAAGAAATTAATGGAAAATGCACGGAAGCTTCAAAAGTACGACTATCTCAATCGCGCAGTCAAACCAACTCCTACAACAAAACCTTCCAATCCAAATACAAGTATTGGTGACTTTGCCCATAAATCTTTGGCTCAAATAATTGCACACCGTGGAAACAGATACTACAACTCCAGCATATTCAGTCGTGATTCCACGTTTTTGAACACCTCGGTTATGTCCAACAATTCCGTTTTCAATAATTTTGGCAGGGGCGTTGTGCAAGAAAGTACGCCAAATGCGTCTTTTAGAAGGAAAGGAACAGATGAAACTGAGCTTGAAGAAGACACCGGTGACGATGACAAACTCCGTGAGTTGAGAAAATTAACCGCAAGTATCAGGAGTAAATACAAAAAAACAAACTCAGAGCATGTTTAGAAGTTTGTATAAATTCGAGGTTATTAAGTACTGGACAGTAATTTTGATCTGTAGTTTTATAAAGGTTCATACTCCAAGTGGAATCATTATTCTGCGGGTGTTTTTAGCTAAATCCGGAGCAAGAGAAAGAAAGTCTCCAAAGAAAATTAGTTTTGTCCAAATTATTGCCGTTTTTTTTTCTTTTTTTCGTTTGTGAAATAGTGGCCAACGAAAAGAAAATCATTTAATCGGACCAGAAGAAGAGGGCATACATTCAGTTACTCACAGACACCATCACCACCAGGAAAAGCACATTGTAATCAAACTACTCATCTTTCTTACAGGAACGCACGCAACCACTTCTATCCGAAAGATAATCTAGTCTGTGAGCAAGGAACAACAATGGATCTTTTGAAGGACGCTGCTAAGAACTTGAATCTCTATGAGGTCAAGGCTTATGTGCGTAAAGCACAAAATGGTACGTATTTTATCACAACCGAACCCCTTCAGCTTTAATGCGATTTACTAACTTAGCCTATAGTTGCGATGAATTACACTGAGATTGAATCGAAAGTTAGGGAGGCTACAAACAATGAGCCATGGGGTGCGCCCACAACTTTGATGGCACAGATTGCTTCGGCAACTTACAATTATAGAGAAAGAGAAGAGATTTTGGCATTCATTTTCCGTAGGTTTACAGAAAAGGCTGCCAATGAATGGAGACAGATTTACAAATCATTGCAATTGTTGGACTATTTGATTAAAAATGGTAGTGAGAGGATCATTGATGACGTGAGATCAAATCTTTCATTGATCCAAATGTTAAAGTCCTTCCATTACATAGATTCCAAAGGAAGAGATCAAGGAATCAATGTTAGAAATAAAGCAAAGAATTTGATTAGCTTTTTGAATGACGATGGTCTAATTAGAAGTGAACGGAAAAAGGCCAGAGCCAATCAAAAGAAATTTGGTGGTGTTTCATCGGCTGCGTTCGGTGGTGCATCGTCAATTGGAACTGGCTATGGTGGATCCTCTTCCACTTTTACTGATGTCGATGATGATGAGTTTACCAATAGGGTTTACGGTGATGGTGGTGTATACGGGGAGAGGTATGACGATCCAGCTTCAGCTTACCAAAATGGAGCAACGGGAAGTAGTGGGGATCAATTTGAAGAGTATGACGTGCAACCGACCACAAAGACGGCGGTGTCGAAGGCAACTACTAAAGCTTCGAGAGTGAATGCAGGCGCCGCAGCAAAGTCGAAAGCTCAGCCAAGGGAACCAGAAAACGACCTCTTGGGGGATTTGTTGGGGCTTGATACTGCTCCAAAGAATGATCTTTCTAAAAATTCTAATGAAGATGACGACGATGATTTTGACGATTTCCAAGCTGCCCCTTCACAATCGCAGAAAGGTAACAATTTGTCCACCAACTTGTCTAACTTGTATCATCCCCAACAACGGCAGCAGCAGCAATCGCAGCAATCACAAGCCATTCCTCAATTCCAACAATTTCCATCACAACTGAATGTTTTTTCTGGAAACGCAGGAATTTCTTCTACAGGTTCTTCATCTGCCGGACCTGCTAAAGCATCTAACAACGATGCCTTCTCAAATTTATTCCTGTCTGCAAAGACCAAAACGAGTGGACAAAAAGCAAGCGGCTCTCACCGAAACTCAGCTAAGACTTCGGCCACTGCCACCACCGCTACTGCTGCTGGTACCACTCCCGCTCATGCATCGTCGCAAAACGATGACCTTTTCGGTGACTTTAGTTCAAACAACCAATCTAATTCTGCTACGAAATCGAATGCTAACAGCACCGATGGCAAGCAAAACGGAGGAGACGTAGATTTGTTAAGTTTTTAGAGAGAGAGAGATAGTAATATAAAATTGTATACTGTGAACCTCTTGTTTAGTAATCGTTTTTGAACCCGGCAAGTGGAAAAACGTTCTCTTTGATTCTTACAAGCGGGAAAAAAAAAATAAAAAATGTTCTCATAGAAGTTATCCACTTAGCAACCTTTATACATCAAACCTCCCACTATGTTCAAAACTGTATTGACCAGAAGAGTTGTCAACCCCGCATCCGCACGGTTATTCTCAACCACTCCAAGTGTCCTCGGCACAAAAGTGTTTTTCAAAACTTCGATTGATGGAGAATTGCAACCACCAATCAAGTTTGAATTGTATGATGAGATTGTTCCCAAAACAGCTGAGAACTTTAAAGTCTTAGCCACTGGAGAAAAGGGCGTTGGATATAAGGGATCCATCTTCCACAGAGTCATTCCACAATTCATGTTGCAAGGAGGTGATTTTGAAACCGGAAAGGGATACGGGGGTTACTCTCCTATCCATGGTAAGAAGTTTGAAGATGAAAATTTCGAAAAGAAGCACAACAAACCTGGTTTATTGTCCATGGCCAATGCTGGACCAAACACCAATGGATCACAGTTTTTCATCACTACCGTTCAAACTCCTTGGTTAGATGGCCACCATGTCGTTTTTGGAGAAGTTATTGACGGGTACGACGTTGTGAAAAAAATTGAGAGTTACGGAACTCAATCAGGAACTCCAACCGCCAAGATTGTGATTGAAGAATCGGGAGTAGAGGAAGAGAAATAGGTTAAATAGTTTGTCTACACTCTTATAAACACTTCAAAACGGTTTTTATCAGTATTGTCGTTTAGTATTTGAAGATAGGGTCCTCATTCACCTTGATCAAATCTTTTGGTAACTTCCTTTTCAATTGTGACAATTTATCATAATCACCAGCCAAGATTCTGGAAATCACCAAATCGTCTCTTTCTCTTATTTCCTTAGCCGACTTGTTTTCATTGCTCAAAAACTCTTTAGCTTTTGCTGTGTCGCCGTGGAAGTATTCTTCCATAGCTCTCAATCTCAATTCTTTCTCTGCCCAATCAGGACCCTCGACCTCCCTAGCCTTCATCTGTGATGTGTATTTGACATAAAGCACATATGCGAAAACGGGCAATACGATGTAGAAGTAAGGAATTTCCCATCCCTCGGCCTTTGGTGTTTCTCTTATAATTTTCCATTTCAAGCTTCCTGTTTGGTCATCCTTGTAAGGAATCTTGTCAATAATCTTTCCTGCATCCTTTGTGACAAATTGGAAATGGTTCAAATCTTGCGAATTGTCTTCAAACAACTTTAATTGATCTCTGGACACTCCTGGTAATATATACTTCCATTCGGAGTGATTTCTTTTGTAGTATAAATTTTGCAATTCCCCTATAGTCTTGAATTCCTCATCGGAGGGGATTCTTGGTGTGCCGTCTGGGTTAGTGTAAACCCTCGTTACAGATGGCAAGGAGTCTAGTTTTTGACGAATATCTTGTTCCAATTGGAAATTAAACTTTCCTGGTTTGTACTTCAAAAGCGTCGAAAGGGGAAATTTAAAAGTGAACTTCATGGTTTATTCACTTTGTGATTGATGTGGCTGGGAAAATAAGTGAGGTGGTTGTGCTCGTTGAGCAGACGTTTTGGTGTTGCAAGGGTGGTTCACTGGTGAGTGATAGATATGCCAATGAGAGATTGTTTTCAGCAAAATTTTATTGGTTCGTTTTTCCACGCTCAGAGAGAAAAGAAAAAAAAAAATTTGAAGCGAGAGAGGAGTTTTGAAAAGTCTATGCCCTTGAAGTCGATAGATTTGTTGCTGCGAATCGTTACTTTTCGGAACGTTAATACCCCTCATTAGTACTTTTCAACTATACGCTGTATAACCTAACTCCATCAGTAGCCATATCAGAAAGCCTGGTGATTATTATTTCGTCAAAGTGATGAACAATGGTCACGTGACTCTTGATCCAATCAATGGCTCGAGACGCATCCCGTATCTGACGCTTGTTGGTTATATATTTTTTTCCTTAACGACTAGACCATGAGCTAATCACCGCATATTCAGTGACTTCGATGAGCCAAATCCTTTGAATCCCATTAGTTCATGCATGTCAGTATTTGCATTGTCGTCTGGTTCGTCCTGAACTTTCCTTTTCTTCCGATTTCGTTGAAGCTTGCGCTTTTCTGACCTACTCCTCCTCTTTTCCTCCTCAAACTTCTTTCTCATCTCTACTCTTTCTGCGAAAGACGGCCCTTCCGTAGATTGTAAGCTTTTCTCCTTCAAGCGGTTTGCAACCAAATTTTCCATAACTGTAACCACCTCCTTGAGGGTCGCTCGCCTAATACCCCCATCTAAAAGCTCCGTCTGCGTTGACTCGCCACTAGACTTGTTTTGTTGAAATACCTTGCCTACATGTTGCGGGGAGTTGAAATGGTCAATCAATGATAAATTGTCACGAAATGACAAATCACAAACAGGACAAACAAACCCAAATCTTTTCTTGCTTCCATATGTCGATGTGTTGCTTTTGTCTGGATTTATGAGGTTGAATTTCTGAACTGCATTGAGGGATTCCTCAAGGAGAGCGTCTCTCTGTTTGATATGGGTTTTTGAGTCATCTGTATGCTTATCAACTATGTAGTGTAATGGGGTTGTATCATGGACACTTTTCCTCTTCTTATCGTTGGCCTCTTGCGCATAAACATCCACATTCCACGTTTGTCGGCCATATTGGTCTATTGATTTTTTATCGTCTTTGGACATGGGAAAGTGATCAGTTAATGAATTGCCATCTGCAAAAACATCTTTCCCTTTTTTTTTTGAGTCAAACGCGTGTTCAACACAAGCAAGTACTTTTCTGCAGACAATGGGGTATGATGTCATCTCTATGATAAGAAAACCCAGCCACGTTGATCTGAGTGACAAACTTTCATCAACCCTAACTTCTGCAAAGGTGATTGCTGAAAAAGTCGAGAATGATCTCAAGTCTACAAAGTTTGAACTGGGCTGGGAAACGATCGGAACGCATTTGATTCGGAACGTTTCAACACCACAGGTGACAGGAGATAAGGTGAAAGTTGCAGCATTTGACTTGGATGGTACATTGATTACAACCAAATCCGGACTAAAGTTTGGGAAAGGGCCCACTGATTGGAAATGGTGGGGAAATTCCTCAACAAAAGTTCCAGAAGCTATAGCGAAACTTTACGAAACTGGGTATTTGATAGTCATATTTACAAATCAAGGATCGGTCGTTGTTAACCACGGTAGCAAGTCATATACTAATTTGAAAGCGAAATTGAGCCTTGTTTATAAAGAGTTTGTCAAGTTTGAAATAAAATCAATCTACATGTATGCTTCGCCGAAGAAACCACTGAAGGGCCACACGTCAAGCGATGAAAAGCACAAACTGACGCGGAAGCCGGAAATAGGAATGTGGCAAGACTTGGAAGCTGTTTTGACCGAGCAAGGGAAAATCATCGACTACGAAGCCAGTTTTTTCGTTGGGGATGCAGCGGGTAGAAGAAATGACTTTCTGAATAGCGACTTGAAATTTGCGCAGAATGCAAAGATAGATTTCAAAACTCCTGAGGAGTTTTTCGAGGAATGATAGGGATTCGTGACAGTAATTTACTACTTACAGGTGTATATACTTACAAGAGTTGCGACTTCCCTCTCTCTAGTAATCCTCCAACATGATTTCCTCAAACTTTGCGTCCATCTCATCATGCTTGGAAACTAAAGTTTTCGACTTACCAACTGAATCGAAATATCCTTCGACATTCTTAATGCTTCTTACCTCCGCGTCAGTTTTGAATTTCGGGAGCTCATTCAACATATCAAAATGCATCACCAAGCACTTGCTAATATCAGACACGTCATTTTCAAATTTGATGGCTTCACCAGTAGTTTGAGGATAGTTTTTGATAATATAGTTGGTGTCAAAAGTACCTTCTCTCGTGTTTATCAAAAATTGGATATGGTTTTTCAATATTGCCGTGATTAATCCAGGAGGGTAAGGTTTATGAGTGGCATCTAAATCATTGAGCAAAGCAGAATACCGCTTACCTTCGTCAGCTTTCTCTTCGGCAACCAACTTTGATGGATCAAGAACAACAATCTTCCTCGAGGGGTCGGCCTTCTTCAAGCTAGACTGGATCTTGTCCAATTCCTCATTTGAGTATATATAAGGTATGACATAGAACTTGTACTTTGAATTCAAATCCGGTCCAATAAGTTTGTGTCTTCTCTTGATTCCCGTGCTTTGCTCATATTCTTGGAATTCTCGCTCTGTCATGTATTGCTTTGGCTTCTTCTTATCTACCTGGCCGGTAACGAACCAAATAGCAACCCACGATACTGCCACAACGTATGCAATGTATCTAATTCTTGGTTCCTTTTTAGCCTTGGATAGGTCTTTGTGAACAATTACATAATTTCTGTGGCAGGCCTGGAAAGGAGCCCTAGAGGTCTGTTTTAAATTGAGCTGAAGTCTTTGACCAATTGTTGTTCTTCCTAATTGTGCCAATCGAAACATGGATATGAGATGAAGAGTGTGCCGAAGTCAAATGAGGTTTTCCGAAAAAGAAAAACAATGTTAAATGAACTCAAGTCAAAAATCTTCAAAATTTTTTTTTCTTTTGTTTTTTTTTTTGTTTTTTTTTTTTCACAACCTTGAACCATCGATACTAGACCTATACCCAAACCACACATTATGCCAACTTCCTTGGTTACCTTATCCAGCTTCTGTGCCCATATAAAAAACTGCCTCAATGTCACGTTAGCTAAAACCGCAGTTCCATACAACAGAACCAACTTACAAGTGGCGATCCAATTATACAACCAGGGTTTCATTTCAGGAATACAACGAGGATCAAATACGGGACCTGACTTGGTACCTACAGACGTTACACCAGATAATGTAAACACGAGGAGGATATGGTTGGACTTGAAGTACAGAAACAACTTACCAGTGATATCAAAAATTGAAATGGTGTCCAAGCCAAGTAAAAAAGTGGAACTAAGTGCAGAGGACGTAAAGACATTGGCCTCGGGAATGAAGGTGAGGAGAATCGATCAGTTACAGCCTGCCGAATGTTTATTCATCGAGCACGAGAACCAACTTTATGAAATCAATGATGCTGCAAAGAAAGGATTGGGTGGCCAAGCTTTGTTTAGGGTGAGGTAAAAGAGTACATAATTTTAGATGGCTTGTAAATATATATTATCGCTGAGGATATATACGGTGATCTCTTCAGAATGCTGCTTTGGTTGAGTTAGGATTACTCCAGCTTCTCATATCAACCTGCCAGCCTTTCCATATCATCAATTTCTCTCTAAAGTCTTCAGTTGAGCTGAATTTGCTCAAGTTCTGCTGCGATGACGATGCGTAGTCATTGGTGGTGAATAGTGGCTTTGCCGGCTGGTATGTTGAAGGGGCTTGGGATGTTGCCGTTGAGTTGGGAAGCAGGGATTGAGATAACGATGCAGCTTGTTTCTTCAATTGCTCATTTTCAAGCTGTAAATCGGAAATTGTATCATCGAGATCCATCCTTGAGAGCTTAAGATCCTTGACTTCTTTCCTTAACGCGGCAATGGTCTTCTTTTGATCCTCGATTGTCTTTTGTAACTCTTCAATCACCAGAGAGTCGGATTTGATCGAGTCCAAGTCATGAGATGATTTGGGATCTGCTGTAGATGGCGTTTGGTTCTCGTCAACTTTGTCTGTGGTAGATTCACTAAGCTTAGCGCTTTCCCCCGTCGATGCTGGAGAATTGGCACCCTTTTCTGTACTTGCAGCAACCTTTTCTGCATTCGATTCCGTTTGTGGTTTCTCTTCCTCAGCGGAGCTCTCTTTATGCTCAGTCTCTGTAGCGGCATCTACCAGCTTCTTCAAATCCCCAGACTTCTTTTCCTCAGTTGCGTTATCTTCATTTCCGATACTGGTACCAGGCGCAGATATAGCAAGTTTATCTTCTTCGATCCCCGGAGTCTCCTCTCTACTCTCGTTGGCGTCATTATCCTCCGCATCCCCACTTGCGTCGCCTTTCTTTGCCTTCTTTTTCTTGTCCTTCTTCTTCTTCTTTTTCATCTCCTCAAATTTCTTTCTGGCTGCTTCCAACCTTTGCTCCTTGGTCAATTCTGAGTCCTCGTCATTGGTAGTTGGATTTGCATCCGTCTCAGACATGTTGTGGTATAGGTCTAAATGATCAGTGACTTGTTTTGCGTCGGAATTTTGGGTCCAACTCACTCGTTATTTTTTCTTTGTTCAAATATGATTTTGGTAATAGAGCTACCGAGTATTGCAACATGGACTGGATCTTGCACCAACTTCACCAATCTGGGTCTTGGTCTATATCTAAACAGAAATTACCATGCGCCCCCCCCTCATTACACTAAGATAGAGCCGTCATGCGATATCGTCTATTGAGTTGTGCTTACCTTTTGATGTAAAGCTCCATTTTATTTGTAGATTCCCATAGCTACACAAAGCTGACAATAAATGGCGGAATTCACGATCCGACGCCTAAAAAGCGCAATTAGAGCTGGTTTAGCGGCTATGAGTCAACAATATTACACAACTAAAATACTAGACTCTTCTCTACTAAACGTAATTGCAACGACAGATTATCACTTTTCTCAAGTCGGCGTAGCAAAACAAAAAAGATAAAAATGTCGTCTTCAAATGTGGCATTCCCACAACAAGTGGTGGGGTCGATATCTCAAAACGGGGAGGTCGGAAATGAGTACTACGATTTAAACGGCATTGAATTACAGACAATAGGTCAAAGTCACGCAGGAAGTGGTAAGGGTACAGGATCTGGGTTAGACACGAACGATTACAACGAACAAACCCATCAGATGGGTGCCGAAATACGTCGACGTCGTTATAGCAATGCTACAGACGTAACCAATGAATCGGTTGCCCTAATGTACGGAAGCGAAACAAATCCCTTGGACTTTCCAGAAGGAGGAAAAGAAGCTAACTTGGTTTTACTTGGGTCCTTCCTTGGATTGGTTGCTGATTTCGGTATCCCAAATGCGTTAGGAGCTATCGAGTCATATGTTTCTACTAATCAATTGAAGAATGTAACAAAAGCTGATGTGGGTTGGGTTTTTTCTTTGCACTTGGGTGTCATGTACCTTGGTGGGGTGATTTTTGGGGAATTGTTTGACACTTACGGAGCAAAAAAGCCCTTGATTGCCGGAACTATATTGATGTGTGCTGGATTGTTTTGCACTGCTGAATGCCAGGAGTTGTACCAATTTGTGCTAAGCTTTTCCGTATTGACGGCAATTGGAACAAGTGTTGCCATGTCTCCATTGATTGGGGCTTTGAGTCACTGGTATTTGAAGAAGCGAGCAATGGCTTGCTCAATAGCTACCATTGGAGGCTTGATGGGAGGTTCGTGTTTTGCAATCATGTTGCAACAACTTTATGACAGAATTGGTTACAAGAATGCTATTAGAGTATTGAGCTGTGTTTGTTTCTTCTGCATGACTTGTTCAATCTGCCTAGTACGTGAGAGAAAAAGAACAAATGAACTCAGAGGGGGAGGAAGCGTCTCTCTTGAAGCGGGTAACAGCTTGGCCATGACAGGGCTGCAACTGATAAACGCAGTGGCAACCGATCCTGCGGAGCATCACGAAGGTATTGATCAACATATTTGGTCAAAAGTAGCAAGGTTCATCAAAGGTGCTTTGGACTTTTCTGTTTTGAAAGATATGAAGTTTATATCCTTAACCTGGGGTGTGTTCTTAGCAGAGGTGGTCTCGATGACTACCTTGACGTACTTGGGATCGTATGCACTTGAATACAATGTCAGTGAGACCCTGTCCTATTTGTTATTGACAGTCATCAATGTTTGTGGAATTCCCTCACGATTGTTATCGGGACTATTTGCTGACAAGTATGGTAGATTCAACATGATGATGATCTCATCCACTTTGACAACAGTGTTTATTTTGGGTCTTTGGTATCCGGCCAAGAGTGTGTCGTTGTTGTACGCATTTGGAGTCTTGTTTGGAATATCTTCATCGGCCGTTATATCTTTAATACCAGCCTGTACTGGTCAAATTTGTTCATCCGAGCGTTTTGGCAAAGTGTATGGAACAATGTACTTTTTCTTGGGAATCTTGACCATTTTGGGTATGTATTTTGCTACTTTGGTGATTGCAGGAGGCAGCAAGAGAAATTACAGCAATTTTGTCTTGTTTGAGGGAGCTTTAAGCGCTACATCTATAGCGGTATGGATATGGGCCAAATACAGCGCTGTTGGATGGAAGTGGTGGAGCAAATTTTGAACCAGATGTGATATTATAGTAAAGGTTTTCTTTGTTTTTTCTATTTGTAAGGGTTAAAGAAACGCCTGTTGTGTAGATTCGAAATGGAAAGAATTGACTCTAGAATCGTTGACCTGCCTTCAATGATTAAAACATAAGCAGTTAAATTTGAGAGAGGAGGTGAAATCTGCAAAATGCGTACTCCTTCTGCCGAGTCTAAATTTGCAATCAATTGTTTATTGCGAGATTTTTTTGCAAATAATACAAACGATCTGAGATTCACCTGACAATTGCGCCATTCTTTGGTTGTATCGCTAAGATTATAGACCTAAAGGCTTTTTTCATTTTACACCGACAACCACTTCTATTGTTAATTGGTTGAGTTAGCACCATAAGTGCGGATTCAAAAAGGGCATCACTGCCAAAATACCTTGATGGTTATGGGCTTTGTGATTGTGTTACATTTTTTTTATTAAAAATAAAAAAAAAAAAAAAAAGGAAAAGGAAACGTACGGCATCACCTACAAAGAGAGAAAATTTGAAAGAGGTAGCGATGGCTTATTGTACACATGGATTGTATCTAAGCTGAAACTTGGACGACTTCCTGAACATCTAAGCGAGTCTAGAGAATAGCTTGGCAGGAGGAGGAGCGAGTGTGGATGTACAGGCGACTTAGTATTGACCAAAACAAGAAAACTTATTATCAAAGATCAAAGGGTAAGAATTTATTTGTAATCCGTTTGATTTGACAGATTTTAACTATTGGTAACCATCAAGGTAATTTCTTAGAGTCAGTACTACTATACAATTAAACTTGAATATTAACTGTAACGCATTAACGTGTATTCAATCTAACACAAACCCATACTCACTCTCACTTTCAATATCTATTTTTTTTTTTTTTCTTTTGTTGTTTCTTAAACATCACCAAACTTTATTTTTAGAAATTGGTAATCGATTCCTCTAGCTTTTCCAAAGTTACTTTCACCTCAATTTGTGTTTGCACTTGGTGGTAGATACCAAACACTACTGCCGCATTGTTCAAAAAAAAGAACGGAAACCGTCGTTAAGGTTGGTTACAAATTGCAATTGTCTCCTAATACATGAAAAAAAAAAAATTAATAACCACTACAATACCCATCTATATTAGGCTTCGCAAACTTAACAATCACCAGCTGTTTGATATAAAAAGTCATTGAGATTCCGAAAGTACATATCATTTGCAGATTCCAGAAAAAAATAAAAAAAGTCCCCTCCAATCATTATCTAAAACTCACTGTTTCCTCAACTAAGTTGAATAATAACAATAATAATGTCTGAGCAAAGCAGTATAGGAGCCCTTTTCGAGTACTTGAACAAGAGAGATGAGTGTGAAAATTCCAATGATTACGATGGTGAAAACTTTGGGGCTCGTGTGTCGGCCGTTTTCGTCATTTTGGTTACTGCGGGTATTGGGTCGTACTTTCCAATCCTTTCGTCAAGATATTCGTTCATCAGATTGCCATGGTGGTGTTTCTTTGGTGCTAAATACTTTGGAAGCGGTGTCATTGTAGCTACTGCATTTATTCATTTGTTGGAGCCAGCTTCTGATGCTTTAACCAATGAGTGTTTGACTGGTCCTATAAGTGAGTACCCATGGGCATTTGGGATCTGTTTGATGACTTTGTTTGTTTTGTTCTTTATGGAGTTGGTTGCTTACCGTTTTATCGACAAAAAGGTTAGTTCGATGACTGATGACATTGAAGAAGGCGGCGGTCACACTCACTCCCATTTCGGTGACGAGTCGTTGTACGTAAAAAAGAAAGTTGAGCCCAAGAAAGAAGAAGATGAAGAGGAAACGGAGTTGAACGAATCCGGTCACGAGGCTGAAAAACAAGTCGCCCCTCCTAACCCATACCCCAATCATTTCCTGCATGCTGCTGAACATCAAGATCCAAGTGTAATGGGAACACCAGTCAATGATCAAAACAAAGAACAATATTACGGACAGTTGCTCAATGTTTTCGTTTTGGAGTTTGGTATTATTTTCCACTCAATCTTTATAGGTTTGTCATTAGCAGTCGCAGGTGACGAGTTCAAGACTCTTTACATTGTCTTGGTTTTCCATCAAATGTTTGAAGGTTTGGGTTTGGGAACTAGAATTGCAACCACCAACTGGGGTGACCACAAATTCACTCCCTGGTTGTTGGCTCTTGGGTACACTCTTTGTACACCAATTGCAATTGCTATTGGGCTTGGTGTAAGACACTCTTATCCACCAGGATCAAGAAGAGCTTTAATCACCAATGGTGTGTTTGACTCAATTTCTGCAGGGATTTTGGTATACACAGGTCTTGTTGAGTTAATGGCACACGAATTCTTGTACAGCGGAGAGTTTAAAGGCGCAGATGGATTCCGTAGGATGTTGGCGGCTTACTTTATCATGTGTTGGGGTGCTGGTTTGATGGCCTTACTCGGTAAATGGGCATAAAGGAAAACTTTTTAACGGGAAATTTCTAATTTTAATTGCTGTTTCGAAACGCGGTGTAATTTATAGATTAAAACATGGCTTTTGAGTATTTCAGTTATACAATGTAATCATGGGCTGGACCTTGCAGAAGTTGATATTTGACTGCGTTGTTCTTGTAAAGCCGGGTCAGAGGATTGCGCTACCGAGATAATTTAGCCTCATTCATTTGATAAAATTGACCATTGCAAAGTACAGTTTTTACGTTAGTCAGATCGTATAGCCAAACTTACCTCCTCATGCTTCTGCTTAAATTAACTACGAGAAAGTTACATCCTAGGGTATCCTTGCAATCTATTGGATTACCTCTACGCCACTATTCTGTTCCTCCAAAGTTTGCCCAACAATATCGTGGTCCTCCAAAGCTTCCAAAACACGAGCAAGAAGAGTTTGAGCGATTACAAAATATAGCACAGTCCCAAATTGCTATTGAGGACTATAACGATAGGTTGCAGGCCGCACAGCGTGAAGCTGCTGCTGCCACCACGAGTGGCTCGGTGGATAACGATGCAAATGACGATGTTAAACCACCAGTAGTTAACGACAACTCCGATATTGGCACATTTGCTTACTTGAAAACTATTCCGGAATTCGAAGGTGAAGTGAATCCAAAGACTGGTGAAGTGGGCGGGCCTAAGCAAGATCCGTTGAAGCAGAGTGATGAATGGACCTATAATGGTCGTACTATTGACTTTTAAGTAGTGTATATATCAATCGAATTGGTGGTTTGTATAAAATTACGGAGTATAGCGGAAAGCTGCCACTGTAGCCATGACTGGTAAAACTAGCTGTGATTGAAAATTTCACGAAAACGCAAAAAGTTTGTGTGAAAATTTCACCCAAAGACCCAGAGATGGACTTTGATCCGTTGTCCTTGTACACCGCAACTCCAGCCAGAGATGCCACGAGTTTTGCAAGTGAACCACTATCATCCAAAGTGAAACTGCCCCCTTTAAAGCAATCAGAAGCTTTGGGTTCAGAAAGCGCACGCATTTATGACGACATCTGCAATGACGAAGAAAACGATGACATGGTACCACTACATATATTGGATTTGCCGTTGCTACGTTTACAACCACCCTATGCTGTACTTGTCATCATTTTGAAGCTCATGGCTCCCGACGAAGTACTCAATTTTGAACGACACCCGTACCAACAAAGCGCCAAGCGAGATGAAGATACCATCTTCAAGGAAAAGGCTGTTTCGTCGAACCAGCTACAAGAGGCTTTACCTTGGCTAGTCAAAAACAGTTCTCGATTACGGACACCCTTTCAACTAAGTTGCGTTCCTCACTTGGCGCTGGCATTGCGTTCAAATTTTACAAACGAATATAACGCATACATGACGCGCATAATTTCTAATGAGCTTTCATGGCTTAACGAGAAAGAGAAGGAGGAAATCCATTCATTGGCCAGCTTAAGGATTAGTGAAAATTGTGGACGCATGGCTCAGCCGCAACTCAAGCGAAAGATCCAATTGGCCCATCTCGAACAATACGGCAGGAAATACATTTTTTTGAATGAACCATCAATGACCAATGATAATCTTGGTTTGAAAACCTGGGGGAGCTCATTGATTCTTGGGTCAAGATTGTTGCGCGAAGGTCAGAGGGCTCCATTGCTACAAACCCCAGTTTTGGAGTTGGGTTCGGGAACTGGACTTGTTGGGATATGCTGTTGTTTGATGGGTATGACAACTACCCTCACGGATTTGCCCCAGATTGTACCGAATTTGAAGAAAAATGTCGAATTGAATAGCCTAGAGGCGAATTCATCTTGCGTGGAATTGGACTGGTCAGCTCCACAGGGCTCACCTGTGTATGGCAAAACGTTTTCTACCATAGTAGTGAGTGATCCTGTGTATTCAGCCCAGCATCCGTACTGGGTAGTCAATATGATTGATTTGTTCTTGAAATCAAACGATAGCCAAAACTCAACTCCCTATAATGTGTTGATTGAAGTTCCATTGCGACCCAAGTTTGAAAATGAGCGACAGTTGCTATGGGACTTGATGCTGGAAAATTTTACTGAAATGGAATCAGACATCGAAAATGGGTTTGATGATTTTGGAGAGATGAAATTTTGTTACAAACGGTTTGTGCGAAAATAGTAAAATTCTCCTGGGTTTACGTCTATAAATAGTCCTTCAACTTCTTTAATTTCTCAACTGCTTCCTCCAACACTGAGTCATCTTTACAAACGGCAAATCGGACACAATTTTCTAATCCATTACCTTGTCTTCTCTCTTCAATCAAGAACTCCGTTGGAGGAATTCCTACAACGCCAATCTCCTTTATCAACCAATAAGCCAACTTGAAATCCAATGTTTTTCTACTTGAAATAGCTTCGGGGAACTCATAATCACCAGGTATTTTCAACTTGGATAAATTCACCAAGAGGAAATATCCACCTTCGGAAACAGTGTATGGCAATCCCAAATCATCAAACACCTTGGTGAACAACTTATACTTCTTTTCGTAATCTCCCTTGACCTTATTGAAGTAGTCGAGTTTATCTGCTTGCTCAAATGCTTGGGCCACAGCTTGTTGCAATGGATGAGGTGTCGAAAAACATATTCTCGTGTGTGCAGCTGCAACGTACTTTATCAAAGGCGCAGGTCCTTGGATGTACCCAATTCTCCATCCCGTAGCTGCAAACGATTTACCAGCTGAACCAACTGTCAAGGTCCGTTCTTTCAATTCAGGTAAAGATTTCAAGTTTGCAGGTCTGGGGAATTCTGGGGTAAAGTACAAATTCTCATAAACCTCGTCACTGACCAAGATCAAATTGTGTTTGATCACCAACTCACCAATTCTGTGTAGCTCCTCATTGGTGAACACTTTACCAATTGGATTATGAGGTGTATTGATAACAATCAATTTGGTTTTATTGTTGATGCTCTTTTCCAACTGTTCCCAATCTATTTCCCAATCCGAGGCTTGTACATTTTCCGAATCCAACTTCTTTGGATATTTTATCTCGACGTATCTGACTTTAGCTCCGGTCATTTCAATGTTTGGAATATACTGATCAAAAAAAGGCTCAAACACAATTGCCTCATCTCCTGGTGTTAAAAAACCAAAAAATACGGCAAACATACCTTCGTTTGCTCCAGTGGTGATTTGAACCTCTTCAACCGGAACCTCACGACCATAGCTCTTTGAGTAGTGTGCAGCAACCTGTTTCAACAAATTTGGGTTACCTTTTGCTGGCGCATACTGATTAAATTGAGGTTTGGACAATGCATCATCTACAGCTTGAATTGCAAAATCCGGAGGACTGTATGAAAAAAACCCTTGTCCCAAATTGACTATCTTGCGGTCGGGATTCGCTTCTTGTGCTTCAGCCGCGGTCTCATTGATCAAGGACCAAATATCTTTTTGTCCCGGCTTGAGGTTGAAGTAAGGGTTGTGCAATGAGGTGGGATCTGATTGTCTTGAAGTTGTCATTGATGTAGTGAATAATCTAGTAAACGGTCTACGGGCTGTATATCTTCTCAACATAAATTTGCTGAGAAAGGAAAGAGATTAAGGGTTTGCAGATATGTTTGATTTTTGTTGGTGAAAAATAAAAAAAAAAATTGTGCTAAACTTTCGTTCAATAACGCAAATAATAAAAGCCGCGACGAATTTCCCAATGGGGAAACTGTGGCGCCATCATTTCCATCAGTTGCAAATTTGACGCAAGAGAGCGGATTATATGGCTTAGTATTATGGTACTTAATTAAGAGGGCTCCATAGAGAAGATCTTTCTAAACATCTGAGTGAGTTTTCAAGTTCGTGCTGACTAATCAGTGACACTGGAAATGCCGCTTTTCAAGCAATTCTCCCTTCTCTCCAAGCCAATGAGCGTAGAGTTGATTAATATTGGTACCCTAAACTATTTTAAGCAAGATGCAAGTATGTTGTTCTATCTCCTTGATTACACAAAATGTCAACTACGTGCCAATAAGTCCGTGATTTCCATCAATTCACTCAGCTATTATCATCAACAAGTATGCGGAGGCGTTGTCTGTGATGGAATCCTAACCCTTTTGAGAGTAAGTGTGACTATAGCCTTTCTTCTAGTGAAAGCAAGCTGTTAGTCAAAGACCCAATAGAGTTTACTATTTTTAGAACTTCTGGAATTGTACAGAGTCGTAAAATATACGGAGGTCAAAGCTTAATTTATTTTTAGAATTCCGTATTGCGCAATCTATTTTTGCAACAACAATAACATACAGATGCTGCGCCCTGTTTGTTGGTTTGACCACCTCCAAACAGTTGATTCAAGGCATGCTTCTGGTGAAATCTCTCTCTCTCTCTCTCCCACACACACAATGATCTTCCAGAAACTAGAATGGCATAAATAGCAATGAGGATGTCTGATTGTATCAGATGTTCTTGTGGTTGACAACCATACAAAAGCCTAATAAAATGCTTGGTAAAATAAAAGGTTTATTTGCGCCTGCACAAAGTGTACAGGTTGAGGCTTCAGAGGAGTTTGGAGAGGATGAGTTTGGATTAAAAAAATCAGTTAGTAAAGACATCTACATCTTTTCAGAAAATTCAACTGGGAGCCGCTTACCACCGGTAAATGCACATCTTACTACAAGAGTGAACATCCTTTCATTGCAAGTCTATCGCGGTAAAACAAACCCTTCAAAATACTTGAAGGAATGTGAAAATGTTCAATTCATTGAATTTGCAATCAAGGTCCGACATCGAATAAACCATCTGGTTCAAAAGTTGGTGCGGTTAGTGATTGAAGTTGCTGAGGCGTGGAGTAACACACAAATGTTTAGTAATGAAGTCATTGGGTTCATTATACAACAAAGCAATCAGTTTGTTGTTGGTTCGCCATTTGAAGCAGAATTGGTTGAGCCATTTTGTATAAGTCTTTATGCTGATACGAAAATCATTGAACAAGTTGAGAAGTTGCACAAGTTTATTGATAAGCTGAAGTATAAGAAATTCAAAAGAGATGTCAGCACACGCATGGCTTCGGTGTTTAACATGGCCATCGATACCGACGAATTTGCCAATGATTTGGTGTCCAAGTTTGTGGCTCTATGGTTGTTTGCCTTGTTGGATATAGATTAACTATTCTCTATGAATCTATACTACAGATATTTTTGAATTATCAAAATCGTACTGAAATCCCTCTGCGATTAACCAGCTTTTCAAGCTTGGGTTTTTGTGAATCACCTCGCATGCATATCCGGTGACCAATAGTCCGGGTGGTCTTGATCCACACAGTTCTACCGCCTCTCCAAGTCTGGCCAAAGTTGTGCGAATTACTCGTTGGTCGGGACAGCTTGCACGTTCGATTATTGCCACTGGCAACTCAGGAAGCCATCCCTTTTCTTCCACCAACACCGGAACAAGCTCCACGATTCTATGCAATGCCATGAGGAAAATCGTAGTTCGACTAGGCACAAAGGAGGGCAAGTTTGGAACAGCCCCTTTCCTTCCAGTGCCGGTGCAAATCAATACTTGGTCAGCAACGTCTCTATGTGTCATTGGTATGCCTGCAACCACCGGTGCTGCCAACGCTGAAGAAATACCCGGTATAACAATGGGTTCGAATCCATGTTCAGCAAAGTAATTGTACTCCTCGCCACCACGGCCAAAAATGTAAGGATCACCTTGTTTTAATCGCAACACAAACTTTCCCTTTTGAAGTGCTTCAAGGCCCATAGTTAAAAGCTCCTCTTGTGCACGTTCGGCATTTCCTGGAAATTTACGTGCAATGAACAATTCCGGTCCATGATTCTTCGGTATGAGATCAAGCACTTCTTGCGGCACCAACTTGTCGGCTAAAATCAAATCTGCTTGATGGATGGTTTGTATTGCACCCAAAGTCAACAATGCAACGGAGCCAGGTCCGCTTCCAACGAGAGCGATCTTGCCCTTTTGGGGTAACAGCACGGCAATTTCTTGGTTGTTATCGCGCTTGTATTTGTCATATGCAAAACGCAAATCCTCAATGGATAAGGTGGCCAATTTTGATAATGGGTAGTATTCAACAATCTGTGAAAGCCATCTGTTCCTTCTTCCCTTGACTTCCTCTTGGGTTTGGTTGAATTCGTGGACTAATGAGTTGAACTTGTGTGTGTTGACAGAGTCGTCATCATCATCCCCAATTTCAAATCCTACTTCATCTTCAATTCGGATTTGTCGGCGTAACTCGCCAATCTTGTCACAGATGAGGTCAATATCAGCTGGTAGTTTATTGACAATTTCTCTCTTCAACCTTGATGCTAACTTGCAACCTTTTCCATTAGTTGTGACTCCGAGTTGGAAATCACCTTGGTTATATGATGATAATAATGTGAATGTGCTAAACTGTGGAGAGTCAGTTGTGTTGATGGGTATCCTCAATCGTTTACAACGTTGAAAGATTTGTTCCTGTAGGTCCATCTGGGGAAGAGTAACAAAGACTCTATCTACGACAAAATCCACTTCTGTCCGGCCCAACTTGGTTAAGTAGTGATCAATTTTAAATGCAAAATCTGCATCTTTGATAATGGTTAGCTTGCCGCTTGCTTCGTGTAGTGTTAGGCTCGATGGTAGATCTAAATCTTCAGGAATGACAAGTACGGGGTATGCACGAGCTTCTATGATTGAGTTGATTCGTAGGTTGGTTACACTGGAGTAACCGAATAGTAATACCCTTTCGTCTCGAGTATCAAGTGAAGCTAGTAGATTGGTCATGATGATTATATATTCATGCTAGCTGTAGTTGCAAAAAAAAAAATTTTTCACATACCACTTTTGGATATTTATCTTTAAATCTGTATTATTACGTAAGGTGTCGTATCAATAAGTGTGATATTACGCAATTTCACTGTAAATATTGTATTACATAATCATTGAGTGAGAAAATGGCACCTCCTTACGTAACCAAATTTTCTGTATACATTTGCTCTCCTCGATGAGCCTTAGTGTAATAATATTTCAAAGATCACAGCTTCTTTATTAATCAAGCTCAACACATAGTCATGGCTAAACGTACATTAGGGTTGGGCAAGGCCGCTAAGGCTAAGAAGCAGAAAACGGAGAGTGAGTCAATTGATACTGGAAAGGCTGATGAAGCTTCGAATCAATTGACAGTCGAATTACCAGAAGAGGTCGATGCCGATGATGAAATATCCCAATTAAAGGGCCTTTACAAAGCCCATATAAACTCCGAACGCGACAATGAGTTAGTGGTGAATGGTATAATCCACGAATGTGATCGTTTGCTACGCAACCAAGAAGAAGGAACATCTTTACCACCTACATTTTACAAAATTTACTCCATCGCCTTGAGTGAGCTTGCCAATTTCCACTTTGAAGATGTCAAGCAGGTCAAGGAATTTTTTGATGCTAGTTTGGAGAGGATTGAAACAGGGTTAGAAAAGTATCCACACGACGTGGAGTTGTTGTTGACTCGTGCAAAGATTTTGATCAATCAATTGATTTCTCAACATGTTTCACAATTGAGCTTGGATAGCAAATCTGATGAAACAAACGTTAAGGAGTTGTTGGATGCGGCTTTGAAGGTGTATGAACTGGCCGAGGTAAAAGCTGATGAATCGTCAAAATTTGAAGCCTTCAGCAACGCCGAATACTTTGATATTTTGGAAGCTGTGGATGATTTGTTGGATATTGTGGATAACTTTGGCAAAAATGAAGTTGAGGAAGAAGAAGAAGAAGAAGAAGAAGAAGGCACCTCCAAAGATGACAATGCTGGAGAAGAAGAGGAGGAAATTGAGTTGGATGAAACTCACCCCTTGTACCCAATTAAAAACACTGACGAATATAATCAATGGTGGAGAGATCATACAATAAAATATCTTGAAATTTTAAACAAGGTACCCTCACCCCCAGATTCATTGATTAGAGAAGTTAATCAAAGATTGGGACAATCATATCTTCAAGAGTCAGAAATACCAACCAATGTATACACTACATTGAAGTACGATGAAGATTACGCAGGTTTGGAGGAATTAGAAGGATTGACTCTTGAGCAAGCTCAAGAAATTGCCAAGGACCTCATACATAAGGCATTAGAGCATCTAAAAAAAGCAGAGGATAAAGAAGAGCCTGAATCGTGGGTCAGCATCGCTGAGGCTATGATCACTTTAGGGAACTTGTATGAGTTGGACTCAGAAGAGCAAGAGAAGTTATACGATGAAGCAGAGACGATTTTAAAGAAGGCCAACAATGTTACCAACGGGAAGTATGAGGACGTTTTGGAAAATCTATTAGCAAATTAAGAAAAAAAAGAAAACAGTGGTATTATAGGTTACTATTTCTCTATGAGTAATAATTCTACACCCTACTAGCAATGGTACTCTCCTTCTGTAACTTCATTGCGTTTGACTCATGAGCGTCATCTTTGCAATATTGTAAACCGATACACAAATGATCTTCCAATAATCTATGTTTGGCACAGAATTTACCTTGACAATGTGAACAAGTGCCCACCATTCTCAAAGGCGTGGAGTTGCATGATTTGAAAGAGCATTTGTTCTTTTTCTTTGTCTTTTTGACCGTGGTAGATGTAGTGGTGGCAGTACTAGGTAATGCAAGGTTATCGGATGAGGCTTGCGGCGATATTGGTGGTGTATCGGTCGATTGTGCCATCAATATGACTTGAATGGAGTCGTCGTCAGCTTTTATGTTCAAGGATGATAATGATTCGTTATGAGGTTGTAGTTTCTGACCGTTGTGAATCAACTTGAACTCTTTGGGAAGTGGTGATGGTGATGCTACTTTAACGCTATTTCTCAAATCTTCAACAGTTGAGTTGTCGGGGATTGTGACTTGAAAAGATGATTCGGTGGATAATCTGATGGTGACTTTCATATTGAGTTTCGTGTGTAATTTGTTAATGAGTTTTATCTGGTGTGATATTAAAAATGTGTAAAATATGGAAATACGTTGGTTAGAAATCAGTAGATAAACGATTGTGGTAGCATCGGGTGGCAAAGAGACTGAGTCAGCTAAACACAAAGTTGGTTGCAGTAGTCTTTGCGGAATTAAGACAAAAACAAAAAAACAAAAAAAAGAAATTTACTTTTTATTTCAATGTCGCAGATATCAGTGTCGTGTGACAAGAGATCTAGCAAAAAGAGTTGTTTATTCATATATTGTAGTAACCTGTACTTTTATTATCTATATCTATCTCATTTCCATATAAAAATTGAATCTTCATCCTATGGCCCTTTGCTGAGCCTTATTTTCATAACCTTCATAAACCAATAGTGTGACAAAACGCTAATCATTTTCAACACCTTGTTGTTATACCAAATCATTAGCACTAATTGAATCCCGAGCAACTTTAGTTCTCTCACCTAATACAGCGGACTTGAACTCTCGTTTGTTATACACTGTCTTTGCTCCGTTAAGTTGAACTTCTGAGTTTCTTTTTGTCTCCTTAGCTTGTGTACCTGCACCAACTGTACTTGCTTTCAAGTCGAGATTTGCTGGAATTATGGTCGACACGACCAATGGTAGAAGAAAGAATAAGGTGGAGTGCATGGTGTGTTGGATGTGTGTAAGGTAATGAACGGACTGTGTGCTTGATGTGGGTAAAGAAGTGTAAGGAAGTACTCACTGAACCTTGGTAAATGTTATCTTCACTTGGGAAAAGTCCAGCTTTTATATATATATATATATATTCCAGCTGCAAAAAAACACAGCCTCCCCGATTAGGAAATAAATTTATTGTGCGGTACCTTACTGTGAATCTAGAATAACAAACAAATTTCATTTCAAGTTTAGCACGCGAAACATAAAAAAGAAAAAAAAAAAAAAAAAAAAACAATGCGAGCTGCCCCAAGGGGGAGGCGATGTTCGCATTGTGTTTGCTGTTCTCGCTCTGGCCCCTGTGGCAAGCAGGGGTCTTTTTTTTTTTTTTTTTTTTTGGATTTCCTTTCCCAAACAAGTTAAAACAGATTTTACAATCACGAAACAGATCTGTTGCAAGCCCCTCCCACGAGGTTGAAAGCCTTGCAATGTATGAAACATAGATGCTCTACACTTGAGCGACACCCCTTACTTTTCGATTACAAGCATCTACTAAACACGTTGCTGATGCTCATTGCAAATTGGAGTATTTCTCCTTCATTGCTTTTCTTACTCTCATTTTTGGTCCGTCAGTAGACTTTGTTACATTATTCAACTGCTCAACAGTTTCTTCGTTTGCCTCTTTGTTGTCTTGCTGCAGCTCACCGCGTTCAATTTCTTCAGACTCCTTGGTAAGATTGACGTCATTGGCCTGTTCCAAATCCGCAGCAGCAAAAATCGGAATATCTGACAAGTTCAGCAAATTGAAATCTAAAGACGAGGCACTTGTTTGTCTTTGTAACTTACTAAACTGGTTTTCAGCCTGTTGTTTCTGAGCTGTAATGACATCAAACTCCTCATCATCTGTTGTACCATTGTATTTTTTGTAAAATTGCTCGAAATCATCAAACATACCAGGACCAAATTTGTTGCAAAATGCATTGACTTTTTCACGCAACTCCTCCCTGGTTTCCTTAAGTTTCTCAATTTGGAATCTGTCTTCATTAATGCTCAACATTGAAAGAAACAAAGGTGCAAGGGACTTGTAGTAATCTATTCCGATCTCCCCCATCCTCAATGAAGCATAAGTTGTCAACACCGCCCAACCATAAAAGATGACAAAAATGATCCAAACTGATGGCTGATACTCCCCTAGTATTTTGGATTTAACAATCAAAATTGTCCCAATCACAGACCAGAAAATGTACAACATGGGAGCTAAAACCATAGCAACAAGGATCTTCCAAGTACTCAACACATCCTTGGCCTTTATCTTCACCACTGATGCAGCTAGCGCCTCTTTTGCCTTCTTTCTGGATATTCTTCTCGAAATAATAAAGACGGGACTAAACAAGAAAATCCCTGGAAGACTCAACCCCATGAATAAGGAAAATTTGAAGAATCTTGTGGTAAACCTCCAAAAATTGGAGACTCTATTTGACGTATCCAAGGACTCCACTTGGTGATCATGAAGGTTCAAGTCTCTCAATTTCTTGTTGTATTGCAACACTGCTTCTTTCAACTGTATAACATCAGGTTCATTTTTATACATTTCATAACCTTTGATGAGTCTTCGATTCATTTCAATAACCATTGGAAGCGGGATATTGTCTCGGTTTCCTGAAGTATACAATCTGCGTGCTGCCTGCAACACCATCAACGTTTCATAATCATTGCAAGTCATTGTAACCTCCTTCAATCCAAGAGTGATAATTTTCAACAACTTATCCACAGCTTCCCTTGAATTCGATTCATATTGCTCAGCCATCTTTTCATCCACAATAATAGGTTTACCAAATTCAATCACCACTCTTGATCTGAACTTGTGTGGGTGAAAGTAACTCAATCCAACCGGAACAATACTCACAGGAACAACTTCCTCGCGTTCTGAGCTTCCAGCAGCAGCAGCGTTGACCTCCTCTATTTGCTGTGCAATTGCACCCAAAGCCATAATTGCCACTCCCGGTTTTAATGGCAACAAATCCGGACGATCATGGGAACCACCTTCGGGGAAAATCCCCAACACCTTCCCGTCATTCAAATGGGTAAACACATTCTGGAAAACAACATGATTATCAATGTGTGGAGCTATTTTAAACTCAGTACCAGCGTGCAATTTCTCATCAATTCTCTGCTGAATTTCCTCCCTAGGCGAACTGAATGGTTTTTTCAACAAAATCTTTTCATCATCAAAGATTTCTTGTATTGAGCCATTTCCAAGGGAGTTGGGCAACCCAATTAGTCCCTTCACTTGGCATTCAGCGTTGAATTTGGTTCCCTCTCCCCTTATGATCCGGTTGTCCTCCTTGTCAACATAAATTTTACCCGTACCTTTCTTCAATAAATCTTGAGCTCTTTCAACGGGGATTGCACTGCATAACTTTGCACCCTCGCCAATTATTCTCCTATCGTAGGACTTTTTTGCAATCAAGAAAGCAATACGACGACCCAGGTGCTCTTTGACCTTAGCCATTACTACCAATCCATCAACAAACTGATTATGGTGTGGTGCAATAACAAATATGACAGGACCTCTAGTGGGGATATTGAAGCTTCCTCGGGATTGAACGTCACGGAAGAAAGTGTGGATGACTAGATTGAAAAACCACAACACGAGATCATAAGAGAGTAGCTTGATTATGAGGACAAGGTAGTATGTTATTGGCTTTGACTTGGTCTTGTGAGGTAAGGATTTGGCTCTCTTCCCCTCGCTCATTATGGAAAATCAGTTCAATTGGTTCGATCTTCAGGAATAGTTGGAAGCCCGCCCTTGCGTGATGTTTCCTCTTTTTTGGTCGAGATTTCTGTTGGGGGAGAACGATGAAATTCCTCGGACTTTGTGTTTGCACACAAAATTGAAAGTAATGCTGTCCTCAGCAGGATCCAAGTATACATCGTCGTTTTAATCGAACGTTTTCTACCGCCACTTGACGCTAATTTCAGTTAATCATTGTTAATAGGAGATAGAGTCCATATACAATTCTGAAGAAATTCCAAAGTCGAAATCATTCAATTATAATATCACAATTACTTATCCCTTGGACGGCAAAAAATGACTTTCCGCATGCGGCTGCAACATTAAGTGTGTAACTCAAAAGCTAAAGAGAGTGTAGTTGACGGCAGAAATTACACAGTGAAAGAGTATGCAAATGCTAAGTAGCTCTAATAGACACAAAGTCCATGCTCTAGGTGTGTTACACTTCAATAAGCATAATCACCAATTAATTATGCCTCACTCATATTAATCGCTGTGTTTTGAGAAACACTTGCTGGATGTTTTGCATTTGCAGCTTCCTGCGTTGGCAGTTTTACCTCACCTATATATTAATGGAGACATTTACAATCCTTTTCCACGTTGTAGATCTTTCCAGTAAACACAATGTTGATCCGAATCTGTATAATCATTACACTCTTTAGATGGTCTACTGCTGAAATTGGCATTCCGAAGGAGACAATTTCAGTGCACGCTGTCTCAAACAGACCCACTGCAACTGCAACTGCATCAAAACCAAACATTTGCAAGCAGTCTGTTGAAGAAACAGGACAAGTCAGGATGGAGACATTTGGAGGCGATTTCGCTACAATGACTACTAGTATCTACCGCCGTGAGGAATTAAAAAATTGGGGAGAAGGTGATGGTGATGATTGGGTGCAATCAAACAGTTTTGGGTCTACAAGCACTACAAGCACTACAAGCACTACCCTGGATTTGTCTGATGGTGAATTTGGATTCCTTTCTCTTCTCATATTTGCACCAATTATTCTTGCCCTCGTGGGGATGGTGGTCATAGCTATCATATTAGCTCTAGTTGAATTGATTCTAATGTGTCTAGAATGCTGTTTTGGGTCAAAGGATGAACACATTCATGGCGAGAACAACCGCCAAACAAGTGAAGTTCGTAGAGCAGATAATGTGTTGCCACAACCCCCGCCCGCTTATCTAAGAAGTGACGAAGAAACGTTGGTTTAAAGAAGCACATTTTATGAGTAGGTACAAACAATTCTGTATGTATGCTATGTTTCAACTCAATCTATTCAGAAACAACATTGGCGTAGCTGATCTCTAATCCTCGCCTGCGGGCACTTCATCTTTCAAAACCTTGTTCAACTTCAACTTCATCTCTGTCCGTTCATCACCACGTAACGCATCCTTAACAAAGTAAACATCGCAATCCAACTGCACCATCTGCAAAGCACCTCGAATCACTCCACATAGTATTTGTGAATACCACAATTCTCTTGCAATTTTAGAATCAGTTGAAACTGGTAACTCGACAAACTCAGTTAATGGGTTCGGTTCTGGTATTATCAAACTGCAAACCTTGTTATCATTGGACCAGTTTTCCACGTGTGGTTGAATGTTGAGAAATAGTCTGAATCCTAGTTTTGATATTACGTCAGCAGTCTCTTTGAATGAGGAGCATCTCTGGATACCTGTCTTGGCAAGGAATTCTTCAATTAGTCTGCATCCAATGTTGTAGCCCATCTTGTCGAGCTGGTTGTTGACTTCACGATAGTTGTTTTCAAAGTCTCGACATAATTGAGCCACGAGTGATCCATAAGTTAACGTGAATAGTTCTGAATTCTGTGAATGAGTTAGTCGAGTTTCATTAACAGCTCTGGGTTGATACATACTATCTTCTCCACCGATCCTTTCCATATATCATCTCCTGCAGATTTCTTAGACATGGTTGTGTTTCTTGAGGATTGAGTCTGATCTGATTTTCATGTTGTTTTTTTTCTACGCGCTACTAAAACCTACTAAACACCTACTAAAACTGTCGCTTTTATTACAAATGCTATTAAAATATTAAGTAAAGATATTAAGATGAAGTTGCTAGTTGTCCTCTCTAAATGGTCTTTTTGGTTTCTGTCTCCTTCTCAACCTCAACCTCAACCTCCTCTTCGAGATTCTTCTTCTCTTGTTTGCTCTTTGGGCCCTTTCTCGACTTTCTAGCTAAAAACTCTTTGTACTTTTCCAATGTTATGTGGTTCTGCAACTCCTTGTACTCTTCCACAAACTCGTATTGAGTTTTATTGAAATAATCCCAAAAGGTGAAAAATGGTTGGGAAAAGTTGTTTTTGATACCCCAAATTTGGTGATGAATGTCGTGGTAAACTGAATTATTTGGAAATACAATTTGGAATATGTCCCAAGGTAACTTGTAACCGCAATGATCATCAACGGTTTTCAAAGTGGCAAAAGTGTATAGTATAATGCATTCTCTTGGACTCAATCCTGTAGTGATTGATGCAACTCCAGTTCCCAAAGTATCCAACAAGAACCCTTCAAGTGGATCATTGTACAAAGCACCAAATGCATATGGCACATACAATCTATGATGACGTGAATGGAATCGCCTGTACAAAGTCTTGTTCACATGCATAAGACGATGAAGCCAAAATTGCCAAGTGTCAATGATCGTAATGGCAATACACAACCTAAGAAGCGACCATCCATACATGTACCCATAGTAAACTACCAGGTCAGGCACAAAACGGGGTAAATAATAATGTTTGATTTGCCACATGGTGTAATATTCGTAACCGGTCATAGGAGTGGGGTCAAAGTAAAAGACAACAAGCCCAACTGCAGTTTGGATGATGTGCTGAAAAATGACATCTTTGATCACTTCATGCATTGTCACCTTGTTTCTTTTCATTTCTTCTTCACTGGGGTGGATTTTATACTTTTCAGCCAATTCATACACATCAATAATATGGAAAAACATGGAATAAGACCAGTAGGCAATTATTGGAGCCATCAATGCAGTGATTCCATCAGGGATACCAGGAATCAAGTCCGGCTTCCGACTCAATGTGAAATTATTGGTTCCATAGTATGATGACTCTGAAAGCATCAGAGAAAAGTTTTGGGGTACTTTCAATACATTCATTGGTGATGGAGGTTGAGTGGTTGAGTGAAGGAAGTTGAAAGTGTGTTATAATGTGTTTATGTAGTGGACTGGAAAGTGTCAAGAATATATGGTGAAAGAAGAGAGACTTCGTTATATATCACGCTACTTTTCTACCACTGCCGCTTTCTCTCTCTCCCTCTCTCTTTCTCTCTCTGTCACTGTTGTTGTTTCTCTTTTGATGCGCTGCTGCTATTATGCAGGATTACAAAGTTTCTTTTTTTTTTTTTTTCGCTCTTACAATTTTTGGTCTTCACGTGTTTCCGTATTAGTCAACTGTATTTCCTTTCTAGATCTTTTCCCGATACAGTGTTGTAGATAATAAGGCACAAGATGGAATCAAACTTGGTTTCCCAATGAGAACGGTGGTAGTCCATGCATTGTCACTATTGTCTCCAGTAGGATGAAAGCAAGTGCAAATGTCCTTCGATCTACTCAGTCTACTCAACCTAGCGGCTATTTTTACTGGCATTGCTATTACCCCTATTCTGTTTCTTCTGTTTTTTTTTTTTTCTTTTTTATCAGAAAGATCAGTCGCATGGTGGATTAAGATCTCATGATGGCAAAATGAATGACATCCATGTTACGTAATCAGTTTACCAGAAACAATGCAGAGCATAATTTTTTGTCACCTGTTATTACTACATCCCACTATTTACGCAGAGCTTCTCTTCCGTTGCCCGAAAATAAGATGCTCTCCGTTGTCGTACTTGAATGCGTCTAAGAAATCACTGCCTTCGTTGGTGTTGAGATAGTCACTCTCGGAAGTACCATTCAATATATCATCGAGTTCCTTCGATGTAGTGCTGGGAACAAAATACTGTTGAAAATTTAGCACCTCTTCCAAAGCCCTATTGTCTATACCCCAACTAATCAACTCGTCATTGAAAGGCTCGGGATCTCCCTCGGAGAGCAGTATTGGTGGTGATTGACTGCTTCTTCTAATAGGTGCCGGTTCAAACTGCTTCAAGTGATGCATCATATTTTGTAAATTTGTCGCCCATCGCTTGCATGTGATGTTGAAGTCGGCATAACTGTTGAGGATGTTGTAGCCATCTTGCAATGTGTCCTGCAAGACCGAAATGTAATGAAGATCTGGCTTGGATGTGTTTTGTTGATCTAACAATGTGAATCCCAAAATGATTGACGCAAAGAAACATGCTGATTGTATGGTAAACACTTCTTTCCGATGTGGGTTGTGAGTTACAAAGAACTTTAATAGTTTAATCACCAAAAAACTTGCCTTGATGCATGCCTTGCAAAAGTTCATCAAACTTTGTTCATCTTTCACCTGTTGCTTTGTTTCTGGTTTAAGCTTTCGCGTCATCACATAGACCAAAAATGGTCTTGTGAGTGTCATTATGCCGTACAATTGTCCAATGTGAACAAACACATACAAGTAATTATTTGGATCAGTTCCCGATTCCATCTGGCTCTCCATTGCAGCACTCAATTGCAACTCCTTGGGGAGCTGCACGGACCATAACTTTAACTGCAAAGCCAAAATATGGGCTCTTTTGATATTCACCACTCCATCCTTGAAAATGTTCTCAACAATCTTGGCATTGATAGCAGCACTATCAGCTGTAGCTTTCTGTGCTAATATGCGGATTTTCTCCACCTCTTCAAGATCCTCAGCGTCAACCTTGCTATCCGCATCATCGTAATCATAATCATTAATCATTAAAGGGCGACCCAAGTTGACACTACTAACGCAATCGCAAACGTAAAGACTTCTCCATAATCTTCGTCTGTGGCTCAAAATGTCTCTATTCGTTATTCTGTCGTTGATACAACGTCGATGCAAACCCAATGCTTGTGCTATTCTGATGGCAGATCCAAGCTGCATCCATGCATTTGATCTGTTGCAGCACGATTGGAAATAAAAGTACTGGAGAAAGTAAACCTCGCACATCCAAATCTTGCCATCAAACACATTATTTCGTAGTAGAACTTGCGCCAGGTTGAAAAATACCTCCAGGGTCGGCAAATTGAGACACAAATGACGTGATCCTTCACTAAAGAGCCTTCCGATTGCAAACACAGTGTACAATAAGCACAATTTTTTGGAGCTGCAATTGACCGAGTCACGATAAATTTCCTCAAAAATGTGTTTGTGGAAATACTTCATATTGAAGATGTAGAAAGTATCGTTGATGTTTGTCTTGAAGAGGTCGATTAATATAAATGCATCCGCCTTTGTTGGGAGCTGAACAGGAATAGGAAGAAAACGATAATCGACACTCTCGTCGGTGATAAACTGCTGAACAGGGTCATCAGTAAAGCGACTAGTTCCAGAGACATCTCTAAACAAGCTTCTGCATTCTCCCAATAACGAGAGCGCACTACTTTCTCCAAAAAATCTCAAATTCCCAGTCTTTGTTGTCAAAAGCCTTGTATATTGACCGTTCAAATTGGAAAGCCCCTCCTTCAGCTCTGAATCTTTTGTTGGCGGGGTTGTTAAAGGGTCCGTTGTGAGGGCTGTCTGCAAATTCTCACAAATGATACTCAAGGATAGTGGTGGCAGTGATGTTTTCCCAATCAGATCCACGTGGTAACCCGTTGGGTTTTGTTTTGGCGAATGAGTGAGTGGGGGGATATCAGGAACCAAGTTGTCGCCATTTAATGAAGAGGAGATTCCATCCTGTCGATCGCCTTCGAAACTGATACTTTCTCTCATTTTTTCCAGGTAAACTTTAGCCTTTAATGACCTGCCATCAATTTTCGAGTAGACACACTCGAGTGCCTTTGCTTGGCAGTACCGGCATGGCGTTAGTCCATCACACTAGCAGAAGCTTTAGTCAGTATGGTTTGTGTGGGGGAAAAAGAAAAAAGAAAAATAGAAAATGAAATCACAAGGTCAGACATACCTTCATTTTGCGTTTCTTGCAAACATCACAAGCACGAGACACTTTCTTTCGCTGTACTATAGGTAGAATCCGCGGACGTCCTTTAGGTCTCGGGGTCTTTTCTGTCATGACTGGCGAAGGGGATCTGTTGTTTTTGTTTCTGATTACGTTAGACGATTAAATTTTTATTTTTATTTTTATTTTTTACTCCTCTTCTGTTAGAACCCTCCCCACATAAGAAAAGAAAGAAATCTCAATATCCTCCTCCCCCTCCTCCGTCCCCCCTCACTGGCGCCAATAGCGTTGTTTACAAAAGTCGATGTTGTTTTTTTACACAAAACTCATACCGAGCATCCGGACTTTTTTTTATTTTTTTGTTTTTTTTTTAAGCTTGCAAGAATTTGGTCCTCAATATACTTCACAAGCCGCCCACGTCGATTGCTGTGGAGGAGTCCCTCTTTACACAAAACTTTCCTTATGGGGGTTGGGTAACTTTGTCTTGTGAGTTGCGATGTCTCCTTTACAGACAAAATGAAAAAAAAAAAAAAAATTATCTAAACGAAGTTGCTTGTAATTGGCAGTGAAATGAAATGATATTTCTCAAGATTTTACGGACATTAATATGCGTGTTCACGTGAAAGCACGAAAAAGCGATTCAACCACATCTCTGTGCAAAACTTTTCGTTGTAACACGGCGTTTGTACAAAGAAACTTCCTCCCCACAAGATTTTGTTACATATCTATTGTTGCCGTATTTTCGTTCTATTGTTACGTCAGAATATTGAAATCAATCTCGGTGCCAGATTTCCACAACAATAACAGCTAATCCAGAAAATATTTTACAGAATTTGGTCTCTTCTCTTCAAGCTCATCTCAAATTGCTGCAAAAAATAAGCATACATAACTTACCATCGCCATAGCAAAGAGGCTGACAAATTCATTAGCCCAACTGCTTGAAACCTGCAAATCAAAGACGCCCGCAGAACTTCCCACTACACCTTCAATTTCAAAAGAAATTGGATTAAAAGAGAAATCAAAAGTGTGGCTACCGTTGTCGAGTCTATTTGCGGCAATTTGATAATTAAAATCATACATATTTAAACTTTGTACCTGAAATTCTCATCTCAGTATTTACGCACATTATTCTGTTTTATTTAAATCAGCTACAATTTCCCTGCACACGAGCAATAAAAGATGCAACCTACCTCATCGTCAAACATGTCGTCCTCCATACGTAGTGCCAACCGTGACTCAAAGCAACCGCTTGAGTACGAGCTAGAGGCTGGTCTACTGCCTAGTGATTCGGCATCCAGTGATCACATCCATCATACTGAAAATTTAAATCGAAGTTTGAGTCCCAGAGTCATAAATATGATCACCATTGCTGGAGTTATAGGTACTGGATTGTATCTCGGTACAGGGAAAATGTTGGCCACTGGTGGGCCATTGAGTTTACTATTGAACTACATGATCATTGGAGTCGTGGTGTTTTTCATGATGCTCTGCCTAGGAGAAATGTCGGCCCAGTACCCCGTCAGCGGCTCTTTCACAACATACGCCAAAAGGTTTGGCTCTGATTCTTTGGGGTTTGCCATATTGATCAACTATTGGTTTAACGACTGTTGTAGTGTGGCTGCAGACTTGACAGCGTTACAGTTGGTGATACAGTATTGGACCGATTTCCATTGGTACGTGATCTCCATTATTTTCTGGGTGTTCTTGCTATTCTTGAATGTCATCCATGTCAGAGCCTATGCAGAAGCTGAGTATTGGTTGGCTCTTCTTAAAGTAGTCACCATTTTGATCTTCTTTATTGTCAGTATCATTTGCAACGCCGGAAAGAACCAGATGCATGAATATATTGGATTCAGATATTGGAGCTACAAAGATGCCCCATTTGTCAACGGATTCAGAGGATTTAGTTCATTGTTTGTCTCGGCCGCTTATGCATTTGGTGGCTTAGAGTCGGTGTCGTTGACTGCAGGTGAAACAAAAAATCCAAACAAGACAATACCCAAAACGGTTAAAGCCACTTTTATCAGGATCATCATCTTTTATGTATTCACTGCATTTTTCATTGGCATGAATGTTCCATACGATTATCCAAATTTGCTGACAAAAGATGTTGCAGTTTCACCATTTACTATTGTCTTTCAACAAGTTGGCGCTAAAGCTGCCGGCTCGTACATGAATGCCGTAGTGCTATTATCGGTGTTGTCAGCTGGAAATCATGCTTTGTTTGCTGGTTCCAGATTAGCGTACAACTTGAGTACTCAGGGCTACATTCCCAAAATCTTTTTACCACTTAATCGTTTCCAGATTCCATATGTCGCTGTTATTGTAACCTGGTTGATTGGAGGATTGTGTTTTGCGTCTGCATTTGTGGGTACCGGTGAGTTGTGGTCATGGCTCCAAGCAATTGTTGGGTTGTCCAATTTGATCTCGTGGTGGGTCATTGGAGTGGTATCTTTGCGTTTCAGAAGAGGCTTGGCAAAGCAAGGAAGAACACACGAACTATTGTTCAAAAACTGGTCATACCCATACGGACCTTTGTTTGTAGTAATCTTTGGTGGATTCATCATTTTGGTCCAAGGGTGGTCGACATTTAGTCCGTTCAGCGTGAATGACTTTTTCCAATCGTATTTGGATTTGGGTGTGTTCCCAGTGTGTTTCTTATTTTGGTGGCTCGTCATTAAGCGCGGAAAAGATCGATTTGTGCGTGCTGCTGACATGGATTTTGATACTGACCGATATATTGAAACACCGGACGAAGTTGAAATTGATCAACATGCCAAATCATTAAAAGGTTGGGCCAAGTTCAAACACAATTTCGCTGATAACTTTCTTTAGAATAGAGTAAGAAGATTACATTCGTACAAATTATTTTTTTTTTTTTTTTTTTTTTTGCTTTTCCCTTCAAATTTGCAACCAAGATGTTTCATGTTGAGTGTTTATATAATCCATTATCCTTACCACTGAGATTGAAATTTGATGCATTACTTTGCAATGCTCATATTCTTCTTTCTCTTGGGCCTTACACTTGCTAATGTCGTTGTTGAGGAATTGGTACTCCATATCCCACAAACGTCGTCCAGATACTACACTATAGATATTGATGTGTACACGGGCCCATTTGATCTCAATAATACATTTGCTTATCTCATGCTAGACATGCACAATGAGAAAAGAGCGTTACATGGTGCACAGAAGTTGCGCTGGTCAACTGAAACATTCGAGTATGCTGCTAATTACTCACAGTATTACAACTGTTCGGGAATCTTAGAGCATTCGTATGGCAGGTACGGGGAGAACTTGGCTTATGGTTACACACCCGAGGGGGCTATAAATGGGTGGTATGATGAAGGGAAAACGTACGTGTACGGCTCAGAAGACATCTACAATCATTTCACTGCGATGATATGGAATAGCGTTAGCTCTGTTGGATGTGCCTATAAACGGTGTCCCAACAAGGACCTTTACATCATATGCAGTTACGATCCTCCCGGAAACATTATTGGTTATTCTTCAGAAAACGTGTTCCCCCCTTTGAGTGCCCACTAAAGGTGGTCACATAATATTCTTGATTCTAAATCGATGTAATTTTCAAAAAATGACTTGAACAAATCATTGAGTCTAATGATATCGTAGGCACCTCCAGTCTCTCTAATTGAATGCATTGACAATTGCGGGTTTCCGAGGTCCAAAGTTCTGATACCCAATTTCGAGCTCAATAATGGACCAATGGTGGAGCCACAAGGAGAATCGTTTCGAACCACAAACAATTGAAGTGGCACCTTCGCCTTGTCGGCAACTTTTTTCAACAAAACCACTCCTGGAGAGTTGGTTGCATACCTTTGATTAGCATTTATTTTGATTACTGGACCCAAGTTAATCTGAGGGCGATTTTGCGACTCATAAGCATCGCCATAGTTTGGATGGACACCGTGTGCTTGATCAGAAGAAAGCAAAAACGATTTTGAAATAACTTCATGGAAAAAGTCCACATCTTTATTCCCATCAAAGTCAATTTTGGTCAAACGCAGCAATACATCTGGGAGAAACGAAGAGTCTGCACCATGCAGACTACGAGATCCAATCTCCTCGTGATCAAATAAACTGATCAACTGGATACCTTTTTGGTTTGCCAAATCATCAGCAGACTCAACCAATGACTCAGTCGCAGCAAAACACGACGTCAAGTTATCCAATCTTGCCGAAAATATAAATTCGTCATTCAATCCACCAATTTCCGACTTTTGGTGATCATACAAGAGTAATTCAAAATCCTCAATTTGCTCCGGTTTGACGTTCAATTCTTTAGCAATGAACTCAATTAATGACTTGTTGTGTCTTGAAATGACATTCTGGACAGACTCAAACTGTTCCGGAGACATTTTCAACTCAGGATCGTCCGCGCAGCTTTCTAAAGCAACTTGGCCTGCAATTGGAACCAACTTTGTCTCCTTGTTGAATTCAAATTTGGTATTAACTTCGCGATTCAAATGGATAGCCAATGTTGGAATTCTCAACAAAGGTTTGTTTATCTTCAACAACTTTGGAACGTATTTGCCATCTTCATCAACGTAGACCCTACCTGCAATTGACAAGTCTCTGTCAAACCATGTATGAGCAATCAATCCCCCATATTGTTCTACTCCCACCGTGATGAATCCCTCAGAGGTTCTTTTCGAAATTGGCTTAATTCTCAAACAGGGACTATCGGTGTGAGCTCCAACAATGGCAATACCATTCCCATTCTTGTACTTCCCACCAACAGTGAATGCAACGATCGAGGAGCCATTACGTGTGACGTAATATTTCCCATTTTTTTCAACTCTGCCACGCCAGTTATTGCGTTCGACGAGCTCTTGGAAACCAGCGCTCTTCAACAGCTCTTTTACGGAATTGACAGCATGGTAAGGAGTAGGTGACTCATTGACAAAGTCAACAAAGTTTTGAGCGTATTGCAAGGAAAGTTCTTTGGATGTCATGGTCGTTAATGATTCAGGGGAAGAGTGGGCAGGCGAGGGTGAGCTACCGTGACGTTTGTTTTTTTTTTCCTCTTTTGTCCTTCGTACGGCGCCAATTTAAAACACACATGTACTTACGGATGGCATGCACTCCCTGCACGGTGAACATTTTACAATTGCAGCAGCGAATGGTTGCAAGCGCAGCCAAAAAGAAGGGCTTTGAAGGGACATTGAATCGTGGTGACGGTCGTGTTATCCGAGTGCCGTTCCCCTCCGTCTTCGGTAAAAAACAAAAAAAAAAAAGCATTGATGTACTGTTTACAAATGCTATCTACTCAAGCATCATGATTGTACACTTAGTAGAAGAAAGAAAGGGGGGAGGGGGGGGGGAGATGGCTACTGTACCGTGTGCACTTTTTTCCTATGCTAGAGGAAACTCCCATTGCTTTGTAAAATTCAAATAGATGTTGCAAAAGATGACATGAGAAAAATAACACGACAATAAAATTTCGTGTCAAACATCACGTCCTTCACATCACTCAACATGATTTTGCTAGCCTTGTTAGCGCTTGTCCCATTGGCCACTAGCGCATTTGCTCCTCTACTACTCGCTTCACATAAACTAGTCCCCGGATTACAATCAGAAATCAATGAATCGAATCTCAAACCTCACAATGTCACTTCTGTGACCAACATGTTGAAAAAGCTAATAACCCAATGTTCATCGGATGCGTATGTTATAGTTGATCAACCTGGACTTACTTATGAAGACTTGACTGATAAAAAGAGAGATAACTGGCCCTTTTTGATCAACTACTTGTACATGTCATCGACTATTGTTGGATTGCCACGAATTGAATCAGGTCTTGACTTGGACTTTATCGAAGACTACATTATAAACACTTGCGATGCCGAAACTATCAATGTTTGGCACGATGACGACAACGAAGTTACAGATTACTATGATGTCAGAACCAGAGTTATCAAGATTACTCTAAGCCCCATTACTGGGGACCGAGGAGCGCATTTGCGTGAGCACGATGAATTGATTAGAAAGATCTTGCGTAAACTTCCGTCACCACATTATACCGTGATCTTGACAAGCACAGAGCCTGGAAATTTTCATCCAACCCCAGACTTTATCATGAGTGAGCAGCCAGAAAACTTTGAGATCTTCCACGATATCGTGAATAACCCAAAACATAACGGAGGGGTAGAGAAGAATGATCGATTTCATAAGGTTGCGCCCAATTGGAATCCTATAAGACATACAAATGATCGATACCTCACAAATAGAAAGAAAGACGAGATTCATTTATTTGACTACAAACTATGGGAAAAGAATGAAAAGCTAGTGGCCACCGTGTTGGTAATGATTTTGAGCTTGTTTATGTTGAAAACTTTATCGGTTATCCAAACTATCAAGCAAAAATTCATCAAGCAGCAAATACCAATTAGCAAAAAAACCAATTAGATTAATCGTCTAAAATGACGCTAGCGTCAAAGTAGAAGGATGGATCCAAACTTGAAATGTCAGCCGATTTGACTTTCCCATCAATCAATAATTCACTCATTATCTTCCCAGTACCGGGAGCATTATTGATCCCCCAGCAAGAATGTCCTGATGCCAAAAATAGATTCGTCACATTTGTCTCTCCAATCAAAGGTCCACTCGATGAAGGAACGTCCAACACTGGTAAATAGCAAGCTTGTCGTCTCAATATATGACCTTTTCTCAAGTTTGGTGATATCTTACTCACTTGGTTGTAAAGTTCGTCACATTTTGACCGCACAACTTCAACGTCGTCGGTTGTTTCTGGAACGTCAACTGCGCTGTCACCCTCTCCACAAACATACACTTCATCTTGTCTTGCATAAATCTCTGGTGATATGTACGAATTGCGAGCCACTTTCAACTCGGTGAATATCGCGTACGGGCTTACTGGTTGGTCCTTGAAAGGTGCTATGGTAATCGAATGTGCTCTCAACCCAGATATAGGACAATCGGGCAAAATTTTTGACATCCAGGGTCCAACAGTTAAAACAGTTTTGTCAGCTCCCAACTCAATCAACTTGTCCTGGTACTTATCACTATCTTTTATTGAAGTAGGTTGGTATATGACCCCAGTAGCAGTTCCTGTTTCCTCCGAATAGGTGATTTCCTCAACTTTACCTAGAATCAATTCCAATGCTCCTTGGGAACATTCGACTGCTTTTCTGAGCATAAAGTTTGTAAATTTATATGGGTGAACTTGTGCGGTTGTATCAGTGCCACCCAAAGTGGTGCAGTTGTCAATGAGTGACGAGTTAATCCAGTTTAAGCTTGAAGGGAGCGCACTTTTTGAAGAATCCAACTGCACAACTGAAGTAGATCTAGTGTTTCTGGCCGTCTTTTTAGGCGGTTTTTCGGTAGCCGAGGATGAAGAGTCACTATCGTGTGCAGTGGTTTGTCTGAAACTATCCTTAAAGATGTTTTGTTTGTCCGCCACGTTGTTGTCCGTATCATCCTCGTCAACATCATCATCGGCTTCCTTTACGTTTGTTATGTCACCTTCCAATGAAACAGTGGTTAATCGCCTGTATCCCCACTCTTCCGCCCCGTTGTATTCATTGGCCAAGCTTTGGTGTAAATTGAAAGATAATGAAACAATCTGTTCAGGAAATGCCCATAACGCAAGTAGACCACCTGCTTTACCGCTAGCTCCCCCCGCTACTCTTTTGCTCTCAATCAACGTAATATGATACTTTTCGGGGTCAAACTCAGGGTGCTTGACAACAAAGTAGGCGGTGCAAACACCTATTATACCGGCCCCCACTATAATAATGTGTGTCTTTCCCTTATGTCTTCCCGAAGGTTCAGACTGAAATTGCAAATAGTCAACATTATTATTGCTCTCCATAGTTGATTATAAAGTAAGGAATAAATGAATTATTGCTGATTCAGTGAGGTGAGTGAGCACTTTTATCGTACAAGACTGGCTGTATTCAAACTTAAAAAATGACTTAGTGTTGAAAGTAGAGCTTTAGTAATACGTTGTTACAATGGTGGTTTTATATTTTTTTTCTTTGACTCTTTTTGACTGGAGTCGCGCATACACTCTCATTTTTTTATTTGTTTTTTTTTTTGTGACAGTGAAGTAGCGACATTTCAACACGGACAAACTGTATCTCTCTCTCTCTCTCAAAATCAGCTGTTTTTTTGTTTTATTCAGTTTGTCGTCGCACTGGTGAAGCAAAACTGGACGCGGAGGCTTTTGTATCACATACGGTATCAATCTTGTGTCGGGAGAGTATGGTGTCTACAAAGAAAAAAGAGGCATCGTTGATGGAAGACGTGTGGTAGTTGTCGTCCAACAGGAAGTCAGAAACACATCTCTCGTTGCAGAGCTGATAATTATATATTATTTCTTTTTTCTCATCAGCCAACTCTCCTCGTTTTTCGTTTTTGCAACCAAAGAGCATGAACGACCATCATCATCATCAGTTAGCCAAGCGAAGAAAAAGCAATCCATCAAAGGCTAACCAATTTATGGTTAAGATCCCAAAGAGCAACATTCTCGAATTTGATGTCTCCGAGTCGGATGACAGTGCAGAATCTCCGTTGCGTGAAGAACTGTTGCACGACGACACCTGCACAAACTTTAGAAGCCCATTGCAAGTTGGAATGAACCCGGTGTCACTGAAGAAGAGGGTGGAAATCACCGGCTACACAAAACGAGTTAGAGAGGTGGAGATTACAATGACCCAAAACCATGACTCCTCGTTTGACAACTCGTGCCCTTTGGAAAGTCCATTCATCGCCACGGTCGAGGAAAAGCACGCAGTGGCGGTGAAAGATGCAATTGACCCTACTTCGAATATTTCTTTTATTACATGGTGTGAAGAATTGAATTCTATACAAGACAAAGAAAGGAAACTCTTGAACCAACTTTACATCGAGCGTTACAAGTTGTACTTGAGATATGACATGTTGAATAAGGTGTTAAACAAATATGCTAACCAGTTGAATGCAGAGAAATCGCAATTGAGTGAAAAATTTGAACATATCAAGAAAACATTTTCCGATATCCTCAATCTCGCTGTTTAGGTCAGCTATATTTATCAAGTTTACCCTTGTGACAACCATCCCATTTGAACAAAAAATTCATAAATCTTAGAAGCTTTGTTGACATCTATTTTTAGTGTCTGACGAGCATCCTTCTTTTTCAACACTCCATTGTTTTTCACTGCCTCTTTCATCAACTGGTTCTTTATTGCTAGATATGGTTTTGGTAAGATCCTCAATGTTGCACACAATTGTTTTTCCTCGGGTGAAAGTAGTTCAAAATCGGCCGCGTGGCTTATATCCAAAGGTGTTCTATTCACTGGTGCTTTTGGCTTGAAATCGGGCTGTGGAGAAGGGTACTTTTTGCCGTTGACATTGATACCCGGTGTTGCAGAGTGTCTAGCACTGAGTGCTCCGTTGCCCATCCTTTGATAATGTGCGCCTCTAATTACTTTATCTTTTTCAAATTTTGCCCCATCTTCAAGAGTAGTTATCCCATTCTGGCGCCACGATTGTAATTGTTGTATTCTTATGCGACACTTTAACTCAGTGAGAAGGTCGCGCGTGAAAGTGTTGAAATCCTCTGGACTCAAAATGCGTATAAACGCATTCACTTTTCTGAGTAGGTCCTTCTCTTCCTTCGACTTTTTCTTATCATTGGTTATGTTCTTCCTGTACTCAAGAAGGTTATTCAAAAACATGATTCGTTTGCGTTCGGCCCTTGTAGTCAATCGCGAGTTGTAAATGTCAAGGATCGTCAACTTTAACTCGATATCGTTTATCAGATCATCGGGATCAAATATCATATCCTTGATAGGAACCTCTGCTTCATTTTCGGCTTCGTGGTCAAACTCCAACCTACCGGGCATGAAACCTTGAACCTCGTGACAGAGGGGTACCGAGGCAGCTGGTTTACCCTTAGGTGGTGGCAAAGGCATATTTCGCCTCTTTTCTAGCCTCTCCTTTCTTTCCTCAAGGAACTGCAACGGCGACACGGAGGTAAAATCCTTATCCATTTCCGGTAACGGATAGTCCTTACTTTCAAGATAAATTTTATAATAGTGCTCAGCCACTTCTTCCTTCGATCGGCTACCAATATGATCTGCAATATCGGCCCAATTACCCAATCCAAACGTCTCACATCCCTGTATCAACAACAATTCCTCATCGGCACCCCAGTCTCTATCAAAGATCGGGTATGTGTTTTGTTCAATTATTTGGTAATCATGCCATGGTTTGTGGTCCCCCGTTGTAAGTCCAGCTGCAAAGCAAGGAACACATAGATCGTAGTCAGTGCATATAGCGCATTGTACTCTTATACGATTGGTACAATCGGTGGAACATACATCGCAATGAAATAATTTAGTACGTGAATCCATATAAAATGTATGTTATTGATTTCGTGTGGGACGCGTTGGTGTGTTGTTTCTCTTCCGCTCCCCCACTTTGAACGTATTTGCCTCTCTCTCTGCTTCTGTTTTGAGTTGCGTTTAGACCGAGAGTGTGAATTTACGGGTTTTATCGTGCGGCTCAAGTCGAAATGGGTCGTGTGTTATTGCAAATTATTTAGAAGTCACAGTTGTCATGTGACTACAAACTTTTTAGGGCTATTAAAATTTGAGCAGAAAATTGAAATTTTTTTCCATCCAATGCGAAACTATCAAAACACAGAAGTGGGAAAAACTATCCAAACTTACTCTTCACCACATATAGATAACAAGCAAATATGGTATGTCATGATGACACGATGTCCAGTTATTGATTCAAATGAAGCTTGAGAAGTGCTCGAGTGGTGCACAAGGGAGACAGCGGTGGTAAAGCATGGAAGGAGAAATTTTGGAGAGGAGCTCCTCCTTTCAAGTAGGGAACTACACAAGCGTAGATAGAGAGCCAAGCGATGTTGAATCAGTACAACTATACAGCCCACAGTTTATACCCGAATTATATGATTACTAACCTTCAATTTTCAGGGACGTGTTAGAACAAAAACTGTCAAGAGAGCTTCTAAAGTTTTGATCGAAAGATTTTACCCAAAGTTGACTTTGGATTTCGAAACCAACAAAAGATTGACCTCCGAAATCGCCGTTATCCAATCAAAGAGATTAAGAAACAAGATTGCTGGTTACACCACCCACTTGATGAAGAGAATTCAAAAGGGTCCAGTTAGAGGAATTTCTTTCAAATTGCAAGAAGAAGAAAGAGAAAGAAAAGATCAATACGTTCCAGAAGTTTCCGCTTTGGACTTGTCACACACCAACGGACAATTGGAAGTCGATGCCGAAACCGCTGACTTGGTCAAATCATTGGGTTTCAAGATCCCATTGCAAACCGTCAACATTTCATCTCAAAGAGGTCCAAGACGTTTCGCTAAGAGAAACTAAAGGAATTTGGAGGTTGTTGTATAATAGGCTTATAGTCAAAGTATAAAATATAAAATATTGTAATAAGGGTAATCGAAGAGTGGCCGTGTAAATCGATCGCCTCTCTATTTTCTATTTTGGAACGCGAATTTTTGTTGATACACATCCACCTCTTTGCTCACGAACACAGGGATGAAGTTATTACCGTTTATATTGCCGCTAGCATCCGCCATCCAATGGTTTCCTTTGGACTCCAAGGGCGAGCTTCCTCAGTATGAGCCCTATGCTTTTGGACAAGAAGTTGCGTTCGATTGTATACAGCGGAATATTGATACGGGTGAACACAAGTTTGATCAACAAAATAAAATTATCCACGGACCCTTTCCTAAATGTGAAGAAACATCAAAACCGTTGAGTTTCAAGTATGGGGTTAATGAGGACTTCAACTGTACAATTCTGTTTACGGACGAGTTGTTTCATTTATTTCAACTATACCTCCATGAAGATGTTCCATTTAGTTGCAGGTTGCCATTGAGTTCTGAAGTAGCATCTATCGAAAAAGGAGGTGCATATGTCCCATTCACATTCAGCTTTAGAGGAACCTTAACTGACTCGCACATAGATGTGGACCATTCTATGAACGTGTTGATTACGAAACCAACCACCAATGATCCTGAACAAAACACATTCATCAGTGCGATTGCATATGCATCAGGAACAAACACCACTAGGATAGTCATTGGTGATAAGCTTACGTTAAATTTTGCCGTGAGGTGGCTAGATCTGTTACAACCTGTTGGGTCTGTAAAGAGAGGAAACGGATTGCCCTTTGACGGCGGATTTTACAAATTCCCTTCCAAGTTTATTCCAATTAGTTACCAAATGCTATACTTCTACATAGGTTTAACGTCGCTCGTTACGTCCACCTTGGTTCTCATAGTTACCTACAACTGGATCAGTCTGAAGTTGAGAAAACACAGGTATTCTCCTTTGGACGCTGAATCTAAACGAGATTAATCTTTTTGATAATCGCTTGGATTAATGATTTTATTTTGTCATTGCCTTCGACCTGCATCAACCTGTTGACAAACATGTTAGTTAGCTCCTTGTTTGGACTCTTTGCTTTGTACGCCAAAAATTTGTTGACTGATAATTGCAACCCATCATTTGTTGTTCGTATTGGTAATGTTATGTCGATGAATATTGTTCTGATATCGTCTGGATATTCCCTTTGAATGTAGTTTAGAACATGATTGTACAAGTAATCTCTGTCTAAATCTTCAAACTGATCAATCAATTGTAGAAATTTCTCAACCGCTTCGAATCCTCTCGCCTTCGCACATTCATCGAAGATAGCCAAAAACACATCCCCTTTCAAAGCTGGATTTGTTTCAGGGCTCCCAAGCATATTCATATCTGCATCGGGGAGATTTAACTTGGTCTCGGCTTGTGGCAAAACCATCATATCCTCGGTTTCCTTCTTTTCCTCTGCTTCAGTTTCAGTGAGCAAACCCAAAAGCTTTCTCCTAGCAAGAAGTTTCGAAATGTAAGTCAATTCAAACTGTGCATAGCTCAACCATAATGTAGTAGACTCTGGGTTGAGTCTCAAGCCCCTCTGGAACAACAATCGTGTGCCTTTAGCATTGCCATTCACTTCAAACTCGTACTTGGCTGCCGACAACCAAGCATCAATGTTACGTGGTTGTAATTGCAACAATCTCGAGTAAATTTTGTAGATGACTTTGATTGCACCATTCTCCTTGGCATAAGACAAGTATTCTGCCCACAACTGTTGATCCCCGGGGAATCTCTTTGTGCCTCTGTCTAGTATAAACATTATTCGACGGACCCCAGCCCAATCGCTTATACTGGCCTTTGTATCAACTAGCCCCACTTTGCTCAACCTTGCGTACCTCTTTTTACGTAACTTTTCCAAATTGTTTTCAAACTCACTATACTTGAGGAAGTCTCTTGGTCGACTTCCACGTCCGGTGATCCTATGTTCGAAATCAGTCCGTCTTCTCATTATCATGGTAATCTCATTTTTATCAAATAGTCCCTTAACCTTGAGGTCCTCTAACTCGGGAACGGATTGTTCCAAGTAGTATCTGACTTTGTCTGCCATTTGGTGAGATGAGGTATTTGATGAAAGAGGAAAGACAAGAAAACGAAAAAAAAAAAAAATCATCGCAGGAATTTAACTCGCACAGGGGAACAAAAATGACTTCAAGGTAGGTGGCTGCGAAAACTTGATGACTATAAGGGAATCACCATAACACAATAGTGCAATATAGCTACATCCAATCTGACTTTTTTTTTTACTTGTGCTATTACAAATGTAATTAGGTCTACAGTTTATGCCAGTTAACTCAATTTATTTACTTAAATGCAAAAAAAATGAAGATGTCCACCAATACTCTCAGCTTCATATCTATGAGCGTAAATCATTGATCGACTTGATAATAAAGAGAATCTTTCCATAAGTTTAGGTACCTAGATTACTCGATGGGCTGTAACTTTCTGAGTTTGTAGCTGTATGGGCTGTGTCAAGAGTTGTGAACACATAATGTGGTATAGGGAGACGATTTGATGTGGGCTCATATCTTTCTTTTAGTTGAAACCTCAATTTGGATTACAGTGCTGATATTAGTGTGGAATGGTTGCTCAACAGTCGGTGGATATGTCCTTGAAATGAAAGCGCATGAAGGGTGAGTCATGCAGATTCGGATTTCTGAAACATAATCAAAGCAAGCAAGCGCTCTGTTAAGTAACATGGAAACGAGTATTCTCATCCAAGTGTAAAAGTCTGGAAGAGACATGAAAAAGGACACCAATTCTCTTTTGAAGTCGAATGCTTCTAATAGATGTTTCTTCAATAAGTCTCTCAGCACTGAAATTTTCCAAAGATTTTTTTGCCAAAAGATTAAATACAGAAAATAAAAACGTTGTACACCTTCAAGGGGCAGACCACCACCTCATATATGTCATTAATACATGCATAAACATAACCAAACAAGCTAATACTACTTATTCGTCAATTTTTGTGCTAAATGAAGCAGTAACAATGAATTTTGTTGGAAAGCATCGAATCCGATAGTTGTTTTTTGATCTCACGTCACCTCAGACAGCGTTTCAAGCAACTAAAGTTGTTTGGGATCTCTTTAACACACTTGGGATAGTCTCAGTATGGATAAAAAATGGCATGCTCGAAAACTAACTGCTGAAATGCCTTGAAATTTGTGTTCTTGAACCGTTAAATTCAAAAACACTGAATATTCATAGCACTCGATTTGTACCAAGAATTTGGTGTCTGGCGCAGTTGCCAAATTTTACGCTCCATTAGCTAAGAGGTTATAGCGTCGTGCTTATAGGCGAGTTCCGACTTTTGGACTTGACTGTACCAAAGTCTTTTGAGACGCGAAGATCGTGGGTTCAATCCCCACATGGAGCACTTTAATTTTTTCAAATACCACCCTAAATTTTCTGAGTCTTTTTTTTTTTTTCTTTCTACTTTTTTTTTTATTTCTTTTTTTTTTTGGCAATCCCCCTTTTCTCTCTTAAACTGGTTAATGGATCATAGGGACATTTGAGATGCTTTGTGACAGATGCATTGATCTCCTGAAAGTTTGTTGGCGACGAATGTGGCGTAGGTCTACCTAAATTTGAATGGTAGGAAGAACCATAAGTTGTAATCTTCGAAGTACTGCGAGCGGTATCTCCTTCGAGAGGAAAATTGAACAGTAGATAGATTGGTAGAAATTGAATTGGGGCTTTCGAAACTAATTAGAGAAGTTGATACTGCATTTGAGTAAAGAAACATTATCGGGGGCCACCCAAATGTGCTTTTAGATAATGCTAAACAAGACATGATAGGGTGAAGATTGTAGATCTTGATATCATATATTGAACCAAATGTTCAAAAACAATCCATACCAGCTTGTCTATTGAAAGAAAAAAAAAAAAGTATCATTACCCCACATAGTTCAACCGCTTCGAAATAAACACGATGAATCACTTTTTCAATGGCATGCCAAGGTCCTCTCACCAGAGCTCCCCCACAAATAATTACCCAAGCCGGCACCAACGGCTACTGCAACCATGTACCATCCATTGTAAGTCATAAACACCAACATTAGGAAAAACGAATAAAATACTTGAATTCCGTAAAAGACCCCTCTTTGCGTTCTGAACTTGCGCTGCTGGCTAGAGTTGGCGTTTGAAGTAGTTGAGGAGGCAGATATTGTTGCAAGTGTGTTTCTCTCCCAATTGGCCACCCAACCCTTGGCAAATTCATAGCCGGCTGAAAGGAATATTATGATCAATAATGATGCTATGAAACCACTCAAGGATCGAACGTGCCACCACTTGAACACAACACACGAATTGTTCCAATCCCAAGTGAACAACATCTTTAGTCTGTTAGTACAAGTAGCAGAACGTGTGTCCAAGAATAGTGCATAATACATACATTCATGGAGCACGTGTCATCCGGCATTGGATGTGAGGGCATTGGCATGTCGTGGTCCATGGAGGTTTGTGAATGTGGCATGTGTTGTGGTGATTTATTTTGGTTGGTCAGAAAAGAGGTCAATTTGGAAACACACTTTGGTTTTCTTTTCTTTGCTCCGTGTGGATTTCAAATTTTGTGATTCTTTTTAGGTCCAGACGTAAAAGTGACAAGAGGATCTTACACAGCAGGGGGGGAAGACTTGATTGTGGCCAACAAGATTAGCTCGTGAGTTCATACGTACATAGCAGCAAGTCAATGGGGAACAATATACAAAGTGAGGGTATTCCTGCTGCTTAGGTCTATTTTCTTTTGTTTGTCTTCTGAGTACAGTTTGAGGGACTACACGGCAGAAAGTTTACAATCACATTCCCGACACGATCACAATAGTCGTAAAAAGAAGGAACAAGTTTGCAGAGACAAATTTCGTCAAAAGAGTAGCTCAGTCACAGAAATAGGCCATTAAAATTAGTACTTAGTTGTTCCTAGTTTGTCCGAAGAGGATAAAACGAGTGAGTGACTGAAAAAACATTTCCGCGCTAAATATTAATGTGCTCACTAACAAACTAATTGCACACTTTACAGGGCAGCCAGAGGCAAAAGAGAAAAAAGAAAGAAAAAAAAAGAAAAAAATCCGAGTGAAAGGAAAAGAGAAGCTACACACACACACACACACACACACAGAGCAAAAGGAAAAGGATATTTTTTTTTATATGCAGAATGGACTGATTAGAATTATCTCATATATAAATAAGATTAACAGTTCCATCCCAACTTTTCAACCCAATTGCTTTCCATCTACATCTACAACTACAATACCAATATTGATACATATTAATTAATACACACACAATGAAGATTATCTCAGAAGACGAAAAGAATGCACACATGAACCATGTGTTATCGGAAGGTGCTAAAGGGCTAGTTTACGGTGGTGTTTTGTCCGTTGGTATATATTCATTTTTCAAATACAGAAGACCAGCACGGTTTGCTACTTTCACTACTAGTGTTAAGGCTGCCATTATTACTGTTCCAACGATTGGTCTTTCTGCGTTTTGGGCTGATCAAGGCTCATGGGAATTTGACAAGATGATGCATCAATCAGAATATAATCAACAACAAATGTTGCAAGAGCACAGGAAATTCAATAGTTTATCCATGTCGGAAAAGATCTTCACAACCTTGGGTGCTCATAAGTACCAAATCATTGTTGCTGCTTGGGCCGCATCCCTTTATGGATCATGGACTATCATCAATAAAGATAAAGTCATGACGACTGCTCAAAAGGCAGTACAGGCAAGGGTCTATGCACAAGCAATCACGGTTGTTTTGTTATTGGGAACCATATTGTTGAGTTTGAAGGAGGCTGAAATCAACAAGAACAAGCCAGCACCTCTTCCTCATTGGAAACAGGTATTGGCTGAAAAGGAAGCCGAAAAGCAAGCTGAAAAGCAAGAAGCTGAACATAAAGCAGCCGAAGAGAAACGCGTATCCTCTGAAAAGAAGGAACATTTATAGACCAAGCACAGGAGGCACAGCGAGAGCAAATGCCTTTAATGTGATATTAAAGAGGACGAGTCGTGGGAGACGCAAACTGGTTTGTTTACGCTTACTTTAATCTGTATGTATATAGTTTTATTTTTGACGAAATTTGAAATGAGAGAGGTGTGATGAAACCACAAGTACCGATGTAGTTTCGAAAGTTGTCTCTTCAGTGTTATGAACCTCACTTTACTGAGCAAATTTTTTTTTTTTTTTTAATTTTTTTATTTTTCTTTTCATTTCATTAGAACTGCAAAACAGTTAAAAACCCATCATCTCAACGACCTTAACACCTTCCTCTCTCCTCCCTCGTTAGCAATGGCACCAAAAGCTAAGAAGCCAGCACGGCAGGACGAAAAGCTACAGGCGGTAGTATTGACAGACTCGTTTGAGACTCGTTTTTCCCCATTGACAACCACCAAACCAAGATGTTTATTGCCATTGGTCAATGTACCTTTGATTGAGTACACCATGGAGTTTCTTGCCAATGCTGGTATTTCAGAGATTTTTCTTGTTTGTTCAGCACACGCTGATCAAATACAAGAGTATATTGAGAAATCTAAATGGAGTGCCACCGTCATCTTGTCTTTGGAATCACGATCAATTGGTGACGCCATGAGAGATATCGATAACCGAGGCTTGATAACTGGTGATTTCCTTTTAGTTACTGGTGACATTGTTACAAATATTGATTTCAAAAAGGTGTATAATTTCCACAAGACCAAAAAGGAGCAAGATAAGGATTACATGATGACAATGCTCTTGACTCATGCTTCACCATTGCATAGAACTAGATCTCACATGGATCCGGCGGCATTCGTTTTAGATAAGAAAACAGACAAGTGTATTTACTACCAAGACATGTCCAAGTCGTCAATCGATATTGATCCGGAATTGATTGAGGATGTGGACGAATTTGTCGTTCGAAATGATTTGATTGACTGCCACGTTGACATTTGTACACCACATGTTCCACAGATTTTCCAAGAGAATTTCGATTATCAATACCTAAGAAGTGATTTCTTACGCGGGGTCTTGACATCTGACTTGCTAAGGAAGACCGTTTACACATTCATAAATCAGGAGTATTCCGCTAGAGTGGAGAGCTGGGGTACTTATGATGCAATTTCCAAGGATATTTTAGCAAGATGGTGCTATCCAATGGTCCCCGATGTCAACATAACTGATACGTCGTACAGCTATGAATTCAATAACATCTACAAGGAAGAAAAAGTTTTACTTGCCCAATCTTGTAAGATTGGTACGTCTGTTGCCATTGGAAGAAACTCCAAAGTGGGCGACGGAAGTAGCATTAAGAAATCAGTCATTGGAAGAAATTGCGCTATTGGCAAAAATGTGTCGATATTGAATTCATATATTTGGGACGATTCAGTAATAGAGGATGGCGCAATTATAGAGTCCAGCATTGTTGCATCTTCAGGACACGTTAAAGAATCCGCAATACTTTCCAACAGCGTTATAGGCTTTAACGTTACTGTTGAATCAGGTGAAATTGTAACCAACAACAAAATCTCCAAGGACGATGGAGTTGAAATAGAGGGGATGCTATCACGTCTAAAGCTCCTTAATCGCTCAGATGAGTCAATTACTTCAGTAACTAAGAAAAAGAAGCGTACACATTCACGTACCAGAAGGTTTTCATCCAACTCCATGATGTCTGAACCCGAAGAGGATTTCAGCGTTGAAGGTGTGGCAACAGTTTGTCGAGCAATTGAAAACAACCATGATATTGACACTGCCCTATTGGAATTGAACACTTTGCGTATGTCAATGAATGTCAACTATCACGATGTGCGAAGTGTCACCACAGAGGCAATCTTGATGAAAATAGTTGATTTTGTAGCCACTGATACTTTGAAACCGCAAGAAGCAGCAACTAAATTGTTTACCCACTGGGGGAAAATGTATCGCCGTCAAACATTTACTGCAGAAGAGGAGGTTGATTTATTGGCCATATTGGAAGAGCAAATTGCCGATTTGGACCCTGAGTATAATCAAGTGGTGCTCTTCTGTGCGTTGAAATCATTGTATGATTTAGAAATTGCTGAGGAAGACAATATACTCAAATGGTGGAGTAAAGGCGATAAAGAAGCTCAAATCAGAGGATTGGCTGGTAAATTTATCAACTGGTTAGAAGAAGCCGAGGAGGATAGCGAAGAAGAGGAAGAAGAAGAAGAAGAAGAGGAGGAGGAGGAGGATGAGGATGAGTAGGTATATATTTTGTATTCAGAACTTTGTTATACGTTCTTCAGTACGACAGCTGAAGGAGGTAATTCAAAAACCTTTATAGTTTCCACTATTGAAACGCTCTGAATGAGTCAGGTCTCTTCAGTCTATTCGGTAGTTGTTGTTCCAAAGTAATAGTTTCTGTGGGCAAGTCTACCGACGTTCCTCCTTAATAACTCAATGCAGCTCTTTTGCATCAAAAATTCGCTCTCGTATAATCGATTCAACCCTCGCGTGTCGTTTAGAAAAAAAAAAAAAAGAAAAATCATGTGTGAAATTTGAAAGCATCATATGATACGATACATCTAAACGAAATAAATACCTTGCAATTGTCGTCTTGTTCTCCAAAGAGAAGGAAATCAAAACATATCCTTCCTTGTTTACAGATTGAGAGAGACCTCCACATTGTAATTAGTGGGATATGACTACTGAATACGACGTTATTGTTATTGGTGCCGGCGTGGTTGGACCATGTATAGCTACAGCTTTGGCGCGACAAGGAAGGTCGGTTCTCATTATTGAACGCGATTGGTCACGACCGGATAGGATAGTTGGAGAGCTATTGCAACCGGCTGGAGTTAAAGCTTTGAGAGAGTTGGGTATGATAAATGCCATCAATGATATCAATGCCGTTGATTGTACTGGATACTACATCCAATACTATGGGGACCACGTCACTATTGAGTACCCATTCAAGGACGTGGCGCAAGTGACCAACCCGGTGAAACCTTTGGGAAAGGAGTACAAACTAAGACTGGATTCAACAATAGATGTTTCCAAATGGGACAGTGATGAACGGGTGCGTGGGGTTGCATTTCATCACGGGGACTTTTTGCAAAACCTACGAAGCATATGTAAGTCAGAACCAAACGTTACTGCAATTGAAGGAACAGTGACCAAATTAGTGCGCGAGTTCAATGGTGATGTTGTTGGAATAAGTGGTAAACAAAAGGATGAAAAATTCACATACCGTGGCAAATTAATCATTTCATGTGATGGGATATACTCCAAATTCAGAACTGAATTGGGGAAGAACAATGTACCCTCAATCGGGTCTTATTTTGTTGGGTTTTACTTGGAGGATGCTCAACTACCAGCTCCAAATAAAGGACATGTCTTGTTGGGCAACCACGCACCAGTGCTCATATACCAAGTATCACCTAGTGAGACTCGAGTGCTATGTGCATTCAGATCAACTAAACCGCCATCTGCCGCCAAGAATGAAATATACAACTACTTAGAAAAGGATGTGTTGCCGATCATACCCAAAGAATTGTACCCTGCATTTAAAAAAGGGATGGAAAAGAGGAAATTCAAAGTCATGCCCAACCAGTACCTTTCCGCCAAGAAGCAAAACCAACGCGGGTTGATCTTACTTGGTGACTCGTTAAATATGAGGCATCCATTAACTGGAGGTGGAATGACGGTAGGATTGAACGATGCAGTCTTGTTGGCACGGTTATTAGACCCAAAGTCAGTGGATGATTTACAAGACTACGATTTGGTTCAAGAGAAGTTGGTAATTTTCCATCGTAAACGGAAAAACCTTGATGCTGTGATCAACACATTATCAATTGCATTGTACTCGTTATTTGCAGCCGATAAAAAACCGTTGAAAATTTTGCAACGGGGGTGTTTTAGGTATTTCGAACGTGGTGGTGATTGCGTTGATGGACCTATTGGGTTATTGAGTGGAGTACTACCATTCCCCATGTTGTTGTTTAATCATTTCTTTAGTGTTGCATTTTATTCTATTTATTTGAATTTCATCGATCGAGGTGTTTTGTTCCCTGTTGCTATTTGGGAAGCCTTTGAAGTGTTGTTTACTGCTATTGTCATCTTTACACCTTACTTGTGGACTGAGTTAGTTAGATAGAGGGGCGGAAGTAGCCGCAAAGTGATATTGTATGGCGGTTATGTGTATAAAGAATGGCGAATGACGTTACTTTACTTTACCCTAGAGTGACGCAAATCTGACAAAGTTTTTTCGACACTCTTTTTTCTTATGTAATTTGAAATTGTTGCACAAGATTGATAAGAAAGCTTAGAGTGCGAGAGAATGAGGGGTTGGCAAAAGTGTAAGGTGCACAGCAAGGGTTGGCATCAACAGTCTCTTAAGAAGATTATACATCAATGTATGACTGTACAGGACTATCTTTTCTGTCATACTTCTCTATTAGCGGTCAGGTGGAAGTGTCGGAACTGGAATAATGTATGATTGCTTTGTGCTGGTTGTTGTAATAAAGAAAAAAAACAAAAAAACAAAAAAGAAAAAACAATAGAGAATGAAAAAAAAAAGGTACTCTCTTCTTGGCATTAAGTAGCTATAGATATACAGTATACAAATATCAGTCGAAGGAATTTCATATTCTATTCCATCTGCCTCCCCCCATCCACCCCTCTCAACTAAACTTCGTTGCAAACAACAACAACAACAAGAACAAAAAATAAAAAATAAAAAAATACTTTCTGACAGGGTCGTACTTATATCAATCACTTTGAAACAGTACAACCAATCTATCCTGTTACAATATGAGCGATTTACCATTACTTGGTGGCTCTTCGCGTCACGGTTCTCCCTCATTTATTCAAAGTTTTTCAAATGCCACTAAATTAACTTTGAAATCTTCGCCAGTCAACTATCTACTTATATTTGTGCCATTGGGCCTTATTGCAGGTGCGTTGGAATGGGGGGCCAATGCTAGATTCTGGCTTAATTTTCTTGCCATTATTCCCCTTGCTTCCGTGTTGGCGTTTGCTACCGAAGAAATTAGTGAATATGTTGGACAAACAGTAGGAGGATTGTTGAATGCCACGTTTGGTAATGCTGTTGAGTTGATTGTGTCTATTATTGCCTTGAAGGAGAACCAAATTCGAATTGTTCAAGCATCCATGTTGGGTTCAATCTTGAGCAACTTGTTGTTGGTTCTTGGTTGCTGTTTTGTTGCTGGTGGTATAACTCGTGTTCAACAAAGTTTCAACCAGACTGTTGCCCAAACAATGTCGAGTTTGATGGCGTTGGCCACTGCGTCGTTGTTGATTCCTGCCGCGTTCCATGCTTCGTTACCTACACCAAAGGGCGATACAGGAAAATTCCCTGAGCCTGGCACTTCGGACGACTTGATTCTCAGTTTCTCACGTGGTGTTTCAGTTATCTTGTTACTCATCTATATCTTGTACTTGTTGTTTTCTTTAAAGACCCATAAATCTTTATTTGAAGCCGCGGATGATATAGTCGATGATGTCCACACTGATAACCACAATACTTCTTCAGATGACATTATTACTGGGAAATCAGAATCTAGCCATTTGCTGGTTTTGGCAGCATTGACCGTGTTGTTGATTACTACATTGCTAGTCTCGGTTTCAGCCGATTATTTGGTTGGTTCAATTGATGAAATTGTTGAGAAATCAGGTTTATCAAAGACATTTATTGGTTTGATTGTGATTCCTATTGTTGGTAATGCAGCTGAACATGTCACAGCTATAATTGTTGCAATGAAGGATAAGATGGATCTTGCTATTGGTGTTGCGATTGGTTCTTCTTTACAAATTGCTATATTTGTCACTCCTTTTATGGTTTTGGTTGGCTGGATTATTGATGTTCCAATGTCATTGTACTTTTCCACTTTTGAAACTGCCATTTTGTTTGTCAGTGTGTTTATTACAAACTTGGTTATATTGGATGGTGAGAGTAATTGGTTAGAGGGTGCGATGTTGTTGTCAACTTATTTCATTATAGCATTGGCATTTTTCTATTATCCTGATTCTGCCGGATTGTAAAGGAAATGAGTAAGCAGAGAAGGAAGGACAAAGTAACATGATTTGAGAGGTGTGTCGGTTTGAAATTTATTTTGTAGCTCTGGTAATGTATTGCTTGTAGGAAATAAAGATACACTCAAGAGACAAAAGTTTGTTGGTTTGATGACTTGCTTTGTCACATAGAAGTTGTAGCAGCGGCAGCGGCGGCAGCAACAGCAGCAACAGCAGCAACAGCAGCAGCAGCAGCACCAATAGTAACAGTGAGCTGTGACAGCTCTGAAATTTCTTGTGACACCACAAAAGAATTTGAAACAGTTCCTTTGTTGCGTGAGTTAGGAAATCCAAGGGGAAGAGAAAAGCTGCAAGAACCATTTCAAGCTTTCACAATAGGTACTTACGTAAACAAAAGCCTCATATTATCGTGTCGATGGGAGCATTGGCTGGGATTCGCGTTGTAGTTTGGTAAACAAACGAAATGGAGAGAACAGAACAGAAACGAGGCAAGTTCTGAGCCTTTTAGGACGGGGTTAAGGTGGAAAATTTGCAAAGGGTGCCATTACTGTTGAGGAAGAACACGGTAACAAACTTCAATGGGTGATCTGTGAGATTAGAGCCCAGGCAAAGAAGTCTAGACTCTGCGTTTTTTTTTTTTTTTTTTTTTGAGTTGTTGGCTCTAAAAGAAGTGGCCGCGTGCTATAAGTAGAGAAGTAGAATGCACAAATCGAGTGTGGCGAAGTCCCCGCTCTCTCACCCATTGTCATTGGAGACTTGTAGGGTGTCAATCTCATGGAGAGGGGTGTTTTTGTACAGAGACTTAGATCTACACGAAGTACTCGTTTGAAGAAACAAAAAAAAAAAAACAAAGTCACACACACAATAAGAATAGGGGACAAATATATGTTTGATGTGCTTTGGCTCAGTATCTGAGGAGTTTGTGTGATTAAAAGTTATTGATGAATTTTGGATTTGGTGTACAGTTGTACGCGTGTCTTGTGTTGTGTGTCTTGTGTCCTTCTTCTCTCTTGCTTGACGCGTTTTGGAAAATTTGTGCAACACACAAAGTGGAATCTAATGTAGCGTGTTTAGTTGAGGAAACGTTTTTATTTTATTTTATTATTATTTATTTTTTTTTTTGCATATATACTTTTAAATTTTCATTATTTTTGAACATTGATTGTAAGTACCAGCTCAGATCAAAGGGGGGATAATACCTGTGTGACCACAAGCTTTCTTATCTATCTACGTTGAAGTTTAATTTTTAGATTAAGCTTCCAGCAATGAGAAGATGAACACAACGCACACCTATGTAGAGCATCTCATGTTGAACAGAATTTCAAACGTTTGGTTTCAATTTTGGCTATTACTAAATTGGGTCCAATACGAATTGCGCCTTACTCTCTCTCTCTCTCTCTCCCTCTCGATCTCCAAGTCCCTTCCCCATCCAACAGCTGTCTCTACATTGGCAGGCCCAACTTTATACATTTTATTTTGTCTCCATTGAGTAAAAACGGTGAAATTAAGAAACTTGCGTGTCTTTACACCAGTTAGTCAAATGATCTTGATCTCTTTCAAAATCTCTACTGACCAGAAAGAGTCCACTAATGTGACTACAAATTTTGGACAATGTCAAAGAAAAGTCTTAATAGTTACTCTATCAGTCAATCCGTATCTTTCGACTTCTACTGCTTTTTGGTCATTTTTGCAGAAGGCTTTGTATTTCCATGGGAAGTTCTACTGCAGTTTCAATTTGTGGTAAAGTCTAGGCAATACTAGTCATGCTTGTGTTTAGTCTGTGAAGAAAGAGAAAGAGAAAGAGCTTTACTCCTTCCAAAAGTTGTTCATCCTTTGTTTGTTGAACTTTCTTCGTGTATTTTGTGACATTGAGAAAAAAAAAAAGAACTATGTTTTTGCAACTCCTTTCCCAATTTGTTTATATTGTGGGATCAGCAAGGAGGTGTGGTTACATAATATTGTTTGTACTGTATTACGGTATTATTATGTAATTTAGAGGTCAAATTACTTAATTATATGGTAAAAAGAAAAATCCAAAACGCGATTAGCAACTTTTATTTTCTAAACTGTTTCTGTTAATTAGCTTTGTCATATTTCCTAATTGGGATATGTACCTTGTTAAAGTAATTTTTTTTTTTTTTGTGAACAATACACTTTCCAATATGGCGTTTAAGTACAAAAAATTATATATACCGTTTTCAGTATAATATAATGTATATAGATATATCTCTAGAAAGATTCATATATATAAAAGTCATATTCATTGAAACCTGATCTCATCCGTTCTTTTTACTACAGAAGAGTAAAGTCAACCAAGTTTTCTTTCTGTTCCTCACACACAGTCAAAGAAGGTCTATTTCAGCACCGACGTATCAGTCTTTATTCCATTTTCTGTCCTTTTCGCAACTTTTCAGAGGCTCAAAGCACCCTATATAATTCGAAGCAAGTTTTCCACACACACCTCACAACAATGTCTGATAGAGAAGCTTTGAAGTTATTTTCAAGACAACCGGTCAACTTGGATATGATCAACTTTCTTGTGTCTACAACAAATTCCATAATACAAGTTAAGCCACAACAGCCACAACAGCCACAACAATTACCATCACCAGCATCGTCCTATTCACTGCTGCTAGTTGACTCTGCGCCAGAGATTGTATCCATCAACCCACCTATCACATTGACTCAATTCATCAAGAACCTAATCAAGTATTCGAATGTCCAAACACCCACCTTGATGGCTACATTGGTCTACTTGAACAAATTACGCAACTACTTGCCTGCAAACGCCGTAGGTATGGAAACCACCAGACATCGTATTTTTTTGTCAGCTTTGATAGTGGCTGCCAAATCTTTAAATGATAGCTCACCATTGAATAAACATTGGACAAAGTATACCGATGGGTTGTTAACTTTACAAGAAGTCAATTTGGCCGAACGTGAATTGATTTCAATCTTGAACTGGAACGTCAACATAACTCAGGAAGAGTTGATTTACACTTTGCAACCGTTTTTGATTGGTATAAAATCATGTTTGTTGCAACAGCAAGAATTAGAATCAATGCAAAGAATCAAATATTACAGATTGACTCAACAAAAGAAGTCTAGTCTGTCGTCTTCCATTGTGACGTTGGGATCAAGTTCTAGATCAAAGACTTCGAGAAGTCCAACTCCTGTGGTTTCTTCTACTTCACTTTCATCTACATTGTCATCTGCGTCATCAAATTACTCCTTGTACTCAAGTACCCACAGTTCTGGTAACGTGTCTGCTTCATCATCAATTGCATCCAATTTATCATCACAATACCAATCATCGTCACCCAACTATACTTACACCAAACCTCAAGCCAAGTTGCCATTAGCTTCAACCTCCCAAAATAGTCTAAACACACTTCACCCATCATCAAGTCAACCTGCAGCACAACAGCAAGTGCACCACCCACAAATTCCAATTTCCAAATCAGCCAAGTTTGGCCAAAAGGATAAGAACCAATACTTGGCTCCAATCATTAAGAAAAAGAGATCAATGATGAGTTTGTTGTCTTCTTCGGGTAGAGTTGTAGCTTAATGATTTGCAACAACTGTATTTGTCTGGGCTTTGTATTATTAGGTTGTTTTTATTTTTTGGGTTCTTTGTTTTAGTTCTTGGAAGGGGGGAGTGGGTGGAGAATTCTAGATGTAATTTTACTAATGAGCGAAGGGACTCAGCGGGTTTTGTCGATTGTTTGGAATGGGAATTTGATATTCTTTTCTAGTATTGAAGGGCATATATGTACGAACTGTATTCAGCATTAATGAAAACATTTCATCTGTTTATAACTACTTTGGTATAAAAACTCTTCTACATTTGCAACACGCAACAACTCGGTCATCTAATTGTATATACACACACACATACATTGATTCCTTACGCACTATTCTCTTTACTTAATGATCGTGATGAGGATCCTCCTTTGGTGGTTCTGGGTGTACTTCAATGATAGTATCAATCCTCAATATTGAAACACATGCCTCCAATGCCGATTTCAAGGCCTTGATTTTAGAAATGGTTGGTTCCAAAACTCCCTGCGTAGCCTCATTAACAATCTTACCATTGATCAAATCCAATCCATAATTCTTGTATTTTTTCCTCTTCTCATCATCTGTTTTGGCTAATTGGGCTGCAGCATGATAAGTTCTCAATTTTGAAACTAATTCCGAGGCGTCTTTAGCAGCATTGATTGCTAGAGTCTTTGGGATTATCAACAACGCATTACCAAATTCTGCAATTGCCAATTGTTCTCTGGACCCCACTGTTGATGCAAAGTTTTCCAAGTAAATGTTCAAAGCAGTTTCAACTGCCCCTCCTCCTGGTACAACATGTCCACTTTCCAACGTCCTTTTAACAACAGAGAGGGAATCATTTATAGATCTTTGCATTTCGTCCAAGGAGTAATCGTTTGGACCTCTTAAGATTATTGAGCTCGATGAATGTTGCTTAGTTCCCTTGATTAATATACATTCATCATCACTAATTCTCGTTTGAACAACCTCTTGCGCTGAACCCAAATTACTAGCTTCAAAAGTCTCGTCGCCTTCCAAGTTGCTCAAAGAGGAAACCAAGGTAGCACCAGTGGCTCGAGCAATTCTTCTCAAATCTTCCTTTTTACAACGTCTCACTGCCATACATCCATTCTCAACAAACTCCTTCAAACACAAATCATCAATTCCCTTTGTGGTTAATATGACATTAGCGCCACTGGCTATAATCTTTTGAATACGTTCAATAATAATTCCATATTCTCTTTTTCTGATTTCTTCCAATTGATCAGGATCTTCGATATTTATTTGTACCCCCATTGCCATTCTTGCCTTTTGTAAGTTGATATCAAGACAAGCAATTTTGGCGTTCTTGATCTCCTTCACCATGGCTTGAGATGCAACAGTACAATTCAACGCATAACCTTCAACCAACACTGATTCCAAGGCTGATTTACCATGAGCTTTCAAAATGTTTACTGCCTTGACTGGATACTTGGTTTCTCCCTTGGTGTTGGTAGTCTTGACAGCCAACATGGCGTCAACAACAATCTTGCTAAAGAAATCGGAATCAGCGCCAATAATCTTTGACGACATCGATGTTTTGGCAATGTTTATCAATGTTTCCTTTCCCAAACGATCAACATTCTGAGACAAAATTTGATTTATATACCTGATTGACTCCTTCAACGCTAACCTATATCCACTGATAATCGTAGTTGGATGTATCTTATGTTTCACTAATTCATTGGCACGCTTCAACAACTCAGCCGCAATGATGACTACCGAGGTAGTTCCATCACCAACTTCACGGTCTTGTTGTTGCGCCAATTCAACCAAGATTTGACCTGCTGGGTGCTGTACGTCTAACAATGCCAAGATTGTAGCTCCATCATTGGTAACGGTAACATCTCCAATATCGTCCACCAACATCTTGTCCAATCCAACAGGGCCCAACGATGATTTGACCACATTGGCCACTGTTTGTGCAGCCAAGACTGTTTGGTTACGCACATCGTCACCAGCAATCTTCTGCGCCCCCAAGAAAAGGGTATCTGAACGAGCTGTGGAGAACATCTGCGATTGATTTTCAGTAGAAGTTAGTTGATATAAACGGTGCTTGAACTAGACTTCTTTGCAACAGAAAAATTTTAACTCTTTTGTTTGATTTCGCAATGGAACAAATGAGAAGATTAGAGAAGTAATGAACTTTGGACACATCAAAAAAGAAAAAAAAGACATGATACAACGTGCAACACACTGGTACAGGGTGTACTTGAAGCAGAGAGCTGTGCTAAGAAGTGGATGTATGTGTAGTTTATGTCGAAGATGTCTAAATCATTGTTTCTTTGAGTGACAATATCCCTCTCAACCTCTTCCAATCAGCACTTCTCCCGCAATCCAGAGCCAGATCTTATGGAATGTCCCGATATGCAACGATATTGTAGTAGAGTAGAGTCTATCAGAGGTACTTCGAGCTGAACAGAAACCAAGTCTTTTGAAACACGTGAACCTATTTGCTACACGGGTAAAAATGTATTCTATGCATCTCCACTCACATCCGGATACCAAAGAATCTCTGTCACTCTATATTGCACTTCTGCGACACATCCTAACTCCCTGAAAAGACACGTCTGAGTCTTTTTGAGCCCTGGAGAAACCGGTGTTTTATCTAGGTACTGGCTCATTTCCTAATCTGGGTATCAAAGGACTGTAGGAGAAAGTCATGTGAGCACAAACTTCGAAAATTAAAAACAAAACATAAACAAACCAAAGAAATACGAAACCTATATAAACATTCCCCCAATACAACTGACTCCTTCCAAGATTAACACACGCTTACAATTTCCACCAGTTTATTAATTGAAAAGATGATGAGATTTATGCTTAGCCCAGGTAGAGCATTGGCTTCGCAGTTGGCATTTAAGCCATTGCTTTTAAACGCGTCAATTCCGCGTCACACTGTAGTAAAGTTTTTGACTACAAAAGCAACCAAATCCACCTATCAAAAAGAACTCGAGAAGTTGACAAAAAAGATTCAAAAGGCAAAGGAGAAGAAGAAATCACTTCAAAAGGACCTTAAAGAGAAGGAGAGGGAGATCAAGAAGTTGATTTCTCAACGCAAAAAGGATACAGTGGCTAAAGAGAAGGAGACCTCAAAGAAAAAGAAAGAAGCGGAGAAAGAAAAGGCTCACTTGAAGGATACTTTGAGGGAACCACGTCCATTGACTGCTCGTAACTATTTTGCCAAAGTCACAAAGACCCCAGTGACAGCCTTGAATAAAGAATTCGATGCATTGCCAGACTCTGAAAAGGAGCAATACCAACAAGCAACTGACAAATATAATCAAGCATTGAAGTCCATCTTGACTCCCAAGCCTGAATTAGGCCCTACTACAACATACCAGAACTTTGTTAGTCAAAACTACCCACCGGGTGTCTCTTCTGAAGTAGCAATGAGACAATTGGCTGATAAATGGAAAACATTGTCCCAGGAAGAGAAGGACTCATACAAGGTACCCGAACACGAAGTTGAAAGAATCAAATCTATTCAAAAGGAATGGGAGGAGACTAGAGGAAGAGAGTACCCTGACTTGATCAAATTTAAAAAGGAATACAAGTTTGTTATCTAAGAATTGTATAAATTGAGTAGAAGTAGAATAGTGTAGAAAGAATAGTAAGCCACCGGTGCTTCACAATGTAGTTTTGGGTTTTGTAAATCAGTTTCTATTACTTGCCGTCTCTGCCTTTTTCTCTTCTTGTATAATTTCACCTAAATTGGTCAATACCCGTTTCAACTCATTGGGAAGTATAGGTTTTGACACAAAATCTATCATTCCACACTCAATGCACCTTTCCCGATCATCGCCAGCCACGTTCGCCGTCAAAGCAACAATCTTTGGGATAAGATGCTGCTTATTCAATTTGGTATAATTTGCAAGCAATTCTTTGGTAGCTGTAATACCATCTTTATTAGGCATTTGAATATCCATCAAAATCACGTCGTACTTCTCACCCTTTTCCATCAACAAGTCACATTTTTTCAACACTTCTGTCCCATCTTTAGCGTGGTCAGCTTTGAATCCCAATTTCTCCAAGTACTTTAAAGCAACTTTATAATTCAACAAATTGTCTTCGGCAAGAAGAATTCGCAACGGATACTCGTCAGCTAAGAGAGCCGGAGTTATTTCTCTTGGCTTTGTTTCGGGTCTGGCATCTCGAAGTAATCTCACCACTCGCTCCCTTTGGAAGGGGCATAATAACGCTTCATATTTGCTGCTCTCGCCAGTCAAGGGTTTACCAAACTGCGCCAAAATGACAACCTTGGCACTTGATTTCAATTGAGACTCAAACGGGCTGAATTCATCATATTCATCTAAATTGATGAACAAGAAATCGTACGACTCAACACTTTTGATATCCTTGGCAGTGGAAACATCATCCACAAACAAGTTGAAAAAAGTCAACATGTTCTTCAAAGCAGCACCAGTCAACTCTAATTTGTTCAAAATCAATGCTCGTTTACCCAGTAAATCAATCTCTGGCTTATCAAACAACAGAACGCCAAAACTGACATTAAAGTAAAAAGTGCTTCCAACCCCTTCTTGACTTTCGAATCGAATATCACCGCCCATTAGATCAGCCAACTTCTTTGAAATGGCCAATCCCAACCCAGATCCACCAAACTCACGACGCGAGGACCCATCAACTTGTGAAAAGGCTCCAAACACTTTATTGTGCGATTGTTCAGGGATACCAATACCCGTATCCTCCACAGAAATTGTAACCTCATACCTCACTGATGTTAACTCAGCTGCGTTGCAACTAATGATGATGTGTCCATGGGTTGTAAACTTCATGGCATTCCCAACCAAGTTGATGATGATTTGCCTGACACGGGTAACGTCACCGGTAACAGTATTTATTTGAGGACAATTGTTGAAAAATACCAACTCTAAATTGTTATCAACAACTTGCTCACCTCCTAATTGTATGGCACTTTCAATGCAGTCATTGAGCGAAAATGGAGAATTCTCCAACGTAAAAGACCCATGTTCAATTTTGGAAAATGCCAATATACCATCAATAATGTTTAATGTAACCATTGCTGAACTTTTGATAGCTTCAACGTATTCTCTTTGTGTTGAGTTCAAGGGTGTGTCTAATAAGAAGATCGAGCACGATAGCAATGAATTGAATGGAGTTCGAATTTCATGCGACATATTCGCCAAAAAGCTTGCCTTTTCAGCTGTAGCATCCTCTGCTGCCATCTTGGCAATTTCCATTTGAGAAATCAATCTTGCCTTGCCCATAGCAACCGCAGCTTGCGTACAAAACAAGTGTAGCAAGTCGCGCTTTCTACCATCGAAAATCGCCTTCTTCTTATCTCTTCTCGAGTCCACTTCCAAATAAAGAGCACCAAACACTCCAAATTGATTTTTCAAAGCAACACACAAAATTGTGGAGCACGAATTGTAATTGTAATATGGATCTTTTCCAAAGCGATTGGCAAACGCCACATGATCATCTTCCTTATTAATCGTTTCTCCCGTTTCCAAAACATGGATCAACAATCGGTAAGGGCAAACGTCTATCCTTGAGCTTAATGGTTCCTCATTCAAGGTGTATATATGCTGGGCCGAACCGACAGCCTGTATTTTCGGTTCACCATTCATATACACTACGACGCCATAGTCAACTTCAGCAAACTTGATTGCACAAGTCAACAACTCGATCAAAATGGTTCTCTCATCACTAGCCTCAGATATACCCAAACAAGCTTGTATCGTGGAGTTCAAATCATAAGCAGAGTTGGAATTTTTATTGCTTTTCACTTTGTGTCTTGCTTTCCTCGATTTCCTGTTCAATTTCATTTGCGACTTCATTTCCTCGCTAACACTATCATCGGTACTGATTGGAAGGTTAGATGGTATGTTTTTGGAGGGTTTTTTCTTTTCTTCTTGCTGTTTGGCACTGTTGATTCCAGCCCAGGTGTACATCGACCAATCCTGCTCAAGGTATTTCTCAAATTCTTCTTCAAATTGTCTGGCGAAATCTTCAAAGTCCCGTTTCCTCATGATTTCAATTGCTCGTTTGCATAACTGGCCAATTCTTCGTTTGTTTCCATTGCAGTTTATCAACCATCTGGCACAAAAGACACTAATCCAAGACACATCGTACCAGTTCTGCACTTTGGAGCCGTGCTCAATAGCATCCTCGAAGATATCCAAAATGCTCAACGAGTCCGTTGAACCTTCTCTGATAGCATTCAATGCCAGCAAAAGTATAACTCTATTTCCAAAAGTGTGCTCATTTGTTGACGCCCACAATTTCATTCGGAGATATATGTCATTGAAAATTGCAGTCTTTTTAGCTTCAGCTTCTGCATCTCCTTTAGATGCAAATGTAATGAGAATAGCCGCAACGTAAAAATAATGACTGGTGTAAAATAAAAGTGGTGACGATTCGAACACTTCGTGGGCCTTGTTCAATATCAAGTCAACACCTTCATCGTATCTTTTCGCCACCATCAACCCATTAAGCACCACAACCAAATAAGACAGTTGACTCAAGTTCTGTTCGTTTATCATCTTTTCCTCATAGCGAGCTCGGTAATCGGAAACCGAGAGGGACCCAAGCACACAGTCTTCTGAATCAAAGATGAACAACCGTTCCTCCAGTAATCCAATTTTTTCTCTCTGCGATTTTCTTCTGTTCACCAGAAAAGACATATCGTATGCTTTCCCACCCAAAAGAAGTATAAAGATGTCTATCATCCCCAAGACTATACGTAGCTCTTCAAATCCCAGCATCATATCATTTTGCGTCTTCTCTGAGATGATTTCAATATATTTGAGAACCACAGGCATTGGCTCGACATAAACAGCCAAAGTGCAAACATAAACGTCGTACATCTCACGATAGTAATTAATCGAGACATTGTTGGCCCTATTAATCAAACTGATGGCAACCCTACAAAGCTCCTTGGCTTTCAATAGCCCCGCAGAAGTGAATTGACTTGCAAAATCAGAAGCGAAATCAATCATAATCATGAAAGCGAAAGGTGAAGGACCATGTTTGTAGATTGCATGCATCGCTTGCACAACCAAAAGCTTTCTACTGGCGTTTTTCCGAAACACCACCAAAGATGGTAACAACTGGCTGATCAAATGATAAATGAGCAACAATTTTGGCGACTCGGTAGGTTTCGTCCTCGGAATATTTCTGATATCAGGCACTGATACTGGAATCTTGGCCTTATACTTTTTGTAATCTCTCAAGTTTTGCTCTTCATCAGCACTTATAGTGATTCCAAGTTTTGGTAAACTCTCAAAACTTATCTTTATGGCTTCTTCAATCTCACCCATCTGGATTTTGCATCGAACTAATTGGTAAAGAAACACGATTCGATCAAATCCATACTTTTCTTGAGCCCTTGCCATCACTTCCAAGCACTTTTCATACTCACCAAAATAATAATGGTTCTGAGAAACAGTCAATATTGACTTGAGTTGGCGCGTTGAGTCAAGATCGTCAACCAACTCTCCCACAACTTGAAACAACTTTTGCGCTAACTTCATGTTGTAGGTTGATGATGCATACCTACCTGCTTGAACTAAGACCTCAATATACAATTCTTTCTCATCCAGTCTTGCAACTTGATAGGAGTTTCGGAAATATCCTGCCATTTGCAAGTACCCGCCTATATTCAAAGTCTTTTCTTTACTTATGGTTTTGTGAAATCTCAAGGCACAGAGTCTTGATAATTCCTTGTATCTATCAGTTGTCACCAAGTCGGCAGTGATGTGAACAACTAATGAATCGTAAAAAAACCTGTAGCTGCAATGAGATGTCAACTCCCATATATCGTTATCTGTTAAATCGAAAGGTGACTCGGTCGAGCAAAGTAAATCGAAAGGAACCTTGTAGTAGGTGGTGGTGGGCAAAAGTAGCTTTGAGCCAACCATGATCGATAAGGCTTTGAAAGCCCTGTCCATAGGCATAGCAGAGGCAACTATCAAGTCAGACAAGTGGAAACCTGGACCTTGAGAGATAATTGCCGCAAATTCCAACAAGCATTTGACATCGGGGGTGAGTGTTGCATTCAAAAAGTTTTGAATGATTTCATTCCTATTCATCCCATAATTCTCTGGAGACAAGTTATCAACGACGAATCGGCCATAGTTATGTAAACTAAGATAATAGCAATGCTGTGAAAATCGGGCCATGCTTATCGCGTATTGAGCAAGCATTATGTTCCCTCCAGTGGCATCATAAAACTTTAAAGCATCAGCAATTAGCTTATTGTTGGCACCAGAGAGTTTATGCGTAGTTTGTTCAGTTGTGGCTTTATTGATCATGGAAGACATACTGCTTTGCTGTGGGGCTGCTGCGTGATGTCCACCAATATGCGTTTTTGACGACGACAGATTTGCTCCAATCAATTGCACGATCCAGCTTTTGTATGCATCTCCTGGTACTTTTGGTATGTCAAAGACATGCATCTTCATGCTGGAACGATTAACGTAATCCTTGAACCGTTTCTCTTTCTCAACACTGTCGATGTTTTCCTGAAACTGCCTAGCATCGGTGGTGAACGTGGCAACCAATTTTAAGCTCATCTCGCTAATATCCGATTCATCATCAAATTTCAACATATCACACAAGAGCTGCCATGACTCTTCGGAGCACCAGTGTAGGTCATCAATGAATATTGTCAATCCTTGTAAGCCAACAACCTTATAGAATGATCTTATAATTGCCCTGAATTTGACCTCCAACGTAGATGTTGCTTCTTCTTTTATGGGACCTCCTGGAGAGCTTGTCCCCAGTTTGTGCTGATATATGGAAATATACTTTGGACCTAAAAGTTTTCTCAATTGAGGGATGAGGTAAAACAATATGCTTAAGTCTAAGGGGATGTTTGTGACAATTAGATCTCTCCAACTATCTTGTATTTCCTCTGAGCATTCCAAAATTTGGCCAATGACCGTTTTGATTCCTTCCAAAAGCATTGAATAGATTGAGTTACCTGTATCTGAACAAGAGAACTTCCACATGCAATAAAAGTCATATTTGAAAAATGCACCTACCCGCATATCATTCAAAATGATAGTCTTTCCAACTCCACTTACACCACTAATCCAGAATAAGTTGACTCCTCCTTCAAAAGTGTTGTTGTAAATGTCAAAAATTTCCTTGTATACTTCATCACGACCAACAAACTTTGCTGGAAAAGTGAAAGTGGGACTGTGCCCCACCTTTTCTGGCAGTTTCATTTTCTCTTTGTTGAGATATACATCAAAGTCCCCTGTTTTTTTCCAATGGTTCCAAACAAGTTCACCCATAGAGCTCACCCTGTCGATGTACTGATTTTTGATTAAAATCAAGTCACTAAGTAAGGAATAGCAGTCGATATATCTATCCAGTGGATTTTTCTCAAGACATCTCATTATAGTGGTACCTAGTTTCTCTGAGACCCAACTAGGTGCTAGTAAATGAGGGGCAACAGGCTTTTGGAAAATATGCATGCGAACAATTGAATTTGGATCCTCACTTTGAAAGGGCAATGTTCCTAGTAACAATTCGTACAATACAATACCAATAGAGTAAAAATCGGATCTGTGATCCACCATTTGATTGACAACTCCAGATACCTCAGGTGCCATGTAGGGGATCAAGTCTGATATTTCGTTCAAGTGGTTCTTTCTGTATCCGTAAATGCAATCTTCCATATGACAAAATGCAAATTCCCAACCGGTAATCTTTACGTCATCCTGATCGTTCTCGGATTTCAACAAGTTCATGCTCGTAATACCATTATGGACAAATCCAAGTTCATGCACAACACCCAAGGTTTCAACCACTTTGATCATGTCAGAGATAATTTCAATGACCTTCAAGGGAGTCTTGGGACTACTCGTCACATGCTCTGCCAACTTGTTGAACAAGGAGTTTGTGGAGCTAGTGGCACCAATGGCGCCTATTCCATTGAAGAACAGATGCGATTGCTCAAGAGATTCACTGGGCGTGTTTTGAGCAGTTGAATTTCCACTCATTACTGATCGTACCCCAGACCCATTCGATGTGTCGGACAGAGTTCTCTCTGGGTGAGGTTCAGGCGTGCCGCAACTATATTCACGCAAGGTTTTATAGTCATTATCATTGTAAACCAACGCAACACGTTTTTGCGCTTCCCCTTTCCTGTCAGCTGAGCCCACATCCAATTCATTCTCAAAACTGAAGCTCAAAATCTCCACTGGGTATAAAATACCTGGAATCCCCACTGGCAAGGTGTTGAGACCATATTTCTTGTCTTTTTGCAACGTGGGTCTTTTACTGTTAGGGATGAATTTATTGGTTAAAGTCTCATTCGACCATAACAAATGCGTCTTTGGAGGGTTTGTACCGGATAAAATAAACCACTCATTCAAGAGTCTTGAAAGCGACAAATTTTTCATAATGTTTGGTGAAATGCTCAACACGACTTTAGAGTTGACCTCGATAAAGTTCTTCTCTTCACTTGCCAATTTGCAAGTAAAGTTTTCAGTGTCAACACCGCCAGTGTGACCAACTTTAATCCCGTGGTACAAAAGATTAGTCTGATAGCTCCTATTCCCAAATTGTTTTACTAAACTGTAACAAGGTATGATATCAGGCAGTATGCTGGCAAAATCCAGGTACTTTGAGTCTGAATTTCTTGCCGATCTGCTGGCATTCAAGTTCTGGTTCAAAAAGTCCAAGTGATCCCTTATATAGTTGACATCATTTAAATACGATGTCTTTCCCAATGCCACGTTTTCTCTAGTCTCCAGTGAAAGGGAAGAGGAGGAGTTCTCGTCGTCCATAGTTAGTGCTTGCGATGAGCCTACTGATACCAAGTCTTGATCCTCACCGAATGTACTGAGAATACTTTGACGTTGGTTGGTGATTGACCTTTCGTCGTAATCAGGACTGGATGTTTGGTCTGTGGAATAATCCTGCAAGTTACCACCTGGTAGATTTATATGGGTTGGATGCTTTATTATTCTCGACGGCTCAACACCTAAATCGGAACTTAACTCGTAATTTAAGCTAAGAGCAGAGGGGTTCTCTGAAGTAGGAAATGAAGAATCAATTGGTAAAGATGAATTAAGTTTTAGCTTTGCCAAGTTTTCCAGGATTTGTGGTGGGGTTAAAACAGTCTTTGCAACTAGATCGTAGTCGAAAGTGGGCCTTCTCAGGGCTTCAGGACGTTCTGTTGATGTACTTGTGTCTTTAGAAATTGGCGTTGAAAACATGCTGCTGTTGTTGTTTGCGACAACACTACCATTATCGTCCTCAACCTTACTGGATGCAATAGGGAGGTCACTATCATTGGACTTGTTTCCGTTATTGACAGATGAAGATGTCATAGTGGGCAACAATGAGTGGTTGATGGAAGTATGTTACCTAATAAAATCTCCAAGGAGGAGATGTACAACAAGATAATTATTGGACGACGTTGCAATGCTTGACTATCTCTCTTATATGGGCACAGTCAACCTATATTATAACGAAATTGAAGATATTTTGACTACACAGTTGGTGAAGCAGTAAGCTGTCGAAAAAGTAGAAAACTGTGTTATGAAGGCTTTTGGAGTCTTTTGCTCAAAAGAATTTTCTCAAAATATGACGGGGTCCGAATTTGAAAAGTGTTTGATAAAATCTTGCTTGGTATTCTTCTCTCTCAGTCACTTTTGAGCTCCAGAAATGTAAAACTCTTTTTTCTTCTTCGTCTTCTTCTTTTCCTCTCTACACTGTTTCAAACTTCAACAAAACAATCTCTCTCTCTCTCTCTTTCTCTCTCTTTCTCTTTCTTTTCAAAATTTTTTAAAATAAAACCCCAAATTGGTTGTTGTTGTCTCTTTGTCTATAAGTAATTTTATTTATTTAATCTTCTTTTTTTTTATTCACCGTACACAAAAACTAGTTGTGTCTGTGCTTTCTTCTTTACAATGGACACAGAGTATATGTTGTAACTACTTCCATGAAAAAGTGGAAAGCCAAGTGTCCATTACGGTAATCCTAGCAGGACTTATTTTCCCACAATCTCTCACACTTATGCATACACTTCTACTGTGTCAAAGAGAAAAAAATAAAAAAGACTGTCATTTCTATGATTGCTGTGTTTGTCTTCTATCTTCTATATTCTGTTTAAATTTACTTCGAGATTTTGTGACACCTTCTGACCTTGAACCGAAGAACAAACACCTCTACATACTCATTACTAAGCATTCTACCTGCTATACTAAGAGACAATACCATTGCTGTCCGCGGGCGAAGCAAAAATTTAGTGCCCTTTACTCAACTGTGAAACCAATGTCTTAAACGCTGTGGAATGTGCGTGTATTGTGACCGATTTATTATTATCACAATTTTGTATTGCTCTTGTCTGTCTCTGTCTTATTTTCTGCTTCTACTTTTTTCTGTTTGTCCTCCTTATGCACAAAAGCTTAAAAAAATTGAAAATAATTTATCCGGAATTCCATCTTCACATAGCTCTTGTATGCTGCTGATTACGAAAGAGGGTTGCGTTAGCTGCTTGACTAGCAAATTACTGCAATATACAAAAGTGGAGAATGCTAGAACATCATATTTGTACTATACTTAGCTTCTGCTTGGAATTGGTGTCAAATTTATCCTCACTTTAAGGTTTTCTAACTTTCAAAAAATGTTAACTCAAAGACGTTCTCAACCAAATGGCCATTTACGCTGCACTACTTCAGAATTATTATCTCGGTTAAAGAAGTATAAACGCCCTTTGACTAGTGTCTCTTGACAGATCTAGTAGTACTTTGTGGATGCTATTTGCCGTTCCGATATTCTACATCCTAGATATTGGTCAAACAGTTGAGAGTGGCTAATGGTGGCTAATGGTGGTGAATTTAAATTTTTCAACTTTTAGAATCAATTTTTTTTTTTATTTTGAGCTTTCTACAACACTTCCGGTACAGAAGTAAAAGGCCACAGTCAATCCTAAGTTAATAGTAAACGACCTTTGAATCAAATTGCTAAGTCCGCTTCTTCCTGCAGCTGACATAAACAATTATCTCAGCATCGGAGCTCATATCAAGTACCCAATACTAAGATAGACACACGTTCTGACGCACACACATACACATACACCAGAGGCATAGTTAAGATACAGACAAAAGTCTCTAGCACATAGTATTCTCTCGTTCTTCATAGATTTTGACGGAATGTGTCAACCCGCTTCAAATTTTTTCGCCTCAAAAATTTCGAGACGCACGGAAGCTTCCCTCCATTCCGGTGTTCCGAAAATACCAGCTGTCTGTTAGTGTACCAACGCTAGTTCTTGCCTCACTTGAGCCTGTTTTTCTTTTTAGCATCTTGTGCGTTATGCTCAGGCGGGGATTCCAAACAGTTTTTTTTTTTCTTTATGCAGACACGTAACGCTTTACGATTTGCGGTGTAATAAGTTACTTGCCCAAATAGGTAATTGAGAGTTATGTCTTTAAATTTGCTAAAACACTTTCAAATACAAAGCACAAAACATTTTTGATATTAAAAATAAAACCTGTATAAATAATACTATTAAACATTCTAACAAAGAAGGAGGAGGAGAAATCACCATTCCCTTTCAAGGGGCTGATGTTATGAATCACCCAAATGGCTGCTCACAACAATCACAGAAAGGGAGGAGAACAGGTGGTTTAACCACGCCACAACCATCATTGAATTTGTGCCATTCCTCTCGAACAAACCACAAATCAAATCAAATCAAATCAAACCCTAAAACAAAAGAACTGAATTTAAAATAAAAAAGCATTTAACCGAAAATAAACGTGTCCCATAACATGTCCTCTCTTCCAAGATCAACCAACTTGCAACTCAATCTCTAGGCAAAGACATTGTAAGGCACTTTCTTGACATTGTACTTGTTACCTTTCCTCGTGTGTTTAGTTGGTGGAGGAACATATCTTGGCTCACCATGATCCTTCTTTCTAAACACGCTGACTCTAGTACCCGAGGTTCCATTGGAATATACTGAAGTCAAGTCATGCTTTGAAGCAGCACTCTTATAGCGACCAGAATTGTTAGTGTTTGGAGCAAACAAGGAAGCACTGGTGCTAGTCATTGATGACAAGTTGGTTGAGCTAGCACTTACAGATGGTTCAGCGTATGGTGTAAACAATGTAGATGACTTCCTCGTTGAGCCAGCTGACGATGATGCAGAGCAACCAGAATCGGACTTGGACATGACGGTTCCTGATGAGTGTGAGGTCATCTTTGGTGGTGGTGGGATGTGAGCCAAGTCTCCATATGGGACGGAGTGAGGAATTATAGCAATAGATTGTTTCCTTGATGGTGCTGGGGTAGATTTTGGTGTGGATTTAGGTGTCGAGTTTGTAGACTTGGTAGACTTTGTTGAAAACAATGAGCTAACCCTGCCAAAGAACCCACTCTTTTTGGCTGGTGCACTTTGCTTTGAATTGACACTGGTCGTGGATTGATTTTTAGACTCCAAGTTGGTGACAAAAGCATTAACCAAATCGTATGAGTTGTCATTGGCAGAAACAAAGCTTTGCATGCTGTCATTATTGTTTTTCAATTTAAGTGACATTGCTGACCTAGCCTTGTGAACATACAATGGCTGTTGCTGTTGCTGTTGCTGTTGCTGTTGCTGTTGCTGTTGCTGTGACTTCAAAGTATTACTCAAAGTTGGTGGACTACCAACCCTTGGTGTTGATGGTAACGAGATAGGACCAACATTTTCTGGATAATTGTAGCCATTTTGTTCAACCTCCTTCTTTAACACAAATGAAGACCTCATGAATCCCAACGAAGCTCTCGAATTGGAGTTTACAGATAAAGCAGAAGCGGAGTAACTCTTACTAAGTGAGTACATNGCTGTTGCTGTTGCTGTTGCTGTTGCTGTTGCTGTTGCTGTTGCTGTGACTTCAAAGTATTACTCAAAGTTGGTGGACTACCAACCCTTGGTGTTGATGGTAACGAGATAGGACCAACATTTTCTGGATAATTGTAGCCATTTTGTTCAACCTCCTTCTTTAACACAAATGAAGACCTCATGAATCCCAACGAAGCTCTCGAATTGGAGTTTACAGATAAAGCAGAAGCGGAGTAACTCTTACTAAGTGAGTACATTGATGTATCTCTCTTGTGTCCTTGCTGTTGAGCTTGTGATGTGTGTGATTGGTGAGACTTGGTTGCCGGTGTGAAGAATTGAAAGTCATCTGATTCTGCAGAGGTGTTTCTTGTGTGAACACCGGCTCCTTTAACCATGTTGTATGAGTCGACACCTGATGAGATTGAAGATTTGTAATCCGAATGGTGCAACGACAATGAACTAGACCTGGAGTCTGATTCCCCGCAACTTGAACCAGAGCTTGACTTTCTTGTGTTCAACTTGTTGTCATCTTCAGAATCATATTTCGACGAACGGTCATCGTCTTCCACAATTGGTGCCAATCCTTTCAAGCCAAATGATTGGTAGTCAAAAGTGCCACCAGTCAACCCACCTCTACTCAAAGACCTTTCTGGGATTGAGTTTGATACATCCTTGTGTTGCTTGTAGATAAACTCTTCTTCTTCTTGTTCGTCAACTTCTGATGATTCAGGCGAGGGGATTTCAACAGCTTTATTGTTATCACCAACCCTTCTTCTTTCAAAGGGAAGATCCTCAATCGAATCTTCTGAAGCAACATCATCATCCTCAATCTGTGGTTCAGGGTATTGTTCGCCACCTTGTAACTTGTTAAACAACGAAGCTGAAGGTTTGTAGCTTTCAGAAAATGATCCCCTTCTGCTTGCTCTTGGTGTAGCATATTCATCAACATCTGAATCAGCAGCTTGGTCATCTTCATCACTAGTGAACTTTGAATTGTTGACAATCGAAGACAAACGAGGAGTAGAAGGTAAGGACTTTGCTGGTGACGATACTGGAGATGGAGACATTGAATTTCTTTTTCTTCTTGGATCAAAAGCAGGTCTTGGAGCTTTGAATGTTCCTTTATTCTCTTCAAGTGGGGTTGACACTAACGACTTCAATGATGATGAAAGACCTGCTTGGTGGACTTTTTGGAAACTATCTGCAGTTGGGATTGGCACTTGAATTGGTGACTGAGCAACATCAACTGATCTTCTGAAACCTTTGTATTTTGCATTTGCTTTCAAGTCAATTTCAATTGAATTGTGTTTGTTTAAAAGCGATGGTTCTTGAGACTTACCTGGCCTCACATCGAAATCCATTACAGGAGTAGATGGTGTTTGTGGAGTTGGAACAGAGTCCATGACTGGAGACTCGACTGAAGCAGCAGCAGCAGCAGCAGCAGCAGCAGTAGTAGCAGAACTTTGATCACGAGAAGTGGTTCTCGACAAGTTTCTTTGAATATTCAATGGTGGAATCTCGTCTTCATTGATAGAGCTAGCCTCGCTAGGAATGTCATCCACCAACAGTAAAATTGAATTAGCAATGAAGACATAGACCTTGATCCAAACCAATTCCAAAACACTTGTCCAATGAGTATTCAACACTTGTTTAAACGACGTAATTACGGCATTTCCCATGGGCTCCAAATACTTGACAGCGGTTTCAGCAAATCTTTGGTTTTCCTTGACAAATTGGTACAAAAACTCATCCAACAAAGCTCCATCTTCAATATTATCAACGATAAAACTAAACAAGTCAGCAAATATGTTTGAATGTTCACGAATCACCAACTCGTCATTGTGGAAAAGTTGACGCAATGATCTGTTTTGATCAAACAAGTTTGGATATAATCTTTGGAAAAATTGATCCTGATCAGTTCTTGACCATGAAGTCTTGATATTGTGTACTTCAACTGGACCCAAGCTCAAGTCAGACATCTTTTTTTTCGTAAATTGTGTTGTTTTATTGGTATAACTGGTAAAGTGTTCTTCTCTGTGTGGTGTGGTGTGGTGTGTTCTTTATCGAATGGGTATCAAATATTCAGGTATGATATGGCTGAAAGTTCAAGTTGATTTGTTGAAAAACTGGTGACTTGTGTCGACAAAATTTCTGCGTACACATGCCATCATTTATATATTTGTTATTAATACGGTTAAGTAAGGAAAGTTGAAAGCTGGAACATGTATAAAATGAATGGTGCAAAACAATCATCAATTACCATTCTTGGTAACGTTTCTGAATGATTGTGAATAGAAAAGATGTTTTTAATCTTTTAATTTTTTTTTTTTTTTTTTTGCAATTTATTTCCCTTTTGGGACATTATGCAAAATGGGTTAAACTATTGGCATACTGTTTTTGGTAATGTACGTAGGTTAACGAAAATGGTTGGAAGGTAGGGATTGTACATTGCTGAAGATAGTTGATGATAAGAGGATCATAGAGATGGTTGCAGTTAGCAGAGAATGAAGTTGAAAGGGGGTGGGGGGTGACTTGAGATCTGTTTGTACTAACAGTGACCCAGATCCTGCCCCGATCTTGTGATATCTTCTAAGATCTGGAATCTACCCACATGGTGTCGGAAGCAAAGGAAAGAAAGACAACTTCTCTGTAAAAGTAGAAAATGTTTCCCACTCCTTACATGACCTAGCATCACACTGCAGTGTACAACTGTTGTTGTTTCCTTAGAAGATCACTCGCAACTGAATGTAGTAGATGTTACACAAAATACAGAGAAAAACTGGAGAAATAAAAAATCATTTCCCAATTAGGAAGGTTAATTATTAGCATAGTAAATTGGAATATATCTGAGTAAAGAAATATTTTACCCCACTACTTTCATTGTCAAGCCATATCCAACTTAAGTTACTACTTCAGAAGTACTAGCCAGATTACTCCTATCTATTGAGTTTCCCGCTCTCTCTTTACTGTCCACTGCCGATGAGTTTTGTCTTTGAATCAGGAGCAAAGCCTCGATAAACGCAAAACGCGTGAAATTATGAGGTACCAGAAAGCATCCTAATCTGCTTGTTAAAGCGAATAGAGAAACATGCCCATATCGTTCAATCTTATCTATTAATTAGTGCTCTAAACAGCTATATCGAAATACCACCAAAATTGACCTTCAAGTGTGTATTTCCACGCTTTAATGAGCTTGCCAATAGCCTCAATTGGCCATGCATGAATAACGTTTTGAAAGGACTGAGCAATTGATTGTCATGTTCTCTGAAGTAGGATGCGGACATCGAGTATATAATCAGCTCATGAAATTGTGACTTGTAATGATTGATCAAATACGACATAAACTTTGAATTGGCCTTCTTTACCAAGTCAATGTGGTTGGGCATCATAATTTGAGTAGAGTCAAAGCAATAGTTGTCAAAATTGTGTGTATAGTGATTATCTTCATCGTAAGCTGCCATTTGCTGGAACAACGACTTGATGGTGTGGCATTTCTGGCATGTACAAGTATTAACCATCAAAGTTCTAGTTAACTGAATAGATGGCGCCCACCAGTTGAAAAAATCCGCAATGATCAACTTGCGTAGACTTGGTAACATTTGTATTGATTTGTTAAAACTGTTCCAATCAATCTTGCATGTATCGTTCTTGACAAATTCATTGATTCTGATGTAAATGTATTCTAGACTGGTAAACTTGTTGAACAAATCCGACAACTGGCTAGACAACAAAAACGCATATTGCTCCAAATTTCTCACGTGGTTCTTGGAGTTGTGGTTGACAATGCTAAGATTTTTCAACTTTGTGAAATGATGACTGTTTTGAGACAATTCGTGATAAAACTCATTGATACACGAGCAATCTGAATGCAAACAGTTGAACTTCAACTCCAAATCAGTGAGCTTATCAAAATCAACCATTTGATAGTCGTTAAAGTTTATGGGTGGTTTATTAAATGAGTGCGAATAAGAAATTGACACTTTTTGCAAGTTTGGAACTTCTGGATTCAACGACAAGAAGCATTGAGTCGACAAGGTTGTATTCAAATTCAATTGTTCCAAATTGGGGATTTTAACTCTTTGCATTGGGAATTGAACGTCGCCGATAATGGTTTCAATAAAGAGGTCCAATGTTTTCAAATTGGGGCTCCAGAGTGGTAACGATGTCAATTCTTGAGCTGCCAAAACGGACCAATTTGTCAAATTCCAAACTTTTGACGGTTTAGAACCAACACACGACTCCACCTCGTCATTTTCTTCCATGATTTCATAACAATCTTTTGACAAAAACTGAAGTATGGTTTGGTTTCTCCGTATATTGTCAATGTCAAAATTAATAAACTCGATATTATGTTGTGTGTGTGTCCAAAAATCTCCTATTTTCTCATATAATGCAGAATAATCATATTTGCTGAAATTTGACTTGCAATGCAACTCTATGGATCTAATTTTGAGGAAATTTTGGTACGTCAATGACTCAACAAATTTGCCAAGTTGATTAATGTGTATATAAGTGCAATTATCGTTCTCCACTATGGATTTGTTGTCATCGTCATACACCACGATGTCACGATAAAGTCTTGCATTGGCGAGATCATTGAAAAGTCTCGATGTTTTGGCTACAGATGCAAGTGTTGATTGATATTCGCAGGGAGTTGACAGAATGTCCCGTAGTTGTCTGTTGATTATGGATTCTAGTAAATCGGTGTACATGGAATTTAAATTCATTATCTTTCTCTAGTGAAACTGTAACGTAAATGGTGATATTCTAAGGTACTTGGTATATTTTTCCCAAGTCAGTACCCATCATTAGTCATATACATTTATATATATATATACTGTTGCAGGGGTTTGGGATGGTGTTGCAGAAGCAGGTAGTCATTTCTTATGTTATATGCAGTACATACTGTGTGTTTAAACAGTATAATAATATGGGGTATAGTTTTTGTTTTTGTTTTCTTTGTCTTTAAAACTGTGTGTGTGTGTATAGTGTGAGGCATTTTTACCTTGTGTTTTAGTTTCTTTTGTTCTCTCTCCTAACAAACTATAATACGCGCAATAATTTTTATTTCGGAGCTTAAGTCCCGTACGGCATTTGACACAATTGTGTACAAAACACACACACACACACAGACACACACACACACAGACACACACACACACGGAGTGAAAGGAAAGAAAGTTGGCCAAGAAAACGTGGGAAAGAGAAACGCCACACCCAACCGCCCGTCCGAATGAACAGCAAAAATATAGCAAAAGTGCAAGTCTACGTACGGCACAGGTTGTACGGAATGGAATTCGAGTGAGTATTCTACTCAAGAGGACATTGAGCTTCCCTCTACAACCATACCTGACATTTTTCGAGTTTAGCCATGAGAAGGTCTGGATAAATTTTGCTCTTTGACTTCTTGAGGAGACGATATTAAAGTATTTTGCCGCTTGCCAAAGAAAGAAAAAGTGTCGCTTCACACCCACAAGAATCTTTTCTTTTTTTTTTCATATATATATTTTTTGATGTCGCTTAGCTTTACCAAGAGAATTCAAAAACAAACTAGCCAACAAACAAACAAAGTTTGAGACGAAAGGGTAAAGGGTCAAATGAGAAAAATTCAAATTGTAAACACATCTCTCGTAAAATGTGCAGAGCCAACCAGCGGCTCGCAGCCACAACCAACAACCAACAACAGAAAAATAAAGAAGCGGGGATGGCAAAATAATAGCAGTGGGGGTTCTCCTTTATGCGTATTGTTTGACCTTCACTCGACTCCACAATTGACAACTTATTCGTTGCTCTCTGCTAATTATTCTTTGTATTTTACATTATTCAGTTGTTTCATGTGGAGGGTTCTGTTGCGGTGGGTATGATTTCTTTCGAAACATCCGTTTGACCTAGAATTTCGCAAAAATTGTTGTTGGCATTTTTATTTTGTTGGCTATTATTTGTTTTCTTGTCCTTTGCCACAGTTGTGGTCATTCAAAACTTGCAATTCTAGACCCACAGTCACGACAATATGGAAGATTTGGAAATCAAACATGTGCTATGAGCCAACTGTACCGTGTTGTTTACGTAACATTGAACATGGCAGATCAAAATAAACCATGCTAATCTGTCACGGCCCATATTTGAAAACTTAAACAGGCTCTCAACGACAGATACTTCTTTTACCTTGCATCTCAATTTTTAAAACAAAGGTCCAATATGGCCAAACACAAGGGTACTGGGTGCCACTCCCATCAAGACGATTACTTTGATTTGAACCTTGGATGAGCCAGAGTTGGTTGTTCTTTTGCCAGTCGCCAATTTATGTGCCTCAATGTTCAACAAAGACGAGACGAGTCGATCCTTTTTTTTTTCATTTTTTTGCAACAACATCCACAACATTTCCAACTTTACCCTCACACACCAAAATGCACTCACTCGACAGCTTCCAACATTTTACCGACTTCTTACTATCTCAAGGAGATACAATTCTTTCACTGCCCATCAATGGGGAACTCTGGAAAGTCAGGGGTGTTTTTCTCGAGTTTTGCAAAGAGGATACCTATCACACACCAACCACATACACAGATTTCATTGATTATCTCCGATTGTTTCAGACTCTCAGTGGAGGGTCGTTGCATTTCTCAACTAATTTGTCTCATGCGTTGACGAGTACGATAAGTAGACCCAGGTTGATCTGGATTAATTTCACCACAATAAAGATTTTACACTATCGATTGAGGGGATTGGCACCACCCAAGAAACAGCCAGCGAGACGAAAGGAGGCTAAGTCTTTACTAGATTTTATTTCTCAAAAGGCCTCAACCCCTACAGTCGAGCTTGGTCAGGTGACAAGATTAACAGTAGAGGTTATGACGGATTTTCTCCATAAAGTTACAGCCAGGACAAGTTTGGGAAGAGAAAGGGCAAAATTGAGAACTTTTAAAGTGCCATTCCCACAAGTGTGCAGTGACAGTAAACATGCATTGCAGTTGGCAAACTCTGGTTTAAATAAAAGGGAGTACATACTGAGCTCCAAACAATTGGCCCTGGAGTACATTGTCCATCAAAGAATACAGCAAGCAAGGAACGCTCTATCTGCTGAAACTTACCAATGCTCACTTGGCAAAATCCACTTTCTTCCTATATTGTATAATCACACTGATGTCAATTTGGGAGATTGTTCGTACTTGGATACATGCCACAAGATGAGAACCTGTCGTTATCTTCATTATTTCACACTAAACCCTCTCAAGTCTGAGTCGGCAATGAAGATGGTGGAAAAAGATCTTGACTATACCATAGGACAATGCTTTAGTGAATCGTTTCGTTCAATCACACCTCCACAATGGATCAATTGCGATGTTCGCAGTTTGCCATTTGGTATCTTGGGCAAATTTGCCGTCATCATATCTGATCCTGCTTGGGATATTCACATGTCTTTGCCATATGGAACTTGCAAGGATGACGAGTTGTTGGAATTGCCAATGCACGAGCTTCAAGACGAGGGTATCATTATGTTATGGGTTACTGGACGTTCAATTGAGATTGGACGTAGGGCTTTGCGCAAATGGGGCTACCAAATTAGTGATGAAATGATTTGGATCAAGTTGAACCAGTTGAAAAGAACAATCGTTACAGGAAGAACTGGCCATTGGTTGAATCACTCAAAAGAGCATCTCTTGGTTGGCCTCAAAGGTGACCCACGTTGGCTCAATTTGCGAGTAGATACAGATGTTGTCGTTAGCAGTACAAGAGAAACATCTAGGAAGCCAGACGAATTTTATGACATCATTGAAAGATTGGTGGGCCCACACGCAAGGAAATTGGAGATTTTTGGTAGAGCTCACAATACCAGACCAGGGTGGTTGACCATTGGCAACCAACTACAAGGTGTATCATTACACGAGCCTGAAGTTAAATACAACTATGAAATGTATATTAGTCAAAATCCAAACTAGATCTGCTTAAAATAAATAAGGAAACAAGCAACTACTCAAGTTTCGACCCCCCCCCCCTCCCCTCCCCTCCTTTCCTCCTCCTTCTTCTTCGCCCTCTATTAAGAGTGAGCTTTTTTGGCCTTTTCTTGCAATCTAAACTCTCTAACTCTTTTACCAGCCTCATTATCCATTTTCTTTGCAAGATCCCTTCTAAATCCCAAAAAAAAGGCAACTTCAAAAGCAACGAAAAATGGAGCCAAAACCAAAGCTTGCAACAAGTTATCAAGCAAGGCTGGTGCTCTCTTTTCATGCACACCATGGCCATAGAATTGAGCAATCCAGGCAAATGCATGTGCTGCAATTGCATAATGAATAAATTGACTAGATGTAGGTGATGTGGTTGCAGATAAGGACCTATAGTAGTTGCCGATGAAATGACCATAGCCAATCACAATAGATGCTGCTGGAATTCCAACTTTCCAGTCCAAGGAAATGTAATACAAGCCGTAAAGCCAAGCACTGACGATACCAACGTTGACCAGTGGACTTGTAGAGATGAATGGTAAACCAACTGGAGTCAAGAACGTAATTGCAGAAAGCAAGATGATTGGAATGCAAACCAAGTGAATTTTGACATTGGTGCTGTTGAAATGGTAAGATCTGTAAAAGATCATGTGTTCAATCAATGTAGTCATTGTTTTTGAAAGTAGAGAGTTATAAAATACCTGGCTATTGGGTTGCAATACTAAAAATACCTCAATTGAATGAAGAAGGGTTAGGATTCAGTACTGTTATAAACCGAGATGGGTAAAAGTATCACTTGAACTCAGCAAAGTTTTTAAAAGTTGTAAACAATTTCTCAATCCCCTCTCTCTCTCTCTCCCCCCACACGGATGACGGAAAATTTTGCCTATTTTAAATTTCGTCTATTATGCCAAGCGGAGTTATATGTCGGATACAAAAATTACCCGAACTCTTATTTTAAACTGCGATACAAAACTACAATCAAAAACATCTAGAAACAGAAAAAAGCTTCATCTCAAAACTCTATATAATAATCTTTACTACTCTCTAATATCCAAGTTTGGTCTCTTTACCAACCTGTTTTTCTTTCCCTTGGCATTGTCGAATTTGGTAGCTTGGTTCAAGTCCCTACCTACATTGTCCAAGTCTTTAACTTTGTAAATTCGAACAATCCAGTTTTGCGAAGTGAACGCTTCTTCAACAACATGTAACTCGGGTGGTTCATCAGCAGGGATCTGTTGATTTCTGACTCTGTCGGCTCCATCACGTCCACCGTATAATTCAGCAAATCTATAGTACGATAACTTGTACATCAATGAGTTCTTCATGGTTTTTGATGCAGCCTTGTCAACTCTGTATTCTCCTCTTTCGGTAAAGTAGTCTCTCTCCTTGATCTCGTCTGGCCAGATACCTTCGGCTATTCTCACCATCCAGAGAAACTTGTTAATGTCATCTCCAGAATACCCAATCACACCTCCAAAAATAACAAGAACATAATCGACATCGTGCTGTCTCAAAATTTCGTACGATACATCTTCGGGTGAGGACATTGCTTTTCCAACGGTGGCGATATGAGTATTGTTCCACGTGTTGTTATCAACCAAAGTTGTTCTATCTGCCATACCTCCAATTTGGTATCCGTAATCCCACCACGACATAATCTTTGCGTCCTCAGGAGTATTCATTCTCAACCAATAGTAAGCTTCTCTATAATCATCGATAATGATTTGGGATCCGTCGGGAGCTTTAGAAGCAAGCACGACTGATGGCGATGAGTAGGCATTTGAGGTTACCCATGTACAATGCAAAACAAAGTAGAACAAGTAAAATGCAAATGACAACAACACAATCAATTTCGACACCAATGCAGCAATGGGCAACTTTTTGCTTGTCTTTTGTCCGCTTTTTTCCGCAAAGATATCAACAACATTCAAGTAAATGTCAAACAACTTGGACAATGCAATGGCACCAGCAATACAAATGACTGGCGTCAAAGTCAACATTAAACGAACCATGACACCAGCGAAATAGGAACACAAGACACTGTAAATGATGACAAACACGTGTTCATCCCTCAATTCCTGGAAACACAAGTAGATTCCAGCTGGAAACAACCAAATCAACATTGACGTGTCGAAAAAGAACGCTGGCCATGCAGTTGGTTGATGTTCTGAAACTGACGCAATAATAGGAATGTGGATCTTTGCATAATTTGTATCCCAAAGTGAGTAAAATCTACCGGTCCAAGGAGCAATCCATCCCATGGCCGTTAATCCAAACAATGCACCGACTCCCAACACAAATACCAATGAAGCAGAAACAATCAAAAATGATTTAAATTGTTTTGAAGGGACTTTGGATTTAACATAGTCTCCAAAAGCAACCAATTGCAACAATCCAAAGACACCCAACGCAGCCATATGGTCATTTGATCTAATTGGCAAGAATCCCACAAAGGGAATCTGCATACTTGCCAATGTCCCCAATGCATACCATGTGGTGTACGCGGTATACAACTTGGGATTGTATCTTCCCATCAACAACAAAACAAATACATGCAATGGAATCAAGTTTGTAATAAACACGTACCCACCCCATGCACTAACCATGTAAAAATAAAATAATGCAGTTAATGTGGCATAGAAAACCGATCCCAACTTCATCGACTTGATCCAAAAGTAAAATGTTGCCATCAATAACGTAATTGCAATAGCTTCATTATCATATGACCCAGCAACCGACCTAGAAATGTAACCAGGGGCAATTCCCATGAAAATTGCAGCAAGCAAACCCGCATTCGAATCCTTCATCTCCTTGGTCAAAAAGTAGGTAGCAATTGCCGTCAACCCACTGAAAACAGGGGCCAACATAACACAAATGTTTCTAATATCAACGGGTAAGCTCAACCATTCTCTCAACACGTGCCAAATTGCACCTGAAGTCACCATCAATCCAGGATATAGCGTACCCCCAGTTACTCTTCCCAATGGGTACCACGTTCTGTCGTCAAACCAATTCAAGAATTCATAAAAAGAGTGCGTCACCAAGTACTTTGTAGCTCTGAAATTGAACCATGGGTCAAACTCGTGGATAATAGATTCGAATCTAATTACTGAAAATAACCGTGATGAAATGGCGGCCCCAGCAATTGATATCAAAATGATCACTTTGAGCAATGATCTTATTAGTTCAACATCAACGCCCAACACTTTTAATTGGGCCGGATGTGCTTTCATGGTCTGATGAGTAGCTGTCACCATGATGTAGTTTAGAGGGTAATGTGCTTCAACATTTTCTGTGAAAAATAATATGTTCGACAAAATTACTCCCGCACACGGTGTACATATTTGGAAGTCGCGAAATCCACTTACGCGACAATCCAAATCAGTACAAAGCACAATACCTATGCAATACACGTCTACAGGGACAATGAATAAATATACTATTTATGAAAAGACAAGCTACGGCTACAGCTACAGCTACTCATTAAAAGGAACTCCAAGTCCAGTTTGCAGGAACACTTCCCACTAATGGGTCAGCTCTGTTGGTATTATTTGTGCCTCCACCTCCAGTACCACCATTCATTATGTTTCCTTTCAAATCAGTTTGGTTCCGCCTCGACGCATGTTTATCAAGATCCTTGTACAGCTGCTGTGTCTGATTTTGCTTGGGCAGGCTAGCCACTCCATTGATAACGTTATTCTCAACATGGCGGCCCAAATCCATCGGAGAGGGCAGTTTTGTATTTGATATATTGACACCAAATTCTCGTTCAATAAACTCGTTATATTCTCCAATGCAGTTATCGCACACCTTTGACAATGTTCCTCTTCCGCCAGTGGTAAACTGGGCCATTCGATTGATATACAAAGAATGCGAAGTATGCTCTTTGCAGAAAATCCCCCCACATTTTCGACAATGATGCCGCCTTTCAAAAAAATTAAAACTCTTGTTACACGACGGTATGCCACACGTAGTCACCGCTTCATCCTTCACCCAATGTCTCCTTGTTGGTGGTGCACTAGCCAGGTAATCAAACGACCTCCCTAGATTTCCAGTGCTCAAAAATCTGTTGAATGAGCCATACTTTGGTGAGCTGGTAGAGTCTATTGACCTTGATGAATCGGTTGACTTTATTGATGCGGTCGACGAGTTTATGCTCTTTTGTCCAAACGCTTTTAGATGAGCTTCATAGCTGTTTTCGGGACTTTGAGCTGTGGGTGGCGTAGAAACCATGTCTGGGGAATTTGATGACGATCGATTGGGATATTCGTAACCGCCATTGTGCGTCATCCGCAACACCGCTGGAATGTACATGGGTGTTCTCAAACCCTTGATTTGTTGCAATTGTCTTGTAGATCTTGTACTTGGGTTCTTGTGATGTGGGTTGGGCTGTGGTTGCTGCAAATGGCACTGTACTTGCAAGTTATTCGTAGGGAGCTGCTGTGGCACTGCCGTATTCAGTGGCTTTCTTCTGGTATTGATATCCTGTGGAGGAATCACAGCTGCAGGTACTCTTGAGGAAGAAGAAGAAGATGATGCTGATGCTGATGGTGGAAGCTGTTGTGCATGTGGATATTGTACGTGCTGTTGGACTGGAGCCTGTTTGGATGAGTCTATCAATTGGAACAGCGTATCTCCTTGAACATTTCTTGTAAGTTTATCTGTCTGTAGTTTAAGGGAATCCATTTGCTGTTGTCTCAAATTATGATGATATTGGCTGATGTCATGCTCCTTTGACGTGACGTCTGGCTTGGCGATTTTACCCTCTGGTAGGCTCTCCAACGATGACTTTGTGCCAATCTGTGAATGGGATGACTTTTCATGTGCAAGAGTCGAGGATGAAGTGGATAGTGAGGGATTTTTTGGTGTCACCTTTGGTTGTCTTGTAAGACTGGCAAATGACGATAAATCAACTTCAGCTGGTTGATAAGGTTCCTGCCCTTTAGATTTCAACTTACTCTCGCTTTCTGCAGCTTTGGGAATAACAACGTCTTCGGAGTTTGTAATTGGCCTGGGAGACAAACTTAACTTCTTTAAAGCATTCAAAGTCAAATCTCGTTGTTGTGACAAAATTTCTTCATCGTTGTTGTCTTCAGTAGCCTCATCAGTGTCTCCATCATTGCTTGAACTGTTGTTCGTTGTACGTCTAGATTTGCTCCCTGTCGGTTTATCGTGGAATGGTAACTGCTGGCCAATTTGCAATTCCTCATTCAGCTTTTGAGTCGATAAACTTGATAGGACTGGAGCTTGAATAAAAGATTGAAAGTTCTTCAACGTGTTCATAGCAGAATTGGATCTCGTTAGTTGATTGTTGTGGCCTTTTGTGCTGTTATTTCTAAGTAATCCTGGTCCATTCATTCCAGATGGTTGGTTTGAAGTGGCATTAGCCGAAGTCATGGGTTGTATTTGGTGTTGCTTGAGGGACTTCAAAGAGGCGAGCGATAAAACCGATTGGTATGACTGCGTGCGAGACTTGCTCAAGTCTTTTTTTGAAAACATCAAATCAGACTTGTTGTATGACTCCGTGGGTGAGTGTTTGTCTCCGTTCCGATCCTGTGGCAGGTCGTCCTTGTTGGAATTGCTATTATTGCTATGATGGGACGAATTAGGGGATGGTAGTTGTTGTTGCTGCAGTTGTTGTTGCTGCAGTTGTTGTTGCTGCAGTTGTTGTTGCTGCGGTTGCAGTTGCAGTTGTTGTTGCTGCAGTTGCAGATCTTGCAGAGACTGTTGCTCTGGTTTATGTCTCAGCTGACTCCTCGACTCGTTTAACGGAGCGTCGATGCTTTTGTCATTGGCGCTTGAATCTCCAGGATCTTTTATTGCTGCTTGGTGAGCGTGGCTCAGTCTTCGCTTTCCATCAGAAGATTCTACATTTCCCACAGTGTTGTCATTTGTCACAGTTGGTTTATAATCGCTCTTTTCTGTGTTTGTTGCGTTTGCTGAGGTGCTTTGTAATACCGAGGTGGCAGTCTTTGTCATAATAAATATAAACACAAACTAGTGTCTCCTCTTCTCTTTTCTTTGCGTTGGTTTTGGTATAGGTGTTGGCAGTGCGGTTATGTATGCAGTTGAGAAGAACTGTGTATATGTGTGTATGTGTGTGTATTGTATTGAAATGGTATGAAAAGAAGGATAATCTGCAGTGTGTGTGTGTGTATGTGCGTGTAGTGTTTTGTAAATTAATATTTTATATATATACATGTATTGTCCATGCGATATTTTAATTTATATTTTTGTTTTTTTATTTTTTTTATTTCTGTCTCTTAATGTATATTCTTAGATAATTGTATTACACATACTAGAAACACAGGCAAAGATGGAACCCAAGACGTAAGAAAATTACAGTTTATAATAATCTTTCTAGAGGGTACGTCTAGATTGTATTTATTTTGTATGCACATAAACACTAGACCACATCCAATTTTAAAAATGATCCCTTAACTGGAAAGTGCCCCCCCCCCCTCTCCCTTCCTCAGCCCAAAGCTGAGAGAGAATGGAGAAACAAAAAAGTTCAAAAAGATGGACAGAGAACGAGAGATTAAAACAAGTAAAGAATGTAACGGGTGTCACAAAAATTACTCAAAAGCTGAGTTTTTGTTGGGGGGCGGCGTAGTAAAGATGACGATGACAGAACAAAGAGATTCTTGGATGTGCTACCAGTTTATCTTGAATGGTAGCTTCCTTCTATCTCTTGTGAACGCTACCACGTGTTTATTAAAAATTCCACCGATTTAATTGGATAAAAAAAAATGGCTAAACCCGGGGAAGAAGGGAAAGAAAAAAAAAAAAAACATCCATTCAAACAAAACGCTTAGACCAGAAGATTACTTTACTTGACACGAGGAAAGACACTTCACGAACGGACCTTTCACTTCTACAGGCTGTCAATACTTGGATACATCTCAGTGAAACTCACTAACACATTTACACACATATAAATATTCACTCCAGCATTAGCTCTACAACACAAAAAAGATGATTTCCCGTGTCGGATTATTGAACAAACAGACTATCAATTTGGTCGCTAGAAACACCATCAACACCACCAGAGCAAGAACTAATGTGCTTCAAAGTGGCGCCAACTCTATGCTCCTCAAAAGACTTGTGTCAACTGTATCCACCACTCCTAATGAAGAACAAGAAGTACTTGTCGCTCAGCGTAAGAACAGGCCGGTATCACCTCATTTGGACATTTACCAACCACAATTAACTTGGGTATTGTCAGGTTTACACAGAATTACTGGTGTTGCTATGGCCGGTGCCTTCTACGCCTTAACCTGTACATATGCTGCCACTTCCATCTTGAATATTCCATTTGACGCTGCCACCTTAGTAAATGCTTTTGCAAGTTTGCCCGTGTTTTTGCAATACACCATCAAGGCTGCTGCTGCTTTCCCATTTGCTTTCCACTCCTTCAATGGAATAAGACATCTTATTTGGGACACTGGTAGAGAGTTGACCCTCAAGGGTGTTTACCGTACTGGGTACATTGTTTTGGGAGCCACTGCTGTTGTAGGTTCCTATTTGGCCTTTTTCTGGTAAGTTGATAGACTGGGTGTAGCATAATTTACAGATGTGTATTCATGAAGAGCAATACATGAAGTTTGTATTGTTAAAGAGATAACCGTAATTAAGTATTGTTTTAATGTAGCGAACTCATTCCATATACGCAATTCATCCCCATACTGTCGAGACCAAGTGTCGACGCAAAATAGATATGAAAATAAGAATAACGCCCCAATAGCCTACTTGTATTATCCACCCTGTCCATATTTGTGCATAAGATAATATCGGGTCTGGATACAAATTCACACTTGACAAAATGTCCTCGCAGTAGAGAACAATATGCGTGTTGTTGTTGTTGTTGTTGTTGTTGGCTTATTGTTTGCTTGTGCCACAGTTGATATAGAAGCTATCCTGAAGACCACTGAGTCTCTCATACTCTGTCGGACTGAGTTCTTTCAACACAAGCGAGCAAGGCAAAAGTTGGTACGAGTGATATCTAATCTCAAGCGGCACTTTTGGAGTTGATTCAACGCCATCAAAAATCTTGGGTAGGACTTCACCAGGTAAATATGTGACTTGCATTATATAAATGGAGTAATAAGCAAATAAAGATCTACCACATACCGGTTTTCCTTTTAAATGGAAAAGGATGTCAGCAATAATTGTCTGTTTGAAGAATGAACAGGAAAATCAATCTTAGGAGGGTCGAATCTATAACGCTTAACAATACCGGCTCATCTGACTGCATGATACAGTATACACGCGCCTGGGTTGGTTGAGAAAGCTCCCAACCTATTTGCAAAAGTACCATACCTCACTCTCTTTTACGAAGTATATATACCCCTTGTCCTCCCGGAATTTCGTAGCTGATTTTCGCCTCATAATCCCTCAATTCAACCTGCTGATTTCCAATTCTGAATCAAGGCAAAGACACGGTGTATCGTTTGTACAGAAACCACAATTAAATTTCATTTTCTTCTTTGCAACTCTGTCATTGGAAATATTAGTGCTTTTGACAACTTCCGTTCTCGGTTCTTCGCCATCTTGAGACGCTGGAATATTGTCAGCTGCGTCATTGGACTTTTCTCCATTGTGTTCGTGTATCAAAACTTGGCCCAAGGCTGTTTCCTCTGATGGCGGTGCATCATCAAGTACTAATTTGCTCAAAAAATCGTGTTCGTCCACATGGAAAAAACCACCACCCCCAGTGTCGCCGCCAGGACCAATCTTTGCACCTTCAATTTCCATAGATAAGCCATCACTAGAGACTTTAATCCTGTCATTTTCATTTGCCAATATCTCCGCAGTTGATGGAGATGCTTCAATTGTTTCTGTTTGCAAGTCCATTTCCATCATATCCAAATTGGGGTCGTTAAACAAATTTGAAGCGTTCAAAGGACGTAGCAAATCTGGGGTAAATGGCGGCTTTTGATTTGTTTGTTTTGTGGTGGTCGCCGACTCGGATGGAGACACTGTATGTTTTGTGCTCTTGGTTGAATCGGCTCGCTGTTTACCCATCTTCTTTTTGTTACTAGTTTTCCCATTTTCTTGATGCAATGTCTTGAACCGATTCCTCAATTGAACGTAGTTATCAATTTGTTGGTGTAAATTGTCAGGACATTTTGTGTGATCAATTGATTGTCTCTTGGCACTCTTGATGATATCTGACGACTTGCTGAGATAGGTCAAGAATTTGTTCAAATCATTCAAGTTGTTGATCGAGTCCAACTGATCGCATTTGGAATTTGTCAATGTCGAGGTTATTCGCTGCGAATTTGGAGTAACTTTCGAAGAATACTTCAAAGCGTCAAAAGTGATGACTCCATTCTGGACAAAGCTTAGCTCTTTGATTTGATTGGTGAGCACTTCCACGTAGTTTCTAATAATCTCCTGCTCTTTTAATTTCGACAAATACGACATTTTCAACTCTGTCATGTGCACCTCCGGATCCTCTGATTTTACTGGTGGAGGTGGAGGTGGAGGCGGAGGTGGAGGCGGAGGTGCACACAAAGATGGGACATGTTGTTTCAGTACAGGCATGATCTCTGAATCTGTATTGGCGCCATTAGCTTTGTTGACAATTGGGTTGGCCACGGGATAAGCAACTTGCTTTGTTAAAGGTGCAGTAATGGCAGCTTTTCCTGTTTCATCCCCTTTAACGGAATTGTGAGCTACCTGAGACGGCTCTTGCAACTTGGGCCTCTCTATTTGGTTGATATCGCTCAGAGTGCTTGCCGTCATACCCACTCTATCAGTTTTCTTCACAGCAACTGGAGCCGTACTCGTCCCTGCTGTCGTCGAAGTTGCACAAACAGTGTCTTTTTCCAGGTTCTCCTTCACGGTCACTGCTCTGACATTCGGTTCCAGTTTCGGCTTACTTTTCCTCTTTGTTACGTTCGTTTGAGCCTTCGACACTTTGTCACAATCTGAGCCAGTTCGTTTTCTGCCCGGTCTAGGTCGAGGAGGTAGTACCCACTGTTTTGACGTATTTAGATTGGTGGAATCCTGAGTTAATGATGGCCTCATCAGTAGTTGGAACTTGCTACTCGGTATGGGATTGAATTTTGTTGCCAACGGTACGACATTTGATGGTTTGGGTGCTATTGCTGGTTGTATTTTGGCATACTTTGGGGCTATTCGTAGAGGCTGCTGTCGCGCAGGTTGGACTTTTGACAGCATTGCGGGATGCTTACCGCTAGGTTTTGCGTTGCTGTTGGTATTGCTACTGCTTGGTGTTTGTAGACGTGTCTGACTCGATTGTAGCAGCCCTACTACTTGTGCAGTTAGATGAGAAGATGGAGTAATTTGTTTTCCAGGTGCCGAGCTCGCACTTCCTGAAGTCGTGCCCGTTTGCAACAGAGAGGTGCTCGCTGTTAATTGTCGTTGCTGAGCTCCTTCCGGCAAGGATTTTGCTGTACCGTGTGAAGATAGTTTGGACTCCGGCGGCGCGTTTGGCTTACTCTCCATAGTCTTTCGTTTACACTTTTACCTCAAAGGGGGGCGGGGGGGCAAAAAGGAACGAAATATCACGGTCAACTTGAAATGTTCCTTTAAATTTTTGAAGTCTGTCGTCTGACAACCCTGTCTTTGATTCACAAATGATATGTGTCTTGCACTGTCCAGGAAAAAAAAAAAGTATGGGGGATGGTCGGATTGCTGTTTTCAATTTCGTGTACAGTCTGTTTTTTGAGTGTTGGGGTGCGGCAAATCAAGTATAATACTGTGAATTCTCTCTAGAATTAAGTGCTAGGTGATGACCTCCCTTCTTTATTGGTTGTTCTGTGGAGCAAGATTTGACCTGTGGAAGAGAATCCTGCTTATTCCGTTGAAAAAAAAAAAAAAATACAGAAGTTGATTAACCGAATGTGAGCACGGGAAGAAGAAAAAAGAAAAAAAGAAATGCGAAACTAAATTGATACACGATAACACCCGAAACTATAAACAACCTCGTACAAGCACCACTTTTTTACTTGTTTACTTGATTCACAATGTCAACACCATCAAATGCAAGGCAATCATCGAGACAGAGCTATATCCAGAATCCTCACCGTCAGTCAAATGTACTGGTTTCCACGTCAGCTATCACACAGCGACAATTGAGTCATCTAAATTCACAAGTTGCACAATTGCATGCCAATTTGTCAGATTTCAATGACTTGATAACAACTGCCAGCGATCAGTATAAGAACATTGAAATGTTGGGCAAGATTCATGCTAGTTTGCTTATGGGGAGCCGAAAGATTTTCGAAGAAGAGGCATTTGACAACTGATCCGAGGTGGAAGAGATGCTGTTTAGAGCGAGGTGGTGTGGTGTAGTGAGAGTGGAGATATTTATGTATTGTTCAACTATATACACGATTTACGACCTCCTCTACGGTCATATCTCTTTGTTTTCTTGTTGCTCCTGCAACTCTCTCAATTTTTGCTTGTATAACCTCTTCTTTTCGATTTTTTCCTTAATAAACAAATCCCGTTCCTGATCCAAGTATTCTTGTTTTTGATACTGTGCAACACAATCCAAACTGGCTTGGTTCACAGATTTACACTTTTCAATAGCATCAAGTGGGTTGGCATACAGATTCGAGCATTCAATATACCTCTTTATCAAATCATCACATTTCAGAAAAGTCCTTTTCCTCCATCGTTCAAATATTGCTTTTTCTTCTTTGGGTGTGATTATCCATGCTGGCAAGTTGGGATTAGTCGGGAGCTCGACATCGGAATATCCTTTTTTCTTCTTGGGGTAACTCATGTTGTGAAAGGGGGGTGGGGGGAGGGGGGGTTAAGCGTGGGAGAAATCAGGGCGGGAAAGGAGTATGGGGGTGATGGACAGACAAAAATTTATGTGCTGATGAAATTTCCAAAACCTCAATGTCACAAATAAAATAAATTGTGTCGCGTAAAAACCAAAACATAAAGTGTACACATACCAACCCACACCTACAACTATTCATCTTACTACACCACGACCGCATATTTGCACACACACACACACACCCCTCCCCCTCCAAAACAACAGCCAGTCTTTACACATTTGTTACCCTTGAATCACATAATGAGTGCCACATCAGAACCACAACAAGTACCAACGGATATTGAGAATACAAATGCCGACCAGTCGTTTGACACTTCAAATGCAATTCAGAAACTTATAGACGAACTTGAAGAGGGTGACATATTCTTCATGGCTGATGAAATTGTAGCTTCTATTGCACGAGCCCAAGATCAACGCGAAAAGGAATTGGCAGAGCTTGACAGAACCAACGATGAGCTTCGACAGGAACTTGAACATAAAAAGGAACACCTTCGGGCAATGACCAAGATAAATGACGCTAAAGTTGCTTTAATTGATATCAACTCTGCAATTGCCGACTATGAGTTTTCGCCGATCGACAAGTCACAAGATTTGCTAGAGGCTGTGCGAACAAGGAACCTGGAGCTTTACAATTTGAAGTTGGACATTACGCAGGAGAATAGTGATTTACGTGACTCTTTGAGCCTGTTGATCCAAAAAAGGGCCAAGTTGCAGAACGAGTTGAATGACTTGACTGAGAAATTGGAAAACCCGGAACCCAAACAAAATATTGATCCTGAGAAGTTGAAAGAGTATGATTTGGCGTTGCTAAAGATTAACTTTTATCGCAATCTAGGCATACGTATTGAACCGTTTAAGAAGCCAGAACTGGCATCAGAACTGGCATCAGAACTGGCAACAGGTGCGGTCAACCCTGGAGCATTTCTAACTCAAGACCTGGAAAATGCGTTGGATTTCACAGATGATCCTGAGCAAGTAGTGATTGTACAAGGCAGTGATGGTCAAGTAAAGAATATGCTCGTTGGATTAAGCTGTCCAGAAGAGTCTGTATCTAGATTTATATGGGAGAATATTGACTAGTATACAAGCGACAGATTCATTTATTCATTAAAAACATATATATATATATATACAGTGTGCACCTTCCCAATCAAACAAACAACACGTTGGTCTGGATTTTATAGCCTCTCGTTATCTTGTCTATTTTAGAAGTATTTTGGATTCTCTCTGAATGATAGTTTGGTCCACTTAGGCACCCTATGAATAGGCTTTCTGTAATCACGCGAATGTTTGCTAAACGTAGTGTATTTATCCCGGCTTTTCATTTCATTATATCTAGGCATCTCAAACTTCAAATGGTCAATCTTCGGATATCCTGTTTTGTCGCCCATCTTCTTTTCACCTTGCTGCAGCTGGATTAAACCACGGTATATTTGATCAATGTTGGAATCAACCTGTTCACTTCTCTTACGCAAGTTGACACGCTGTGTTGAAGTAATATGAGGGGTGAATTTCCAGACGTAACCGCCCGACCTGACTAGCGATGGAAGCATCTTTTTAGATGTGAAATATGACTTGGAGATGGAAAGACAAGCTGATCCTGATAGAAAGAAAAAAAATTTCAACTTCGAGTAGAGAGAGAGAGAGAGGGAGAGTATGGTCGATGCTACCATGTGAGTTTTGCAGTACAATTTCATTACAGTAAAAAGAACAACTTACGAAAGTCTCCCTTCATTGAGAAGTTGTTGGTTATTGGATATGAGAAGCCCCACTGTCCAATTTTTGACAATTGATGTGTGGCTATCTGAAGCTGTATCTTGAATTAAGAAATTTGTTAATTTTTGGTATTAAAATTGGTTAAAAACCAATCTTCTGTCAGTACAGCAACAAAATTGTATTTGCAGCTTTGGCGGTTTACATGAACCTTTCAAAAATTAATTGCTACAAGCAGCTGGAAGAGCTCAATGGCAAATATAAGTGCTGCAAATGCTTCTACCGGCGATCAAGTCATTGGGAAAAATCGTCATTACAAATTGATTTGTTTACAGCTTTATTGACGCATTTTGAGGTATAGGTGTTCCAACAAAAGTTACCAAGGATAGCAACATAGGTACATTACATTACATGCCCGACTATTAGACTCAAAATAAGCTGTTTGCCCGTATCCCTGTTCAAAATCAGGTAAAATTTATTAACCTTTTTTTTTCGATTTTGCCAAAAATGCACAATTTTGCTTTATTTTTGACCGAAAAGGGTAATTCTAGATTTTCTGTGCGGCTTGTCTGAATTAGGAAAACAACTTAAAACAATCTAGTCAATGACTACTTCTACAACCACTTTACTTTAATATGTATTTTGGTAGAACACCATGATTGCTTCGAGTGAAGACTTCTTTGGAGTACGATTTGGACTTAGAGAAAGCACGTGTTTCGTCACATCCATGTATGCAACTAGTCTTACAAGTACCGGCTATTCAATCGAAGGAGTCGGGTACAGTCACTGCGACTCACAAACTAAATGCCCTTTCTTTGACTTCTCGAGATGATTCAAACTGACACTGAGTCACATTTTTCTTTTTGCAAAAATGTCGCAAATTGTAGCTAAACGCACGTGATAAGATTCAATTCTTGGTTCTTTTTTTTTTTTACCTCTACTGATTCATTTTGTGGGTAGAGGGAATTGCTTACAAAACAAAACCTACTGCCATTCTTGTCAGAAAGCGATACGCTGACAAAGATAGTCTTTGTTTGAACGGCTAGTCTGAACTCTCCACCTCTCCCCACCCCTACTTCTAACTCTGAAGTTGTTATACCTTCAGTGTTTATATTGCCGTATTTGGAAATTTAAATAACGCGACATACGTGTTTGAAGAAAAAGAGGTGATGCATATTTTTTTTTTTTTTCACTTTTTTCGTAAGTTAATCTCCGAAGAATCGGAATTGCGTTAGTCCTTTTTTTTTTTGTTTTTAATTTTGTAGTGACGACATAGCAAAGTGTAAACAAAAAAATAAAGTATTAAACCACTCAAAGTATAATATGCACAACAGCTTAAAAAACTAGTGAGGTCATTACGAGAAAAATTTTTCGTTTTTTGTTTTTTTTTGCTTTTTTTTTTGTGAAGATTTTTGAAAAGAGTAAAACGTGTGCTTGCTTGTTTGAAAGTTTCAGGTCCGGTGATGTCAGTATGAAATTTCGTATTAAGCACTGTTGCGTGTATTTTATATCTCTACTGTCTGAATCTCAATTGTTGAGATGAGAAGCGTTCATATGTTTGAAGTGGCCCTTTCGAGCCTTTCATGTACTTCTCCACGTGTTTTTTTTCAGCTCCCGTTTATGACATGATCTTTTTTTTTTTTTCATCTCCTGCGCACACATAATTCTATTGTTAAATTCCTTTGTTGTTTTGTTTTGACACATTTTTGTGTGAACGAGGTGGGGGGTAGAAGGAGGCGAGAACGTGGGATAAATAATTTTTTTTTTTTCTTTTGCGAGCACATGGGTGTGAAAAGAAGAAGCAGGACTGGTTTGCGCTTGTACGGAGACAACAACCCTACTAGTTACGTATTATATACGCGATCAACATTTTGGACATTGTTTTACACTCAATGTGATTCGTGAATTGCAATGTTTTGTATTTGTATAATGTATCTGTACTATATAAGAGTAAAAACTATATACGAGATCCACTTCAACCAAAAACCAACTTCCACCAAAAAAAAAAAAAAAAACAAGCCAAAAAAAAATAGAATCAAAAAAGCATCTGTAATGTCTTTGATTTCGTGCTTAGTATGTGTTATGCTATGTGTGTATGAATGAAAATGTTGCTGCTGTTGTGCTTAGTTATTCCAACCAACAACCACAACCTAGAACTAAAAAAAAAACCCTCTCCCAGTTGCAAAAAAAAACTCTCTCTGTTGAAAATTAAAACAAATCAATACGAGACAAACCTTCTTTTTTTTACAAGGCAGTCAACCATTTGCGATAATTGCGTGATGTGGAATTTATCAACTCGTTACTGGTTTGATTACTGGTGTAGTTGGTGTTGGATTTAACTGAGTAGTTCAAGTCAAAATAATTCAAGTCATAGTAGTGACTGTCATCTTTTGTTTCGACATCAACATGTGAGGCCAACATCAAGGGAGACGACACCAATTGTAGCTGTTGTTGTTGTTGTTGTTGTTGTTGTTGTTGTTGTTGTTGTTGTTGCTGTTGCTGAAGATACAAAGCAGGAGTCAAAAGTGGTGAAACCATGTCATTAGGGGTGTAGTCATTATTGTTATTATTGCGGGTGGTAGACGATATCGAAGAAACCGAGTTGTTATGATGGTATTGACTTTCATTGGAGTGCTGACCTGATGAATATTGTTCAAATGATGCAGCGTTGAAAGTATTACTTGGTTGTATTGAGGACTGATATTCTATCGATTTACACTCTTCTGAGCAGTAGACTGAATTCGTGGGACACAATTTGTCACAGTGTATACAGTAGTTGTTGAATGCAAAGTCAGACATGGCTGTGATGTAGGTATTATGCGTTGTTATATGTGCTGAAGATGGGAAAATGCAATAAAGTTGTTGTGTGTGTGTGTGCTTAGTCTATAATAAATGTATAGCGCGTGTATTCAGTGGTGTGAGTGAATACTATTACGTGAATAATAGTAACGACTGTAGCAGTTGAAAAGAAGTGATGGTGATGCTTTTGAAGGCAATATAGTTTATGCTTGAAGGGTATGAGAAACGATGATATAAGATGAATGAAAATTTTAAAATTTCAAACGTGGAAGTTTGATCTTGCTTTATATATACATATTATACATAACAACGTAAGTAGCAAATATATAATGAGTAATGTTTTTTTTTTTTTTTTTTCTCTTTTACACAGTTTACACAGTTTACACAATAACCACCACCACCACCACAATTGCAAAGTTTTTTTATTTATTTTTTTAGAGAGAGAAAAAAATAAAAAAAAAATAAAATTCCAGCCCACGAGTGTGTGGTTGTTGCATTTTTTTTTTCTTTTTTTCTTATTTATTTGCTCAGACACACACACAGACACACAGACACACAGACACAAATTCAGACTATACAAAATGTCGTTTGTCACAACAAAATGTCTCTCTTTCTTTCTTTCTTTCTTTCTCTCTCTCCTTTCCCCCTCTAATTCGGAATACATGGCTTGTACAAAAAAGCCCAACAAATATGTAACAGCAAACCACGCACAAGTACACAACCACAACAACACACACATATATATACAGACTATCCTACACGCCTCCAAGAAAAAAAACGTATACCATACATTCTCTCTCATTCTGCTTCTCCTATGTTTGGGAATTGTTATTCAAAAACAGTATGACTTTGTAAAATTTCTGTTCTCTACCATCGCACTTTTCACTTACATGAACTTACATCTGGGCGGCATTAGTCAGTCAGTCAGTCAGTCAAATATTCAGCTGTAGGAAAGAAACGAAAGAAATGTGACATTATTATTTAGCAACATCAAAAAAAACGGGTGTGTTGCACGAGAGATTGTGAAAGAGGGAGGGGAAAGAACGAAAATCTCCTATACGATAATTTGAGAAGGTCATTCCATGCATTATTCTTTTTCTTACTATGACAACCTGTATAAGGGGGGAGCAGAGGGGAGGTCAGTTCTCTTATCTCTCAGCATTGCATGCTTCTCAATATCTACTATAATATGCACTTTACATCTTGCAATTCCTTGATCTCTGACCGTTATTGTTTACCCCTCGTGGTGTGTGGTCGTTTTTTTTTTTTGTTTTTCTTTCTTTTCTTTCCCAGTCTCCTCTCCTTCCCCCAAGTAACGTCATTTCTCGCTTCACTGGAATTGAATGTGGCGCGAGTCTGGGGGGTGGGGGTAGAGGGCAATCTCGCTTAAAATACAGAGCGCAACTGTTTCGCTCGCGACCAAGTTAGTACGTAGGGTTCTCCTTCAACAGATGCAGTCTGACTCTATATGGTTGCAATCACGCGGTATTAGTCAAAGGAAATACACACTAAATAGACAGGAAGGGGTAAGCCTCTACCCTCTATCAAGCGTTATTGTTCTTCCTTCCTCCGTGATTCTTAGCCTTAGCAGACACAGTCAGTGCTCTCGGTCAAAAATGAAAAAAAAAAATCAAGGAANAGCCTCTACCCTCTATCAAGCGTTATTGTTCTTCCTTCCTCCGTGATTCTTAGCCTTAGCAGACACAGTCAGTGCTCTCGGTCAAAAATGAAAAAAAAAAATCAAGGAAAAAGTACAGACAAGAACACAACTCACGTTTCTTCTCGTATGCAGTAGATTTGTAAAATATTTTGCATCCGGAAATCAGTGAATAGCAGAAGACGTTGTTGTTGTTGTTGTACTTTCTACACTATTACTTTACTACACCAGTAATCGTTACTGTGGCTCTAGAATGTGGTTTGCAAGTTCTTTGGGTATGCTGAAAAACGGAATCTACTTTCCATGTCGTTCCAACCTCTTACCTCCTAAACACAGGGCCAAGAGAGAGAAGGTAGTGACCTCAAGAAAATGAGCACATTTCTAGTGCTCTAGCCACTCTATCTAAATTGTGAGTGCTTCTTACCAGGAAATCTTAGTTCTAGAATGTAAGCTCACTTTGATCTAGATTCGCTTGCCAATAAAACTGTGGTGCAAACTCATACAAACGTATTGTTGAGCCATTGTACACCCTTCTATCCTTTGTGCATACCTCACACCCACAGATACACCCACAGATACAACATACCCTTTAAATCACTGTTTGTTACAATTACACATGTATCTTCCCCTGCTTCCCCCCCCTCTTACAGTTTCCTATTTGCGTAATTGACAACAAACAATGTCGTTTTGCATTTTTAAGTTTATTATTTTACAAATTGGGCTATAATTAGAAATGTTACATATTCGCTTGCAAAACTCAAATTGCAAAAAAAAAAAAAAAAAAGAAATAAAAAAAAAAAAATAATACATTTTAAGGACTAAGTGAAGGAAAAGAATTTTCTAGAATCGTTTTCACAGCCACGACTTACTTTGCAAAGTCGTAGCATTATCGAATACAAGGCTTTTATTGTACATACAGCATTATAGACATGTACCAGTCAAGACCTCCATTCTCCTTTCGCCTTTCTCCTTTCACCTTGCTCAACCTCTTCTTGCCAGCGCTACCGACCACGTTTTAGATTCGAGACGACATTTTTTTTTTTTTTAGATCATGTTTTTTTTTTTTTTTTCAAATTTAGCCAATGCGCATGCAGTCATGCAATTGCGAGAAAAAAAAAAAGAAAAAAAAACAGCGTTTCGGATATATTACAGCGAATCGGGACTAATGGGTGGAAAAAAGTGCTGCGTCTGCGATTAACTTAAGTTCCAAGCTCCTCATATGTTAAGTTCGCAGCTTCAGGGGGAACCAAGTACAGGAATGAAGAGTCAATGGTTAGTCTTAGACTAGCGATATGTGTCCGACAAAATCTTCCACAATGACTGTGTTCTGCAAGAAATACCTCGTAATATATCCCAATCTTTTTTTCTTTTCCAAGCTCTCCCACGACTAGTTACATTCAATTAGAGCGAAATGTGCATACCAGCTGAGGAAATGATAGGTGTGGTATTGACCTTTGAAGTGAGAAAAATTATGCAGGGGCTGGATCTAGACTTGCAGGTGAGGAGAAAAAGAACAATAGAATTGAGAGGATTTCTTTATTTTTTTCATCACTCTTTTAGTGTCATAAAATATGAAACCATGACAGCAATCCCTGCATTGAACTCAACAAAGTCCACCCCTAATGGAGTTGATCGATCTGTCACAGCTTAGACTAAAATTTCAGAGCAGTGATTTCACACTCTGTAAAAGGAACAAGTACATCTCTATGCACTGGGAAAAAAGGGAAACTTAGTCTTCAAGTGAATTGTTCTCGTGCTTTGTTGCGACAGTCGTGTTGCATATTTCCCATGGAGAGGGGTCCTTCGGCCTCTTCCAAAGCTACATTGATTTCTTCACAACCACCTCCAAATGCAAACCGTCCAGACTTTAAGTGTGTTGCTTCTTTATTCTCTTCAAATTGCAACTAAAAGATATTTTTATTCACTTGAACGCCATCGCTTTCGTTCCCACAACAAGCCTAGTAGACGGAGACAGCCTAATGTATATTACCTAGAGATCACCCAGTTTGTGATCAATCGACTCCATCACAGCTCCCGAATCACTAATGCCCTCGGTAGTACTGCAAAGTGATCTTGTGTATAAACTATGGCTTACCCCACTTAAATCATTTATATATTTTTCTCGAGAATAGC